CATCTGCATCCAGAGGTCTGTAAAATATAGATAATAGCATACATGTGGTAGAGTTTGGGCGAACTTCCAGTGCAATCATCTTGATTGCACTGGAAGTCTGAGAGTAGGTCTAAGTATTACTGGGAAATGATATAACTTTTTGCTTAAAACTAGAAATACTAACAGATTCTTTTATATCATTGGGTGGGCTATTCCATTCATTGATAATGTGGATAAAATAACTTAATTTAAAACTATTAGTACTATAAATACTAACAAGGTCAAGAGAGTCATTTTTTCTTAAATTATAATCTACATTATGTTCTTTGCAGATAAGCAACTTATCAGAAATATCTATCTTAGAATGTCCTGTCATTAAATTAAATAAAAATACATCCCTAATAAGTCTCTTATTATGTAAACTTTGTAAATCTAACTGTTTTAGTCTAATATTAAAATCCTTGTTAGCCTTTAGGATAAACTTAGTTGCCCTCCTCTGAATTGCAATGGTCTAACATTACTAGAGTATTATGTTCTTCATGAAGTAATATCCTTAAAATCCACACACGTTCTTTTCACCAAACCAAGAACCTTATTGGCCTTAGCAGTTATAGGATCTATATGTGAATTCCATGATAAATTGGAGCTAGTAAGCAGACCTTAGTCCTCATATATGTAGTGATCATTTATGTAATAATCCCTAGCCAGAGGACTCTTTTTGCCAGTGATTCTCATGATCTTACATTTCTTAGTATTAATTTTCATTTTATTATCCTTACCCAGTCAGAAATCTTATCCAGGTCTCCCTGAAAAGATGACATATCCTCTAGAGAATTAATAATCCTATATAATTTGCTATCATCAGCATATAAGGCAATCGAACTATCCTTACTGATAACCCTTGGAAAATCATTGATATAAATAATAAAAAATAAAGGTCCCAACAGGGAGCCTCAAGGCACACCAGAGGTAATTGTTAGCCAGTCAGATACTTCCCCTTTTACAATGACTCTCTGCTGATAGTCGGTAAGATAGTCTCTCCAAAAGACTACCACCAACTCTATACTTGTATAACTTAGTCAGAAGAATGGTGTGATTCCCAAGGTCAAAGGCCTTAGCAAAATTGATAAACACCACATCAACTTGTCCACGGTTATCAAGGGCTTTAGACCAGTCATGATGTACCAAGACAAGATGTGTTTTACCAGATCTACCCCTTTGGAATCCATGATGAGAACTATGAATAAACTCAATGACTTGTCCATAAATTGCATTACATACTAATCTTTCTTGACACTTTCCTGTGATGGTTGATAGTGAAATGCCTCTATAATGTTCAACTGGCTCTTGATCACCTTCCTTATGAATGGGAGTAACACTGGCATGTTTCCATAATTTAGGGACTTGAATCTTCTCGAAAGACAAATTATAAAGCATATTAAGTGGGGCTGCAGATATATGTGCTGTCTCTTTCAACAGGCAGGCTGGAATTTTGTCTACCCCTGAAGTCTTGCTGGCATCAAGCTTTTGTAATATGTTTTTAACTTCATATGCATTACATAACACAGTCTTATATTGATTAGCACACTGATCATTCTGGATGTTATGCACCAAAATAGAAAGTGCACCAAAACTTTCTTTACAGAAGACAGAATAAAAATGAATATTATACAGATTAGCTTGTTCCTGTGGTTTAGTTGCAGAAGAAGTCTTTTAGACTTAGTCTTTATGGAATGATAAGACCAATGTTCCTTAAGGACATCAGAAAGGTGTTCTAGATATTTGATACTCTGATCTTATTAACTTTTAAATTTTGCTCCTTCCAACTTTTGGCTTAGGATTCAGATGGTTGAGCTTTCAATAAAATGACAATATAATCTCTGACAGCTAAAAGAACCCCACCGCCTTCGACGATTGCATCTATCTTTTCTAAACACGTTATAACAATCGAAATTAAGTTCACAATCTCGATAAATACCATCAAGCCAGGTCTCAGTAAGAACAATGATATCAAATGAATCTGTGAGCAACAAGGGTTGTAAGTAAAAAACTTTGTTCTGCGTATTTCTAGCATTAAGAACCAACACTTTTGGGAAATGATTCCGTTCACCATTAATAATGTTGTCGGTTATGATCGAAGACTGAAGATCAGTGTCATTGGTTTCATTAAAGCTGAAATATTCTTCAAAAAAAGAATCTGAGAAGTCAAATGGAAAAGAGCAGTCCGTGCAGTACCACATATCTTCGGACGAGCTTAACTTCGGGCGAAGTTCCACGTGGCTGTGACTAAAAGTGGGACGGGGACGTGGTGACTTGAAACTGTCCTCCATAGCTGTCGTGGGCAGCTATGGAGGACTTTCCTGGTAAGTAACTGTGTTTTCTTCTCTCGATCCGTGCCTTATCCTTGCTAAAAAAGGATAGGAAGAAAACACAGTAACTTACCAGGAAAGTCCTCCGTGGCTGCCCACAATGTTTGAAACCCCCTATGTATAAACTATTCTGTACCCAGAGTTCTCACGGTCAAACAGGCAAGCAAACATTTCCGGCCGAACCACGAACGCTGGAAATCATCGGCTACTACTGACAAGCTCTCCAGCATATCAGACCTCTCTCGAGACCACCGAAAATTATACTTTACAAATTCAGTGCAAGAATCAGGTTTGTTTATCACGTCCCCGAGTCTCCACGCGTCCCCGAGTCCCAGTCCCACTTTTAGTCACAGCCATTCCACGTTGTGGCCACGTGGTTTCACTCAGTGCACAGTATAGGTGAACCTTTGACGAGTATTAGGGTTACTTCTTATTTTTTAGCGCCAGCGGCTTTCCAATTGATTTTGCAACCTGCCCCGATTCCGACAGCTTTCGTTATCCTTTGCTTAGACACTGTTGGTGTTGTGAGGCTTGTTTGACTCTGTCATCTTCTTCCGAAAGTATTCAAAAGCACGATATTTTACAGAAGGATGGATACGGTAGACCATGGAAACTGAGGGATAAAAAGTCAAACTTTCACAGGATCAATATTTTCTAAAAACAAGAGCTTTTGAGGTGGGTAAACATGAGTAAGGTTTGTGGTCCTATGTGGTTTTGTGCATACACTTTCAACATCAAAATACTTAATTTACCATAATCTGAATCTAATTTATAGGAATCAATTGAAAGAAAAATAGTCTTAGGCCCGGTTCAAACGTCGAACTTTATATATGCCGAATCTAATTAATTAGATTCGGCACATGTAAAATTCGACGCTTAAATCAATTAGGTTCGACAGATTTGTATTTGGGTCGACCTACCGTTCTATTCGACTAAGCTTGTCGAATAGAACAGCAAAAGATCGACTCGGTTTCAAACGTCGAACTTTCTCATGTGCCGAATCTAATGCATTCATTATAAATACATTAAATAATTAACAATTGGTTCATATGTCAGCGTGCGTTCATCGAGATATGAAGCACGCGGGAAGTTTGGAGAGCACGAAAGATGCGTAAGAGTTGCTCGAGGTGTAGCTCTAGCTTCTTGAGTGCTCTCCAAACTTCCCAGGTGCTTCATATCTCGATGAACGCACAGATGAACGCACAGATAACGTATGAACCAATTGTTTTACAACATTTTTAACAAGAAGGAACATTTTTTTTCGTGAGGGATTTGTTTGCTGACGCCACGAGCGTGCACAATAGGAATATGAAGCACGCTCGCGCAATTGAATTTGATTAGACAAAGTTACTAGCTATGTTATAAATTAATTTTTACCCAGAGTTCTGCACGTTTCCTATTTTTGTCTTGGTAACGTCTATGGTAACATGATTTCTTCTGATCATTTCGAACAAAATGGTGGGAATGTGTTCCTCTTGCCTCTAGAGTACTAAATATACTTGTCTGAAGTGCATGAACCACTTTTGTATGCATTGTTCTGTATTTGAAAATGATGAGGATGTACCAGGATGGAAAGTAGACAGTTCAGTGGCGTACTGTGAGTCATGTTTTGAAGAGAAAATGACAAAGGAAATGAATCATTAGGAAGATTTCCAGAAGCAAGCCAGCAGATCAAAAATTCAAGAAGCAGGTTTTTCTGCAAAAACGGACCCTCTAAAAAGGTATGTAGAGTGTTGTTATAAGCTGCATTTGATCTCACTGTAAACAAGCTACAAACTCAAATTAAATTTGCTCCTTGCATTACTTTTAGATGATAGCAAAGGCTTGTCATAGATCGGACCTGTCAGTCCCAACCTTTATTTTCTACGTATTGAAAGATGTTTTTGTTGGAAAAACATCTGATTTATTAATATCATTAATTGTATAATTTTCTTTGCTGAGATCATACCTGTTCATCAATTTGATATACCAAATTCTTTGGTCTGTTTTCACATCAGTTACAGCTGGCTGTACTCTGGCTGATAAAACTAATATCCAGGTTTGCATGTTTGTCCTATAGCAAAAGACATCTTGACCAAAAGCATGATGAGGATTTTGAAATTGAAGATGATGATGATGAAGAAGAGAGAGATGAAGATGTGGAATTCACTCTGGCACATTTTCTAAAGAAAGGAAAGGGGAAGAGCAGCAAAAGACCTGAGCAAAAACCTTGATGGTGTCCAAAAAGTCTAGATGATTTTGTTGACATTGTTTTTAGCAGCAATGAGTTTAAGAACAAACTGATTTTTACTAATACCAAGAATCAGAGAAATGGCCCAATCTATGCCAAAATCTTGGATGAGTTGAAAGAGAGGGCATCAGCTAGAGGTGACAAGTTCACAGTGACAGTCAACCAAATGAGAACCAAATTCAAGAAGTGTGTCAGCCAGTGTAAACAAGCTACCCTAACCCAAAAGACAGCAACAGGGATAAAGAGGTACCAAGAAGACTGTGGATTTGGCAAGTGGTTCAATACCTTGTTTGACGTGGCGAAAACAAAGGGACTCATACCAACCAAAATGGGCTTTAGAGCCATCAACATCCTCATCATCACCTCCAAGTACTCCTGAAAGTTCTCTTTATGACCCTGACAATGTTGATGACTAAGTTGAGATGTTTGTTCCCAAAAGATCTGCAAAGAAAGGGAAATCTAATAAAAATAAACTTGATATTAACCAGGAAGTAATACAACTCATCCAAGAAGCTGTAAGAAATGACCCTACCAAATAAATGATCAGCTTCCTAAGGGATGAAATGGAAAAGTCCTGTGAGCATGAGTTAAAGTTATTTCAACTCATGCTTGGCAAGAGAGCCAATTCAGGCATGCCTCCATCATTCAGTATGGAAACAGGGTTTTACCCATCATGGAATCAGGGTATCATGACACAGGGTTTTACCTATCAATGCCAAGTTCTCTAGGAGCACAACAGACCACCAAGGAAAGGATGTCTGAAGGTTCTTATGGGAACCCTCTCCTTTATGGTAATGGAAATACCAAACATTGTAAGTTATGTAGAACTGAAAGTATATTCATATATACTTCAACCACAGTCCTTCGCACATGGCCAGTTATTATTTGCAAAATCACTGACATACCCAAATGGGAAAACACACCAGTGCAAAACAAAACCAGAAGAGCCATAATTGAAAGTTCTTAACACTGGAAATTTGTTTTTTAGGGTTTTATGTTCAAAACTCTGATTTTCAGCCATTTTTAAATGAAAATAGTTGGATGTGGAGTGGAAATGTGCCAAGACAGCTGTTGAAAAGGACTCTCTAATATAGTGTAATAGTTTGCTATTGCAACCTTGTATGGACAACATGAACAGAAAATGTTTCAGGGTACATGTGTCTTGACAAAAGAGTTAATGTATTTGTTGTTGTTACAGTTTAGACAAGTGAATCATGAAAAAATAATTGCCATAAAGGAAAATTATATCTGATGAATTTTTTTACATATAATTTAAACTTATGATAGAAATGATCTGTTTAAGTATATATATGCATCTATAAAAATAATTATTTGCACATTGTTTGTTAGTACTACCAAAGTTCTGTTATTTTTGTTCCAGTTAAATATGTTGAGGAATGATGATTACATGAAGTATTTTTAATATATCTTCTATTACTCAATTACATCATAATACATTGCAATCAGAGGATTTATTTATTGAAATGCAATTAACCCTTCAAGCCTGATTACCATACTGTATGTGCAAATTCTCCTTACTGGTCTCTTTATGTTTCCTTTAGTACTAGTTGGGTGAATTTGTTAACAGAGTTCAAGGCAGTGTCTATTTGGTGATACCTTCCTTAATTCCCACAACCTTTCTTATGACTATGCTGATACTATGAAGAGAAATTTAATCTTGATCAATCTTGGAGCTTAAAGGGTTTTAAGTAACAAAACTTTATTCACAACTTTTAGCTTGGTCAGATTGAAGGTTGTGTCAGGTGCACAATCCATGTTCATCTTGCACTCGATAAAATCATATGAAAACAATTTGGTGAAAATACAGATGATTTAAATTAACAGACTTAGTTTCCTTCTCAAGCCATAGTTTTTCACATAGTGCATTCTGGACTTTATTTGCCTCCACTGAGACATCCCTGATGCTTGAGCAATTTCTCATCTGCAACAGCTTTCTTATTTCCTCTTGATTCTCTTTTGACCATTTGCATCCAAACTCAAGTCAAGCTTTTTTGATATTGCATCTCCTTGTGCAATACATGTATTATGGAGAACCATGCATGCCCAAAAGCACCCTGACTGTAACCATACGGGCTCTGCTTAAGCGGTAATTAAAGTTCCGTTGCTGGGGTGTCAGAACTGCATTGGTGTATGGTTTCGTCAACCATGTGTGCAGAGGGAATGCAGAGTCTCCCACTATAAGTGGTGGGACAGTAACATTGCCTACAGTTTTTCCAATTACAGGAAGGAAGCCTTCTTTGATGCGGGTCCAAAGGTCAGTGGATCTAAATATGACTGCATCATGAGAATTTCCTGGAAACCCATAGCTGCCCCACACAAATCTGTAATGTGAATCTACCACATTAACTCAAGTAAAGCTTTTTTGAAATTGAGTAGAAATTCTTAAAATTATGGTACTCTTTGCATGCCTGAAGTCCTCCAGATGGGCATTTCATGGGAATATGACAACCATCTATTGCTGTCCAGCAGCAAGGAAATTGCCAAAATTCTTCAATGTCGAGAATTTTCTGTTTGAACTCCTCTCCTGTCTGAGGCATGTGAGTTGACAGTCTCATTCCATAAATGGTTCACCAGGACTTGACAGACTTCCTGACAGATTGAGGAGACAGTGGAGATGCCTAGTTCAGACATTTCTGAAATGGTATAGAGATGATCTCCTCTGCCTAGTCTGTACAGACAAATAGCAAGCCTCAGTGCTGCATTATTGGTTCTTCTGTAACAGTTTACCAAGTTTGCAAGAAAAACAAGCTCTTCATTTCCACAATTTGCCTTTCCCGCAATTTTTTTTTGCCATATTTAAGCAATAATTGCTGACTACAAGTGTCATGTTCACTTTTGCAATTAAGTTCGACCCAATAGGGTTCGACGTTTGAATCAACGGCCGAACTCAATTATTTGGGTCAACCCAAAGTGGTATTAGGTTCGGCACATGTAAAGTTCGATGTTTGAACTGGGCCTCAGTTGTTTCTTGTAAAGTATGGATGGTTGGTTGGTTGAATGTGCACTTTCATTAATGCTAAAACCAGCAAAAATTAGTTTCACTTGGTTTAAATAAAAGCCCAAGCTATGATTTGACAATATTTTCACCATAACTCAATGTCTACCATGAAAATGACCATGTTAACCCCAGACTCTTTTCTAATCCATTAAAGAATGACTATGTGACATGAGGTAACACTTCACCATTACTGTAGTTAATTCAGAATTCAGCGTTTTATGTTCCTTAAAATTATTCTCCATTCACACCAGCAAAACATGTTAAGTGAAACCAGGTTCAACTGAGTGAAAATCAAATAAAAAACAAACAACTGAAAAACTCAATTTCCATAGGATTCAAGTAATTACAAACTTTATCTTCAATGAGCTACATTGGAACTTAAAAAAAACTGTACTGTTGAGGAAGCTTCTAGGAACAAAACATTTTCAACCAGAAAACAGCAAAAAGACATTTTTAAGTTTTGTTGTGAATGGTGTGTAACACCTAGGCAAATTGTTCAGCCCCAACCTCTATTGATTCATTAGTATCTTGCTGTGATTTCTCTTAGTATTTAGTATTGGCCTGGTTAGAATTAAGCTACAGGAACTTTCCTTTCTTTTGTTTTTCTTGATTTTCCTCCTAGCTGCTATATAAACAATTGCTGCTTTCATTTTGTATGAAATCTTAATAGAACCCTAAGTAGCATAGTACAAGTATTGGGTTTGAAAATTGGGAAATATCATTTGGGGTGTATCCTTGGATATTCCCCTGTTTTAGTTAGGGAATATGTGGTAATGTGATGCTTTTAGACCATGATGGATTACTGTGGTTGATATATTGTAATCCATCAAATACATTTGCTTGCATGTAATTGTCAACTAAATGCATGGTGGGACCTATCATACAGCCCAGATAAAACTGGGAAATATATAGAAAACAGCCTCCATTTGGCATGCAAATATGCATGCTTAGTTTTCAGTGGAAATTATCTGTTCTGAGATGTAACCAGTTTTCTGCAAGCAAAGGAACACATAATTACCATAGACAAATTAATGGAGGCTATCGTGTTTATTATTTTTTAAATGTTTCTGCAATATGCAGGCAAAATGTTTACAAACAGCTTACAGTTTGCTTTGTGGGATGTTTATTTTTTAGAGTTCTCCAGCATGACTTTATGAACAAAACAATTGACATTTCCCTTCTTCTGTAACAAAAGCTAAATGCTCTTTCATCTTGAATTAAATTGCACAAATGCAAATTAGGTCAAGCTCTGGATGTTATGTACTGCTGGCCTTTCAGGACCCATACCCCATAATAACTGAATGTTAAATATTATAGGTAACATCTCTTTAACCACAAATCTTCCCATTTTTAAATCCTTACTAGCCAGAATTTTCTCTACCCCAGATCTTGAAAAAGGACCACCCCATCCTTATATGGGTATTGAAAATGCAACCTCATTATACAGTATTGTGCAAAAGTAATGCAAACGGAATTCGGCGAATTTCGTTATTTGTTCTAACGATCTTTCGTCGAAAGTTCGGGCGAAAATTCGATCGAAAGTTCGAGGCCTCTTAGCGACATTTCGTTTGAAATCCAGTCTTGAAAAATATGACGCATTCATTGGCATATCCTCGTTAGCAAATTACTGAGATGTAACCCCTTGCAAAGATCATTTATTTATAAAAAATTACAGTGACCACATTAATTCCATTTCTTTCAAAACAAGAATTACCCTTTACCACACACCCTGACAAGTACTGTTAACAACAGGCCCACTTGGTCATCGCCAGTTTTCCTGGGAGACATGGGAAAGGAAGTACATTTGTTAGTTGTTGGACTAGACACTCTCAAATTTAATCCTATTACATGGAGACTGAAAACCCTATCTAAATGTAGTATTGTAGAAGTTAAAAAAGGAAACTTACGTTAGAATTGACTATCTCATATCTAAGGTTGGCAGAAAAGGGGTTAAGTAAGAGTCTACCATATTGACTGTTACTGGAAGTAAATATACGTTTACTTGCATTGTGTTTATGATTATCTCGGCGCGTAATCTCCTCGCTTATAACTTTCTAGGTGTTTTCCTTAAGGATGGAGGTCATGCAATCAAAAACAGCGATCTAATACAACTGCAGAAAGTTTCCATCTTCAAGGAGAGAGAGGGACCATATAGCATTTTTGCGGGGACGAAAAGAGAACCCATGTAACTGACTATTTGACTTATAAAAATGTCTGCGAAGGGAGCTCAACTTCACGATGAAAGTGGCAACGTACCTACCAAAGGAGGAGGAGGAAACAGTATTAGTGCCGATTGGGATTCTGATTGCTGTCATCGAAAGGAAGAAGATCAGTTAGTTCTAGCCAAGAACCCTACGCGTAAAGATAGACAGGGAAGTGACGATGTTCCATCTTTACAGCGAAAAAGTTGCAGACGTAAACCGCGGTGGTGTACTCTAGAACAACTCCAGAAAACCAGTGGCAAACAGTTTGGCGACACTGTAGAGACTCCAAAGTCGGAAAGGAATCTTGGTCACAGCACTAAGATGCAACACCAACCTAAAAACAATAGAAAATCTTTTACAAGTGACGTTCACATAACATCTACTCAGGAAGCCCAAAAAGGGCTGCCCACTTCCGGTGTTAAGAGCAAGAAAATGAAGAAACTAAGGGAAGCAATTGAAAGAGAATATCGGAGGACTGAGGCAGTCCTTCCAATGTACGAGAAAAAAAACGAAATTGTTCAGCTCATAACGGAAAATCAGGTCTGCGTTATTCTTGGAGAAACCGGATCAGGTAAAAGTACACAGATGACCCAGTATTTGTACGAGGCTGGTTTTGCTGAGAAGGGTTTAATCGTTTGTACCCAGCCACGTAAAGTTGCTGCGACAAGCTTAGCATCCCACGTCGCTCGAGAAATAGGGAGCACTGTTGGAAAAGTAGTGGGCTGCCGTGTTGGAGGAAATGTTCAAGCAAGTAAAGAGGTGACTGGTATTGTGTACGTTACAAACCACATTCTTCTCAATGAGTGCCTAAAGGATCCTAAGTTGTCCAAGTATTCTTGCATAATAATTGATGAAGCACATGAACGAAGTCTTTACTCGGACCTGCTTCTTGGCATGATCAAGAAAAGCCTTATTCAGCGTCCTGAGCTGCGAGTGGTCATAACCTCAGCTACCATTGATCCTGCTATCTTTGTGGCATATTTTGACCAATGTCCAGTACTGAAAGTGTCCGGCAGAATGTTTCCCGTCGATGTAATTTGGAAAGATGGTCCGTCTTCCAACGTTGAAAATTATCTTCAAGAGGCTGTAAAAACAGCTCGCGAAATTCACAATAAGGAGGATCCAGGGGACATTCTTGTGTTTCTGACTTCTCCAGAAGAAACGGAACGTGCTTGTGAAATGTTAACAAAGGTTGAGCGGGATGCTAACCTAGTTTGTCTTCCTCTCCATGGAAAGCTACTTCAAGAAGAGCAAAAGAAAGTGTTCGAAGAAGCCGGAGACAAACGTAAGGTGGTATTTGCTACCAACTGTGCGGAAACCTCTATCACCATTCCTGGGATAAAGTATATAGTGGACACTGGTATGGTGAAGGAAATGAAGTTCGAACCGAAACGCAACAAAAGTTCTTTAGAGGTAACAACCATCAACAAAAGTTCTGCTGAACAGCGAAAAGGAAGGGCAGGAAGGACACAAGCAGGGAAGTGCTTTAGACTCTACAGCCAAGAGGAGTACGAGGCAATGGAAGACCAATCAAAACCAGAGATCCTAAGGGTTCATCTTGGTCAGGCCGTGCTGAAGCTGATGGAACTTGGCATTGAAGATGTCAGAGACTTTGATTTTGTGGAATCGCCACCTTTTGACTCAATAACCCTTGCATTAGAGTTGTTGAATTCTCTTGGTGCGATAACAAACGGAAGACTTACACAGTTGGGAGGCAAAATTGCTCGTGTTCCGCTAGAGCCACGCTTGGCAAAGGTCCTATTTGATGGCATTGACAAAGGTGTAGGTGCAGATGCGTTAGCGTTGGTAGCCATTGCAACTGCAGGTGGGAGCGTTTTCTTCTGCATGGGAAGCGGAGAGGAGAAGCAGGCAGCTGACTGCAGAAAATTTTGTTTCTGCCTGAATGGCGGTGACCTACTGACGTTGTTAGAAGTATACAGGCAATACCTCAAGCAACCGAAAGATTTACCTAAACGAAACAAATGGGCGGTTGCCAACAGCTTTAATGCAAAGTCGCTTCGAATGACAGACGAGACCATCAAAGAGCTCAAGCTGACGTTAAAGCATGAATTGGGCGTAACGATCCTGGATACGTTGCAACAAGACGAGAACACTGATGTGAAACTTCAAAAGATTTTGTTGTCTTGTTATGCCACCAACTTATGCGTATTTACTGGCCACGAGAAAACAGGATACAGAGTGTTGTCTTCAAACCAGTGTGTTCAAGTGCATCCATCGTCAGCACTTAAGTATCTTGGGGCAACGCCTCAGTTCATCGTCTTTGACCAACTGCTCAAAACGTCTCGTGACTTTGTCGTCAACGTTACCACTGTGGAAGAGACGTGGCTGCGGGAAATGATTTCTACAGGAGCTCTCAAGTATGACTTGGAAAACCTACTTTCAACTGTACTGACCGAAATGGTAGTGCCATGCAGTACAGAGCTCATGAAGTTAACGTTTGAAGGATACAGAGGAGGAAATCTTAATCAAATCGAGAGGAAAATCGCGAAGTCATGCGATGACAGCTTGGTTGTGTTAGAGGAGGACAGAGTTCGTGGGCAAATAAAAGTATTCGTTCCTCCAAAGTACACGGCGAAGGCTCTGTCAATGATGGAGAGTATCTTGGAGGAAAGCAGAAAGATACTGAGGAGTGAGGAAAGAGAGGAGCCTCTGAAAGAAGAATCTTTGGGAAACAGAATTGTTTGGGGACAAGGCGGTGAAATATACGAAGTACTGATGCCGGACATGTACAGAACTGTCACGGTTGATGAGATAGAAGATGGCAACGCAGTGGCTGTATTAGATCACCTTAAAACCTTTGGAGACGTAGTGAGGCACAGTTTTAAGGAGCAGAATGGTAAAATGGGCATTTTTGTAACTTTCAAACGTTCTAAGGATGCGATTAACGCAGTGAAAAGCTCTTCCAACTCCTCTCTGGAAACTGACGTAAAAGTAAAGCCAGGATTTATGATGTCCAGTAGCATCCAAAGAAGTGTTTCTCCGTTTAAAGCGAAAGCCAAGTGGATCCGACGTCGCGGTAAAGGTACAGCATCTGTGGAATTTCACAACTGTCAAGATTTTAATCGCACGCTTGGTAGAATACCATCACTTATGATTAAGTCAGAGGTTATTATTTTCCAAACGGATAAGGTTCGCGAACATCAGATATTCCTGAAAGGACTCCACCCCGACACGTCAGAGGAGGACGTAAGGTCTGCTATCGAAGAGAGACTCCCTGTGGTTAAAGTGAAGAAAGTTTATATTTCCCGAACTTCAGAATTTGAAACACCTGCCAGAACTATCTATGCACAGAGGGCATCCTTGCAGGAACGTCTCAGCGTCTTGGCGACAGAAGGCCAGTTTTCAATAGACTTGAAAAAGCCTTCTCCCAAAGATTTTGAGGGATATGCTTACCTATCATTTCAAGATCCTGAAGAGGGTCAAGCAGCCATAAGAGCTCTTAATGGAACGCATGTTCCTGGTATCGGAGTTGTAACCCTGCATCCCAACCATGCAACAGTCTTGCTATGTGACAGAAACGTTTACGCAGCCATCAGAGGTGAATTCGAAGAAACAATCGACACTTTAGACGTAACATTTAACACAAGACTGAATGTGAAAGTCAAAGATCAGCCAAAGCATAAGCGTGTTGCCATAGAAATACAAAGTAACTGTACGGAACACTTCATCTGTGCTAGCACTGCTTTAACCAAAATTGTCAATGGTGATGAAATTGACTGCAAAATTTCTAAAAACCTGGAGATTCTATTAACTAACTCAGCGAAAGACGTACTTCAAACAATTGAGAGGGACTGTAGAACCGTGATCAATCAAGATTGGAAGAACGAGGTTGTCAGAATTTATGGACCCAAAATAAACCGAGAATCAGCAAAACAAGCTATAAACAAGTTTCTTGATGATTCCATCGCTGGCAATAGCCACTCTTGGCAGATTTATCTTCGAGGGCCAAACAAGCCCCGCGGACTGCTGAAAGCTCTGTTTATAAGGTTTGGTGCTAATCTGCAAGGATTACGAGACATTAATGGTGTCCAGAAGATCCATGTTGAGTTTAGAAACCACGTACTCATCATAGAGAGTTCAGACGAGGCTGAAAAACTAATCAACAGTTACGTGGAGGAATGCTGCAAAAATCCTCCCCAAGAATTGTTTCCTGTACAACAAGACCACGAAACCCAATTAATTTGTGGTATATGTCTATGCGATTTGGATACAAAAGCAGGTGTGTACCGACTTGCTTGCTGTGGTCACGCCTACGATAAGAGCTGTGTCATTCAACAACTCAAGTCACCAGAATTTCCACTGAAGTGTGTCATAGAACAATGTGGAGAGCCTCTTGTTTGGAAGGATTTGCGAAACTTGTTGAATGACCGTGAAAGAAAGAGGCTCGCTTTAACCGCACTGGGTGAGTACGTCAAAAAAAATCCTGAAATTGTGAAATACTGTCCAACAGCGGGCTGTGACATGGTATACTGTGTCTCAACTGATGAGAGACCCTTCACCTGTGATGCATGTCTAGCTCAAACCTGCACATCTTGTCATGTGCAATGGCACAGCGGGCTCACGTGCGCTGAGTTCAAATCGGAAGTGCAAGCAGGAGGAACGTCTTCTGGAGTGGATGATGAAGGACCCAAGAAATAGTAAGAAATGTCCCAAATGCAAGACATGGATTGAGAAGAATCAGGGATGTAATCACAAAGAGTACATGTGTTGGCTGTGCCTGCAGGTGTTTCCAACCAATGTGTACGATTATTGACACTTTCCAAATAATACTGCAGCATGAATACAATACTGTTTATGCAGACATACCCTTGACAATTAAAGTCATTGGTTGATATTTCATTTTTAGTGGTTTTGAACTTTTCACATTGAGGACATTGCTTCAGAAGTTGTTCAGTGATAAACTAGACTTAGTAGATGGCTTGAAAATTGCCTATGAATGATGAAAATGGACAAGTCACTAAACAATATTTTTTGTTAGAACATGTAGTCAGTTTAGAAAGGGGAGAGCACTCAGTTCTCTCCTCGAGTGTACATAATTTCAATCTTATTCTTTTGTTTGTAAGATTATTTCTTGGTTGTAAGGTTCAGATGAAGGGCACTATGGTAGTGGGTAGTATGATATAAGCCCTGTCTGTGTAGTCCTTTAATTATAAAGATGACACTTAATTATTTCTGAGTTCTAAGCCATTTTATTTGGATGCATTATGCAGCTAAACTGGTACCTTGAGTATATAATAACTCTTCAGTTTATTATAAAACTCTTGATTGGTCACTAATGAGTCCATACATGTAAATAAGTAACAGAGTGCAGTACAGGAATTCTGCACTGCACTTTGTTGAAGTAAAAGCTTTTAAAAGTCAACGAAAATTACTGATTTCTAAAATAGTTACAAAAGCATACAGCTAGTGTTTTCCTCCACAGTTATTGTTGTAATGGACCAATTAGAGAAAAGCATGATCATTTTCCCAGTTTTTCTTGGTAAGTGGTGCGCAGTGCATAGTTTAATTCTATGTTATATGTATCACTTTGTTTAAGTTGCCAGAGCTTTGAATTAATGGTAGTTTAGCACTATAAATTGTTTGTTTGCCAACATTTTCATTATAGACAAAAAAAAAAGTCATAAAAGACATAAGGTAATAAAAGGTTTCAGAAATTGATAAAGTTTGCATTATTTGAACCTTAAAAAAAAATTAATTGATTTCCAGCAGAATTTTCCCAAATTGTTCTTGGTCTGTTTTAGGTTCCCTAAACAACAGCATGCAACCCACATTTCTAGGTTTCCAACATTTTCTATATAAATTAATAGGTAACATATTTTTTTAAATTTCCTGCACTTAGTTTCACTGACTATTTATGTTGGCCCTGAATTTATTTCTACCTTACCAATTTCCAAAAAAAAAAAAAAAAAAAAAAAAAAATTGGTTGAGTTTGAAATCTCCATGATGAAGAAAATTTATGCTAGTAAGGCTGAGAGTGTTTACGAGTTTGGCACCTGATACCAAGTTTGTTTGAAGAGTGTATTCTCACAGTTTCTTTTGGCTTCAACACAAGTAATTTTTCCAAGGAATCTTCACATCCTAATTTCCAGAGCAAAAATATTGATTGGAAATTGTTCCCCACCTCCTCTGGCTATTTCCTCCACAACCCTAACAGAGCCCACCCTCCTCTAGCTCATCTTTTATGGCCTGTTCATTGCTTGCCTCTTTTTGACCTGTGTAGTTTAATTCTGGGTTTGCAGACAGCTGTGGGTCAGTTTTTAAATGGTCATCATTTGAATTTGTAACAAGTCTTTTTTCTGTGAATCCTTTTGCTCCTGTGTCACCTGGAACACGAAGACTTCGAGACAGCTTGGCAATCTATAGGGTGAGAAATGTTTTGCCTTGAAATTGTAACTACATGTGTTGGAGAATGTTTGTTTTGTGAATAGCACACTGAACGCCATTGCATGTTCAGGTCCAAGCCGTGGATCATTGTGTTGTTTTTCTAAGCACAACACTGAACTTTAAGAATGTTCTCTACATCCTTGTATATCAAATGGGAACCAAGAGACATTAATGGAAATTTGATGAGCTAAGCACCCCAACCCAAAAGGGGTAGCAATATTCATAGTTGTCTCATCCCCATGAAACTGGGATAAGCCCAAGGATAAAGGGTCCAGCAAACCCAAGAACTTCACCACTGTGCTATGTCTACTTAAAATGTACTCCTGTTTTGTCTTATAGTAAGTGCATAAGCTTATATTGTTGAAAAAGGAATAGACAATGATGAAGATGCTACCAGTTTCAGTTCATGTGACTAATTAGGAAATATAGGAAAAATTGAAGTGAAAAAAACAACTTATGCAGTTTTTGTTGGAGTCTCCCAGTTTGTGCAGGGTCTGATTTATTCAGAGCAATTAAACAATAATAATGATAACAATTACTTAACAATATTGTAAGCATTTCATATTGTCACTAAGGACATAGTTACCAGTAAATAGCTTACCTAGTCAGCTCAGTGGCATGATCTCAACAACGAAATAAATTTGCTTAGGGTTAGGGTTAGGGTTAGGGTTAGGGTAATAACCAGGTGTTTGTCCTAAGCCCAGTAAATATGATTGAATAATGAAGTTAATATCAGTAAGAATAATCATAATAATAACAGGGAGGTGTCTATTTAGGAGAATAGTTCAAAGTAGCCCACTGCTTGGACTACCTGCATTTGCCAACCATAATTATTTTGACAAGAAGGAACTGTTTTCTCTCAACATTTTCAAATGCCATTTTCAACTCACCTCATTGTCTAAGTATGTAAAGAGAGCTTGTGATGTACAACTTTTCATTCCATCAGCATCACCTTGATCAAAACAGTTCAAAACTTTTTCAGCTGCAACTGCTTCCTCTGAACTGCCAAACCCTGGAATTCTGAAGATAGGAGAAAGTCTGTTTTATGACTCATTGCCTTCAGCCTTGAATTTCACTGCTGGTCTTTGAATATTAGTAATCAGTTCAGTATTAACTGAATTATCGATATCATTCCTCCAATTGTATTGAATTTTCATTAAAATCACATAGGAAGTGCAACAAAATTTAATGCTTAGGTGTAACAAGTCAATTTTGGTTTTTTTGGATGATTCAATAGAACACCAATAACAACAAACACAACAACAGAAACAGCCATTAACCCTTACATTATTAATACAATATTGAGCAGATAAGTTATAAGAAAAAAGAAAAATGTCAGTAAGGGGATTACCAGAATAAGTTGACCAAATTCTCCAAACTAACATCATAAGAATTGTATGGAAGACTTTAAGGAGATCCGGGAGTGAAAGGGTTAAAGAGACCTTTAGAAGATATCTTGAACTATCTCAGGTGTTATGACAAAATAAGGTGGATAGGATAGCATCTTGTAACCTTGGACATGGAATAATTTCATTTTCATGGATCTTGGTTACTTTTCAGTAGGTTATTAGTCAGTCATACATACCCCCTGGATGTATTATGTCTCATATGTCACTGTAATGTTTTGGCCAAAAAATCATCCAAGAAATCACTTAGCAAACTAATGCTAAGAGGAAATTTTCAAACTTACTCAAAAGATTCTTTGTAACAGTTATCTGCAGCTACATAGTCACTCTCATGAAGATGAACAACAACCATGCTGAGAACAACCTGGGAACATTTTACAAACAAATGAGTGCTACATCAAAAACATGACAGCTGCCAAAGATTACATCATAACAGGTTGGTGTAATTTGATTAATTGTGCGTGACGTAAAATGCACGAGATGAATAATAAGCAGCTCACACAAGAAGCATAGAAAGAAATGGGTGCCTGAATGTCCAGATGGTTAAGAAGATTTTGTGTCTTGATAAAGTTTCACCAAACACACAAAATAAATGAAAAAAAGAGGATAAAACAGGCATAGTTTGATTCCTAAGACAGTAGTCTGATTCCTAAGACAGTAGTCTGATTCCTAAGACAGTAAAAAAGTCACTCCCACACTCCCACACTAAGTCTAAAATCTAAGAGTTGTTGGCAAACAGTGCAGAGAATTGACAATTAAGTCTCAGAGGTGAAAGGGTTGAAGTGTCAAGGGTGTTAAGAGTGAACTAGGTTGTTCATAACATTTAAAATTAAAAAATAAACACCCATTTATAATGAAAAAAAAGAATACCTTGAACATCATTTGAAAGTTCTCCACTTGCTCATATAGTTTTATCTGTTGTCTCATAACCTTCAGAGCCTCTGGAAATCTACAAAATACCGAGAAGTCAGAGTGAAAAGTGCTTGAAAGTACTAAATGAAAAAAGTGAGATTTGTCTTGACTTCACATCTACTGCACACCTACACCATGCTGTCAATTTACATTCTCAGCCTACAAAGTGATAAAACTATAATTAACATGCAGTACCATCATTGTATCAAAAGAAAAAAAATCAGAAAAATTAGTCAAAAGTAGAACAAACAAGCCTCAATCTGTCGTGAACCCCTTTGTATTGAGTTCCCTGCTAAATCCTGGTATTTCTCCATCACCAATTGAAATTGTAGAAGTAAATAACTGAAGTTTAGTCTCTTGAAAGGCTGGTAAAGATGCTTCTATAGGTGCAAAAGTTAAAATTACCTTCTTAGTTTTAAAAGAAGGTTGATAGCCTTTGACAAAGGTTCAATGGCCTCCCTAACTTTGTCTTCAGACTGTGATATAAAGACACAACATACATAAAATAAGAAAATGTCTTGGATACAATAAATGGTTAAACCAAAAGGTAAAATTTGATCCTGTAGTCTGAGTGGTCCTGAGAAGGACTGTTGGAGAGAGTAGTGACTCATCATAACAGATGACTAGAAGAACAGATGTAAATGTGTGTCTGGTACTCTGTCTTCAACAATGGATCATTTGCATGTACTTTTCTTCTCTCACATTGGATAATGTTTATATCATTTCAGGCACATTTCAAAATGAGTCTATTACCACTCTTCTAGCTTACATTTTTGGCTAATTGTGATAAACTGAACAGCAGTTGTAAAAAAGAGTCAGATTGGAGATGTTGCATTTGCATGCTAGTATCAAATGTAGTATGGTGTACATACAACATTCATTTCACTGGCTGAGATGTATAACTCAGCTGCCTTTGCTGGATCACTGTTATCGCACATCCTAAAAACAGCAAAATAAAATTTAGCCAGGTGATATAAATGAGCCACAAGAAGCCACGTGTACTTTGTGTATGAATTCTTCAAACCATTCCAATTTTCTCTGAATAAGACTATGTTTAAAAACAGGACTTGTCAGTTAAAAGAATAAGATGAAGGCACCTTATATACTTAAAAAATTTTGAATCACAAATATTGAAAAGGAATTTTACCAACCAGCAATCATTTCTCAGAGTAACCAAGTACCTCTCTACTGTACAATAAAAATATCTTGCATGGAAAAAATCTCTTCCCTGCCTTCTTTCCATTTCTCCCAGAATAATTTTTATTTTCCATATTTTATAGGTCCGAAAAACTATTGTAGATGTCTATAATTTTAACTTTTTACCAGGTCTGATTCTAGTTGACAACATCTGCCATAGAACAAACACATATCACATAACGGTTCAAATAAATAAATGTATTGAGGCTACATCACTAAGCAATGTTCAAGTAATGCACTGTAGGTAAATTTTAATCTCAGATAAAATGTTTTTTCCATGGGTTGATTGACACTTTCCTTTGTCTCCTTTCTTTGATTTTAAAAGAAATCTATAATCAACCTTGATGGAAAACTTTTACCTGAAATTTAAAGGTTGACTCACTTGGCTCCTCTGATGAGGGCAAAAGCCCCTGTATCTGGGTTACCACTTTGTCTGTACATCTCACTGCCTTACAATATAAGTTATCAGTTATTAGTACTGTAATGTGTTAGGAACTATGGAAAAAGATGAAACACAAGCAAACTTGTATTAAGCAGTAACCCACGGGGAATGGCAGGGTGACTGCTTAATACAAGTTCTTCAGAATAGGAGTGACATAAATATGACAAACAAAATGCCATTTTGTTGCCAAAAATTGACCACTTAATGTACTCCCTCAAAAATACTACTAACATTGATTTACAGAGAGAAACATGGATTAAATGTTACTTGAAAAATCATTCTTAGTTTTATTTGAGAGGTTCTGCCTTAAATGATCATTAAATACTGGTGGAAGACAATACAAACTGGCCTTTGAGAGTCACTAAAAGGTGACAAAAGCCACTGTGTATGTGCAGGAGAATGGTGTAGGGACCATTCACTGTGAGTTTAAAATCACTTCACTGAACAGCTTACAGAGCAAACATACATGTAGCACCAAATTTTTTTACTAATTGTCCTTAATCAGTAAAGAGATCCTTTCAAAGAGGAAAAAACTGGCAAAAATTAAATGCCTCAAAAACATTATTATCTTCAATACAATTTTTTAAAAATCTGGGTTGGGGTTGGGGTTGGGGTTGTGTTTCATTTTTTTTTTGTGGTGTCCATCATTCTGGGCATTAATGTATTACATGCTGATGTACCTCAAAGATTTAATGGCATTCAATTAAATGTCTAATATAAGAGTGTGCTGTTACTCAACTATTGGTAAAAGATATATTTGTCTCTGTTGAACCCTTTCACTCCCATGAGTGACCATGCTTGAGCAGCAACCATTAAATGGAGAGAGAATATTTTTTAAGGGTTTTCATCTATTAACCATTCAATGTTCTACCAAAGCAGAGAAAATGAGCAATTGGCAAAATACAACTCCCACAAAACGTTCATGCTGCATCGTAAGCAAACAAAATTAATTCTCATTAATAAGTTTAAATTGCTCTTAATTATTTAAAGTTCTTGTCCTTGCCTTGATAATTCTATTACAAACTCTTACATATTCTTAACAGACATAATAAAGGAAACAGAAAAGTATTTACACTGCTCTTTCCACCAAAGAAACAGCCTCTGTTACATTTTTCATTTCCTTTAGTACTGAAGCAGCTTGTTCTAAAGCCCTATTAAGTAGAATAAAGAAAAATACCAGTCAGTTCCTTTAAATAATTAGGATAAAGCGTTTTAAAGAATTCAATCAATTTGGCTGTGGAGAACTCTCTATGGGCAAGAGAGAGCAAAGAGGAGCAAGGATATCTTATAACATCTCTGTAGAATTTACCAAATATTCACTGGTGCTAAGTACCCCCAAATCAGCTGCACTCATGAAACCAGGCTAGCTTTAAGAGTATATGTTTAAAAGCATAAAAAGCTTGCTTGTATATTTTTTTCAACAAAATAAATTACCAGTATTACTGTGAGAGCAACTCTGAATCTTAGATGTGTGGAATAACTTTCCCAAATGAAAAGCAAACAAAACTTTTGAGTTGGGTAGCTTTGCCTAACTCTTTAACCCCTATGAGTGACTATAGCAATTACTTTCTCCTTATAATATCAAATCACAAATCAAAGGCATAAGAATAAAGGAAATGATCAGAAACTAAATATTAAGCTCTTGATTTTTCACCAAATTCTCCTTGTCATCACCTTAAGAAATGTGTAGAGGGCAGTACAGAGAATATGCACATTGATGTGAGGATGCAAAGGATTCAACAACAGGCACAGTCAAACATCTGTACATCTAAACAGTTGCAAAATTCAGGCTCCTGAAAATCCTTCCACTATGTTTGCTTCAGCCTTTAACTCCCAGAAGTGATTAACATCTACATGTAACTTCTCCCTAAAATATCCATTCATTATCCCCCAAACAAGTGGAGAATAACCCCAAATCATCAGGTCGAAGTTATTACCTAGATCTAAAACCAAACTCTTGTAAGTAATTTACAAGCCTATAGGACATATCTTGCAGCTGGAGGGGAGATTAAAAATCAAATCTTGACAGTTAAAGGTTAAATGATTGCTACCAATCTGCATCCACTTACTTTGCTGCATGGAACAAGCTAAAATATGAGACACATGTTAAGAAAAACAGAAATACTGCATCTATCATAGACCAGTTTAAAAAGGATACAATTCATGTAACTTGAGGATTTTAATGTGAAATTTGTATATCTAGCTCTGGTTACCTCTTAATAGTTACAGCAACTGTAACAATAAATGTTTCTTACATGATTACAGCTGTATTCAGAATTATTGGATACCTTTAGGTATGTCTTATCAGGGAGGATGCAGTTTGTCAGATATATCAGTCTAGAAATCCCTGAAAGCTTAACTCTTTACACCCTAACATCAACATGCATATTCTCCATACTGTTGTCTATACATTTTCTAATCATGTGCTGGCCAGGAGAATTTGTTTAACAATCAAGAGGATCTTCAGTTGATTATCATTTCCTTTATTCTCATGTTTGATTAAGGGTGATATTGAAAGGAGAAATTAGATGCTAGTCTCTCTCAGAGATTAAAGGTTAAATAACAGCATGTATCCTCACTGTGAAGCCAACTTTGTGGAAATCTGAGATCTGGAAATGCTTATTTGACTTCAAATAAATTCTTTTATCCCCCCCCCCATCCTAAATTTGCTTCAGAGTCATAACATACTTGCTTCAAACTATCTTCAAAAATGGACAACTGTGAACAGATGCAAAAATTCTTTTTAAATCAACATAAATTCACAAGAGCACAACAATTCTTGAACACTATTCTTGACATTAAAATGCAACAGATGTTTCTCCCCTGTAATTCAATGTTTTATCACTGCTATACCCTCTAGTTGATTAATTTCTCAATTCTCTGAACATGCCTGCTTGAAAATGAGTCACAGGGAGAATTTACTTAAAGGTGAAGGAGATAAAGTGTGAGTCGATGGATTGGCTCTGATAGTAAAGGATACGCATTGGAATTAGAGTGGGCATCAGCAGCTTTCTTGAATGCATCAGCAGCTCTGTCATAAGATTTGGCAGTTTTGAAACATGTTCCTATAAGAACACAAAATATTAAATCAAATTAGCAAGCATCAAACTCTGTCAAATCAAAGAAATTTTTGTCAGTGGTTTCAATCTTGCACATACCTGATAAAGAAATGCAAAGATTGCTAAAAATTTATAACAAAGTGGAAGGGATGCAGGGAAATGTGTTGCTCATAAATTTTGGGAGTTTATTACTTCAACATGATCTCATTTTACCAGAAAGGTCAAAATAATGTATTTAATATGAGACCAGAACACACTCTGTAGTGTCCTGGTTTCTTCACATTGGCTACAACAGAGTAAATATAAACATAAGAGACAAACAACAGAGTAATAATGCTTGAGCTTAATAAAAAAAATCCTGAGAAACTAGTGTTTAGCATGCTACCAACTTTTCATTTATCTCTTCACCATACACTTTCTTTCTAAGGAGTAAATAAGTATCTTTCACAGACACACACTGTAATCTGATGACTCATGACTTAGGTCATATTTCAACATTCTACCAGAAGAGAAACTTCCACAAATAAAATAGTAAATCCATCAATCTCATTATTCTACTATTATGTTATTTTACCATATAAGGGCAATGGAATGTGCAAAATGTTCCAGGGTAATACACTGTAGAACAGGGGAAAGAAAAATGGACAGAAACTAAGCATGCAATAATTGATTTCTTTTCCCTATTTTAGATGTGATTTTTTTAGCAACAAACTCTATAGCCCATAAGTATTTTTTGGGTCATCAACAACACTTATTTTATACATGGTTTCTTGTGTGTTGTTTTCTTCTTTCACGCACACCTTATGTGATCAGTACAATGGTCAGATGAGACCATATGAAGTTTGAAAAATAGAAGCCAAAAGACTAGAAAATGAGATAATATAGGAATAATAAACCCCTTATTCCATGGTTTTACATGTAATACAAGTAGACATTTTCATTGCTCACTGCTTGTACTTTTCCTCTTACCAAGGGGCTTGGAAAAAATACTGCCTAACTCACACATTATCAACATACATTATGTCTTAAATCATTGAATAAGGTGCATATATACTATGTAAACTCCTAAAGAATCTGCACTGTTATAAATATGTTTAACCATTGCACAACAACAGGGATCTATTCAATTATCATATATCAACATAACTAACCTGGAAAATATTATTTGGTAGCATCAGAAATACTCAAGATAGGGCAAGATCAAAAATAAATTGAATCATGAATAAGATTAAACTAACTAATTCATTGATTAACAACTTTTAATGACAAAAGCCTTGAGACAACTGATATATTTCAATATACTGGGCAAATTTTACTCCTTGCCATTTTTTAAATACTATGCCTTGAAATAAAGAAATGTTGTATTTTTTATCTCTAGGAACTTGCTTCATTTAACAACAAATAGGATAAGCAAGGAATCATTCCACCTGGTTCTTCAATCAACTGTCTTCAAGACCTTTGCCAGTAGTTTTGCTAGGTAAAAGCAAGGAATGGTACATGTCGTTCAACCCTTCAATACTGTTGATGTAAAAGACTGTAACTCCTCTTAGACGAAAGACTGCCTTGTCATTCTAAGATAAAAAAATCATCTTGTTTACCTACAAAAGAGGAAAGTACTCACCAGCTTTCATGTATTTATCTGCTGCACTGTCCCAGTCAGGTTTCCATTTTAACCAACTGGTCTTTTCACTACAACATATTCCAGATATGAAATTTTAGGTTGACAAGATCTTTCTGTCTGTCCCATTACAGATCTTAGAGTAGGGATAGGAGATTTTATTGCTAATTTGACAATATATCAAAGGTCCTTGAGTGTTGAAGAGTCTCTACTACCACAATTACCATGCAAAACAGAATGGTGAAAATGCAGCTTCCCAAATGCACCAAGTGTTTTACTTGCCTGTTGGCACCACGGTCTCTTTGCAAAGATGATCGAAGTCTTACTGAACAATTTGCCAACTTAATTATAATTAATGGCTAGAAATATATGAAAATCATATATGTGCACTACGGTGAAGAAATGAGATATAAGCAATCCTTGCAGCTTTGAACATTACTGAACTAATAGTTGAAATGAGACCTGAAAAAATTCAGGTCTGTATGGGATTTGAACCCATGACATCTGCGATACCGGTGCAGTGCTCTACCAACTGAGCTAACAAGCCAACTGGGAGCTGGTCATAATGTTGGATCCAAATAAACCTTCCAAGTGGTGAATAATGACTGGAAATATAAATAATATATATATATATATTTTTTTTTTTTTTCAGGTCTCATTTCAACTACTAATTCAGAAGTGTTCATAGCTGCAAGGATCGCTTATATCTCATTTCTTCACTGCAGTGCACATATATGATTTTCATATATTTCCTGTCATTATTCACCACTTGGAAGGTTTATTTGGATCCAACATTATGACCAGCTCCCAGTTGGCTTGTTAGCTCAGTTGGTAGAGCACTGCACCGGTATCGCACAGGTCATATGTTCAAATCCCGTACGGGCCTGAGGTCTCATTTCAACAACTAGTTCAGTAATGTTCATAGCTGCGAGGATCGCGTATATCTTATTAATTGTAATTTTTAAACTGATGGTATTGAAATTGACTTTCTCGGTTTCTGGTATAATTTAATTAGTTATTTTTAAATTAGACTGACTATAAATTGAGTAAGAAAAAATATTTTTCGTCTCCTTGTCTAAAATCCATCCATCTCAATCATGAATACTTGGACCGATGCATTTCCGACAATTCAATATTTTAGGGGAGCGAAAACAAGGTGAAAGCTTAAATCACAGAAATAACAGATTCACCCTGTTTATCATATCCTTTCAATAAAAAAGGGATCACTCACAATTTTTCGGCCTCTTTTAACAACCGAAGACCTTCTTGCAGTTTTCTTTCCTGCAAAGCCGCCATATTGATTCTTTCGCTAAACCGCTGGCTATTGAGTTTGCATGCTTGCCCTCTTTCTAGGGGGTTGGGGAGGGGAACTTGCAGTAGGTTAAAACTTCGGAAGGGCTTTCGTGGGTTCCAAACGAGAACTAAGGTGTTTATTAGAGAGATTTAGAAGTCTTCTATTGCATAGAGGGGTGATTTTCTGAGCTGGAGAGAGAGGGTTTCAGCTTGTCAGAGAATTCACAGCTAAGAAGCCAGCGATTCTTTCAGACTTTTTTTTTTGGTTCCTTTTTCTCGTTTGCTTTTCACAAAAATTGTGTTATTAAAGTGGGTAAGCAAGGTAGATTAACAAAAGTGAAAAACAATCGCTGAAGGTGTCTTCGATTCGCAAAGGATTAAAGACATCAAACTGAGCTGCCTTTGTCTCTTCGCTCCAGGGTATGCTTAGGTGTTTTATTTCGGTAAGTTTAACATAAGTAAGCTGAGTATTTTTGTCAACAAACCCGTGTTTACAGCTTAAGAATATTGTAAATTCAGAGCCGTTCCAAGGCAAGCAGTCGACTCAAAGAATCATGGAAGCTTTAAACCTTTTTGTCGACATGCAAGACCACAACAAAACGCGTACATTTTTCGTGACAAGTATTTGCGACGTGCATCTTTGCGAAGAAAAAAATTCCCTTTCTGAGTCAACTAATTGGGACAGTTACTATGGCACCTTGGTAATTTCGTGACATACGAAGATTTTGACCAATTGCTGTTCGTTTCAGTTGTCCTGGGAATATTTAGTACAAAGAGACGCTCACCAGCTGCTTGCTTTCACAAGACTACCTAATCCAACAGTATTTCCTGGGAGGAACCTCTTCTTGATTTTTCCTTTCATTGCTAAACGTAAACGAAAAATGTCCGACGAAGAACTAAAGACGGTGTTTAAATCTTTCTGTGCTTTTGGGGCAGGGAGTAAAGACGCTCAACCTGAGATGGACAACGCAAAATTTGCAAAACTTTTTCGTGATCTAAAATTATACGACAAAAAATTTACCTCCACAGACACAGATATTATTTTCAACCGACCCGAAGTCAAAAAGTAAGAACGAAGTCCATCCTTTTTTTCAACAAAAAAAATATGTCACTTCTTGCTTTTGTTAACGTTTAACTATCCTCTTGCAGCAAGACGGAGCGGAAAATTCGCTTTGAAGGTTTCAAGAAAGCTCTGGAATTGTGTGCAGAGAAGAAGTACGGAAACAAAGACGATGTGCAGAAGTTGATCGACAAGATATGCGGTGGAAAAGGTCCAGCAACCGTCGGAGCTACGGTAAGATAATGTGAATTGTTTTATTTATCAACAGATACGGTTTTGCAATTTACTTACTTCAGGTACGAGACTAATTGTGATAACTCATTTTCTTTTTGAACTACACATCACAAGATATTTCTGACATCCCCTTCCTCGTGCTCCTTACGTAGGTTATAAAGTGAGATAACCATTTTCTTCTCTAGTCGCGTCGATAATGATTATGTTAGTAAGTGCCCTCGGATTTCCATCGAACGTTCTCGATTGGTTTCTTTATGTCCTCAAGTAATCATAATTAATTCAAATTCCTGGGTTACAATGTACTATTTAGCCAACATGGATAGCTGATAATTAAAGAAACTTACATATGAGAATCTGTATCAATATTTCGATCATATTGAAAATTTTCCTCAAATCGTTAGTAATATTTGTATTGATGTAGCTCTACATCTCCAAGAATTATCGTTGTCAGACTTGAAAAGGCTATCATTGTCGTTTGTAAATATTTGTCAAACTTTTCTTGAGGAGCGAACCATGGATGGTTTCGGTTTCAAGAATCTTTCAAGGTTGAAGAGATGCAAAATAATTTTCTCCTTGCATTTTTGAAAAATCCTATACCAAACGGTTTTTGATGCTTTGATGGGGGGTGGCACACCACTTGTGGGAAATTTTATCTAGCGGTCTGCTGCTAAGGATTTTAAAGCCTAGCATTGAAAGTATTTCAAGTATTTCATTCAGTGTGCTACTCCCACTAACCACACAGAATGTTTGGAATTGGATTTCAAAAGTTGCCCAAAACCAAACTTTTGTTGGAAATGGAGATGAATACTGCAAGCCTCCAGGTTTACACCCTTTTCAAGGCTTCTGGTTCACCAAGATACCCTATGCAAGAGGTTGAATAGGGAAGGGCTCAAGACCCTGATAACCAGACTGCAAATATCAACTCCTTTTAAATAACTGACTTGCGTTCTGTTATTGTTTGCAGAAACAAAGCAAGACAGGTGGAGTTGATAGAATGACTGACACCTCAAAATACACTGGATCACACAAAGAACGTTTTGATGAGGGTGGAAAAGGCAAGGGAATAGAGGGTCGCGTAGACAGGGATGAAAAAGCTGCTGAAGGCTATGTAGGGGGTTATAAAGGAAAAGATACTTATGATAAGAAACATTAGAGCAGAAGTTGTAACACAGGCTCTTTTATACCATAGTGTGTGTGCTTGATTCACTTTTAGAAGTTTATGTTTGACATTATAAAATGTAAACAACGTAGAAACATTGATATTTTATCAGGATTGTGTGTTACCACTGGAGTGATCAGATTAATTTGTTTGGATTAGCCTTACTGACAGGGTCTTCTCTAATTAACCATGTGAAATTATTCGGTAGTTGGGAGCTTAATTTATTTGCAATATAGGGCAACAACCCTGGCAATTTTTAATAATATAAATTTTAAATCAAAGCAGCAAATGAAGTTAACAGATCTTACATGCAGTTTGAAGCAGAGTTTCTAATTTAAATGCTCATAAGGATGTGATAAATTGTTGCATGCTTCCTTGTATCAAAACGACAAAAAAGTAGTACAAGCATGATAGGTTGTGTGAAATTATTCAGTGGTTGGTAACTTCAGTGGTTGGTAACTTCAGTGGTTATGTGAAATTATTCAGTAGTTGGTAACTTATTTTATTTGCAATGTTGGACAGTGACTTTGCAAATTTTTATTCATTAAAATTTTAAATAAAAGCAGCAAATAAAGTGAACAGATCGTACATGCAGTTTGAAGTAGAGTTTCTAATTAAAATGTTCATAAGGATGTGATAAATTGTTCCCCACTACCTTGTATCAAAACTATAAAAAAAAAAGTAACAAGCATGGTTGGTTATCAGCACCCCAGTTTAAATGTTTAATTTGTGTCATTGTGTGAGGGGAGAAGAAATAACAGAGGGGGCTTCAAATCTTGGAAAAAAAGTTTTTGAATAGAAACCAAAAGAAATTAAAATTGAAGTCTTGAGCAAGTTTCTATATTTTGGTTGCTTCATCACACATTTGGGGGCCTAAAGCCATTAACATTGTAAACAGAAAATACTTTGAATCCTCACCAATACTTTTAGCAGCTGTAGTGTGAACACTATCCACTAAATTAGACATATGTACATCCAAGAGTTGTTGGTGACAGTCTGGTGGAATCTCCCTGAGTGACAACCAGACCAAGGAGTCTAAGAATGAGTGATGCAAATAACCCACACCATTGCATGTGAGTTGTTCCAACAGAATGAAACCAAACTCCTGTCTAGGATGCCTATTAACTCTTTCTTCCAAAAGGGTGGTGCTCTCTCAAGGTTGGGTGCTTTAGCAAATAAATATGTTGTGACAACTGACTGGAGTGATCCTTATAAAGAAAAACAAATGAAACTAAGAAATAAGTTATCAAGACCAAACATCTTCCCTGTATACAATTTTTTGATCAGTTCATGCCAAGAGACCTCCAAGCACAAATTCTTAAACCATAACAGGCATCTGCCTGACCTATCTCCATAGTACCTTTGAACTCTGAAGTTCTAAAGATGGTAATTATAACAACAACAAAAAAATAAAAATAGTGAAAATATCACCACTAAAAACTTACAGATACTTTATTGTAATATACTGTATGCATACACACTGGTTTGACATGATTGTTTTACAAGCAGGGATGGCAAACTAGCATCTGAGAATCAGGCTGACCTACTGATGATTGGAAATAATAAATAAAAATTAATGTGGGTAGGTATGTACAGCCCCCAGGCACAGAAAGATATAAAGACAGTGATTATAATAATGGAGTGTTTACTAGGTTAACATGCACATAATGCCTGAAAATATGAAGTCCTGTACAATCAAATAGAATTGTAATGAAAACGTTTTACATTTCAAGCTTTTAATTTAGGACATGAGTTTAGACTTTCATTACAAGTTACAGTTCATAGGGTCTTCATAAAGTTTTAGACACTCATTTAGAAATACTAAGCAAAAATTGACACATGAACTTCACATTAAAATGCTATGTAATATTTCTTCGCTTCATTAAATATGTTATTTTGCAAGCAAACATCTTAGTTTCTATATGAAGGTTATCTAAGGAAGAGATATCTGTTGTAGAACAATAGGCTCCAGTGATTGTCTTAATGTTACTTGACACTATTTGGTAACCAGTCGATAGTCTTTTTAAGATTATCATAGCTCCAGTGCATCTGGTGAACTTCATGTTGATGGCGCTGCCGTGCCTCATCCAGTTCCCGCAGCAAATGGTCATTTGTAGATACTAGTGATCTGGGTGAATCAAAAGAAGAAGAAATACTTTAACAAACTTGACTCAGATCATGAACCCATGACCCATTTTCAATTTGTCAGTTAACACCTTTACATTAACTCATCCAAGTGGAAATGGCTGTGTATACTGTGGTAAGGATAAAAAATTGCAATGTTCAGTGGTGTATACAAATTTAGCATTTGTAGCTTTTAGACAGAGAGCTTCTTAAAGATGCATTTAGCCCTTTAACTCCAATGGCCAAGAAAGAATATCTCCTCACAATGTCAATACAATACAATATCCCATTCAATACAATATCAAGCAGACAAGTGATAGGAAAAAAACCAAATTCTCCAAACCAACATCATAAGAAGTTTATAGCAGAAAGTAATAAGGAGAATTACTTTTGAGAGATTTTTTTTTATCAAGATTTCTAATTTCTTTGGCTGCTTGCAGTCAATTTTTCTCCAAACTCTTTACACCCTAACAATAGTATACATATTATCCATACTTTTCTCTTTACATTTCCTAGAAAAAATGACTGTGAGAATTTGTTTTATAATCAAGAGCTTCTTAAAGTGGTGATCATTTCCTTTATTCTCATAACCTTAGAGTTTGATTCATCAAAGCTTGTGAAAGGAAAATTAGATTCTACCCACTCTTTGGGGTTAGAAGATTAATATAGAGACAGAGTTCAGACCAGAACAGAAAAGAATGAACAAAGATGGTGACATCAGACGGGGTGTCAACCTCCTCCTCTACATGCACAATGACCAGCATTCACTGTGGGGTAGTGTTTTCTTTTTTTTCATTGGTACAGCCAGCAAAAAGTACTGCCCTAACATTTTTCCAAGGTGATTTGCACTAAGAAATTCATTCACTTTCTGCAACAAATATATCTTGAGTTGATCAATTTCACAAGTGTGCTGTACCTGTGGCTCTCTTGTAGCATGTTTGTGAGCTCCTGTAATTGCTCCAGATTAACATTTTGTTGTTGAACTTGTTGGCTAAGAGATTTAACTTGTTCCTGAAGTGAAAGATTTCTTTGTTGAAGCTCACCTATTGGAGAAACAATATCATGTCAAATCCATTTAAGCTTCCTCATCAGTTGGTCATAAACCAATTTGCTTGTTGCTGATAGAGGAAAAACTTGACATGCAGCCACAAGTGCTTATCTATTAAAAGATGTATGTATCTGGTGTAGTTAAAGTAGTTGGATTCTTAAAGCAGCATAGTGTCGCTTTATATCTGTTGTTAATGGTCAAGAACATTTTGTGACAGCTCTGGAACTGATTCTTTCTCCTTTGCTTTGATAATACATGAGGGACAAGCATGGTGAACTATTCAGTCAGGTTCTGGATTGCAGGTGATTGAAAGCAGGATTGCATCACAACATGGTTGACCCCAGAAAGAAGCATGCATTTACATATGATGACAATTTATACTTGTTACCTGGAAGTATTCTCCCTAACTTTTCACTCCCAAGATTTACCTATAAATCTTCCTTACCGTCTGCTATACATTTCTCATTACTTCAGTTCTGAGAATTTTGTGTCAAATCAAACAATTTTCATTTGTTGATATTTTTTCTCTATTCTTGTAACTGTTTTGTTTGAAAATATATGGACATTATTAGGAGAAACTACTGCTTGCTTACTGAGTAAGCAAACAGTAAATTATCAGTGGAGGATACGAAGGGATTTAAATAACTTTCTTCAAATCAAGGTGGCTGTTATTACATAAAATCCCCTCAAGTAGCAGAAAATCACCTTACAAAGCTTTGTATACAGTTGTAGATTGATAGTAGTCTGCTTAGTAGTGATTGGAGGGTTTTGATCAAGTTTGTTTGTGGTAAGATGCCCCTCTATTTAAGACTGATGGTAACACAATGAAACACAGCTGCAGCTGTGGCAATGAACATCAGAGTTTGCATTTATTGGGAGACATGCTTATACCAAATTGTACTCTTTCACTTGAAAGCATTACATTACTGATGTATACCATATATGAGATAATGATTGCAGTTTATTGTCAGTATGTATCAAGAGGTTACAAAGAGATTCTTACATTACCTATAAGTTTTTCTTGCTCTGAAGCACCATGTGAGGCAACCTCTAGGGCAGTTATTTTAGATTGTAGGGCACTATTCTCCTCCTGAAACTCTAGAAGTCTTGATCTCACAGAGGCCTAAACAGAAAGTGAAATTTAAGAATCTTTGCAAGATACTTTTTATTCAAGGCTATGAGCCCTAATATAGTACACTGAAGTTTTCATTTGGAACCAAAAAATGATTAACATGATAAAAGTTTTAATTGTTTTTTGTAAATATGTACTCACTTAATAAGTGCTAGAGAGACAAACTTAAATGTTTTCTATCTTATTTGTTGAGGAAGTGGCTCAAGTAATCTATAAAAATCACAAATTGTAATTATAACTTGAAACCAAGTATATTCACAGTTTATTTGTAACACTCCAATGTAATTCATTGCTGCAGTTTATGGATAAATTAATTACAGAGTAAGCATTCCCAACAAAATAGACAACAAACAAACCAGTTCGTATGAAGCAGCATCAAGTGAATCCTTTAATCCTTGGTGGCTTTTTAGCTTGTTATGCAATTGTTCCATGTCAGTCTGTTGTTGTGACATTTGGTCACGTAGTCTTGATATTTCTGCTGTTCTTTCCTTCAGTTCTTTTCGTACTTTATCATTATCATGTGACGGTGTCAAATGAGCTCTTTCCATGGAAGGTGGTAAGTAGGAAGAAAGAAGTTTTTGAGCAAGACCTGCAAATTGCAAAAAAGGTAGAGACTGTGAAAATTTTGCAACAAAAACATTCAATGAACATTTTGTCATTGATACACTATAATTCTCTCATAATACACTTAAGCCAACAACTAGCAGTAAAACCGTGCAGAATAATCAACACTGCAGGCTAGCTTTTGGCTTTTTAATATGTTTCTAGGTTTTAACGAGACTCAATTTCTGTTTAAAGGAAAACTCTGTATTTGACAACCTTTGAACTAATTCTTAATTGTTAGTTTTTCTTTCCCTTGGATATTCAAGAAAATGATTTTATCTTTAAATTATACCCATTACTTGTTTCCTCTGGTGAGAACTATAATACCAACACAAATGTTAAGTCTTCTTTAGTGTTGAACTCACTCTGAAACTTTGAATGATGATGAAGTGATTTGGATCCATTCCAGTACCTGTGTAAACAGTGAAAATATAACAAATTACCTACACTGTCTCACATAATATAAAACTAATGGGTGCTACTCATAACCAAAAGAGTAGTTTAAATTATGTGTTTACATAGCATCATCTAAACAAAGGGGTTGTTGGAAGAATTAAGTAAAGTTATGCAACCTCTAACTTTCATAACTTTTAAGATTTCTGCCACCCTCCCTCCCCCCTTTTAATGTGTCTTTAGGTGGGGCTAACTAAATGTATGTAAACATGGAAAAAGTACTTAATCACATATAATGCAAAGGAATCCTGCAAGATTACCATTTCACCCAATCCTTGAGGTTGCTTCCCTCACAAAATAAAGGCAATATGCCTCAAATAAAATTGCCATAGGCTGTAACCCTTACTTGTCCACTAAGTCAAGAAGTTTGTTTAAGAGTTCTTCTTGATCTAAAGAACCTGATGAGTCCGTAATATCCTGTAAAAATCAAAGAGAGTAAGGATATCCATTATAAAAATTATGTAGTTGTCACCTAAAAGCAGTTACACAGCAGAAGAATGCCACTGACAGAACACTGTGTGTTGACAATTTAGGTACATGCTCAGTGATTAACTTCAACACTAAAACAGTTAAATCTGTGGGACACATGTTATGAAAGAAATGATTCAGTTATTAAATTACATTGTAGTATTGTTATTCAAAGGGCCCATGTCTTATATGCAGTTATCATAGTACTTACAGCGTATCTCAAGATCCTTGTACAGCAAGTTTTTACCACTTTAAACATCAATTTATCCCCAAAAAAGTTCCTTAGATAAATATCTCCTTCAGACAAATCTACAGATCTGTGCTCATATGTTAATTAAAATGAAAGGAACAAAGACTTTCTAAACTTCCTCCATTGTATAGGGCTGGCCCATACAAAAAGTAAAAGTATGCATGTGGTACTGTTCCTTCCAAATTAAGCATGGTAATCTGAACACACCATTCTGTTAGTGATAAGAACTGCAGTATAGATATATTCTGCCAGTTCTATATTGAGTAAATTCCTTTACTGAATTCCATGTCATAGTATTTTACACACATTAAAGAAACCTTTATGAGTAATAAACACTTGTAAATTTTTAAACTGAGCAGTCTGGTATGTGCCCAACATAGGCCATCTTCATCAATCTAATGTACATGTTGTGGTTCAGATGTTTTCCCTCATAAAAAATTTTCAAATTGAAACCAGTTTACCATTTACTCATACTTGTTGGAAAAATGTTTGTGTAGGAAAACATTTGAAGATGGTATTTGAGAATAAAAACAACATGGTTTCTGTATGCAACGAACCCATGCTACTATTAGTACAATACTTACCGTTTTTGTTGAGTTTGCAAAAGAGTCATGTGTTGGCATCTCTCTTTTGTTGCTTATATCATCTCCTGGACCCAACTTGTCCGCAAGAGGTCCTTGAGATTGTTTAGGAGATGGTTGTAGTCTTCTAGAGGGTGACAGTTCATATGACCTTGCTGACAATGGTATACTCACATCTTGTCCTCTTTCTTGTGATCTGGGAAAGTCACCCTTGACAGACCTGTCAGATATAGGGTCTTCTAGGGCATGTCTTAGATCATGTGACCAAGTGTTCCCACTGGGTGTTGTATTATGATTTGTTGCCCTTGGATTTGGTGTGAAATGTCCTCTTGTAGATATTGTTGTGTAAGCATTTGTTTCATCTGTGTATCTTAGATTTGGATCATCAGATGGTCTCATTTTATCATCTGCAAAGTGAACATACACTCTATCCTTGTGTGGTCTATAATCCTGAGAAGAGTCTCTTAGATCTGTCTTGTGTCTAGTAGGTCCTGCCATTGATGGAAGCATCTTGTGGAGTTCTACAGATTGAAATAGAGAAAAATGAGCAGATTGAAATACAAGATTTGTTTTTTAAAACTTCCCTTGTAAACAATTTTTTGCATCAGAGGTAAACTACCCTATGCAGTCACATGGTTGATGTGGACTTTTATCATGATGATTTTAAGTAACAGTTACCTTGACTGAGTGAGCTCAAAAAGAAATTGCCAGTAACCATGGATTGAAGCTAAGTCAAAGTGACGAGAAACTGGGAAAGAGTCATAGCAAAGGGTCAAAATTTTACAGCTGTCCTAAATTACATTTACATTAAACTAGAACTTCAATACAAATTGCCAGCAGTTGTTTAATTTGAAAGTACAGCCCAGATTATCTTAACATTTTAATCTCAAATAAACTTTTATGCATCCCATAAGACAAATTTATTTGCAATGTGTCATTTTCCTATATTAAAAACCATTTGAAACAGAAATATGAACATGAAGACTTGAAATTGTTTGTCACTTCCCTGTTGGGCTATTGGGGTGTTTCATATGGTGCTTATTCAGACTGTATTGCATTTACTTTCATTGCAATTTTCAGCCACTTTCAAAATTCTCCATTAACCTCACTCTGATTCCATGATTTTCCAGGTTTTTACTGACCTTTGTGAAACCAACATTTTTGCAAATATTATCAGGCATTGACCTAATTGACATTGTTATTTGGAAACCAACCAACCATCTCTAGTATAATCTTCAGTATCAGGTACCCTAGCTGCTGAGCCAGAGATCGCTTTTGGCTGTTTTAAATCTCCACCAGTGCGTGTGATAAGATCAAGGACTGCCACATCGTCTTCCTCTAGCACTTAAAATAATGAAATATTAGTCAGAGGATGTTGTGCCCACAGAGGTAAACACAAAAGGAAATTTTATAGGAACCCCAATTATTTTGAAACATGGCCAGACCTCAACAGCAGGGGCTAAGTTATATCGCCATCATTTGAGATTTGCAGATGTTATAGCAAAGTCAGCACATTCTCCTCAGATGTGTTAAGACCCTGAGTGTTGATTCAATCTGGGGATTGAACCTACAACCTGAGCTATAACCAGGCTGCAGTTTTCAATGAACACACCATTTTGAGGAAAAGGGACTCTCAAATGCCCAATAACATTTTAATAGGAAAGATGAAACTGAAACAGATTCTTTTGTAGGGTAGCTAAGGTTCCAACTAGAAGCCTTGGTTTGAAGGGAACAGGTACAAGATTTCAGGAGCAAAAAGTCTACATTCAAACTCCTGGCCCTCACCAGGTCGCTCAATTGTGTTCTTGGGAAAAATGCTTGAATCTCAGAGTCTCTCTCCACCCAGGAAATGAAATGAGTGCTACAGAGCTTGAAGAGAAAACTTATTCAATACTGGGATGTGTATCAGGGAAATGTTCATAAGCTCTAGCATTGTGGGCCTTGTGGCTTGAGGGCAGACTTCACAGCACCTTTTCTGATAAGACTTATTGAATATTCTGCACTTGCTGATTGACCAGATTGATTAAATCTAAGTCAATCAATGAGAATAGATTGTACCTGATGGACGAGGAGCAAGCTTATGAATCATATCAGATCTAGGCAAGGGTACCCTGGGAAATGAAAAAATAAAAAATAATGGTCAGTTACAATTCCATATATATTCTAAATCTGAGAGGGGACAATTGCCAACACTAATAAGTCAGTAAACTTTCCATAACATCAACAAAAGATTGTCTCTGGGACAATGATGTCCTTCAACAATTATGTTTAAAGTTGTCATTAACAAATAGCCACTGACAGGGATTGCAAATGGGAGTATAAAACATCACCACTTTAAAAGTAAAATTCATGCAAAAAACTTAGAGGACAAAATAAAAGAAAATTCAAGATTAAAATGCAATTATATTGTTAGGTACCTCTCTGAAGGTCTTTCAGATTTTGGTGAAGAATGGCGATCAAATTCTGATGCCTTAAGATGAAGAGGCATATTTAATTACATCAAAATCACTTTCAATAGAGTTCCTTTAGTCTAGTAATATAATAGTGATACTGAAAAACTTGATTATGCATAACAAACTAAGTGTCTGAATGCAAATAAAGTACTCTTAGGATTAACCCCTACCTAGGGGAAAACAGTTGGTGTGTTTAAATATTCTAAAGAAGATGGAAAAAATTTCTCATAAGCAAGGGACCAAGAAAAATCTGAGTGTCCTATGATTCTGAGTATTCCTAACTAAGATCTGAGTTCACAGAGAGATGCTCTGACAGAGCTACAGAAAACTTGTTGGTGAGAATACACAATGTGACAGTTACATTCACAGGCATTCATTCTGCATGGTTTCAAAATCAAATAATTTAAAGTAGTCTTTGTGGACTTAAGACATAATAATTTACCTGAATATTGTTGTAAATGTATTGTTTGGGAATACCTGATCAGATGTAAAGTGCATTATGGCTGCTCTTCTTTCGCTATCCCTCACAGATCTATCATCTAAAATACCAAGGAGAAATGATGTAAATAAGAATATTTCTAAGTATATAAAACGATGCATTCTAATTGCTGTAATACTATTTTCCATTACTACATGCTGGTGTGAATGAAATATCTCAATTTCTTTTGTTTCTGAAATATGATATCTTCCCAAGAGGGCTATCAGAGGTCAAACAGTAGCTGAGGCAGTTGATACCCTAATTTGTCACCTTAAGGTTGTGGCAAAAGAAGAAGTCAGGCTGAGGCCAACCCCACAGAGGTCCATTCCCACCAGAGGCCTTTGATGAACAGCTTATTGTAACCCAGGCCAAATAGTAGTTCTTTGCCAGGTGCCAAGGGTCATGTTCCTCCTCTCCAGGATCAAGTGTCTAAATGGAGGGTCAGGGCCCGACAAGGACACCCTGTTGAAGGAACAATTTGTGGAGAACTTAGGGGATGCCAATTTGTGTTGCAATGTCAAGAGCTGGACCGGGGACCCGCCAGAATCCACATTCCAATGTGTCCACCTTGAGGTTCACAGGTACTTGGAGGAGGATCACATTCCAAGGCAGTTGGTGACATCAAGAGCAATCGAAGTAGAAGATGAGCTGGTGAGCAGCAAAGTGGCTGGCCTGGGGAAACAACCCAAATTCCTGTCTGACCTTATCTCTGGGCAGAATATACTTGCAGAAGAGATGAAGAAACAGTAAGAGACTCTGACGTCCTACATCAACTAGCAGCAGCAGGTGCTCAACCACCTACAGGACACCCTAAACCTCCTGCTAGCTACCTTGATACTGAAAAAATGACCCACCTGTTGTTTCTAGTATGGCCAGGATGGTCACTTTGTTTGTGACTGCATGTATCCAGGACCAGTCAGCAGTCAAGGGGTACAACCCACTCAAAAGAAGCCTATGGGAAACGGAACAACTCCATCACAGTGAGTCCAGTGGTGGAGGAGATCAACAGTGGCTCACCCCTTCCCAGGATTTTTGGTGGGACACCAACAACCAGAGCAAAGTTGGCAGGTGTGGAGGTCAAGTGCCTGGTCCACACTAGCTCCATGGTAATCCTGGTATCAGAAAATTTCTTTGAGGAGAAACTCAAGCCTATATGCAGTAGAGCTCAAGGCAAGGGTAAGTTGCTTACTCTTCTAGGAGCAAACAGCCTTGAGATTCCATATCTTGGTTACCTGGAGCTGGACATGCAAGTAGAAGGTGTGATAGTTCCTGATTGCAGAGTGCTGGTCCTCAAAGACACAGTGGCCACTATTCAGTATAGGAAGAGGATGCCTAGCGTCTTGAGGATGAATGTACTTGTAAAAATTTTGACATGGGCAGAGCTGCTGAAGATGAAGAGAGCTGCAGGTACTTCATGGAATTGTGACCATAAAAGCAAGCAAGTGGAGGCTGGTGAAGGTTGCTGGCAACAGTGCTGTTTGGGTCCCACCACACTCAGCATCAAACATTGATGTGACTGGTTTAGCCTTTGGCACAAGTGCAGTAGTGGAACCACTCAGCACCCCCTTAAAAGAGGATTCTAAGTCATGACCACACTGGTGGATGCTTCCAGGCCACGTTTTGTTGTGCTATCCCAGAAACAGGATGGTAAGCCCAGGGTCATCATTTATGCTAGCCAAGGCTTACATGGAGCCAAATGGAATATGCAGAACTACTCATCCATGAAGTTGGAGCTTCTATCACTAAAGTGTGCTGTAACAGAAAAGTTAAGAGAGTATCTGCTAGGATCCAAGTTAGTGGTTGACATCAATAACAACCCACTGACCTACCTGCAGTCCAAAAGCAAGTTCAAAGCAGATGAACAATGCTAAGCAGCTGAACAAGCAAGCTTTGATTTCAAGATAAAGTTCCATAACCTGGAGATCACACTAAAGAAAATACAACCTGCGTTGCTGAGATGCTAGCTACTGCAGCCAATACCACCACAATTCCTGAGACAATGCAGCTGGGATTCTGGATTGAAGAGCTGGGAGTGACAAGACCTGCAGACAAGCGCAATGAACAAGCAACCTCTCTCCCATCCATCCCAAGGGATCAGTTTGCTGCAATGCTTTATAAAGATGCTACATTAGCAAGACTGAAGTATTACCTGAACCTGGGGAAAAAGCCCAACTGAACAGAACATAAACAAGAGACCTGAGAAACTAGTGACTAGTGAGCGAGAAACCTTACATTTAGTCAGCCACCTGGACAGCATTGCAGAGAGAGGTGGTGTGCTACCTCAGAACCTGCATGACAATGATGGCCATGTGAAACAGCTCCTGGCAGTGCCAAGCAGCCTGCATGGTGAGGTCCTGAAGGCAGCTCACACTGACTTTCCCTGGTGAAAATCTTTCAAGGATCTTTAAGGATCTTACAAGATCTTCATGAGGACCTTTGAGGATCCTCTTGAGGATCTTCATGAGGATCTTCAAAATTCTTGTTAAGATCTTCAAGGATCCTTCATTTTCTTGCCAAGATCTTCAAGGATCTTTGATTTTCTTGCCAAGATCTTCAAGGATCTTTGATTTTCTTGCCAAGATCTTCAAGGATCTTTGATTTTCTTGCCAAGATCTTCAAGGATCTTTGATTTTCTTGCCAAGATCTTCGAGGATCTTTGACTTTCTTGCCAAGATCTTCGAGGATCTTTGACTTTCTTGCCAAGATCCTTGAAGATCTTGTCTGGATCTTCAAAGATCTTTACATGAACTTTGAAGATCCTTTAAAGATCTTTGAAAATTCTTTGAGGATCTTCCAAATTCTTGTTAAGATCTTGGAGGATCTCTCATTTTCTTGCCAAGATCTTCAAGGATCTTGTTGAAAATTTTGAAGATCCTTAAAGATCTTGGAGAGAAAATAAAAGATCCTTAAAGATCTTGGCAAGAAATTGAAAGATCTTTGAAGATCCTGGCAAAAAAAAGAAAGATCCTTGAAGATTTTGACGGCCAAATTAAAGATCTTTGCAAGAGATTTGAAGATCCTTAAAGATCTTGACAAGAATGTCAGTGATCCTTGAAGATCCTAGCAAGGAAATGGAAGATCGTTGAAGATCTTAGCAAGAATGTTATAGAACCTTCGAAATTTTGACAAGAAAATAAGCATACTTAAATCCTCATACTAAGTTAAAAAGAAAAATTGAACCAAACATAAAAAAATGAAGATAAAACTTTTTTTATTGCTAAACGAGAATTACCCATCCTTTTCTAGTAGGACTACTTCTACACTATTTCTGTTCAGATTTTAGGTTAGTACTAAGATTTTCATTTTCCAAAAAATCTGGCAACAGTCCAGCTCAAAGATAAAAAGACCAAAATATATGTGTTAAACTTGTCTAGGACTAGACTATGACCAGACTAAGACTACTCTTACAGAGGGGGTAAACATGAAAAAAAGGCAAACAAGAGTACTTCAATGACTATATTTCTGAACCATATTAACCTATATACCAAAGGAAAGCTTAGGAATCACACATACTGAATATAACTAATATGTTGCCCTAAACTAATTTGTTATTTGACATCAGATCAATTTGTCCACCACATGGTGTGAAAAACCAAGGTATACTTGAGAAAAGATAACTGCACAAAGATTGCATGAAATCAAGTGTTTTTAGTGTCAAAACAAAGTACTAGGGTCGTTCTTTTGGATGAGCTAAGGAACTTTTGGAGTCGTTTATATTATGGGCACAGTGCCCGTTCAAAGATCACCGAGATTATTGGGTGAGTTATTCCACAATATCTTACTTAAAATTCAGCTTATGGAGAAACTGTCAGCTTATCCAACTCAACTCAGTAAGAGGATACAGCCCTGAAAACTTCAGATTAATTGAACTAATACATCCTGAGGTACAAAATAAGTGTTTTCGGGAATTCATATGACAACCTCTAAAAGAGCTTTTTAAGTTGGTTACACAGAACCAAGTAAATTCACACCTTCTTCAGAAACATGTCCTTCAGTGAGCGTCGAGGAGAATCTCTCTAGATCGCTAAGCCTTTATCCTTGTCCCTGTAACACATCATTTGCATCCTCACTCTCCAAGAGCTCAGAGCAAGAATCATTAGGCGAGGATGGCATCTTCATTTTCTTTCCAGAAGTACCAATGAATTCTTTTCATTCAGCCTCAGAGTCAGTGCAATCGCGAGACCTGCTTGGAGTTTGATCGACGATTGCGGTTGTTTCTGTCTCTCTTTTCGCTTGTTTCTGAACTCCAGAAAACGCCTTTCCTTTACTTTTATTTCTGTGTACATTTTCCCCTTAGTTCCGACCACTGTCGATGATATTTACCGTAACAACGAGCTTCTTATGTTTTTATGCGACCGTTAAAAATCTCGGCGCGTATAAATTCCTATCCCATAATGCAAAACCCTATTTACTGTCATGTAAGTTGTCACAAAGTTTCCCTAAAGCCTAAAGCATGGCGTTGCTATGCGGTAACCTTCATTACACTTATTGCACAATAATTTTCCGCGAAAATTCCTTGTTGTGTTTAAATTATCCACATCAAATTCAAAAAGGATCCTTGCAAAGAGCTGTACAAAATCATGAAATGAATCTTTTAAAGATATTTGGAAGATCCTTTTCAATTCCTTGAGGATCTTGGAGGATTGTAGAACAGATCGTGCAAAGATCTTGACTAGGATCCTTGTAACTCCTGATCAAATTCTTAAGGATCTTAGCAAAGATCTTAGCAGGATCCCTGAAAGGTTCTTTTGAAGGTCTTTAAAAGATCCTCATTAAATCCTTGAGGATCCTGAAGGATCCTTGAAAAGATCCTGCAAAGATCTTGACTTAAGGATCCTTGTAAGATCCTGATCAAATTCTTAAGGATCCTGGCAAAGATCTTTACAGGATCCTTGAAAGGATCTTTTGTAGGTCTTTAAAAGATCCTCATTAAATCCTTGAGGATCTTGAAGGATCCTTGAAAAGATCTTGCAAAGATCTTGAGTAGGATCCTTGTAAGATCCTGATCAAATCCTTAAGGATCCTTGCAAAGATCTTAATAGGATCCTTGAAAGGATCTTTGGAAGGTCTTTAAAAGATCCTCATTAAATCCTTGAGGATCTTGAAAGATTCTCAAAAAGATCCTGCAAAGATCTTGACAAGGATCCTTGCAAGATCCTGATTAAATCCTTAAGGATCCTTACAAAGATCTTGAAAGGATCCTTGAAAGGATCTTTTGAGGGTCTTTGAAAGATCCTTGCTAAATCCTCGAGGATCTTGAAGGATCCTTAAAAAGAACTTTGCGAGGATCCTTATGAGGATCTTTGTAATATCCTTTGAGGATCTTTATCAAATCCTTGAGGATCTTAACGAACGTTTTTGCTTACAAAGATCTTTGAGGATCTTTTACAGATCCTTTAAAGATCTTTTAAAGATCCTTGTCCTTAAGGATCTTTGGCAGGTCTTTGTCAATCCTTGAAGATCCTCAAAGATCCTGTGAGGTTTTTCACCAGGGTTGGACACCAAGGACCAGAGAGAACCAAAAAAGTCATGCAACAGCATTGCTCGTGGCCAGGAATGTACATGGAAGTGAAACAATGGGTTTCAGAGTGTGAGTGGTTTGTAATAGCAAAAGGGCCCTAACTAACAGCCAGATCTCCCATGGGCAGTATTGTAGCAACCAAACCACTTGAAGTTCTGGAGATGGATTTTACCCAACTGGTGCCTGCAGAATTTGCTAATGATGCCTGATGTTTTCACCAAATTATTGTAGCCATCCCAATCAGAGATCAGAAAGTGCTTACTGTGGCCAAGGCCTTAGTCCAAGAATGGTTCTTGGTGTATGGAGTGCCACAGGGAATCCACTAGCACCAAGGTAGATCTTTTGAAGCTGATGTCATTAGAGTGCTATGCACTATCAACGGCATCAAGAAGTCCTGTACCATGCCATATCATCCAGGAGGCGATGGCCAGTGCCAAAGGTTCTATTGTACCCTGCACAGGCTGTTACAAACTCTACCTGCATAGAAGAAGAGGAGATGGCTTGAGCACCTGAGAGAACTTTGCTATGCCTACAACCCAACACTGCACACTAAAAGTGGGTACTTGCCATTCTATTTGATGTTTGGGAGAGACCTGTGACTCCAGTTGAGCGACTGGTGGACCTGGACAATGTTTAAAGTCAAGAGCAAACTGCCCAGATCACCAGACACCAAACAGAGCTCAGAAATGCACACCAAAGAGCAGCAGAGAGACTGATGAAGAAGTTAGAGCTATGTAAGCTGTAATATGACAACAACAGCAGAACCAAACCATTACACTTACAGGTTGGACAGCTAGTGCTCGTCAGAGACCGATGAAGATGAGGAAGGAACAAGATACAGGACTGATGGAACTATAGAGTGCATAAAGTGGTTCAGCAGTTGAACAATGGGGCCTAAGAGATTGAGCCAGCTGGTGGACAAGGTAGCACCAAGGTGGTAAATCGAGCTGAATTACAGGTGTGCAGAGTACACCTGCAAGACCAAGGAGACAGTAAGTTCTTCCAACTCAACATGCAGACCCTTCTGATGAAGACAGTCAACCAGGGCTTGCCATTGAATTTATGCTGGCACCACTCATTGGAGCAGAACCTCAAGTTCCAGGCAATGCCACAAGCATAGACAAACACTCTAGTGTGAGCACAGCTGATGAATCAGAGATTGATGACAGGCTACCTGTGGGACCTGTTAGGCCTTCTATGAGAACAACAGCTGGACATTACAGTAAGTGTTACTGATTACCAACATCTGTAATAGGGAGTAAGCTAGTAGTGTTTAGCTGACAAGAGTTATGACAGGCAAAACGGAGGAGGGGGGGGGAATAGTGTGACAGTCGCTAGAGAGATAGTAATTTCTCAGAGTAACTACATATATGGGAACATGTAGTTTTACTATTTTGTTTTGTAATAAGGAATTCTCTGTTATGATGCTGCTATTGTTCATTCCATGCTGCCATCTCACTGCAGTGAACATTTTCATCTCAATCCTGCTGGGTTGACTCCAAGTTACTCTTGTTCATTGCCAACTGATGGACAAGTTATAGCTCTTGCAACATTGATAATGCACTCTCACTGTGCAGAAAAGCAGAGAATCGCTTGACGCATATTTAGCTGGCTTAAAAGAACAATTATTCCAAAACTCTAGAAAAGCTATCCTGTCACACAGATAAAATTCTTCAGCTAAGTACACAAAATGGCCTATTAAGGATATATCAATATCAGCTAATCAATTGAAAAAAAGATGCCTCTTCTTACCAAGTCGCCGTAGATTTGGCAACATGTGGACAAGGAACAGACGGTAATCAGGTTCATTTTTGGTGACTGGGTTCAACCGCAGATCTAAGTCCTTTGAAATAAGGGAAAACAAGATTTAGGTGTGGATATTAGATCATGAGCAAAAACAAAGTATCTTATGTGGCAGACATTTCTTTCTTTATCTAGGATGGTTAGGCACAAAATGATCTGCTTAAGAGACATATTTTCTTTTTAAAGTATGATGCAACCCAAAGGTACTGCATTATTTGATGAGCAAACCTTGATAAAATTTGCTAGTGAGCCGAAACTGTGTGAAGTTAACAAGACCACTGACAGTGGTGAATGTTAAATAAACACAGCTGTAAGAAACACAAGAAGATTAACAGGTATTTAGTTGAAATAACAAAAATGACCCTTCCACAATGGAGAAACAATCAGCTAGCTTATACATAGTAATTAGGCAGACACATATAGTGTTAGATGCATCTGGTTTGTCTGTCAAGATGTTTGGTCTTTGGTGTTTAGTCTTAGACTTGTTGTCTACAAGTTTAACTGCATTGGTCCCCTCATCTTTGAGCTAGACTGTAATTACAATATAATATATTTAAAATCACAGAATTTTTGGTGGTAAAATGCTACACTCACTATGCTGCATTATACAGCATTCAGTAAAAATTTTTTCAACTCAGTACACATGTTATTGAACCTTTATGCCCAAGCATCATTATCAATCCATCTTCTGCATACTCCTCTTTGTACTTTTCCTTTTGGTAAAGACAAGGAGCATTTGTTTGACAATCAAAGCATCTTGAGTTGGCAAACATTTCCTTTATTCATGAATAATTCAGCAGTATTACTGTATACTAAAGAGAAATTAAATGCAAAGGGATTTATCTAAGAAATTTTCTCAGAAATTAAATTTCTTTTGTCTAAAGGGGTTTATAAGCCATTTTAAGTTGAAATTTAGTTCTGAGGCTGAAGGTAAACTTATCTCATATCTAGTTTCTAACAAAGTAATTTGCATTTGAAAAGCAGCAGGGTTTATATCATAACAAGGTCACCCTTAGCCTCATTCCTGTTCAAAGGCTTGGCAACCAAGTGCACAGCTGTAAAATGGACTATTGCCACAACTGCACACTAAATATTGCAACATCAGTTTTATTTACCTTTAGATTTGTCAAATTCCTTAACCCATGTAAATCCTTCAAAGTTGAAATGTTATTATAGTATCTGTTATTGATTTATGTTAAGATTACAACATCAAAAACAATAATTATCATAATATAATGGTGTAATGGTAATGATCAAAGATCAATGAAATGTGAGTGATTTATATGTACTTAACACTGAAAGAAATAGGAAATTTTTGTTTCAATTTTATAATCTGAGGTAATTAAATTTAATAAAATAAAAACTTTTTGCCTCAGGCTCAGTGAATATCAAAGCCTGAAAAAAAAACTGATATCCATAATGAATTCAGAAGAAATGACTCAATAAGAATTCATTCTTCTTTTTTTAATGCATCAAGTTTGAACTGGGGAATGAGTTTCCCAAATTGCTGTGGATAAATTGTTGTAATTTTCAAACATGGAAAGTACATTTGAAAGTACATTTTAACCTTCATTCCATTTTAACTACTTGTTTTTTGTGTTTGTCTTAATTATTAAACAACTTGTCTATATGACCTTTGACTTGCTTTTCCCCACAAATCATTAAAGGAAAATTGAGCACTACATTAACAATACTCTTCTATATGTATTGTATTTAGTTCTATGGAGTTCATCATCAATGCTTATCCTTGAGTTTTTTATGTGACACTCAGTCCTTTTCAGTTATGAACAGTAATTTCAAATATTCTTTTAGTTGTGAAGTTTTGCAGAAAAACGTTTCATGCAAACTGGGACTCAATGTCTGTATAGATTAATTTTAAGTAGTACATATCTTTGAACAGTAATTGTTTTGAACATGTATTCTCATTTACTTGGTGGGGGTAGTTACTTAAAATAGGTTACATTCAAAGATCTGAGTGGGAGTCATTGTGATATGAAAGGGATGAGTTGTTTGTTAGGTGAATATTTTAAGTCTAGTTTGTTATGACATTTTGGTTGTTTTTCCGGTATTTTCTTACATGGAAGAGTCAAATAGCAGAAGTATACTACAGTCCTGAAAATCTCTACAGTAATCCAGTTAACTGTCTCTCTGAAAACACGAGGAAGGATACAGGTTAAGTGACTCCAGTGTTTGTTGATTCTCCAGACCCTATTATTCACAAAACAAGAAGGGAATAAAATTTTTTAACAGTATAACCCTGAGAATAGGAAATCATTACTGATGAAAGTGAATTATAACTGACTGCAAGCTCAAGTTTTATAAATTTACAATTATGCAATTTTCAATCAGAGATGATATTTTAGTTTTAAAGAAAGAACCAGTTGCATTATATCTTGCTACAATCACCTTGTGTGAGGAGATTATAGCAGGAGAGGTAAATTTCAAAATTTCAGCTTAATGTTTATCAATGTTTCCAAGGAAGTGATGAAGGCTATAAAGAAAATTCAATTCCACAGAGCACAAAAGCTGCTATAAAGTTTGGAGTAAACCTTTTTAAAAGAAAAATATGAAGTTTTTGCTGATTGAATTAAATGAACCTGTCAAACTCTAGGGAAACTGTCTCTTAATCTCAATATGAGTGACCAAAACAATTGAAACAGAATAGTTTCAATATTAAAAGAAATATTTATGACAGAATTTAAAGGCACTCAAGCAATTAAGACAATTATTTGCCTCAGGCTTGGTGAATATTGTAAAATAGTCCCTTGACTTCATCTGGAGTAATATTCACCAAATGAATATTCACTGCACCTTTGGCAAATAATTTTCAACAAAATCAAAAAAATTACCAGTTGTCAAGAACACTACTTTTTATTTTCTTTTCAAATTACCTATAAGACATAACAGCTTCCATTTTTAAAAAGCTAAAGGATTTTGCCAACAAATCATAATTATTACCTCAGTAGTCATAAGAGAATTCCTTGATAGATCTAAGGACTTGAGTCGAGTGAATCCATGAAGAGCTGTACCCAGGGATGAAATCTTCTCATTATATGCACCAGGAAGTGAGAGAGATTTCACATCATCTACACAAGGGATAATACAACAAATTTCCCATAATTTCTAGTAAGGAAGTACTTTGTCTCAATTAACCCAATTAACTCTGACACTGGCAGCTAGTATATTTGCTGATAATGTCTACAGCTGAAATGTTGTCCAGAAAATGAAGGTTAGGCTGAGAAGCAATGCCTTGAGGGCAAAAGTGAAATTTGGAGGATAACCTCCCAGTGAAGGACATCATCAGCCAACATAACAGAAGACAGAAAGTGGTTTAGTTATTTGATAACCTTCCCATTAATTTTTGCATTGCCCATTGTATGTAGCTTTTGTTGACTTTCTCTTCATTTCTGGAGCAGCAATTGAGATCAGCTTTTTAATGTCACTATCACTGAATTTAACAAAAAGAGCTAGTTTTTCTTCCATGTAAAATAAAAAAGGTGAAAAAGGAGATAATTACTGGAATAATATTGATGTAGATGGGGGTTAGCATGATAACTGTTTGGTGATTTGCTCCATGTAATGTAAAGTAGCCAATAGCATAATGCGAAAATTAATAGGTGGGTTATAGATCACAATAGCACATCAGATATGTTTTTTCTTTCTCATCACCTCTTTGTTTGACAATGCTGCTGTAAGGGGAAGCTTCAAGGACTAATCACTTCTTGGAATAAAAAGGTTTCAAGGGGGTTGGCAAGTCCATTGTAGGCATTTTAATGAGCAGAAATGTTTGGTGCGATTTTAGGATAAGGGGTTGATTGAGGTAGTTGACAGAAACCTCAATTCTGTCAGAAAACATCTAAGCTTTTATATACACCAATATAAACTAAAATTCTTGAAGGATTCTCCAGACTTCTCTACCCTACAATTACATTTTCAACTTTAAGGTTAAAGGTTAAATAGCGTGGTAAAATTTCCGCACAGCCCCATACTATTGTAAAACAAATCTGTTTTCCCAATGGCAATGTATTGTTTCTGTCATTGTTTTCTCTATCCAAGAACTGAATGCATGATGTAGTATGGGGCTGTGCGGGACTTTTACCAATACCGTAATTCCTCCAATAGGCGCCCATCTCAGTATTTTCTATGACTTAATATAAGCAAGGATGAAAAGAACTTCCACAAACAGTCGTATCTGACTGCAAGGAAAAGGATTAGAAAAACTCAAGAGGCAATTGAAAATGCAGCTCTCGCGCTCCGAGAGTCAAGTTTCGGGAACCCAATGAAGTTGAATGAAAACTTCGTACATGTACATGAAGCTATTGCCAACACAATCCTTAAAACAAAGGCAGTTATTAGATGTGAATCATATTGCGACAAATTTAAAGAAGAAAACTGCTAAAGATTAACTGACATGATACAGAGGTGATGAATATTAGCTAAGATGAATCTATGAGGTACTGCACCACAACATTCCTGCAACGTACAGAACAAACAAAACATTGACACAACTCCGTTGGAATGCACGAGCAAATCAGGAGAAAACCGTCATTGCTGACAATTTCGCGAAAGATCAAGAGTGGAAAAAGGGGAAAAAACAATTTAATGGAGAAAATGGAGCATCGGTAAAGACATCATACCTAAATGATCATGTTTTAACTTGACACGTTCCCTGATCCACTGTTCCGTAATTCTAAGCGCCATTTTTTGAAAAACCTCAGGCGAAGCTTGAGTGTCGTTACCAGTTCCTCGGGCGTATTTTGGCGAGAACACACACACACAACAAGTGTCACGCAGAACGTGACAATTGTTATACCATGGTCGTGACAAGACGAAAAACATCATTCTCTATTTCTTTACCGAGCTCAAAACTTACATCTCTCTTATCCTAATTACAAAAATGACACTGTCGACACTGCTGATCTTAGCAGTATGCAGGACGCGTTTCATCTGGACTTCGTAATAAACCTCGCTCACAGAAGAGTCTCTGTGACTCAGTGGTAGAGTATCGGAGCTCTGAGGTTCGATTCCTCATGGAGACTCACACGTTCGTGACATGACGAAAAACACCTTTCTCTACAGAAAAAAGATGTTTTTAAATTAGCTTGCCGAACAGGCGTAATTTTTTCGTGTTTTACAGGCGAACGGAGACAAGCTTCAGGCGAGCGCGATTCACGCGCTTGACTCGCGCCTAGCGCCGCCTCGTGCCTGCCTCCGTTCGATTGCAGAATGCAAAGAAAAAGCGCTTCTCTACAAGCTAATTTTGAGATGACCCAAAAAGTTGTCATAACCAAAATTCAACTCAAATTCGAAATGGTTGTGTTTCACAGTCTGCCCATCAGTCCGCTGGTTCCCCCGCACCAACTCCCGCTTTCACAGGAACTTGAAAACAAAAAAAACAATTTTTTTCTGTTTCCTCTGGAAAATCTCAGTTGTTCAACAAACACACAATTAAAAACAAAAAAATTCTGTCAAAACTGGAGGAGAACTCAGACCGACAAATTGAAATGATGACCTTTCCAAAACTGACATTATTAACATGACCCATCTCACCAACTTCTCAGACTGAAGGTTTATTTTTGGAAGAGCACTACATCATGAAATTTTAACTCTCTCGAATTCGAATTTAGGACTCACTTTTTCTTGTGTTCCATTTCTGGGGCTTGTGAAAGGAGCTCAACTACGCTAATCAGGGACCGCGCAGCAAGTTTTCGACTGGGGGGGCTAAAGAAGAATGCGTGAAGAAAATTTTTTTGTGGGGCTAAAGCGGAGCTCCTCTGCGCGGTCCCTGCTACTGTTCCCGCGAGAATTGATAAAAAAGACGCCACTTGCGTCACGTCCAACTCAACGTCACACAATCATCCAATTTCAAACGGTTTTTATTCCTGTCACACGTTAGTTGATAATGGCAGCTAATCGCGAGTTTACCATAACCTGAAGACACAAAATTCTCTCGAAATGATTTATTGATGAACAAAGCAATTAGTTTGAAAACCATACAAGCAAAGAAAAAGAGCGCCTCTTAAAACTTGGAAAGTTTTGTTTCGTTCTTGTTCTCGTATTTCTTTAAATTTAAGTGTCAGGCTCAAACTTCAGTAATGGGAAGAAATAAAACTAATCAAACAAAATAAACAAACAAACAAATCAGTCGACTGTCGAGGTTACTGAAGATCAAACCCAAAAGTCTGACCTCTTCACTCTCCTTTTTTGTCTAAAAAAGAGAAAAGTGACTTCTCGTTCCGATTCATAAACTTCGGGTCACAGTCTTTCTTGTCACCAAACTGGAAGGTTTGAAAGACATTGACGGTGTCATAACAAATATCTCCATTGGTTTAATATTTTCTGTTTATCGTTAACAACCCAATGACCTGTAGGCCTGAACTAAGGCTTATTTTCTGTTTATCTGTGACAGCATTGTTTGATGCAACTGATCAACCACAGACGGAGCCATTTTTTTACTCGCCTAAACGAGTTTACAAACCGACAAAAAAAATACTTCCTTTCCATAATTTTCCATAGAACATTCTCAGCAAATTTGAAAGACACAAGGCACAATTCGTCATCCAACACTCACCTTAGTCTTGAACGTTCCTACCCCTCTGCTGTGACAAACACTCACTCGAGTAACTTTAAATAAAAAGAAACAGTCGGCTCTATTAAATGGTTATGGTACATGATCTGTTGTCGTATTGAACTATGCAACATAGGGGACCTCTGTACCTTGGAACACAGCATATTTAAGACTCCTAAATTTAGAAAAACCTATTGTTTACCCTCGCTTGCACCTAATCAATTGCTTTTTTGACTAAAGAGATTTTGGAAGCTTTTTCTTTGTAGAATTTTTCGCAAAAATATTTCAATTTTCGAATTTCTAACCAGAGGGCGACCTAACTCCATAAACAAATACGATCAAATGCATGTGGGAAACCAAAGCCATTTCTTCAAGAATCATCACTAACGAGAAACTAATAATCACTCATCAGTAAAGAGCATTCTTTTTTTAGGGTTGGGTTATGTCAGGTCTCACTTACGCAAGGTCAACAATTTTGTGCAGTTTTCCAAACTTTACATGCGGTAGTTGTGTTTTGACTTCATCGAATTGCATCATATTTCTCAACAAAAGTAAACTTTGTGAAAGGTTTAAAATGTGGTTTTAAAAGGTAAGTTTCTAAACAGAAGCTAATCCCGACTGAGGAAATGATCTGAAGGATCCTTGATTCTGGCCAACAATAAATGATGGTAAATATTTTGCAATTTTGATCCATTCAGAGACGGTTCGTTATGTATCGCCTGGTTTGTTTTGTTTTATTTTGGTATATTGTAGTTGTGTTTTTTTTTGGGGGGTGGGAGGAGGAGCGGAGGATTTTGTTTGCGTCGCAGTAAAATTTTGCTGACAATCCCATCCTCATTGGAATTTAATTGGCAGTCAGTTTTTTTATAGCTCCCATTTGTACTATGTTGGCGACGACTGATACCCCCTCCCATCCTCTTGAAGACCATGTGACCCCATTCAATAAAATCCTCTCACCCTCCCCATCCCCTCCAGGCTCAGGCCACCCTACTTACTGCATACTTGTATAAAACGTATACAACAGGACAACTTCGAATAAAGACTGTATTCCAGAATAACAATATACAAGACAGCTTTCACGCATTCCTTTTCATTTTCCTTTTTAGAGTTTTCATCAAGAGTTCAAAGTTCAATTCGTGGGGGGTAAGAAACATACAAAAATCCACGTGACACTCTCGGTCCAGTTTTCAACAATACTGTTGGTGGCTTTAGTGACTAACAATTATGCAAGCTAGATAAAAATCATTTTCATGAGAAACGATATTCACTTCCTTGACCAAGTTTTTATTTAATTGTCATGGTGGGCACAAGACCGATAAAATTACCTGCATATATTTAGACGAATATTTGTGTTACTGAAAACATCTGTTTCCAAAATGTATTTATATGACGCTAATAATTTTTGCTTGGTTGCAATTCATCCAGCTAATAGCAATAGTAAATCAGTTGTATTTTTAAGGGAAAAAAGAGCTTGACGAGAAAACCATTTTAGTTATCAACAACTTGAAATTTAGAGATAAACAAATAAAGCTGCACTTTATCGAACGAAAAGCATTAAGTGGGATGCTACCTAAATATTGTGGGTACAATGAGCTACATCGCTCTCAAAAAACATTAACGGGTTTTTTTGGTCAGACGGGTTCTGATGGCAGAATTATTAAAATCTTAAAACATTCTTAACTCATTTGCTTACACGTTAGTTACTTAAGTGTCATTTTCTACTTTACCCTTCCTGTTAATTGAAACTTGTCCATTTTCGCTATGCTTCGGAAATTTAAATAGCCATCTAAACTATTGTCCTCAACGGACAAAGTTCAAAACATTAGTTACATTAGCACATCAACCTATGACTTTTATTATTGAGGGTATGTCTCTACAGGCAGTATTGAACTCATGCTGCAGTCTTATTGGGACAGTGTCGTTGATGATCGTACACATCGTTCCCGGTTGGAAACACCTGCAGGCACAGCCAACACATGTGGCTTCTACACTGTGAGCACTCCATGTGATTACATCCCTGATTCTTCTCAATCGGTGCCTTGCATTTGGGACATTTCTTTCTATTACTTGGGTCCTTCATCATCCACTCCACGAGACGTCCCTCTACTTGCTTCTCTGATTTGAACATAGCACAAGTGAGCCCATCGTGCCATTGCACGTGACAAGATGTGCAGGTCTGAGCCAGACATGCATCACAGGTGAAGGATCTCCCATTAGTTGAGACGCGGTATACCATGCCACAGTTCGCCGTTGGACAGTACTTCACAATTTCAGGATTTCTTTTGACATACTCATCTAGAGCGGTCAAAGCGAGCCTCTTCCTTTCGCGGTCATTCAACAAGTTTTGCAAATCCTTCCATACAAGACGCTCTCCACACTGTTCCACGACACACTTCAACGGAAAGTCTGGAGACTTGAGTTGTTGGATAACACAGCTCTTGTCGTAAGCGTGACCACAGCAGGAAAGTCTGTATACGTCTGCTGTTGAATCCAAGTCGCATAGGCATATACCACAGGTTAACTGTGTTTGATGGTCTTGTTGCAAAGGAAACAATTCTTGGGAAAGATTTTTACAGCATTCCTCCACATAGCTGTTGATTAGTTCTTCAGCCTCATCTGAACTCTCTATCTTGAGTACGTGGTTTCTAAATTCAACATGGATCTTCTGGACACCATTAATGTCTCGTAATCCTTGAAGATTGACGTCAAACCTTTTAAACAGAGCTTTCAGCAGTCCGCGGGGCTTGTTTGGTCCTCGAAGTTGAATCTGCCAAGAATGGCGATTGCCATTGATGGAATCATCGAGAAACTTGTTTATAGCTCGTTTTGCTGATTCTCGGTTGGCTTCGGGTCCATGAATTCTTACAGCCTGGTTCTTCCAATCTTGACTGATTACAGTTCCAGTGTCTTTCTGAATTGTTCGAAGAACGTCTTTTGCTGAGTTAGTCAAAAGAATCTCCAGGTCTTTAGAAATCTTGCAGTCAATTTTATCCCCATTGAAAATTTCGGTGAGAACAGTGGTAGTAGATATGAAGTGTTCCGTGGACTCACTTTGAATTTCTATCAAAACACGCTGATCTGTAGGCTTATTTTTGACCTTAATGATCAAATTTGCTTCAAAGGTTGATTCCAACTCGCTGATAGTTTCTATGAACTCATCTTCTATGACTTCGTAAACATTTCTGGCACATGACAACACAGTTGACAGGTTGGGATGCAGGGTTACCATACCAATGCCTGGGATGTTCATTCCATTAAGACCTCTTATAGCGGCTTCACCCTCCTCGGGGTTTTGGAACGTCAGGTGGGCGTATCCCTCAAAAGATTTCGTGGAAGGTTTTCCTACGTAGACTGAGAACTCACCTTGTGTGGCAAAGCTGCTGAGACTTTCTTCTAAGAGGGTCTTCTGTACTACAAGAGTCTCATCCGCTGTTTCAAACTCTGCTATTCGGTGGATGAAAACTTTCATCACTTTTACTGAGGGAAGCTTCTCTTCGATAGCAGAAGTCACATCCTCCTCTGATGTTTCAGGGTGGAGCCTTCTCATGAATATCTGTTGATTGTGAATTTTGTCGGCTTGAAATATCACCCTTTTGGATTTAATAATCAGCGACGATATTCTTCCGAGCGTGTAAAAGAAGTCTTCGCCATTGAAGAATTGCACTGATCCTGTGCCTTTTCCTGGACGTCTGAGCCACTTAACTTTCACTTTAAACTGAGAAAAACGTAGTTGGTTACCATCGCCTGTCGAGTTACTCGGCTGTACTTTGATGTTGATATCTGAACAAGAATTGGAAGGGCTGTTCACTGCCTTTAGCGCATCCTGTGAATCCCTATAAGTCACAAAGACTCGCATCTTGCCGTTCTGCTCCCTAAGACTATGTTTCACGATGTCTCCGAAGGATCTAAGGTGGTCTAAAACAGCTGCTGAGTAGCCATTTTCTATCTTACCAACTGTGACAGTCCTGTACATGTCCAGCATCAGCAACTCCCGTATTTCACCGCCTTGTCCCCAAACCATTCTACTTCCTAGGGACTCTTCCCTCAGGGGCTCTTCTCTTTCCTCACTCCTAAGTATCTTTCTGCTTTCCTCCAAGATACTCTCTATCACTGACAGGGCTTTCGCCGTGTACCTTGGAGGAACGAAGATTTTTATTTGCCCCCTCTCTTTGTCCTCCTCTAACACAACCAAGCTGTCATCGCATGACTTCGAAACTTTGTCCTCAATTTGATCAACTTTTTTTCTTTTGTAACCTCCAAACGTCAATTTAATAAGTTCTGGACTGCATGGCAATGCCATTTCGGTTAATACAGTCGACAATAGGTTCTCTAGGTCATACTTGAGAGCTCCTGTTGAAATCATTTCCCGGAGCCACGTCTCCTCCACAGGGGTAACGTTGACGACAAAGTCACGAGACGTTTTGAGCAGTTGGTCAAAGACGATGAACTGAGGCGTTGCTCCGAGAAACTTGAGTGCTGACGATGGATGCACTTGAACACACTGGTCTGAAGACAACACTCTGTATCCTTTTTTCTCGTGGCCAGTAAACAAGCATAAGTTGGTGGCATAACAAGAAAACAAAATCTTTTGAAGTTTCACATCAGTGTTCTCGTCTTTCTGCAACGTATTCGGGATCGTTATCTCTAATTCATGCTTTAAAGTCAGCTTTAGCTCTTTGATAGTCTCGTCTGTCATGCGAAGTGACTTAGCGTTTAAGCTGTTAGCAACAGCCCACTTTTTTCGTTTAGGTAAATCTTTCGGTTGCTTGAGGTATTGCCTGTACACTTCCAACAACGTCAGTAGGTCTCCACCATTCAGGCAGAAACCTACTTTTCTACTGTCAGCTGCCTGCTTCTCCTCTTCGCTTCCCATGCGGAAGAAAACGCTCCCACCCGCAGTTGCAATGGCTGCCAATGCTAACGCATCCGCACCTACACCTTTGTCAATGCCTTCAAATATGACCTTTGCCAATCGTGGCTCTACCGGAACACGAGCAATTTTGCCTCCCAGCTGTGTAAGTTTTCCGTTTGTTATCGCACCAAGAGAATTCAACAACTCTAATGCAAGGGTTATTGAGTCAAAAGGTGGCGATTCTACAAAATCAAAGTCTCTGACATTTTCGATACCAAGTTCCATCAGCTTCAGCACGGCCTGACCAAGATGAACCCTTAGGATCTCTGGTTTTGATTGGTCTTCCATTGCCTCATACACCTCTTTGCTGTAGAGTCTAAAGCACTTCCCTGCTTGTGTCCTTCCTGCCCTTCCTTTTCGCTGTTCAGCAGAACTTTTGTTGATGGTTGTTACCTCTAAAGAACTTTTGTTGCGTTTCGGTTCGAACTTCATTTCCTTCACCATACCAGTGTCCACTACATACTTTATCCCAGGAATGGTGATAGAGGTTTCCGCACAGTTGGTAGCAAATACCACCTTACGTTTGTCTCCGTCTTCTTCGAACACTTTCTTTTGCTCTTCTTGACGTAGCTTTCCGTGGAGAGGAAGACAAACTAGGTTAGCATCCCGCTCAACCTTTCTTAACATTTCACAAGCGCGTTCCGTTTCTGCTGGAGAAGTCAGAAACACAAGAATGTCCCCTGGATCCTCCTTGCGGTGAATTTCGCGAGCTGTTTTTACAGCCTCTTGAAGATAATTTTCAACGTTGGAAGATGGATCACCTTTCCAAATTTCCTCGACGGGAAACATTCTGCCGGACACTTTCAGTACTGGACATTGGTCAAAATATGCCACGAAGAGAGCTGGATCAATGGTAGCTGAGGTTATGACCACTCGCAGCTCAGGACGTTGAATAAGGCTTTTCTTGATCATACCAAGAAGTAGGTCCGAGTAAAGACTTCGTTCATGTGCTTCGTCAATTATTATGCAAGAATACTTTGACAACTGAGGATCCTTTAGGCACTCATTGAGAAGATTGTGGTCTGTAGCGTACAAAATACCAGTCGTCTCTTTACTTGCTTGAACGTTTCCTCCTACACGGCAGCCCACTACTTTTCCAACAGTGCTCCCCATTTCTCGAGCGACGTGGAATGCTAGGCTTGTCGCAGCAACTTTACGTGGCTGGGTACAAACGATTAAACCCTTCTCAGCAAAACCAGCCTCGTACAAATACTGGGTCATCTGTGTACTTTTACCTGATCCGGTTTCTCCAAGAATAACGCAGACCTGATTTTCCGTTATGAGCTGAACAATTTTGGTTTTTTTCGCGTACATTGGTAGGGCTGCTTCGATCCTGCGACATTCTCTACCAAATGCTTCCCTTAGTTTCTTCACTGTAGGCTCAACACAGGAGGGTGGCAGCCGTCTTTGGGCGTCCAGAGTAGATCTTGTGATAAGTTCAAAACGTCGAAATTCTCGGAGCTGTGATTCAAGTTCCTCTTTCTTGTGTTCCAGGACTTTTCTCTCCGAGCATATTTTTTCAAATTCATTAAAAGCTATGTGCTTTTGCACACGAAGATCCTTAATGTGACGACTGATTTTCTCTATCTTGACAGTATGCTGCTTTTCGATTGCTGTCATCTTTTTCTGAAGCTCTGCTAAGCACTCGACCAAAATCATATCAGTACGCGCTCCCTCCGTGAGAATAGAAACTTCAATTTTTTCTCCAGCTTCTCTGATGTTTTCTTTTAGAATCAGTTCAGCTCTTCTTCCTTGCTCATTATTCTGAAAGACAAATGTAGATTCGAGACACCCACCATCAGTTTTCTTAGTTTCCTCGTGATAAAACGTGATCTCGTCACCAAGACATTCTTTAAGGTAGAGTGTCACGTCTTTTTTGACAGGGAGCTCTGAGGGAGGTTTGATGACCAAACGACAGGATTGTTCAGCCAAGGATGGAGCAGCAACTTTCTTGTCTCTTTCACTTCTAAAAGGTTTTCTAGTTTTTTTAGCTTGGTTGTATTTCTTATCTCTGTATTCAGGATCCCTTCCACGCTTTGGAGTCACTGGAGTGTCACCAGAATGTTTGCCAGTGGTTTTCTTTGATTTTCCTGGAGCATCCCTTCTGTGACTTTTTTGCTGTAAAGATGGAATGTCGTCACTTCCTCGTCTAGGAAAAGAACGTGCGCCTACATCTTTACAGTCACTCTTCACTGAACTATGTCCACGAACGGATGCAGATCTGTGACGTTCCTTTCTTCGAATTTTTTGCCCACAACTAGATATCGTTTCTTCGTCCACTGTGGGGAGGTGTGATTCGTCCTCAGGTAAACCAAACGGGGATCGACTAGGCTCAGTACGATCTTCATGCATAGGGCACTTGGCTGCACCTAACTGATCTTCATCTTGGTGACAGCAATCAGAATCCAAATCGACACTAACACTGCTCCCTCCTTCTTTGTCAAATATGTTGCTACTTTCCTCTTGATGTACAGCTCCCTCTGAAGACATTTTGATAAGTCAAAATAATTTTTCTTGTAGGGAAATCACGTTGCTTTTCGCCCTCGTCAGCACGTTCACCTTTCTTTATGATCTCTCTCCTCTTTGAAAGGGAAAGATTCTGCAGTTGTGCGGTAGCTAGATTGCTGCTTTCGAACAGGTGACCTTCATTTTTAAGGACAACACCTGAAAGTTAAAAGCAAGGAAATAAAGAGCAGAGAAGGTCAAAAACACAAATGCAAATTAACATATACATGTATTTTCTTTAATAACCGTCAGTCTAATAGGGAACTGTCCAATTTCGGAAGTGGATAAAATTAGGTCACATTTTTTCACGACAATACTACATTTAAATATGGTTTTCAGTCTCCTTCGAATAGGAGTATCTCTTCTCGTCCAACAACGTATCTCTTTCACGATTCTACAGGCTGCATGAATGTTTTGACGAAATGAACCGATGGTTAACAATACTTTTCAGAATGTGTGCTGATGGATAAGGCTTTTTTTGAAAGAAATATTGAGATTCACAAGGTTATTGCAATTTTTTTTTACAATAATCTTGATGAATATGGCAAATATTTTAATTTTAATATTTTCAGTCTTTAAACACTGATGAAAGCAAACCACAACTGTAACTTGCTTCCCCCCCCCCAAAAATGGATGAATTTAATTTCAGACCGGTTCAGTACTGCATCAAAAAAATATTTGAACTGACCAAGTTCTGTATTTTGGCAATTTCAAAATGGATGTAATAAAGTGGTAATTGAACCTCGTGTCAGGCAATTTTGGTCAGAACTCATACTTGTGATTTCAAATTGAACTCGTGCTGCATGCTTGTTCAAATTTGAAATCATGCGCATGATTTCAGCCCAAATTGTTCTCCACTCATCTCAATTACCATTATTAATTACCTTTCTACAATTCATTCTTTTAAAACATATTTTACAGAATTGAATACATATTTACATATTTAACTAAATTTTACAGTTAATATAATCCTCTTAGTATATATCAGCAGGTGAAACTTTAATTGGACACTTATATGTACAAGCCATATTGAATACCAAATTGGTATACAAAAAGGAAATGAAGAAACAGATAACAGTATTCATTGACAACCTCTGTGTCTATCATTTTTTTAATGAATTTTTTCCTAAAATTAAGGTTTCCTCAATGCCTTATGCCAAGTTGGCTTGAAAGGTTAGAAATTGGGAAATATCATGAGAGAATATTGCCAATTATTTTTTTTCAGAGGGCACGGTAATGAATCCTGCAATCTGATTGGTTCTTTTTGCAGTCTGTACTTTCCTATCTCTGCCCACAGGCAACGGTAACACTTTTGTGAGTTGCCATGTACATCCCTACTTTCGTTGCCATTTTTCATAAATATATGTTGTTTTTCTGGCTGGGCAGTATTTTTAAGCAAAGACATCAGTCACTTCCTCAAGCTGACAGATAGTTTATTAATCCTCTCTTTTCTCTTACTCAAATCACTCTGGTTGATAGAAAAATATTGGTTTCAGAATGAATTTGTATAAGCAATAGTGTCATTATGTTGGTTGACAAGCATACTAAAAACTACCTGCAATTAATTTTAATTGTTCACAAAAAGTACCTAGAAAGTTAAAATGTGAGGTATTTGGTTACAGTTGTACTAATCGATGGATTCCTTCATTCATTTAATATCTGAATTTTCTCAAACAATTTGTTCGTAGTGAAAGGCCAAGCAAAGTTTTAATTTCAGTTCTGCAACAAATATATACTCTTGGTAAGTCTTTCCAAGTCTGTTCAATTTGGACATTTATACTGTAAATTGCACAACAGAAACTGAAGGAATTCAATGAGAAAAGGCTGCATTAAATCCCCTTGCATTTCATTGGAGTGTATCATTCAAATTTAGTTTTTGTGGAGGAAAGACCAGATTTATACACGCCATTGCATTATTACTTAATGAACAGAGGTAAATCTTTGTACATGAATTAATTGTTGATGAAAATGAATAATACTTTCTGTAACATCAGTGACTATTTTTGAAGAAATCATTGTCATGACAGTCCTTGCCAAACTAGTTTTGTTGTTTTTCAAAAGTGTACATGCACTTTTTTTTTTCTTATGCACTCTCTAATTGACAGGAGTCAAATTGTGACAGATACTTGTAAAAATAATGTTTCAAAGTTTGTTTTGAGGCCTTTTAAATCACCTTTATCATTACGTAAATGAAAATGTTTTGGTGAGGCATCTCTCTTTAATTTGCATCACCTCTATTTTAACGACCATTTTATTGCTAACAATTGTTAATGTTGAGGAAAAGACTAATAAGTAAACTGCCTGTACCCAGTCCAAACCTCTCAGTTATCAATGTCTAGATTTATATTCATGCAGAGATTGAAATTCACTTCGTAAGTTACAGATTTTCATTTTGTTTCCCGTTTCCCAAATTACAGTAAGCTGTTTTGGCCAGGGTACTATGAGTTGCACAATGCATTGAAACCACACAATTATGTGTAAGCAAAAAATGTATTTGAAGTACTACCACATCTGCACCCAATAGCTGGCAGCACATAAAAAGAGCACTTTTTGTACCTTAATTCTAATCGGTGCATTAATTATAAAATACTAAGAGATAACGCTACAGCATAATAAAACAATACTGAGTGGGGCTAAACAATTTGTCGTGGGTGTTTTTTACAATTACATGTATGTACAACACTGAACTCAAAAAATTAAATGCATAAATGTCAATTCAAGTAATGAGACAATGAGGAAGTCTGGAGCAAACGTGGTTATTGTGATGGTCCAGTACACGTTGTTAGACATGACAAGAGTATTTACCTAGACCAAATGAAACTAAATTTTGCTTCGAGCAGTGTTAGTCTAAATTAAAGAAAACATGTTTACACCCAACCACACTTTACAAGAAACAAAAATAGATTATTTTTCATTTAACTTAGTCCTTTAAATGTGATTCAAATTTGGCTAAATAAGTAATAAGTATTTTGATAGGGAAACTGTATGGACAAAACTACGTGGACCACAAACCTTGCTCGCGTTTACCCACCTTTCAAGAGCTTAGTATTTTGGAAAAATCGATGTTTTGAAATAAAGTTTGACTTTTCATCTCTCAGTTTCCATGGTCTACCGTATCCGTCCTTCAATGGAATATCGTGCTTTTGAACACTTTCGGACAATGGGGACAAAGTCAAATAAACCTCACAAAACCACCCGTTTCTTGGCAAAGGATAATGAAACTTTTCTGGGAAAAACAGGAAGTAGAAAGCGAAGCTCGATACAGTCTAAGCGGGTGAACCATTTCATTTTTAAGTGGAGAGGGGTGGGGAAAATAACACGCGACGGAGGAAGCTAAAATTTTTCCTTTAGATGTTTTCACTCGCAAATTGCAATTTTACTCTCCTTATGTAACTAACATCAAATAAAGGTGTCTTCACAAGGAAAGTTTGGCCTGTAGGTGACTTCGTTCCGGTGTCACAGCGGATTTGGGTCCTCGGGGATTTGGACCCCCGGTCATTTGGACCCCCGGTCATTTGGACCCCGGTCATTTGGACCCCGGTCAAAATCCGCTAACGGCTATGGACCCCCCTTCGCACATTTGGACCCCCTATCAAACTTTCCCTTTGGCATCGTTTGTATCATATTTGACAACGAATTCTATTTGCAAGCTTTTCGTCGATGTTCTTCTTAGTCACAACACAACATTCCGCAATGAAAGTAAAGAAAAACCAACCACTTCGTTCCAATTCTGCCGCATTTATTAAAGCGAGTCGTACAGTATACGCAAAAATTACATGTAAATGCAAACAAACCATTGCATTCAAACTATTAAGATTGCTACAATAAATCTTTTCTTCTTCTGATGCGAATCAACATAGATACGAAACATCATAACAATAGTGGAGACTATTGTGTCCAATCACAAAAATAACTCGATCTGATTTTCTAATTATATAATATTACACAGTTTTTGAAGAAGAACGAAGTAACTACTCCTACGACAGGTCGTTCGTATAAAGCCTATGATAAGTAAAATTTTTCTATTCTGAACAATTGGAACTCTCAGCTTATTTTCAAATGGAAATCAACATTTATGTCTACGTCTTTACAAAAGTGGAGACTATTACATCGAACTCAGTCTTATTTTCTAATTTTAACGATTAATTACTAACTGTTGAGGGATCCAAAATAACACCTTAACAGTTACGAAGACGTCTCGAGTCTGGCGGTCTGCAGACAATGCAGAGCCACTCGCTTTCCGGGTCAGTCTTAAATCCCTTGCAGCTCATGTGTAACCATCTCTCGCGCAACTCGCATTGCTCCATGTCGTCCCAACACTTGGGTATTGAACAATAACAAAATAAATTAATGCTACAAGTTTGTCTCTTAATGAGTCTAGCTGGGAAAACGTTCAAAACCTCCTTTCTCCTAACATTAAACTAAATGCTTGCACATTATCCTTTGATCAAGAGAAACATCCGCCGGGTCATTTTCAGTTCCCATTTCCAATTCCATTGCATGCCACTTCCGCTAACGGATTTGGACCGGGGGGGGTCTATATCCACTAGTGGATTTGGACCGGGGGGGTCGTAATCAGGGGGGGTCCAAATCCGATAGGACACCGAGTATGATTTCCATGCTCATAAAATTACTCCCTTATTTCCAGAAGAAAGACAAAGTACGAAAGGAATTAGTGAAACGATGCTTGATTTGCCATTTAAATCCCTAACTGATAATACCACACGTCTAATCGAACTCTTATTTGATAAAAAGTAAAGCTACAGTAACTTTGCTGTTTCACTAGCTATGTGGTCATAACACACCTCAAGTATATTACTTGTAGTCTTCTCATTTTTTACTTACGTACGCTGTTCAAAGGATCGCTGGCTATCTTGTCAACATGGCGGAAAAGCCGTCTCAGGAGAGGAAGTTAGTGTAATACTTTGCTCTGTTTGCCAGCTTCAGAAAAATATTAAGATGAGACCACCTCCAGTAGTGACTGGCATCTCTCCTGCAGAGGGTCCACCTGGAACTAAGGTGATCATTCGTGGAGAACACCTCGGTGTCAACGCGAAAGATGTGACAGGTTCGTCTACATGTCTGATCAGGAAATCTTTGTAAAGATATTTCCTTAGTTTTTCTGAGTTTGATATTGAATCAGTCGCAATTTTTTTCTGAAATTTCATCCGGCAAATATAAATGCAATGTGGTGACTTGCTCCTCCTTTACTGTGGTTACGTTACTGGGGTGGAAGAACATACAATCTTTGTGACCTCTCCCAAAATAGCCTGGCGTCTCCAGCATATGGTTAACAAACTTAAAGTTTCCTGTACTGTCTGCTAAATCTCCCATATAAATGGATAATCTTTTCTTCACAAGTGAGAAAATCTCGCTCATTTTGTCTTCATTACAAATGATTATTGTGGATACTCAAGGATTATTGCATTTTGTTTGTTTATTTGGAGTATGTGTTTGAGGAGGTGGCTAATAAATTAAATGAAAATAAAATTGGGGTAAGGATTGGGGATAGGGGTGATAGATAATCTCCTATTTCCAGATTTAGATTTCTACAGGTTAAACACTCTAAGATGTACATTTATTTAATAAAAAAAAAACAGTTGCAGGTCATTTTAAGAAGAGTATACTATATTTTCTCAAATAAGCACTTGGGTGCTTGTTTAAAATTTTGGCTAAAAGTGGGAGGGGCACTTATTGGAAGGAGGGTGGTTAATCAAGGGGGTACTTAGTGATGAGATAACATTGAAATATAATTATGAAGACAGGAAATCCAAATGCGGCCATTGGAGATATTGATAGGTTGGTTGTAAAAAAACTTGGCTGTAAAATGTGGAAGCATTCTGGCTTTTACTCAGGATGCAAACAAGTAGTTGTGATAAGAAGATACAGCATCAGTTTATTAGTTATTAAATCATTAAATTATAGAGAATTGTGGTATATGTACAACAAATAAATTAAATATTTACCTTAACTGATTTTTGATGTTATCAGGTCTGACTATTTGTGGTGCCAATTGTCTGCTGTCAGCTGACTACAAGTCAGCCAGCAAAATCGTAGCACGGACTGGAAAGGCTCAACCAGGGAAAGGAGATGTGATAGTCACAACACGATCAGGAGGACAAGGAAGCTGTACTGTACAGTTTAAAAGTGTCATGGTGGTTCCAGGTATATGTTCTCTATCTGCACAATTTAATAGTTTATTTTTAGTTTAGCCTTAAAACAGTAATTGATTTGTAAGAAGAAAAGGCACTACAAAGTTGAAGGATAATTCATTAAGACAATTAGTGTACTAAATTTTATTGTTTCCTTTTTGTTATGTTGTATAATTTATATTTACCCACAATTTTCTCCGTCTGAACAACCTACCTCATTCAAACAGTTCAGTACACTATTGAGTTTGAGATATAGGCGATAACAAATGGTGCTAAAAATTTAGCCTCTCCTTGGGAAATTGTGTTTCAATGAGGTATGTTAATGTAACATCAAATATTATATATTGAGAGAAAGAAAATTTATTTGCATCTTTTTTCAATTTTGGTTGCAGATCCTTTGAAAGAGAGTGCTGTTTGGTTGGAAGAGGTAGACCCAGAAGAATTAAGGGTGCGGTCTGGCTCAGTAAGACCTGTGTCACCGCAGATGAATACCAGCCAAGATCCCTTGGGAACAGGCACTGATATATTTAGGTTAGTTCTGCTACGTTTGTTAAAATGCACACTAGAGAAAAACTCCTTTTAATGAAGAAAAGAACTTATCAATAACTTGTCAATTGATATTAAGATGAATGATGCAATCATATGATATCAAACAAAGACATAACAGTCCAGGATTTATTTGTACATGTAGAAAACTGATTCTTTTTAAAAGATATTAACTATAATGTTTTTATATTAAAATCTTTTGTTAGCAATAAATTTACAGAGGAACAAATTGAAGAGTTTTATCCTGAAGGTTGGTTGATTTATTTCAAATGGAAATAACTTGTTGTTGCATAATATTGGTATTTCTATCACTGATATTTCTATCATTGTATACCTTTACTGGTTTCAGAAGTTGATAATTCTTTTACAAATGTCAACTTTTGCTTGATCATACTGCCTAAAAATGACTCTTTCAGAAGATCAAAACTGCTGTACCTGTGTTATTTAAATGCCTTCCAATGTAATTTGAATCTATATTTTTTTGGTTATTTCTCTAAGCTTTTAACTAGTTGGTCATATAGGGTGGATAAATATAAGTGGCCAATGTATCTGATAGATGCTTTCAAACTTTTAATGAGTACATGGAAACTTCAAGTTAGAACATTTTGTGTGTTACACATAATCACATTTGTCTGAGTAATTCCAGAATTCTTTGGTGTATGTTTTTTTTTAATTTTTGTTATTGTTTTTGTGCCTTGAAGGAAGTGGAAATATCCTCAGTGAAAACTTTATTCCAGGATGGTTTTTAATGGAGAGTCACTCAGAAACTGAGTGAGTAACATTTGACTATCAAATAGTCATTCAGTTTTCTTGTTAAGTCATTGTTAACATTGTTAAGTCATCCAACTGTTTTTCTGAGTATGCAGGCTGATTCAATCCTCTCATGAAATCTTGGTCTGTGATGACAAACTCTTTTATCACTCATTTTTACTATTAATGAAACACACATTTTCTTAAGTTAAAAAAAGATGAGTGAGCATATGCACCAAGTTTTGAAAACCAAATAATTTTTGAATATTCACTCAGTTGGAGAGTAAAAACTCAGCATTTGTGTAAATTAAAAATTGCAGTCAGTGGCAGCTTTTGAGTTGCTTTCGGTAAGTTTTAATTTTTGTGACTATGATAGAATCAAAATAAATTTCAAACTCACAATGATACTTTTTTTAGACATTCAATAAGTCATTTTAGCTTTTGCTTATTGCCTATTAAAGGAGGCACTGTGCGCTGGTTGCTAGTAACCTGAGCTAAAGGAACAGATACAATGCAATATAATATTGTAATTATTTTTTTATTGAGATGAACCTTCTAAGGGTTAACTTACATGTGTGTGGGTCTTCTAAAACTATTGGTAACAGTAATTACTGTAATTTCAAATGTTGTCATTTAGTACATACTAAGACAGTGGAAAGGTGGGCCCTGATTACACTCTGAATATTCTTTCCTATTCACCTTCAAGCAACTCATGCAGGATTTGCACCCAAAAGTATTGTAATAATTAAATTAGTTACTGTTTTAGTTTGTACAAAAACAAATATTTACTTCAGTGTCAGTGGCTAGCAGTGGATATTTAACTTGCCCCTTTGCAGCTTGGTAAATATCCACAACTAACTGCCAACACTGAAGGGAATAGTTGTTAATTGATTTGTATTGTTAAATAATGAAATTTCAATGTGAAGCGTAAAAACAGCGTAAATAGATACAAAACAGGAAACTGATGGTGGCCCAATTCATGGCAAAACGTGTCTTCAAAAAGTATTATCTTAAGTTTGAAATTTATTTTGATTTATATATATATATTTTCAGATTTAATACACTATCAGCTGGTCTCAAATATCTGAGACATGAGGAGTCAAGAAGGGCTACTGGTCCACTTGCATTTGTCAAAGAGAATGTTGGGACATTCCTTGATGCTGTTGACACTCTCAGAAGTATCCTTTAAGGTTGGGGATTTCAATGGAAATGAGTGTAATGGGTAGATAGGCTATGCATACATTTATATGTGACATTAATAATTATTAGGGGACAAATGATATACTGGTATTAAATAATTATTGACATATTATGGAGATAACTTAATAATACCTCCAGGTGTTGTGTAAAATACACATGTGTCAGTTTTTTCTCTCTGTTTTTTCCTCATCCACTTACTTTCTATTAGATAGAGTGGATATACATGTACTTGTACTGTTCACATTTCAAAATGGGAATTGATAGGCCAAAATGAAGTTAACAATTACTAAAACAGCGTAATTGTGGGGTAATATCTCAAGCATGGAAGGCTAACTTGACTTGACAAAATTGCTCTCTTTTTTGGTATGCTAATAACACACATGTTGTGAGTATTTAATGGCTGAATTTCTTTAACTAAGATGATTATTAGGTGTTCAGCATGATATGCTGCGGGATGAAAGCACCTGTGATGGAGGATCCATTGTAGAGAAACTGGAGTCTTTTGTACAAGGTGTTGTTGATGCACTTAAGGGCTGAAGACTACTTATTTTAAACTACATTAATAAACAAACTGTGATTTGATTCTTTCCGAAACATTTCCAAAATTGGTTTTGCATTTTTTTTCTAGAATATATAAATTCATTTACGGTATACAATTATGCACTACATGTAACTCGTATGGCATGTTTTGGTTAAAACCTCTCTTGGTTTGAAATATGAAAATTGCCAAATCCTTGAACAAAGTACATAATATTTTTATGTTGTAGTTAAAACAAATTTTTCACTTTAACCCTTTAACTCCAGGATGTGATTGTTAATCCTCTCCTCTAGCTGCTACATATTTCTCTGTAAATTAGTTTTGAAAATTTGGTGTTGGATCAAGATAACAACTTCTACCTAATAAGTTTGTGTATTCTCATTGCCTGTTTGCTGGATAGTGTATTGAACTTATTGGGAGAAGTTACAAATTAATCACTTCTGGGAGTTAAAGAGTAAAATGATGTTAAACAAGTTTGGGTTGTACACATTAAGCTCTCTTTGTCTCCTGAGTAATTTTTAAAAATAGCAACACAGTGATGTACCAGGAACAAAAGAAGGAAAAATTGAACTTGCTTACAATTGTTTTGACTTGAAGTTAATTCTAAACTAAAAGAAAAAATTATTAATTTTTTTTCCCAACAGGTGCCAGCAAAAATGCAGAGGGCTTGTTCCAGGATGTGTTAGGTCGCAAAGATGATGCTGACAGAACAAGAAATGCTCTCAATGTTCTACAGAGATTCAGATTTCTGTTTAGTCTGCCACAATGCATTGAGAGAAACATACAGCAGGTATGCCCTTAATCTTAGCTCTAACCCTTAAACTTGTTAACCTGCATGGACCAACATGTATCTTCTCTTTACAATGTTATGGCATCATCCAGTAAACATGGGATAAGAAGAGAGAAACTTATCAACTAGATGATTTTATTCTCATATACACTGTAACACAAAATTCTCTAAACTTATTAACCAGAAATATGTAGTCATTTGAAGAGAGAATTAATAATTTAATCTCACAGAGTTACATGTAAAGGGTTCAAATGTGTCTAGAAAAGTACCCTTCAGCACGGAGCATGTTTGCTTCGCATTGTCATCTTTCCTACAAAGTAGTATTCTGGGGGTGAAGCCTTTTAGCCAAGGTAGACACATATCTGTGTACAGATCAATGAGTTTCAGGTCAAAATTATTCCAAACTTATCTTTGTTGTATGAATTCAGGGTGATTATGAGATGGTAATTAGTGATTATGGAAGGGCTAAATCATTGTTTGCTGGAACAGACATAAAGATTTTCAAAAGAGGTGAGCATTTTGATAATGTGGTAATTCACGGTAATTCAGGATAACTAGGAGAGGAACATTTAAGGTCAAGTCAGCAATTAATCTTAGTGGCCCACAAGGTACCAGAGCTTATCCTGACTTTTTAAGCATGAAGTGATCAGCAGTATTGCTACTCTCCCTGGATGTAATGCTAGTTCATTGCAGGTTACCCTCCTACATTTCATAACTCCTGGATAAAGAGAAGCACTGTGAGGGTAAAGGATCTTGCCCAAGATCACAACACATTGACCCAGCCAGGTCTGGAACCCAGACCTTTTGAGTCAGAGTCCTGTGTGCTAACCCCTAGGTCAACAGCCTTCCAGTATGAAGAACATTAGAATTGCACATGATATTTATGGCTACCAACAACAGTTCTGGCATTTCATTCAACCTGCTTTTTACATATCAATCATTTGAAACTTGAATATTTCCTTTCAAAAAAGAATTTTAGGTCTAAATATCTACAAAATGATGATGGAAGTAAAACAAGGTTATCTTAACTGTTGATTGAGTCAGTTAATTACTCATATTCTAGTTTTGCAAGAAGTTGAAGCCAAAATAGAGAGTTTCCGTCAACATCTTAAACTGAAACTTGCTGATTTGCCGTCACCACCAGAAGAACAGAAGAGACTCATAAGGTATTACTGACATTAGATAAAGTTAACAGAGTTTAAAGAATCAAGTAAACTGGTGGAACTAAGGCATTCTGTGTTCTCCATGTGCAAAGTCCTTTTCTTTATTAATTATAGTTATCCATGAAGTTAGGACAAAAGAAATACAAACCTTTTCTCATAATTGTATTCCTGTATCAGTGTTCTTTATTATTTTAATTTTGATAATGTAAATACAGTGTATATTATTTACTTGAAATACATAGTCATGTACCATGTTTGATCATATACATGTAAATCCATGTCCAAACACCTCAATACTCATCAGAAAGTCAAAGTTTGTTAACAATGTTATGTTCTGCATGAACACAACAATAAAAGAGCCTGTAAGAACTTGTGTCAATTTGGAAACCTCCAAGCCACCATTTCATATGCCTTTATACACTAGGTATCTAGTGGACTTAGACTACCAAGGGGACCCTGCTTGGGAATGTCTTGTCCTTCAGAAGGATTGGTTACTCAAGCTAATGACCACCTGCCAAGAAGATCATAAATCTAAAGGCAAGTACTTCTAGGAGACTTTCTTTTTAAGTTGGCAATCTTGTAGTTGTTTTCTTAAAATCTTGTTCAACTTCTCTTTCATATTACTTGGCTGAAATAGTTTTGTTCTTCTTGTCAGACTCTGTTCCTCTGCTTCAAGTTGATTCTTCAAAGACAGAATTAGACATCAGAGCATCAAGAAGTGTGAACACCATGGGTTTGTGTATTATAATCTGATTTTTGATGTACATGACACACATTTGCATTTGCACAAGTTCACTCAGTGATCTGTTTACTGTAGCATCCCTAAATTGGGGAATGTATCAGGTTAGTGGTTACTTTATGGCATGATTAGTATGGAAGGTTCATGGCACCAAAATGGAACTTATTGCAACTTGATAATTCACATTTTCTCCCACTTGAGGATGGGTTTTCAAATTGTATTTACTTTAAATTGTCATTGCCATAATTTTGCTTTCAGTTGCTATTAATAATTTTAAATTGTCTTTAGTGTCAGAATTAAAAGGAAAAATTTTGAAAAGACTGTGGCTTAAGGCCTCTTTTTTTTGTCAGAATTTATTTTATATTCACACAGGTCTCAAACTTCAATTTTTTTTTCATAATTTTTGAATATTAAATAATTGTTCAGGAGAAGCATGCATAAATTGTAACTTACTCTCACAATGAAAAACAAACAATGTTACCTTAATGTAACTAAAAAAAGAAAATTTAAAGTATTTTTAAGGACTTTTTAGAAATTTTGAATATCTTTGGTTTCAGGATCTTATCATAGTGAATCTCTGGGAATTCTTGGAGTCACTCCAGCACTAAATAAGGCAACTTCTTTAGAAAGAAACAGTAAGTTACAGAATACTTCTTATAGATAAGTTTGTGTATTTTAAGTAATTTACGGCAGTTGCCTTTACATATAGGAAGTTATCATAACAAGATCAGATAGCATTGTGATCAGCACTTTGGACACCTTAATCCAGCAGTCTGAGTGGTTCACTGAGGTGTGTTCTTGGGTAAGACACCTCATTCTCATAGTCAGCTTCTGAGAAGTGAAGTAAACAGGGTTATTTTGCTATTTCCAACCCTTCCCCTCCGCTCCATGCCAAGGTAACCTGATAGAATTTTTGAGGCTTCCCTGACATTTTGCTGGTACCCTGTAATACTCCTGGGTGAAGACAGGTAATGCAAGAGTAAAGTATCTTGCCCAAGAACACAACATAATGACTTACTAGCCAGGCGTCAAACCTCAATATCTCCACTTAGAGTTCAGTCCAACCATTACAATACCACATCCCTCTCCCACCCCTCCACCCTAATGGGAAGAGACAGTGTGAAAATAAGATTTCCTTGCCAACAACAGAACAATTTAACCTGGTATTAAATGTCTTATTTTATTAGTGCTATAGTTATAGAAAAACTGTCTACAAGTTACTGATATTGCTTGGACATTGTAGGCACCAGTGAAAAATAGTATTATCATGACAAAAACAATAATTTGAAGGAATAAAATGTAAAAATGTGGTGATTTCAAACTAATCTAATGTGGTTATATTATTTTTTTTAGGTTTCATTTAGGCTGACTGTTTTATTTATGTCAATTTGTTTAAATTGTCTAATGTGTATCATCCTGATTGTTTTCACCCAGTTAAAAGTGGTTCTTCAGTGCCGCAGCGGGTGGTGTTTGTTGAGGAATTATCAGAGCTATTGACTGAGGGTTTACCTGATTTGTGGAAACTGGGCCAAGCTTACTTCAATGGAACCCTGATTGGAGATGTATGTTTGGTTACTTTCTTGTTAATGTTATTGTGCCTATCATTGACCTTCTGTTCAAAGTCTTAAAACCAGTTGTGCAGATATTTTTATGACCCTACTCTCTGTGTGGGCAGAATGGGACAAAGAAGATGATATGTATTTTTAAGTTATACATTGTTACACTTTATACATAATCATTTGATGAATCACACAACATCAGATTCATTTGATTAAAATAGATAGAAGGAAGTGAAGTATAGATGACCAAATTCATACAGATTTGACACTCTAGTAATATCATTCCTATACTTCTATGCTTCACCTTTGGAATGATTCAGTCATTTTTCTTTACCATAGTTATCATCTATAATTTTTTAAGCCAATCAATTCCAAATTCGAAATGCGTAGTTGGAAGACATATTAACTTAAAGGAATTTTACTCAATATTTAGTTTTATTACAGGCTGTTAACCATCTTAAAGTTTGTAATAATTTTTTTCTCCTATTCTTTGCCACCCATAGAAGTCAGACCCTTTATAAATCAAAGCAGCCTACTATTCCTCTAGTATCAGCACTTGTCTTTGTGCATATACTCCCATCTATATCAAATAACTTAAAGTTGACTTTTTTCCCTTTCCAAACAGTCCAGTGGGTCATCAAAGCAACTCAAGCCTACAGCACAAAAGCAAAAATCTTTTGAGGTATTTGCAGCAATATTTGTGCGTACATGTATGTTTAGTATTGATTTCGTGGAAGTATGATTAACTTAATCATGTTCTTGGTTGGAAAAAAAATGCAGGCCATGTATCAAGGAAAGGATTCTATCTTTTTACCTAATGTACATGTTGCCATGGTGTTCTTCCTGGTTTATTTTCTTTCAGGAAATGATACATGATGTGACATCATCATATGCAGATCTTGTTAAAGCAGCATTTTTTCCAAGTTCATCTACTGTGCTTAATGTTCCTTCTAAAGAGAAACAAGGATCTTGGCATACTCCTGTAGAGGGGATGGGTGCTTGGCTTCCATCCTGTGTCAGATATGTCAGGTAACTATTTTGATAGCATTGAAATGCCCATTCATTGATACATCCTACTCTGTGTGAACTTTTAATGACATTACCATATGGTTACACCATTATGGTTATGCACTGTTCTGCCATTTTACCAGATAAGGGCATCAGATCACTCAAAATATGCCATGGTATTAAACTGTGAGTAGAGCAAAACTACCAACAGAATGTGGAGCAACAAAATGGTCTCAGTGAACCTTGCAAACTTTAATTTTTTTTGGTTTCAGGTTTGTCTTTACTGAGCAACAAACTTTTGTAGGCATTTTGTTTCATCTGTATTGTTTGTATATGTTTTTTCTTTTACCCACACCTTATGACATCACTGAGATGCTCATTTGATGATGCTCCAGAAACTTTTGTGTGTTACATTTCCCCAACCTGAGTCTTTCTTATTTGTTTTAGTTTCAAACCTTTAGGGACAGTGTTTTGGCCAAGTTTGTAATTGACTCTACATTTACATACAAAGTTTTTCTTTAATGTGCATGTACACTGAGTCTTAAAACCTAATGTTGTTGTTAACAGATCTTGCATGGAGTCCCTACAAAGGTTAACTCTTCCAAATCAAGCTTTAGATGGTATTAAAAAGCTGGTTGGAGACCTGCGTATGCTCTGTGCTAAAGAAGTCTTTAAAGAAGCCACTGAAGGTTACATCTGTGAAGTCTTCACAATTCTGTTTTGAGTATCTCTGTCCCCTATGCCTTAACTAGTGTTTCCCATAAGTCTTTCTTTGTAAATGAAATAAGAGAGATGGCAACTGGAAACTTATCATCTCTCCTATTGTATTTACAAACATGACTTTCTTGACATTGCTGATCCTAGCAGTATGCATGGCACATGTCATGAACTTACTGAACTAACAGGTGTTGCTCACCATATAGTCTCTGTGACTTAGTGGTAGAGCATTGGAGTGCAGAATCTGAGGGTCAGAGGTTTGATTCCTAATTTTTTCTCTCCCATGCTTGTGACAATGGAAAAACAACATCCTTCTTTAAGTCTTTCTTAATTCAGATACTTTTTTTCAGACTTACAATTAGATAAAACTTGAATTTTCCATGTAGCATCAATAAGTTTTAATGGAAGAAGATGTACAATGAAGTATGTTTCTATGGGAATTAGAAATAAATTTATATTAAAGTTAAGAAAAAATACTGCTAATGGAAAGTCATACCAATCAAATTTTCCTCTGCATAACAGTTATGCCATTCTCATTAGGAACTTTTTGTTGGGACATTTACATTTTAGGGCCATTGTCTGGAGAAACTTAACTGAGCTGTTCTCTCCAAATCTTTATGTAGATATCAAATCACTACACTGCAGTGAGTTCTGGAGCTTGGAGCTGCAGGAAAATGTTGGTCGGATCACAAGCTTGGTAAGGTTGTTAGTTTGTATTTTCACTGGCCACTTTTAAACAAATGAAAAGAGCTAATTAAAAATACCTGTGTGCTCCCTCTTTTAGGATTTTCAATTTTCATTCTCCAGCTGATTACTTGTATTGATGACATAGGGTGTTCCATGTCAGTTTCATTGAGAATCAAATCAGGCTCTTTACCCAGTGTAACAAGATAACAATGGAAAATGCACTTACCAGCATTATACATCATGTAATAAGGTAATTGTGGAAAATGTGCATGGCAGTGTTTTACAATGGGTGATGAGATGATAGTGCAAAGTGCACTTGGCAGTTTACCATGGGTAATATGGTAAAAACAAGGTCATCGTGGATAATGTGCATGGCCATTCATTTTACAGTCTATCCCTTCCCAGCGTCTCAAAACTTTGTTATGAATATCTGTCTTTAATATATTGTAGCCTCTAATGTTTGAAAACATTGTCATGGAAACGCTCCATACACTACGAGAAATGGCTCTGAGTGGAGAAACAGATAAAAGGAAGGTAATAATTTCTGCATTTTGCATACTTAAGATGTCGTTGTCTTTTGGGGACTTTTCATAATAGTTATAATATGAAAACCAACCTAGTTGCTATTATTCATTTTGAACCATTTCACTCCCAAGATCACATTAGTTGTTTTCCTTACAGTGTGCCATACAGTTCTTATAATGTACATGTAAGTGTGGAGAATTTGGTATTAGATTAACTTATAATCCCCTAATTTATATTTTTCTTTATTCTCATCACTTATCCGCTTGATTTTATATTGATATTGTAAGGAAAAATTCTGTGTTGTCACTCATGGGAGTGAAAGGTTTAATGCCTTTTAATACAATATAGTACTTAATTTATATCCTTATTAATGGATTGTTTAATGGAATATTAATTTATCTGTTTGTGCAGAATCTGTTATTGGTACCTGAAGTGTTGTCTGCATTCCTGAGTGTACCATCGTATTTCAAATCCCAGTTTATTATCAATGAAAGTTTCCTTTTTGAATTTTGTTCACTCTTGTTATTGAAAACTTCTCTAATTAAGAGACTGAGATGTTTTTCATGCCTGTGTATGCAGAAATGCTGACAATTAGAAAAATAGTGTTTTGAAAATATGTAACAAGTTTGGTACATAATGTAGTAGGATCAGAAGATGGCAAATGTTGGCTTTGGTTGTCAAATGTAAAAAAAATGTTCATTTTCTTTTGTAGAATATACAGCTGAAAACAGATGCAGTTGATCTTTTCAAGGAGATGTTCCAGGTTTGTAATCATTGGTTTGAGTCATATATTAAGGAATTCCCCATCTGTGAGCCAAATGCAATTATTGCATGTATAGCAAGTTTGCATAACATCAGCATGGGTCTGAATGAACAACAAGTTTATCTTGGATAAATGAACAAATGAATGAGTAAACAGAGGAGTGAACAAAAAAAAAGGCTCTTTAATTTTATATTGAAATTTTTAATTTATTATCCTGATCAGTTTGTGTTGTGGTACAACTATGATAATGTTTTCATTTTTGACTTTTCAGGCTTTTATCAAGTGTCTTCACCATTTGGCTTTTCAACCAGATCAGGAGTCAGACAAAGTTTCTTTGTGAGTGATACATGATTTTTTTGCGAGACTTTTCAAGGTGAAAAGAATTCCTTTTCTTTAGCAACTTCACCTGTTTTGATATAAATGAACAACCTTTTTTAAGTGTACAATATGTCAAATCACATTTTATGATTTATCAGCATATCTGAAATCCAGAAGTCAGCTGCCTTCTCATTACATAAGGTCTACCATCAGCTTTTCTTGATAAATGTTTTGGGTTCTGTCTGACAAGCAGGTCTGGTACAAAGGGCAGTACTGGAGGTGGGTCTCAAGAGAATCTGGATATATCATCTCAGTCAATGGAAGACAATACACCAGATGTTGTAAGTTTTGTCAGAAGTTCTGGCAAATATTGTTTACAATGGTAGGCTTTTTGGGTTATAGAGGTTCATATGGAAGATCTTTTGCTAAAGCTTGGAAAATTCTACTTAATTTTAAAGCCAAAATTGTTTAATATACAAAACAAAAAGAATCAACAGTTTGTGACTGTGGTATTGTCCTGATTGTGAAGAGCAAGAGCAAAGTGTTGAATGTCTTGAAGCTTCTGATACAGGGCACCATGCAAGATCACACCCACCTTCGCAGTGCGAACTGAACAACGGTACTAGAAACAGGGTTTTATTGTCCAAGTAATCAAAATTGCTGATTTGTGATGAAAGTTTATCGCTACTTCTTTTAAGGCCAAACAAAGTATACATGAGCTACATGTATGTTAAAGCTGCCTAATGTTGCTCAGCAGAACTGTTTATTCCTTAACAAGGGCAATGTATTTAGCTTGCTAGCTAATCATTCTTACCTTAAAACATTATGTCGATGCCAAAACCATCTGAGGAAGTGAAGTTTAAAACATCAATCGCCATGACAATTATCGCCAGCCTCAATCCCAGCTATCTCTTGAAGTTTTTCTGAAGAAGCGGGTTGTTTTAGAACTAAGTCTGCATTTTACCCCTGGTCTGGTCTGCAGTCTTCAGTCTGCATTTTACACTCAGTCTGCACTTCACCACCAGTCTGCAGTCTGTGTTTTTCTCTGACCGATATCAAAAGCAAAAAGTTGACCATATCAAAAGTCAACTTGACCAAATAAAAAGTCAACTTGACCATACAAAAAATAAAAAGTTGAGTTGACCATATGAAAAGTAAAAATTGATGTTATTAAAAGTAAAAAGGGGACCACATAAAACTCAAGTTGACCATATAAAAAGTAAAAAGTAGACTGTATAAAAAGTTGAATTGACCATATAAAAACTAAACTGGGTCACTGAAATACAGAGGGAATATTGACTGGTTTGGCACCCCTTGGCACTCCCTCCCCCGTATTCGGGAAGTGGTCAGGTAATCAATTATTCCTTTTAAGTAACCACGTGAAAGCATTCTCTTCATGACTTATCAAACTTGTCTGGCAATATATACTCTATTTCTCTACAAAATTTATTGTGTGTATTTCATTTGATCTGTTTTTTAACCAGGATGAAAGGTTGCTGATTGTGCTCAATAACTGTCGATATGTAAGAATCAATGTCCTTCCAAAACTGGTGGACAGCTTTAGAAATAACGACTATCCTATCAGTGACAAGCTTAAAAAGGTAATTTAACTGCAAAAAAAGTACACTGTGCAGTGTATTTGAAAATCAGCTTTGGTGTACTTGAATATGTATAAGCATGCAAAGTTAGTGAAGCCAAAAGCCTGTAAATAGATACTCTATGTACAAGGCAGTCACACTTTTTTGTTTTTCGTTTTTTTGTTTATTTGTTTTTTCCAAGTCAATTCTGAAATAATTCACTTACTAAATGGAGTGAGTACAACCTGCAGGCATGGTTAGCTATAAGTCAATGCTTCTAATAAATGTTGACATCAACATGTGTCATGATTATGTATTATTCTACTTAAGATATATTTCTTAGTTTATTATTCCAAACTTTGGTTCAAAAATGGCTAAAAAAAGATGTCAATAGGTTTCTTTATATTTACTTGTCACTTTGCCGCTTATTTCCAATGAGTGGATGCTACATAACAATCATTCATTCATTGTCATAAGGATCTCACCAGTGAATTGTGTGATTTGGAAAACAAAATCTTCAAGGAATACATTGATCAGAAAGCTGAGCCACTGTTGACCCATGTGGAGTCTGGGATGACAATAGGTGACTTCAAATGGCACAACTGTCTTCCTCCAAAAGGTACAGGGATACAGAAATGTCAACAGTAGACTGTGTTAAAAAACACACCTTCGCTTTGTGTGTGATTGCTTTTCTTGACTTTCAGAAGCATTTTTATGAGTTTTTTTCCCTTTTGTGGTTATGCAGATGTGCGCAGCTATGTTAAAGATGTTATAATGAACTTGGTTACTGTACATGCACAGGTGGGTGGCAGTATGTGTAACCTGATCTTATAATGCTGAGAAGTTGCTGCAGTGCAAAATAAGGAGCAGACAGAATAACAGAAGTAACACACAAACAAACAGACAAAGCAGCAGAATGGTAAACAAACATGAACACACACACAGACACACCCTCTATTAACAGATGGCTGGAAAGCAGGTGTGTTGTCAGACAAATGCAGAGAGGTAAACAAGTATAGGAAAGCAGACAAACAGGCAAAAATACCAACTAGTGGAAAATCAGGGAACAGTGTGGAGAAAGAGATTACAGGCTAACCAATGCAAAGGGATGAGAGTAAAGATAAATAGATGGTCTTTTTTTAGCATTTGATTGTAGCTCTAAAGTTAGCTTTTGTATTTTTACCTCAGGTGTTTGCAGTATCTGAGGAGCTTGTAAGTCAGGTGTTGTCCCATTTGACTGACATGTTGGCAGATGAGTTCTGCAAGCTCATTAGTGGGGTGAAAACATTTACTTCAGCTGGAGCTGTTACCGTAAGTTAAATACAGATGTATTTTTTATTTCAACTTAGTTTATGATCAGCTGAGAATTTGCTGTAAGTTTTACCAAACAACCTGATGGCTGTATCCTTATCATAGGAAAACATTGCTATGAGGCTCCTATGTCTTCAAACCTGAGATTCTTGAACTTGAAAACCATTGAGTCATGACAACAGACTGTATAATTCTGAATTAGTCTAGGTCGACTGTCTGAGCTCACACTCGAAGAAAAAAGATGGTTGTTGGGTTTATATTATGAGTGCATACAGAGGAAGAAACAAAATTTCTCTGTGACCTCTATGATGGAGTAAACTTAGATAATAAACTATCTGCCTCAAATTCGTGACCCTTACAACACGCAATAGTCTAGCTTCGTCATTTATCCCAGAGTATATACCAAAGTCAACTGTCATGCAATGTCCTACAGATCACCCATGTTTCCTTTTATACACACACACCTCTAGACACGTGTATATACAGAAAAAATATTACTTTTTAAATATTACAAGGTAGGTAATCCAAGTTATAATGCAGGAGAGTGTTTGTATTTAATAAAATCTTGACAATGTTCTCAGAACTCTTTTAAGAATTTTTAATTTTTTCCACCTTCTTTTAACTCAGGACACAGTTTGAAGAATATGTGTCAAACAGAGTTATTAAGTTAAACCCTTAAAAAAAACTAGAGGTGGTAGCTCTCGATAAATTTTTGTAGGAACAACATCCTTTGCACAATCAGAAAGTTGGGTGTGGAAGTGTTTAATATGCAATAGTCCTTCTGTATTCTGATTGGCTGTACTTTCTATGGCTTAGTTTATTAAGACCTGTTTGTTACTGTCATCTCTCAAGTAATATGTACCAACAAAACTCATCTGTCCTCCAAACAAAAGAGTAGAACAAATTAATCTCTTTGATCAGGAATTGTACATTTGATTAACAGCATCCTTTTTTTTAAGGCACATTTGGAGGCACAAGCTATTCAAGAAGCACTAACAGCTTATCTCTCACAGTATGCTAGGTGTGTTTGTTTGTTTTTACTCTGTATTAGGAGTTGCGCTCATGGGAAAGCTTCTTTCTTCCTTCTTTTTGTCAGTTCCTTAGATCTTCTATTGTAAAGTCTCCTCTCTTTTAGGGTGCAACCAAGGCTCATGATCAATAATCTGAATTAACATATGTTTTGCTTAATATATCTTTCGTTTTGTTCTTTTTAAGTGTACAGGATAGACATTTGGTTTCCTATCCTTTAAGCTTCTGTTTCAGTTCACAGGATTTGATGTTAAGAAATCGTGTTGTATTTCAGGGATTTATTCCAAGCCGCATTCAGTAAGGTGCCCAGCATTACTAAAGATTCAGATAAGAGGTGAGGTGGACCATGAGGTCTTCGCACTCAGGGAGTGAACAAGAAGGGTATTTGGGGGCGGAAATTGTAGAAAGAGGGGTGAGAATGCTTCCCTGTGTATATTAATGTATCGCTGATTGCCGAACCTTGTTAGCTTTTCTCGCAATCAAAAAGGAAGAGTGGGAACGAGTTACTGCCTAATATCTAGAGTTTCTCACCTGTCTTTTACTATTTTACCTTGTATTGAATATGTTAATACCTCAACCATACGGAACCCGTGGTTTACACACTGAGAAACACTTCAATTTTGGGTGTAAAGTTTTCTGCGGACAGTTAATTATAACACATGAGAACTTTTCTGTTTTTTAAGATCATTTTTTCCTTGTTTTGAAAGCCACGGTATATGATAGTAATGTTTCTTTGTTACAGATTAATAGAAGCTTTGATGACAACTTTCAAACGGCGCATGCGCTTCCAGCTGCTGTGTTTTCAGGTCGATATGGAGGAGCTATGACCTCATAACAGTTCACAGTCTTCTTGTCCAGTCTTAGATTATATAAGGTCAAGAATAGATAAGATGTCAGCAACATAGTGAGAGGTTGGGTGCAATGCCTTGAACCCCATGTGTAGATGTATGCACGCTTTGTCCGGCATTCTGTCTCCCTCTCTTACTGAAAAGGTAGCAAATGCTCGGTTAAATCTATTTCATGGAATAGATCGATTGTTCGATGTTATAATTGTAATTGACCATACTGGTTGTTCATCAAACAACATCTTAACCCTTTACACCCTAACACCATTATGCATATTCTCTATACTATTCTCTATACATTCCCTAGGTTCTAACAAGGAGAATTTGTAAAACCATCAAGAGCTTTGTTAGTTGTTGATCATTTCCTTTATTCTCGTGACTTTTTATTCAGGGGTGATATTGTAAGGAGAAATTAAAACCTTGTCACTCTTACGGGTTAAAGGGTTATTTGCATAATGCTAACTTGTAGTCATACCAACATCATGAAGAGGTCTTGTGAGTGCCTATCCGTTGGGCTTTTTGGCGTCTGTATCATAATATTCAAACAGGACCATTTATGAAATAAATCTTTATTGTGTCGAATACATATGATTGTTTGCATAGGTTCTTGGATAAAAGATAATTGATAGACTGTTAAGAAATTAGATCAGGGAACACATTACAAGTCCAGACAGTAGATTTGCCTTTCTCGCTCGCTTAGGATGGTCCGCTTTGTTTCACCAAGAAAACCTTCTTTCTTAACTTTTATTCCTTCAAAAGGATAACTCGGTTTTTATCAGTAGTTGGAGGCGAGAAACGGAGCGGCCCCCGCGCATACCTTTGCGAAATGTGGTAAAATTGTTCAGTTATAGAATAAACCGTCATGGTAGAAACATATCTGATCAAGGCTGAACACTTGACAAAAAAAAAAAAAAAAGCCAATATCCAATCCAATAACCAATAATCCCGGAAAAAGTCTACGATGTGAAATGTTTGATCTGATTCCATCAGCATTTCGCTAATACAGGCAGACGACAAACCTTGCAGTTATTTGCAATTATTCATAAATTTTTAACATATTTCAAGAACACTGTAAGAAAATGAACAATTTGAATTAATTAAGTACAAGAATATATCTTAAATAGATTCACTATTTGGTCACGGAAACTTGCTGATTTGATTATAATACCTATTAACAGAATTATTTAAAAATATAAATGCTCCAAGGTCATTCCTTAGAATTGTATTGTTTTTTGTTGTTGTTGTTTATATTTATAAACCCGTTTTCAAAAACGTCGCAAAATTACGTTTTTGAAAATGTGTGTATATATATATATATATATATATATATATATATATATATATATATATAAAAAACCCGGAAATTATGCATGATTAGCACCCCATTCGTGTTTTAAGGCATGAGGTCGATGGCAACGATGATGATGCCGAGGGTGAACTGACCTTCTCTCAATTTTGTTTCGATCCCTACACACCTTGCTCTTAACGCTCAAACTATAGGCCGCACTCCTTTTGAAAGGAAAGGGTTAATTTTCTTACAAACGAGTAAGCTGACATTTAAATTTTGCGTTTCTTTTGAATTTAGTGAGAACTTCTTTTCTGTAAAATAAAACGGAGCAATACTTTTTACAGAATGAGATATGTCAAATTCAAAGCAATCGATCACCATTTACGAGGTGCTGCTACTTTTGAACGAAAATCCCAATAAAAAATGCGTGATCATTTCAAACTGGTTTTGTTGCCACCAGGTACACAGACAAACGGTTTGTATAAATTTGATTAAAAATCTCAGAAGAAGTTGACTCAGCTGAAACATTTTCAGGCTTCGGAAAAACGTAAAATCCATTTGACCTTGACAGGTTATCGTTGACGACTGCCCTACCTTAAAATCCCTCTGCAACTCCTAGCGATCAATTTAAGACACAAAAGGAGAAATATTGAAATTGGTTAACCTAACCCAGTAACGAGGATGCATTTTTTTTTTCATTAAATAAAAAGTATATTGTCTTTCTCCGTTAGCACTTGCTTAGAAGGTCTCTAAAATCAGAGTTGAAGACAGGTTCAGCTGGAAAAAGATGTTGAATGGTTACACACACCGTTACTAATAAAACTCCGCGCTGCTTTTGAAGCACCTTGCTTGCTAAGACCTTGCTTTGTTTTATGAAATAAAATTCCACAACAAGAAGGGAGGAAACATTTCTCTTTTTAAACTATGTGCTACGTCCTAAGAAACATGGGCTAAAATGCATTTTAACGCAAGGTAAAGTTAAATAAACTACGAGTTGAGAGGAAACATTTCAGCAGTTGCACGACTGTTCAATTCTATTACTGTAAACGTTTCTCGCATCCTCCTTAGTCACTCTTATCAGGCCCTCAGGTACAGGTCATCTGATGTGGGGCTTTTTAATGCTTTTGAAGTTATCGCTTGAATCTTATAACCAATTTGTTTCATGTTTAACCCTCCAGACAAAAGCTTGCAGTCACTGAGTGCTGCATCAGAGAGATCTTCAGCGACGGCCTTCAAGGGAGGCATCATTGCTTCAATATCTGGTAACTCCCCATTTGCTTCATCTGCCATCAGTTTTGCTCGTGTTGTCGTTACATTCACGAGGGTTGCGCAACTTTTAATGGATTCATTAAGTTTTGCTAATCGGCGCTGGGATTCTTTTATTTGTTGCTTTCTGGCTTTCAGCGATTCCAGCTCTTGGCTTTCCCGTCTCATTTTCTGTTGTTCTTGTTCTTTCTCGTTTTCCAGGTTGGAAAGCTCTGTTTCCTTGCCTTTGACACGTTTTGTAATGTCAGTTACGCGAGATGACGCTTCATTAACAGCTTGTTCAGCATTGGAAACATTGGTGCTTTCAACAGCATCAGCTATGGCGAGACCAGCCACGGCTCCTAAAGGTCCAAGAACGAATCCTCCAAAAAAAGCACCTTTGAGCCTTGCATCTTTGCGTCCTTTTTCAGCCTTTTTTAGTTTTCTTTCCCTTTCTTTTTGAAACTTTCGAGCTGATTCCAGTTTGGACTCTTCGTAGGATAGTTGCTGCTTCACTTCATTATACTCCTGCTGTAATACTTTTACGTTTTCCTGTAATTTGGCCAAACTTTGTCTTGTTTGATCGAGACGATCGCCTGTAGATTTCTCCTGTACCACAACCCTCAGAAAGTCATTTTCCAGCTCACTATTAATTTTGTTTATCGCAGAATCAGCCAAACAAAAGGCTTCATGAGCACTATTTACAAGCTCAAGAAGACCAGGCATCATACGCCGGGCAGCGGTTACACTAATATGGCGCGCAAGTGGTGCTGAATCCAGAATCAGGACGAAATTTTCTAGCGACGTGAGGCCTCTACAAAAATGTGGAGCGACAAATTCCTTTACATTGTCCACAGCATCTGATAAAAAACAAATGAAAATAGTTTATTTAATTTGATTAACTGAAAAAAGGAAAGAAGGATTTTCGAAGATCGAAGCATCGTTGTGGAATCCTTTAGACTTTTTTCCCTGTTTGTCAGTTATTTGTGTATCGTTTTTTTCTGCCTTTTCCTTCTACTCGCGTGTGATTTTCTCCTTTATTTTTATCCTTTGCATTGCTGGTTCTTAAAATGGCCAATATTCAATGTCATTACAGCCCGTTAACCGATGGATTACCAGATCTCCTTTCTCTAAAGGAATGAGTAGGAAGATAAAATCGGGACAACAAATGAAGTACAGTGCTTGTCACACAGCAGAAGTTTAGCACTTTAGTCCCACAACAGATGATCACATAACGACCTTAATTTTTCTATATCTCACTATGCACTGAACCTAAAGAGCAGTTTGGACATTTATCGTCTAAGGAGATAAGAAAGATAAGAAATTAAATGACATTTCTACTAACGGGGTTTCACAAGGTATCTCGCTTATCACCTGTTTTTTTCCCGGGATTGGCACTAATGCATTGGTCACAGAGATCGTATTCACATTTGTGGCAATGCCACGGCCAGTTTTCATTTGGGTTCCTAAACAAAGATCGGCAGTTATCACATCTCCAGCAACCTCTGAACTTTGGGTAGACATCCAGTGCGCATGCTCTGAACAATGCATGCTCGTGCAGGCTGGTGAGGTAATGCTTGAAACAGTCACGGCAAATATTAAAATTGCACTCTCCACAACGACGGGATAGCCTGTAAAGTGAGAATCAACCAAACTTTCAACGTGAACGAAGTTTATCCTTTCGAAACACCTGAAGCAAAACCAGGAAAATGTAAAGACCCAACCCTGCGATTTTTCTTCAATTCACAATTTTTAAACTCCTCTCCCGTTCCTTTTTAACTTGTAGCATCATATTTATCCCATATGCAAAGGCTTCCAGGTCAATTTCACAGTTGATCTAAGTTTCCGATGTTCAAATTTTACCTACTGTTTTTTTTTTTTTAATTTTTAATTTTTTATTTTTATTTAAATTCAACTCTTGAAGATTTTCAGTTCAGTCAAAGAAGGAATTCAGAACATTACCTAAACACTATTTCAAGGTTAGCGTAATCATTGGATTTAGTTAGCAGTACTTGGTAAATCAACCCCTTCAAGCGGCTGGTATGTCGGCTGATAATCTCCGCGGCTGCCCTCTACGTTTCGCTTTCGACCAAATATTCATTTTTCGGACAGTCTCTCTGCCAAGGTACATTATCAGCCGACATACCAGCAAGCCAGAAGAGGTACTAATTATTACCCTCCCATTAAATCTCATATCTCGGTCCGTTGAATGGAAATTTTGTTTACTTTTGTTTACTTTCCAGAACTGCATTTGAGATCAGCTATTTTATGTTATTACCACTGGCCTCTGCATCACTTTTCTTCCATGTAAAGTAATAAAGATGAAAAAGCAAAACTCTTGAACTGGCTTTTTTGTGCTGGCTTTGTTTTTTTCGACGGAAATAATCGGAGGACAAGTATCTTCAGAAACAAGGGTTTTTTTTGTGATAACTGTCCAGTGATTTTGCACCACTCGACGAACATTAGCCAATACAATCGCGCGAAGATTAGTGGATGGGTTATAACTTTGAATACCCATGCAAATAACTTGACGTGAGCGAGTACATATACAACTGACCGCAAACTTACTTTTCTTCGGTTTTGTCATATTTGCAGAAGTCACAAGACCAGCTGTTGCAAGTAGAGGAGACATCTATCACTTGAAGTTGATGTTCATGGCTAGGATGTTGGCGTGGGTGAATGCAGTCAAGACATAAGTTAAAGTTGCAGCTATGGCAACGATAAGGAAACTCTTCATTTAGGTTTTCATTATATCTTTTACAAAAGTCACAGTACCGCCTGCCCCAGGTACTATTCTGGGCCATTGTCGTTTTCTTTAAAGAGGATAACGAAGAATTAGTCCATAGTTAGCTTACTTCAATGACCTACGGAGAAAAATGAACAGCAAATTTCTTTGAATTCTCAACCTATAGTTTGCAGGCCAGTTGCCACTAGGATTATCATCAAAGGAATTATTCAAGACAAATAATCACATTTCTTGTTCTAACACTATGGCTATGATAACCTTAAGGAAATTGCTTTTTTAACATACTGAGACTTCTGAAATGACGAAGTCAGTGATAAACTGATTGACATAGAAGTTCTACATATTCAAGAGGACATATTTCATTTTCTCTTGCCATCTTGATCTGAACTTGACGTGAAGAAACATTTCCTACGTACATTTGAAGCAAATGAAAATGTTCAGTTAGGCGAATCAAGACCAATCAACGGCGGAACTGACACATGTAGGAGAAATTTCCTTAAACCCCTATGTAAATTTATGTAAAAAACCAGCCTTACAATACATTCTATGTTTGACAAACTTGAACAACAGATGAAGTAAAACTACCTCCCGTGATACATGAAAATAACCAAAACCCTCTAACAAATATTTCTTGCGGCAACTAAATTGTAAGTCGTCTTTTTCTCCTCTTGGCCCCGGTTGTTCGAACGTCGGATAACGCTATCCACTAGATAAATCTCTATCCGGTGGATAACACTATCGTTTTGCCATCACTTATCCGCTGGATAGCGATTTATCCGTTGGATAGCGTTATCCGCCCTTTATTAAAATGGGCCCTGTTCTTTCTTCTGCGAAAATGCAATTTCCTTCTGAAGTCGGCCGTTTAAATGCTGTGTTTTTAACAAGGTTTGTAACACCTTGCTGCATCAGCCAATCCCAGTTAAATAAGAAAAAAAATTCTAAGAAAAAAAGCCTTGCCGTCGGGAATATGATGATGATATCTACATTCAATTGATCTTAATGTTATGAAGCATTTAGTTATTTTATTATAAGTAAGTCAGTTGGTTAGTCAGTTCGGTATAATTAAATTTTTCTCTTTTTTTAGAAAGTATTTAATGCATGAATTCGAATTCCGGAGTTACTTGGGTTTGAGCTGTCGTGATGAGTTTCTGAATTGTGACAGTCTTTTCTAACTTCCTCAAGTGGACGAGTTTAGTTTGTTTACTGACCTTGCTTTGGACCCACACGAAAGTTCTTGTCAAAATTGACTCAATTGATCGGAAGCATTATTATTAAGTACTTTGAAAATCAGATCTAAAGTCTCGTGAAATTGTTTGCTTTAGCGTTGTAACAACAAATGTTTGATCTCCCAGTCAGTAATGAATATATAAGTTGTGGAGCCTAGAGAAAAGGAATAGGGACTTTGTCGCATGCGACAAGACAAGAAGAATGAAGACAGGCTTACGACACGAATTGTTTCAGTGAGAATAAATCAAACCTTGACAACTCGCAGAATGAACTCTAGATAAGTCATGTCGTAGGCCTGTCGTAAGCTTGTCGAAATGACGACAAAGTCTTAGTGCCTAAATAGGGCATGTTGAACTCGATAATTGGTCCCCCACCCAACCATTAATAGTGTAACATTCTCGGTGGATTTACTAGTCGTAACATTAAAACAGCGGTCAAAGTCCGCCAGCTAATACAACTTCCTAAAGGTTGAGTACTGCATGAAATATGGTAATGAACAGTGTGAAGAGGAAAAAGGAAACCACTCTCACTGTAATTTTTAGAAAATGCCAGATATTTTAAAACTTGCTCTTCAATCAAAGGCAGCTCATGCTATGAAACATCCTGTCAAAGAGATGTTGGAGTGTCGTGTTCAGATATAGAAATAGTCACCAGACATTTTCTTGAAATATCCAAAGCGATGTTTGTAGAAAATGCTTTGTTAAGTAAAAGCTGGATTGAATGCAATGTTGCGTTACGTTTGTCCGTTTTTGAAAACTTCCTGTCTTAAAGGTTAAGTGCTGCATGAAAAATGGTAATTAACAGTGTGAAGAAGGAAAAAGTAAACCACTCCTATAAAAATTATTTTAAAAAATGCCAGATATTTTGAAATGTGCCCTTCAATATGGAACGTTCTGTTAAAGAGATATTATTGGATCGCCTTGTTTAGATATAGAAAAAGTACCCTGACATTTCCTTGAAATCTCTAAAGCGATGTTTCTAGAAATTGTTTTGTTCTATGAAGCTGGAACAAAGAAATCCTTGAGATCTCTGAGGCGATGTTTGTAGAAAATGCTTTGTTCCGTAAAAGCTGGTGTGTGGATACCGGAATTGAATGTAATATTGCGTTACGTTTGTCCGTCTTTGAAAACAGTTCCTGTCTTAACAAGTGAGGACTCAAGTTTGTAATGTTGTGAATTCAAATAAGTTATAAATTGTATAATAGATTAGTGGTGAGAGATACGAACTGTGTACTACTAGAAGTATGAAAATTACTATGATCAGTCGAGGCCAATCTGTTCCAGAACAGAAAAGATCCTAACTTTCGCTATGTGACTTGTAAGCGATATGTTTCCGTTGAATGCAGTAGAGAATAATTAGAACATGTAATATGGAGTTTAGAGATATTTTTTTCCTTTTGCACTCATCGTCATTCAGAAATAAACTACCTGGAGTAAAAATTTTTAATCTATCACTTAACTATTTCATTTCGAACTATATCTCTTAAAATCTTTTGTTGAAGAGGTTTAGTGCTCAAGTCAACAAATGGTGTAATTTTAAACATAAACATATTCCAGTAGATATTTTAGAAAAAAAATAATAAACATATTCCAGATAAATGCATATTTTGGATAAACCAACCTTGCCACAAAGATTCTCTTATATTGTTGCACTGGCCTGAAAAAAGTGCTGAAAGGGGGGTGCTCTATGCACCCAAGCATCCTGGTTGTTTACAGGTAGTAAATTGCGGCAACTCTCGCTCAACTTAAAAACGTCTTGTCAGAGTACCCCTCACTGAGATGATTACCCAAGAGAGTGGGTAAGAAATACCAAAAGAACGAAAGCTTGTCTAGGATTCTGCTTTTGAAACTGCGAAATAGTACAATACAATTAGTTAGAAAACACACTAACCGGCCAAGAGCCCGTCATCTTGTGATGTCAGTATCTGCCATCTAACTACCACAGAAATAATTCCTTCTCGTGCTTCGAAGGCACAGAAGCAAAGGTAAACCTTACTTTGCTGATAAAACGGTCGTAGAAATCTTTCTCGAAAACAAGGTCCTTGCCGTGAGGCTCACCGGCCTCCATGCTTACTCAGAGTCAAAAGTCTGATCAGAGTGAAATATTAGTTAGCTGGGACAATTTAACTTTGCTATTATCGTGGTAAAACAGACAGTCGCTCTTCGTGTCACAAACCAATAAATCTGTAGATCACGGACAGAACATCCCGGGTGCAACAACTGTTACTTTATAGTCACGTTATGCAGTATAAACACGCTATCGTCAAATGTCATGATACTTTAGGGCTTAGTTAAGCCGTTCTTGTCTCTGAATCATTCTGCAATAGTGAAAATTGCCATTCATGCTATGATTGCGTAGTCATTTCCAAAGAGAAACTGTGCGAAAGAGTCCTAAATTTACGTAGCACTCCTAAAGCGCAAGCCGCGGGGATCCTCGCGCATGGTTACCTTTTAATCGTCAACTTCAATTAATTTCACGTTCGAAGCCAAACACCTCTCTTTCACTTACTAATTGAGCACACTCGCTTTACAGTGACAAGCCTATGGATCATTTTACGCTACCCTGGTGAGAATTTTTTTTCTTGAACAAAGCTCGTCACGAACGTGTCTAATCCCAATTTGCCGACATTGAAACTACAGAGCACATTCACTGACAAATGTCCCACATTCAATGATTACAAATGTTTGCATTTATGAAGGATGTAACATGGTTTTGTCATGAATTACGAGATTGATTGTCATATCGAAAAGAAGATGACTGGTGATATAGAGTCTGAAGGTTACGCAGTCCTCGAGAACTTAAAGGAAATCGCTCTTTTTAACACACTGAGATTTCTGAAATGATGATCTGATAAACTGACTAACTCACTAGCCCCGTCAAGTTATTTCAACATTAAGTGTTCTGCATTATGAAGCGAATGAAGCAAATTTTTTCTTGCTATCTTTCATCTGAACTTGACCCGAAAAAGCAGAAACATTTCCTTCGTATATTTAAAGTAAAACTGTGAAAATGTTCCCTTGAGCGAATCAAGACCAATCAACAGCGAAACTGACGCAGGTAGGAGAAATGTCCATGAACTCTTACTGTGGTATTTTATGTGAAAATCAGCCTTACGATAAATCAGTTCTACGTTTGACAAACTTGAATAATAGATGAAATTAAACTACCTCCCATAAAAGAATAAACTGACCACAAACCTGTAGCAAATATTTCTCAAAGAACCTAAATTATAGGTCGCCTTCTGCTCTCTCTTCTGAGAAAATGCAATATCTTGCTAAAACTGGGCCGTATAAATGCTGTTTTTCAAACAAGGCTTGTAACACCTCACTGTATCAGCCAATCCCAGATGAGATGAAGCAGAAAAATACAATTCTTAGATTAAAATGTAACCATGCGCGAGGATCCGCGCGGCTTGCGCTTTAGGAGTGCTACGTAAATTTAGGACTCTTTCGCACAATTTCTCTTTGGAAATGACTACGCAATCATAGCATGAATGGCAGTTTTCACTATTGCAGAATAATTCAGAGACAAGAACGGCTTAACTAAGCCCTAAAGTATCATGACATTTGACGATAGCGTGTTTATACTGCATAACGTGACTATAAAGTAACAGTTGTTGCACCCGGGATGTTCTGTCCGTGATCTACAGATTTATTGGTTTGTGACACGAAGAGCGACTATCTGTTTTACCACGACGATAGCAAAGTTAAATTGTACCAGCTAACTAATATTTCACTCTGATCAGACTTTTGACTCCGAGTAAGCATGGAGGCCGGTGAGCCGCACGGCAAGGACCTTGTTTTCGAGAGAGATTTCGACGACCGTTTAATCAGCAAAGCAAGGTTTACCTTTGCTTCTGTGCCTTTGAGGCATGAGAAGGAATTATTTCTGTTGTAGTAGTTAGATGGCAGATATTTAAAATCACATGGTTTATTAACCAACTGTTGGAACCTAACATGAGCAAGATGAACTAATTGTGGAATAAATCCTGACATCACAAGATGACGGGCTCTTGGCTGGTTAGTGTGTTTCTAACTAATTGTATTGTACTATTTCGCAGTTTCAAAAGCAGAATCCTAAACAAGCTTTCGTTCTTTTGGTATTTCTTACCCACTCTCTTGGGTAATCATCTCAGTGAGGGGTACTCTGACAAGACGTTTTTAAGTTGAGCGAGAGTTCTTAAATGCCGCAACTTTACTACCTGTAAACAACCGGGATGCTTGGGTGCATAGAGCACCCCCCTTTCAGCACTTTCTTTCAGGCCAGTGCAACAATATAAGAGAATCTTTTGTGGCAAGCGTTGGTTTACTCCGCTATAAATATGCATTTATCAGGCTATTTGCAGAATTAACATCGAAAGTGAGTATTATTGTTTTTTCTAGGGATCCAATATCTACTGGAATATGTTTATGTTTAAAATTACACCATTTGTTGACTTGAGCACTAAACCTCTTCAACAAAAGTTTTTAAGAGATATAGTTCGAAATGAAATAGTTAAGTGATAGATTAAAAATTTTTACTCCAGGTAGTTTATTTCTGAATGACGATGAGTGCAAACGAAAAAAAATATCTCTGAACTTCATATTACATGTTCTTATTATTCTCTACTGCATTCAACGGAAACATATCGTTTATAAGTCACACAGCGAAAGTTAGGATCTTTTCTGTTCTGGAACAGATTGGCCTCGACTGATCATAGTAATTTTCATACTTCTAGTAGTACACAGTTCGTATCTCTCACCACTAATCTATTATACAATTTATAACTTATTTGAATTCACAACATTACAAACTCGAGTCCTCACTTGTTAAGACAGGAACTGTTTTCAAAGACGGACAAACGTAACGCAACATTGCATTCAACCACGCCCGGGAAAAGGCACCAAGACTCTCGAATTGTCTATTTCTACTTTCTTTAATTACTCGGTTCTCTGGTACACAATTTTACTTATATCTAAGCTTATTTCATTCTGTGAAACTCATAGGTAATCCCATAGGCTCTCACACTTTGATTCTCACTGGATACTTCTTCTTCAACCGCGGAATTCTGACTCTACTCTACTGCACACTGTCTACATTCTTCTTGACTTCCTTTCCCTCTTCCCTTTTCTCTCTATTCTCTTTTCTCTTTTCTCTCCACTCTCTTCCAAGTAAACTCTAAAGAACATACTTATATATTCATTACTGACGGGTACGGGTGGGCTTGCCAGCTAAAGGCCTATTTACACGGCACGACTTTGTAGACTGGTTGACCTTGGGAGATCAAACAAGCGAGTTTTTTGATTTACACGAAACAATTCGTGTCGTAAGCCTGTCGTAAGCTTGTCGCATGCGACAAAGTCGTACCGTGTAAATAGGCCCTAACTGACCCTGGGAGATCGAACATTTGTTGTTACAACGCTAAAGCAAACAATTTCACGAGACTTTAGATCTGATTTTCAAAGTACTTAATAATAATGCTTCCGATCAATTGAGTCAATTTTGACAAGAACTTTCGTGTGGGTCCAAAGCAAGGTCAGTAAACAAACTAAACTCGTCCACTTGAGGAAGTTGGAAAAGACTGTCACGATTCAGAAACTCATCACGACAGCTAAAAAACCCAAGTAACTTAAGATCAATTGTAGAATTCGAATTCATGCATTAAATACTGTCTAAATAAAAAGGCAAAAATTTAATCATATTGAACTACATTTTTGTTTAACCAACTGACTTCATCTATTGTTTCAAATAGGCTGTTTTTTACATAACATAGGGTTAAATACTTCAGTTCCGCCGTTAACATTAAGATCAATTGTAGAATATCATATTCAAGTTAATCGAGTCATTCCTGATTCTTGGGTATGGATATCTTCAATTCTCCCTGACCTTATTTCAGACCCAAATGTTTTATTATCCACAGCCGTTTCTAGTTGTGGTCGCTTGGCAAATCCATTGCGCTTTGTTGTAGCATATTTTAACTTCTCATCAGAACCAAAGTCAAATATTGTTGAAATTCTCCAGAAAATTTTGTTCGAATGATACAGTTTCGTTATTTCCCTTTCTCTGTTACTCGCTTTAAGCTGAAAACATTAAACACGTCTATGCGCCCTCGTGGTTCCCTAGAACCGAAACCATAACTGATTTTGGATCATTGCGGTCAAAATCTGTTCTGATCTCGGGCCAAAATGAGTTTTAATTTCAGTACATTTTGCCTCTGTAGACTCTTTTTTATGAGCTTACGTTCGCATGAAGTTAATCCATAAGTCTGATGTATTCAACAACGATTTGATGCTTGCGTGTTGGCCACGAGAAGTCAGATACCAATGCAAGGCACATCCTTGGCTACTTACCATTAAATATCCGTTGCCCCTTGGACTAGTTATTTAATATACAGGCAAAATCGAAAGATCTTGTGGTTAGTGTCTCATATAAAAGTTGTGGTGATGGTGCTCTCCAGTTACTCAACCCTTCCCGACATGGCGTCATATGTGAGTTGAGTTCGCCGAGGGTTTTTCTCCGGGTCCTTCGGTTTTCCTCCCTCCGCAAAAACTAAGATTTTCAAGTCCCATGCCAACTTGGAAACGGCGGACAAGAAGAGCCATCTCGTGGATTGTCCATTGCTAAATTCCCATTTTTTACCATTTACTCAAATTCTTTAGTGATTTCCCTTAGTTCTTTCTAAGCGCTTCTTGTCTAATGTTTCTGGTATCTTCATGAACAGATCATGGCTGAGCCTAGCACCACTGTGATAGAGGATGTCAACAAGGCCATGATCAGGGCCAACTCAGGAAAAGACAAGAATGAAACAGCTTTGTTAATGATGTCTCCTAGCATGAACTGGGCAGAATTCCTTACACCAGCACCCATGTCCATCGCACTTCTGGGGCAACTGATGCTGATAGCTGGAGAAAAGGATTTCTCACTGGAAAGTCAAAAGCCGAAGGACGGTTTCCAGTTCATCCAGCATCCAAGATCATTTAGAGCATGTCTGGTGCAAGTGAGCAACGCTGGGTGGCGAGCTTTCAATGAGGCTCATAAGGTATCATTCTTGGTTCCCAACATCATCCCAATTTGGTTAACTAAAGGTCGTGACTCAATTGTTCCTTAGATTTTTCTTTCTGAGGGCCCTTAGCTTTGATAAGTTCTTGAATAGGTATATGTAAAGCAAGAGAGCAAACACAATCGAACCTTTATGTGTTGTAACCAAAATATATGACCTTAAACAAAGTCGATAGAGATAAAATAATATTATCAGAAGATCTGCATCGATGATCCTTAGATCTCTTTCAAAAACAAGAATATGTTCTAGTGTGACAAAAAATATCACGTCGCAAATGTTCATATCTTTATAAAAAAAAAAACGAAAAATAATTGACTTTCATAATAAAAATACAGACAACGCCAGGTTTCCCAAAGAACCTTTGGTGTCCAAAGAGATTTTGCGTCCTTTTTTCTCTTAGTAAGCGAAAGGACATTGCAGAAACCAAATTTCATATTCAAATGTCATTTAGATACCATCTCTGCGCAAGAAAATTTAAAAAACATGCTCGTATATTCAGATACCAGTTAATCACAACTAATCCAAAACACATTGCAATACATCAGCCTCCAAAGAAAACCTCACATTTCTGACTAAAAAAAAAAAAAGTTTTTTGATATGCAATAAGTCAGTCACTCTTAATTTCAGTCAATTCGAAAGAGAAGTGTTAGTTCTCTTCCTTTTTTCAAAGTGTATAGTGCCTTCCTGTAATTCAAGAAGAATTTGTACCTTACTCAATTTCCTTGGCGGCATCTACATCGAAATCACCATGTCCCTTTTGAATATGATGTATCAGAGCAAATTTTAATGAGAATGAGATCAAACATTTCGGTGTTGGTATTTGTAATATTAAAGGGAATTCTTAGAAAAAAATTCCAATTTACTTGACCCCTACACCTGTCAGAATTTTTAAAAATATGTATTGTAGTCTTTAACAGTTCAACTTGATATTTATTGGCCAATCAATTTCAAAATATTTTAAAAATATAAATTGTAGTCTTTAACAAAGTTCAGAAACAGACATAATATTTATTACAACCAATCAAGTGTTTTTCAAAATAGTTAAAAGACCAGATATGGAAATTTCTTGGGGTTATCAACCCCCTAAATTCATAAAAGTTGCGAGGGTTTTTTCCGGGTCCTTAACTCTCGCAAAAAAGATTTTCAAATTGAACAATCAAGAAAACAGACATTTTTTAATTTATCAAAGTTGAATGTTCTTTTAAGCGCTTCTTGTCAATGTTTTTTTAATTGAGCCAGTGTTGATAAATGTCAACAAGGTTTATGGACTCAGGAGAAGATGAAAAGCTTTGTTAATGATGTCTCCTAGCATGAACTAGAACAATGGGCTTTTTTTGAGTGTTTATGGAACATTTTGCTGATATCATCGTTTGATTTCAGTATGTAAATTTAATATGCATGTTCTTTTTGAAACTTTATAAGAATATGGATATTATCCGGCTCTATTCTGCAAAAGTACCCGGGCAAGTGAAGAAAGTTGTTCGCACTCTTGTCTCTGGAAGCAAGGAGGATGTGAAAGACATCCTTCCCATCGAACTGAGGAAAATTGAGAAGAATGCTTCAGAATCCTTGGAATTAGCAAAAGCAGTTGAGAGAAAGTTCGAGAATGTGATGCATCTGACTGGTGAGCTACTGGAAGTTTCTTCAGCTGCCAAGGGACATTTTCAAAAAACCCAAGAAGAACTGCAAATGAGAAGAGAAATTGCCTTGACCAAAGAAAAATCGGTCCGAGAAGAAATAGAAAGAGCAAAAGAAGAACAAGATAAGCTAGCCAAACAAGTCAAAGAGGCAAAAGCACTGTGGGAAAAGGCTTTAGATTCCATGCCGAGTGGATGGGACCTTGTTGGTATGCAATTTGTCGAGGGAATCACAAAAGTTTTTACAAGTGCTGTTGAGACAGCGATTTCTGCAGTAGCTACGAGAGGGATGAACTCGTCGTCTGCCCCATCAGATGCAGACCCAAATCTGAGGGTGGATCCTAATGAAAAACAGGGCGCAAAAAGAGATTCAAAATTACCAATGCAAGCATTAGTCAAAGCAGAACTGATGAAAGTTTTTTCAGCCAAGTTGGTGGAAGTTCTTGCGACATTTCAAGACAAAAGTAATGGAGGCGAGCCAGCCAAAGACATTAAAAAGACAAGACTTGAAATGGAAAGCTTGCAAAAAGATTGGTCCACCAAGCAAGAAAGTAAAGACGACCAGGAAGGCTTAAAACTGCTGTCAAGAGGTTTGGAGATATGCATGGAAGCGGAAAAAGAGTTGGAAGACCTCAATTTGTCTAATGATAAGATGAAGAAAATTGCTAAAAGAGCATCGAAACTAAAAGATGACATCTTCAAGTTCTGCACTAAAGTTCAGACAAAAGTACAGACCAATCCTTTCTACACCAAGCCACCAAGACAAGCAAGAAACATGGCTGACCCTGCAAATTCTGCATCATCAAGTGCTGCTAACATGGCAGTTGAAAGTGCACGGTTTAAAATTGCTGAAACGAGAGGCTTGCTAGAAAAACAACAGATGCTATATGACGAAGGAAACAAGCAGCTGAAGGAGAGCAACAAGGAGCTAAGTAAAGTTCTTCAAAGCCTTGTGGAATTCAGCCCAGAGAAGATTGCTAACTTTGACCAGATAAGAGAGACATTGATAAAAGGCATCAAGGCTCTTGCTTCAGTACGCGAAAGGTGGCAGAAACTGGTGGAGTTCTTCCAGTGTATTACCAACATCATCAAGGTGTGTCAAAAGGAGAGCCTAACAAGTTTTGTTGAATATTCCAAAGTCGCCCAAGAAAGAAGGCTGACTAAGGGCTACACTGACACGGATTTCATGCGTGACCTCATTTACGAACAAGTCAGTCAAGCTAATAAGACCTCTTATGTTGTTTGGTCCATTTCAAACACCTATGTAGAGGTGTCACGTAATCACTTGATGAGCCGATTGGCCAGCCTTGGTCATTTGATCGGCTTGGACCCAGAAAAAGACAGGGCAACCATTGAGGCAAAGAGGACAGAGCTCCTGGAAGGAAGTCAAGAGGCTGAAAGAGCGATTATGCAGTTGGTATCAGAGGCCCAGAATACTTTCCATGAGAAGGTAGGAGAAAGGATCAAGCAGTTTGAAGAGGAGATGGAGAAACTTCTCCCGCCAGAAGATCCAGCCAGAATAAAAGAAATAAACGACTCTGTTGCAAATGCCGTCAAAGAGGCAGATGAGGAACTAAGCGCGGATTGCTTTCAAGGTAAAGTCATACTTAAAACAGGTTTTGTTTAGTTAGGTTGTCAATGGAATGGAATTGCTAGTGGTTTTGTAATATTCATGTAATAACTTATCAGCATCATCTAAGTCAACGATGACTAAGTTTTAAAACAAAAACGTTTCTTGAGGGAAAAACGTTCTACTGTTGCATTTTTGGGGTAGAAGGGGAGAAAGGGGTTCAGTGTCTCTGAGTTATCTTTGAAATGGCTTATTGAAAACTGAGTGATCCAAGTTTAGCTTTGGGATGTAGTAATTGCTTATTTTAACATGGAATATTACTTTTTTTGGCGACTAGGGTACGTATGGTATAGTTAAAGAAACCTGCAAATAGGAGCTTGAACTTGATTATTATATGTAGTATTAGTCAGCGGCAGCTTTTATCTTACCTAATTTATCTATTTCCTATCTTCACTGTTTCATGCAGGTAATGAACTACAATAATTCATTTCTATCAATAAATTAAATCAGGGAAAGATATTGAAGAGTTTACGTCAAATAGACTGATTGATAATTGTCTTATTTTTTAATGTTTCAGTTGGCACTGTAAACATAACATGTTTCATAACAGACTATGTTTTCATTTCAGATTGGCAGACCTGTGCAGAAAACTGTGTGCAATAATTCAAGTATTAATTGCAGCTGAAATCCTGGTACATCATAGTACAAATAAAGTTATTAATTTTTCTAATTCTAATTATTGATGACTGCTTACAGAAATTTTCACTTTGGTGTTGTCTAATATAACACAAAAAGGCTACCCAGGCTGATGAAAAGTGCGATCAAAATTTCCATGTAACCTGAGTAACTGAAAACAACAAGACATTAAACATAACTACTATTCTTGAAGATTAATTTTTACCTTTAACAGCATTTTTTCTCCGTTGGTGGTATGATTTGCTTTCAATTGAAAAAAAAACAGATTTATCACAGCAAAACCAAAGCTGTGGGGGAGAAATCTAAAAACTTTATAGAAAATTGCTAAATGGTACTAGTGTTCAATTTGGTCATTGTTTGTGCACTTCCAAGTTCTGAACCTAAAATAAATGATAGGTATGGATTGATTGTTTAAGGCAACTTTGTGCCAGACTCTGATCCAGAAACACATCAAAATGTAAACATATGAGTTGACAATTACAGGGCCCATTTTTATACAATTTAGGCTTTACTTTATCTTCACAAGCCTAGCAGCTGTTACATGTAGTTATAAGCTTTGAAGTTATTGTCTGATATTGTGGTGCAAAGAGAGTGATACTCCCCAGGATTGACCATTCATGCCTAAGGACTCCCCTGATTTTGAAGAGGTTTGCTTTTCTAGCATTTGTCCTTTGTTTTCAAGGAATGATCAGAAAGTAACTATGTAAATGTTTTGGCCAATTCTTAAGAGTGACTACATGTTTCTCCTTAAAGATAATACTGATTCCACCACCAATCTTGATCCTTGATCAACTTAAAGGGAATCATTAAACACAAGGTGTGATTTTACTTTACCGCAGATTAATTCAATGCACAATGACTACACTTTGCAAAATGAGGGAAAAGAATCAAAAGAAGCAAGACATGGACTACCATGTAAACTTGTGTCACTGAGAAGTGTACAGAGTTGAAATTTCTGGTGGTCTTTAAATACCCCAACTGTAAAGCAAGAAAACTTTTTTTGAATATTAATTTTGAGACCAAAACCAAGAGAATAGCTAGCTCTTTGTAATTTGAGTGGAGAAAAATTCTTAATTTTAAAAAAATATATACATTTTTTAAGATGGCAGAAACTCATATTTCAACATTGTTTTTTTTTACCAATGTTGGTGTTGTTATTCACTCTTTATTACCTTATAAGCTTAGACTTTTATTGACTTGATTGTGTGACTTTTCTTTCAATAAATGCTGTTTGCTAATCAAAATGATTTGGATTTTTCTGATTTCTAAGTGAGTCATAGTGTAAAGAATATCTTGTTGCGCAGCTAAGTTATGTTATCTCAGTCTGCATTCATTTCACAATCACACCTCTATTAATATCCCAACCCCAAGATAAATTTTTCTAGAGCACAAGTCGTATTCTTCATATAATCTATTAAGAAATACTCACTGCCTAATTTTTCAGTTTAAAAAATTCAGTGCTTTTCAAAGAAGTTTAGATATTGAGGTCACCATGAAAATCGGAATGCCTATCAGAAGTTCACAAAGAAACTTCATTCATCTTACTTTAAGTACTTAATAATACAACTTTGATAAAATCTCCCTGAGGCTTGCTGTACCCTTTGCAGTAACCCTTACCCTCAATCCACCCATTTCAGCTGCTTTAGGTTCTATGATGAAATCCATTTTTGTCCTGTCCATTCTTTTTCTAATTTCCTAGATTCCTTCCTCTGTTTGTTCATTATCGAAATACCTGTCAGATACATGAAAAAATTAGTAGTTAGAAAAACTTGATATAGAAGCTCAAAGCTGAAATGCTCCAGGCCTGAAACTTTGTGTGCATTTCCAGTGCTTCAAGGTTACTGAACTATAAAAGTTTCAAAACGTTTTTTATGCTGCTTTGCTGTCCATATTAGGAAAGATCATACAAAAAAGTCCTCTTTCACAATAAATAAAAAACTCTGTTGAAAGAAAATGTCATGAATATGAAAACCAAAAGCTGATGAGTCATTTTAGAATGCAAAACGATTTTTTTTGTTATTGTAACACTTATTAAACAACACTTTTCCAGGACCAGCTGTTATGATTTTTAATGCAAATGGAATGTGTACATTCAGATTCCTGCCTTATAAGATTAATAACTGGCTATAAGAACATCAAAAGAGGTCATGTCTTCCCTGACTGAACATCTTATACTACACACTTGACAACTACTGGGTGCTGTTGCATCTTTGTACTTTCAGTAATACGTCATGTACATCTCTATGGACATTATGTATTAAAGTTATCAACTCGTTTGACATGAAATATCTGGGCTCTGAATTCTGTCTATGAATTTTTAACTATTCAATAACATGCCTTACTTTGCCATCTGAAGACAGAAAAAAGTTGAGAAAAACTACTCAAATGTAGTTAGAAGGCAATTTTGCTGACCTGCTGGTAGTTTATTGTTGAACAGTTGACCACCATGACTTGTGGGTAGCTGTTCTGCACTTTAATCAAAACTATAACAAAATTCTTGAATACCATTGATTATGACCAGCCTGATTTGAGCACTAATAGGACAGTGTATGTGTCTTGCTTGTAATTGGACAGAGTAATAGGACAGTTGACACATCACACCTGTGTAAATAGACAGTATGTGTCACGTGTGTGGACTGTAGTTACACATTTTGCCAAGTTAACTGTCAGTTGTTTTCTATGAAAATGTATAACCAATATCTACATTCTTTCTCAGATTTTGTCATAGTTTTGATTAACTGGTAACAGGACTTTGTGTGGTCCAATTCTGTCATCCAACTCATGATTAACAGTTGTCCAATTTTGTCAAGCACTCATATGATAGTACACCAAATTAGACTCCTCTCAGTCCTATTACCATTATTTACAGTAGGTAAAAAATGTTACTGGTCCAATAACATTGTTTGACAATGTGAAATCCTTTCTTAGCCTGGGATAAAACTGTCAGAGTTATTAACTGTTTGTGTAAGTGTTGGTGTTGTGTAAACACCATTGACTGTCCTGTGAAATTGGCCAACAGTGATTTGTTGGAAATATCTGTTTACTTTACTGAAATCATTTCTCTTGCTGAGCAACTTCCTTCCATGGATATTGAAAAGCATGTGTTGACTTTCTGTCTTTTCTTCTCCACAACCTCTTTTTATCTCTTGTTCGCACATTTTCACACCATGTGTTCAGAGCGTATTTGTCCTTCCAATCAATGATGAACTATAAGAGATTGAATGAAATAAAACACATACTCTGAATCATCAAAACATGTCTGCTTTAGATTGAGAGTAAAATAACAAAGGAAGTGTGACATGAATATGGCAAGCAATCAAAGCAATAGTAAAAGATATTTTTCTCTTTTTCCACCACATTTTTTCATGTATCATATAAGAGAAATAACCCTGCCTTCTGAGCAGCAATATTCCTGGTCAATATTCATCATAATGAAGTACTTCAATCCCTTTGTAAAGCACATTTCCTATATAATTTCCTAGATTATTTCCTCATGTTCTCATAGGTTTCATTTATGGTCTAAAGTGCAAGACCTCTATCAGCTATGGATAACATGTCCCATAAGACCTTGCTGGCATGATATCACCAGGTAGAGTAAGACCAATTTTGCATTGGCAGTCTTTCCAGAAGTGTCAAATAACCCAATATTAAATAATTTCTGATGAAATTGAGTGTGAAATAATAATTTAGGATGTGGAACACACCAGTTACAAATCCTAAAGAGGATCCTCATCTCAATCTTATCACAAACCACAGTCTAATAAGAAATTTCCTTAATTGCATTCTATTGTGCTAATTGGCATTTTTATGTTTACTTGTATCTTGAATGGTCAAGTTAGAAAAGGTAATAATGTAGGGCCAAGTAAACTTTAGGATTTATTAATATCATGCATGTTTCAAATGTTGGAGAAATTGCCTGACTTGCCCAGTGACAAGGGAAGTGTCTTTACCTGTCTGAAAAACAGAAATGACACAGGAAACATGTGATAACTTGTTTATGATATAAAGGACAAAATTTTCTCTCATTAAGAAGGTCAAAACTGCTGGGATTCCAGAGGATCTATCTTAATTAATCTTACAAAGGATTCTTGTTAACAATAGCAAGATAATTACCTTAAAATAGATCATTACCAAATAAATATTAAATAATTAGCAAATTCTACCTGTGGATCCCAGAGCTCACTGGCAACTCCAAGGTCTTTACAACATCTCATCAATGCATTAGACTTGGCAGCTTCCATAGCTTTTCCATACACCATGTTATTAGAGGAATAAAAAGTGTGTTCACCAACAGTCTGTGCAACAAATCTTCCCAAACAAAATAATGCATACTCCCGCACAATTAGCTGGCTGTTGTCTTTATCATTCTAAAATATAAAATAGTGTTATCTTATAAGAAGAAGTTTTAACAAAATAGATCATTCATCCACATTAATGCTGTATTCCTATAATATTATGGCATATCACAAAGTCAAGTATCTCATAAACTTAAATGGCACCAAAATGAAGAATGAACAAATGAGTGAAGAAATGAATTAATTGGAATAAATGAGAAAAAATTCCTCTCAGTTAAGTTTCAACAGGATACTAACTCTGTCTGTAAATATAATGTGATTTATAAAATTAAAATTAGGGTGCTTGAAGGCTACGTATGTTGTGATATCTCATTGAGAATAGCCAGGTCAGACTACTTTTACACCTGATTTTCTTGTTAAAGACAAATAAAATAAGGCCATCACATGTTCATACAAGGAGTCTCTGAGTCCAGTCGCTTTCAAAGTAAAAACAACAACTTGAAAATAACATTCTATTTCATTTGAAGGTATCTACCTGAAATTGAAGAGACTCGCCTCGTGGCACCAGTGCCCATCCACCTGGACCAAATGCTTGATTAAGTATTCTTCTATATTTTATCTCAGGAAGATAAATCAATCCTGCACAAAGATAGCATTAGAAACTTAAAATTAAATGAAATATTCACATCAATCAGACACCTTTTTGCTAAGGTTGGAGTTGGTACTAGTAATTTTCAACAACATATATAAAATAGTGAAAAGGAAACAGTATATTTGAATCAAAAATAGTGAAATGTCTCATGCTATATCACCATGCAAATACTTTCTATACTCAGAAAACACAAACTCAGCAATTCAATATAGTCAAATGAGCCTCCATGAAATTTTCAAAAAGGCTAGAAACTAACAACTTTTTAAATTACAATCATAGGAAAGGTTCTGTCAGTAACTTTAAATCTTTAATAAAAAATTAATATACTTAAATGCAGCTGGTACATAACCAAAAATTACTGAATTCAAAAAGGGAAGAATTGATATTACACATAACAACCAACCAGTGGTACTAAATTTGAATAAAGGGGTAAGTTTCTAAAGAAACTGTGGTGCTGCATCGGTGGGAGAGTATAGCAGGTAATTTAGTGTTAACAACTGGGTTGAAAACGTAAATTAGTCACCGTAAAGGGTAAAAAAGCTGACATTTCGAGCGTTAGCCCTTCGTCAGAGCGATTCAATCAATTGCTCTGACGAAGGGCTAACGCTCGAAACGTCAGCTTTTTTACCCTTTACAGGTACTAAATTTGAAGATTGCCTGAACCACCAGATGAGCTTAAGTGGTACATATTTATCTTACTTTTCTTTGTTAGATGTTGGGAACAAATACCATAACAAAGGTGAGCACACACTAGCCACTGGTTTATATACAACTATTCATCAAAACCATAACAAAATTCTCACAAGTAATTGGCAGTGTACACATTAGCTTATCAGTGAACAATGACTTGAACTCTTAATGCCTCATGTTTTTGTTGTTAGATGATATACGCCATTTGCATGCACTATTAAATAGACTACTGGGTTCCTTTTCTTGTGGAAAAATGTAAATCATACTGTTTTTTATTTATGAATGTGTTTAAAAGTCATTTTTCATAGTTTTGAGTACTTGGTAAAAAAACTTGGCACTGTTTACTTTTTTCATAAAACCAGCTCCTGCTTCACGAAAATTTGATTGTGTTCATCATTTGTAATATTATAGATTGAATTGGACATCACTGCCTCCTGTTACCATTAAAAATATTCACAGGAAATGTTTTTGTCTATACCATCTGGTTTGATCTCAACATCAGTTTCATTGATAGGTGACATCAGAACTTGAATGATTTCTTGGCTAAAAGGTGTTGTTGCTGCACCAGAGAAAGCATCTGATAACCTAACACAAATTGAACAAGCTTTGAATAATTTTTTCACTCAGTGCCTTTTACACACAGCAACTGTCTCCCTCTCTGAGAGAGGAATGAATCTTGAGAAATGGCTTTATGAGAAAGTGTCACAATCATCTCCAATCTATGACCCTCTCTCTTTTTTTAAAGTTCTCAGACTTACATGATCCTCAGCCCAAGCATTTGTACAACTCCTCACAATCAAAATCCCCAACACAAAACAAACTGTGCAATGAAGATAAAGAATTTTATCATTAAGGCATTAGGTGTGAGAGAATATTGAGTATAAGTTTCTGGGGGAAAATGTAACCACTGTCCTACTAAAATACATGGTATATACAATGTAGATAGTCATAAATGTCCATTTTTAACACTACCACCATCCTTTCTCGAAAATAATTCCAGAAAAATTAATCCAAAAGTTCTTATTTTTCTTTCTTTCCCAAACTATTGTGGACTGAAACAAAAGCCAGAGTTCAATATGCATAACTTCCGCTAGTTAAACGTGAATAAGTCAACAGCTTTGAAAATTCATTACAATCCATTTATTGCAATGATTTAAAGTATAACCTATCAAAGGATCCTACGTCAGAGGTAATCAAAGCTACTGAATAATGCCAATTTACTCGAGATGATATAGCGACATTTGAACGCTCGAATTTCTCATAATTCTCATGAGAAATTTTAAGTTTTCCCTGATGGTGTGGAAAGATAGTCATGACTCACCACAATTCGCTTATATTCGTTCAGGGGGTTACAAAGAACGACAAGAAGACACCGTGAGTATTTCAAATATTTTCTTGAAAACTAAGGTAAGGAGGTAATTCGAACGTTCAAACATCTCCATATAATATCAAGTAAATTAGCACAATACTGCAGCTTGGGTTAGCTGTGCAAAGTACAGAAATGCGTATCTTTGTTAAGATGTTAGCGAAATCATACGACAGTTTGACATCGTCGTGATAATATTTCGAAAATCGTGTTTTTTCCTCACTTTTTTATTCTTAAAGCCCTTTCCCAAATTTACTCTGATCAGCAACTTAGAGGATCCACCAGTACACCACACAGTGCATTTGAGTTCATACGAATCACCTCACCTCTCAAAAGAATTACTTGCTGTTGACACAGAAGACATCGTGTCTTCCTCAGTTGATGTGTTTGTTTCTGTGGGTCTATGTTGATCATTTGACAAAAATCGAGTTGAAACTCGTGCACGAGTTAAGCAAACTGCCAAAGTGCCTACATTTAACCTATTGAGGAGAAGTCTTGGTATTGCCGCCATTTTTAATTTTAACGTTTGAGGGAGGACTGGAAATGACATACATCAGAGGTATGGGGCATTGGGCTCTATCGGGGAACCAGGGTGCAATGGCAAAAATAATTAAAGGCAGGAGGGGGTGTGACTGTTTTCCTTCACTTTCGACAAGGAGGACTCGGTTGACTTCTGAAAAGTTTTAAAAACTCGTAACAAATAGAAGAAAGCGACACTTCAAAAAAGAAGTGGTGCCACAGAAAAATTGAATATTTACTCTCAAGAGGTCTTAATTTTGCTTCTCATATGTAGAAACTGAAATACTAATAGGAAATAATTCAACTGTAAGAAGTACAAGGAACAAGGAAGGACTTGATATCACGTGATGTAGTAACGTACAAAGTGCTCTCTCGTCAGCTTGGTGACATTAAAATAAAAGAAGTACTGATGACAGTCATGAAAAGTGACCCTAATTATCGCACGAAATACATTTGATTAAATTGACTTTTTCGGATCATTTTGCTCGCTTTCATCGTTGCTGCCGTTTGCAGTAAGAGAGGTTTGACACATCGTTTCTTCAGAGAGGTTAGTTCTAAAAATATACTTCCAAATATCTTTGATTTACCAATACCTTTTGATATTTGCCTTCGTCCTAAGCTGTGAAATACAAAAGGTATATTATACAAAGTTAACATAACGGTGCTATGTAGAACAACTAAATTTTTAGAATGTCTTTCACGATCGACGTGTATGCTTTACTAGCATGACTAAAATGGGTCACCAAATGACATGTTTGTAGACACGTCATGAACGTTTGATAAAAATAGAAAGAGGACGCTCTAGGTTCAGTCGATGACCTGTTTTTTCAAAGCCCTAGGTATTTTTGTAACATACGAGTGCTTGAAGTAATTATGGCTCAGTCTTGAAAAAGGTGAGCCATTCAAAAAAGTTAACTTAGACAAGTCGTAAGCTGGAAAGTCTCTATTGATAAAAACAACGTTACTAAGTTCAAAGGTTGATTATAAAATTCAGTTGGACGTAGAAATGAAGCAAATTAGCAAACTGAAACCCCTCAAGAGGAAAAAAAACAATGTTCTTTGTTCTCGTCTGACGGAAATATTCAGAAGAAAAAGAAAAATTTTGACAAAGAAGCCTGAAGAGCTGCGATTTACAGTATTCTCCCAATTGCGATTATTGACCGCAATCGATTTGACTACAATTTCTTACGGAAATTTCGGGTTCATCGTTATAATCTTTTTTATTTCTTCTCTTTAAGAATAGTGAAAATAAAGTCGCTCGAAGTTATCCGCTAATCATAGTTCCCAATGAAGAACACCATCGCTTTTCTCTCAAACAACGTTTGTACCCTTACATGAGCGAAACAAAGCGTCTCCTTTATCATAACCGAACGCATCTCGAACTAATATTCTCCGAACTTATCTGTGATTAAAATAATAATATCACAATCCGTTGTCCATGTTACAAAAGAGCCGACAAGTTTCCCGCGAAGCACCGTCAAAAACCCCGCTCATTGTCAAGTCTGTGTGGCTATTACCGCTTCGTAAGCCACGGGAATAACATATTTTCATCAGCAGATATTTCAAAACACCGGCGGTAGGATGAGAAGGACGACATATGCGCTCTGGACATCGCTTCGATTCGACTCGACCTCACTCGCCTGAAGCTATCAAAACACACAGGTAATTAGTTTTCAGCGACTAACACGTTGCAATTGCATTCGTTACGGCTTCGTGAGGATTTTCCCTCGAAACTTGACGGAAGTTTAGATATATCTGCATGACAAATTCGTTTCTAGAGCTAGATTGAATAAATTGAAAGAAACTAAGGGAATGCAGCTGATGATCTATTGACTTAATCATTCTCGTTTTTGTGAGAACGTATTGAAATACATTAAAGCAAAGAACTCTTGAATGAAGCGATAGAACAGAACAAGAGGGAATTCTCAATGAGTCCTCTCATTTTTTCCTGAACAGAGTTATACATTTTTCATGACACTAAGCGGTTTCTTTGAGTCAAAATAAGCAATGAAACCGAATATAGCAGGCGGTGATGTGAGGGCTTCCTTGTCATAAACAGAGCCGGATCCGTGTCATCCGTGGCCAAACAGAACCGAAAACTCAACAAACTGTGAGCCTATACACTTAAAGCTTATAAAGAGTTTCCATTATTTAAAAATAAGGAAAATTTATTAGTCCGGTTAAAGTGAGTTTGCTTTGTGTCTTTTTGGAATTGTACACTACATTGCATCCTAAACGTAACCGCTCAGCTCCTTCGGTTACAAAAAGACTTACCACCGTAAGAAATTACGTCTTCCTGATTATTACCCCAAATTGTTTGTGCCGCCATGTGATACTTGAAACCCTTTTTTCCTAAAGTATGACGATGGATATATTTATTTTTGCTGGAAATTTAACTGCTCTCAAGAAATATTCAGGAGGCCGGCAGCAACAAATTTGTCTTGAAAGTCATTTTGAAAAGTTTTTTAAGTGCATCGAAAGACGAAAAGTGTTTGTCTTAATGATAGACGGCTTTGGAGCCGTTTTTGTTACATTTTTACTGGGCATATATGCGTATTGTTCATTTCGACAATTATATCTGGTTTTTGATAAAAAATCGTGCTTTATTTTTCCCATGAAAAGTTTCACTTCGTACTGGTACGTTTTTCATCTATTTTTTGCTTAAAGCACATTTGATATGAAACAAGACAAAAAATAAGTTTGGAAAACATTTCAGTTAAACTTCTCAGGGAGATTTACCCTGTTCAAAATCTCAAAGGGGCCGGTTTAAATTTCAAAGCTAACTGAAGGAAAGTAGAAATTCTCAATGTTTTGACATTCAAAAGGAAACCCACGGTGTCAGATGAAAGACAAATAATTCGAGAAGTCGATACATGCTGTTTAGAGGCTCCAAACCATGGTGATTACCATAAAAGAGTGGTATACTTGATTCTGAAAACTCCAGTAATGTTCTAAGCATTTTTCTAAGCATGATGAAAAATGGTCAGGAATACTTTTACTTTGAGCAAGCACTGGTAAAGGAGACAATATGGAATTGAATTGGAGAGAAAAAGCAAAACCATAAACTTAATCAGTATACCAAAACGCAGAATTTTTTGTGGATTCCCTCCCGTCGGCAGATCGACGTTTTCTCGTATATCGTCAGAAAAGAGTGGGGAACTGCGCTTAAGGAGTAAAACAAATATTATCCGACTTCCTTAAACTTATCTCGCTAAGCTAAGGGATGTTTCATTGAAAAATTATGCAGTTAAGATTCGGCTTTGGAAATTCAAACGTCCTAAAAAGACACCGCGAACAATGCCGACATAATTTGTTGGAATCATTATGAAAATTTGAAAGAGTCGGTATCTTTTCCTCTCCAAAAACAAAGAGGTTCACTTTACTACAAAGTGTCTGGTTCAACAGGCTCTGCTGCCATAATTGTTATTTTCAAAAGAGACAATTAGAATACAGAACTTTGAAAAGCTATGTGGATTTCTCATTGACTATTTTGCACAGCGAAAATAACCGCAAAACGCTTTTAACATGAAAGGATTTATGAAGCTAAAGATACCGAATTAGACAGCCGGCGACCCTCTTCGCTAAAACGGAGGAAGTAATAGAAAACTTATGCAGATCTACAGTCATATTGGCTCGGGTGGATGCTGCGATAAAGAGAGGACAATTTAAAACCTGATGCTTTCTTTTTGACCCTCGGTAAGGGTGACAATTAGCAGGATCAATTAAGCTCACTCTTTTCGATTCTCCAATGTCTCGAATTCAATAAGCTGCCTTTTTAAACATTACGTGAAGGAAAATGGCATTGCTTCCACATATTTCTTATTCAGTAGCAATTAAAGAATGCTTCAGGAGTAAACTGCAGTGGCCGGACGGTACGGCATTCCGTTAATACTAGTCAATACGCGATTATCGCAGCTTTCCTTACTTTACAGAGGATGTTCAGATATTTCAGAGGATTTTTCAGGATAATCTGTAAGGATTTGATCGATTTGTTGCGACTTAAATGAATTTTTTTCTAAGGTTTTTTTTTCACAAATAAGTATTTATTCGGAAATTTTTTTGTGCGATTGTTTTGATTTGTTTTGATGTGAGATGATTTTTTTTGTTTGTTTGCGTTTTTGTCTTTTTTTGTTTGTGCGATATTTTGAAATTGGAATTATAATATCAGCATGATCAGTATTAGAGTTATTTAATAACCCAGACCAATGTACGTAGTCCAGTAATTTTATGACTAAACTTAGACTCAACGTGCGCTCTGCGTCCTGAATTTCCCTACCAGTAACCAAAACTTTTCAAAATCGTCTTCACAAGTGTTTGAAATTCGATTATGGATACCACCCTTTTTAATTTTACTTAGCAGCGTGGGCACTGACTTAGCCAAGTCTCGATCTTTTTCATCCTTTTCTCTTCATATTTGGCAGTTTATTTCCATTTAAAAACTAAAATGTTTCTCTAATTCGACCCACGTTGAACACTACTTTCTTTATTCGAAGATTTCATGCTTTTCAATTGTGCAAACTGGCCAGACTACGTGGCCGGGTACAGGCGCTCGATGGATATTTTAGCTGACATCATGTTGACTTTCAGTCACATTTGCTGATTAAACGGTAACCTCGTTCCCAAGGGGAAAAGCCAAAAGGCCAAAGGAGGTGGATGTCACATACAAACACGTGATTAGAAATTTTGATTTTAAACCATTTTGATGGCTGATTAATCTCCTTACCTTTCGGAAGAGTCAACGAGTCACAAGAGGTCAATGTCATGCGAGATGAAGAAAGCTTTTCCCTCCCCCTCCGCCAGTGACCAATGCAACAGGAATCTCTGAACGAATATCTAAGCTTTTCTGGCATTCAATTGTCTCTTTGAAACTAAAAAAAGCAAAGAACAAAAAGCTTATAAGCGCTTGTAGTAATTAGCTTAACTCGCCTGGCCCTCAACTTAAGACTTAATCACGAGACCGCCTATTTCAAAATATTATTTCAGATTCCTTTTCCATCACCGGAGAGGTTCTTTTCGTCTTCTTTTGCTGAGAGTAAAAATACGAACAGGTATGCAATACGGCCTTTGCCAGTGTTCCATACAAATTTCGGTTTTCCTTTTATCGTAACCGATAGCTTTTCCCAGTTATCAGGACCATTTTCACTTATGGTCTAAATAGCTTTTTCTTCTTGTTGTTAACAGATAAGACAGATAATGATGAATTCGTTTCAAGCTGATCTTACTGGGAGAAGTTTAGATCTTTGAAAAGTTTTTTGTGATTTCCTTTTGATAGGAACATTCAGAAGACAAAAAATTAAAAAGACCACTTTAAAACGCATGGTGTTTTCAGAACAAGAACAAACGCCATTTGATGCCTTCTTTCCAGACAATTCGAATGTTCCATGGGGTCAAAGTGTTTTAAAGAGGAACGAAGCCCTCCAAAAGGTGAGTTATTTCAGTGCGTATGTTACTTTCTTTGAGAAAATTTTCAAACTTCGACTCTCAGTGACAAGGGAATTGAACAGATATGAAAAATGCGTTTGTTCGAAATAAAGAACACTCTTGTTTGTAAATTACGTTTCCGGATTATTTTTCACGGGATTTTTGTTGAGTGTTATACTCCATGTGTAAAGGATGTCTACTGAAAAGCTTCATTTGTATGGACTTGAGCTTTCACTGGCCATCATTGAGTTTTACCAAAACAAAAAATGGATTTTAATCGGAGGCACCAAAAAAAAATATGCTTCAAGATCATAAAAATAACGGATGGTATTTCTGTGAAATTGGGCTGAAGTAATTCGTGTGTATATGTTTACTGTTGTAGCCTAATATGCTAAAGCTTATTAGAAGACATTCCTCTGTAATTATGGTTCCTTCAAAGTGTTTTGCGTTTTTTTTTATCATCGACATGTCCGAATGGGACTGCAAGGCAACTTCAAAAAATTTGTGCGAACTGTTCTTCAAAATCATTGGCAAGCACAGGTATCAAGTAATCGTACTTGATGTCGCAACTGGCGTTAAATAAAAACTGACGAAGTAATGGTATCTTGGAATGAAAAATTAACTTCTAGAGGTCAATGTAAATTTAGAAAGGTGATCTAAAAATGATACTGTGACATATCGAAAGATCGCTCGCTACGTGCAAAGAGTGGGACTGCTGTGGCTCACTACGTTGCTTTCCCAGCTGATGAAAGTAACTTACGGCCTGTGTTCCACTTATCAAGCGCTGCAGACTTAACCTTCGTGTGACAATGGGAATTACCCAGTGCTTTCTAGAACTGTCATGCTCAGTATAGTCAAAATGGGGGATATAAGAGAAACTTTGCGTATGATTCAGTGGGACTATAGAATGCATGCTGGGGAGCAAAATAACTCGGCGTTTAATTTCTACAAAACCACCGCTCTCTCTCTTTCAAGAGTTCATTAATCTGTTGGATCCTCTAAAGATAAAGGATTGATTTGTACCTTTTTTTATGGTCATTCAATATCACATTTGAGTGCTCAATTATGGAAGTAAACAACTCCCAGACAAGGCGCTTTGTTTTCTTGTTATATCAGCCTTTCCAAAATATTGATCACATTCACATGATTGTGCTTGATAATGCATCAAAATATTCTGAACTACACCAGAATGATCAGTTTTACATTTAATTAAAGCGGCAAATTATAAAGTAAAGTATAAGAGTTAACCAAGGACATTCGAACGTTTACGATATCGTTACTAGGGTCACCATTCTTTTCTCCCTGACCCCTTCCCCACTTGCCGTAAGGATTTGAAAAGGAAAGACCTGAGAACGAGGGATGAGGAGTATTAGCCCAGGTGTATCAGCCAAGAAAATTGCAGAACTTTCCGATCTTTTCTTATAAGTGGACTCACAGTCCTTCATATGAAACTCTATATAATCGCGAAGAGTGTCCGCTTTTTGCCGTTAATGTTGAAACCAGTTCAAAACATTTTTTAAAGGAGCGGGTCGAATACACCTTAGTTCTTTTATTTATAACAATTTACCGTGCGCAGCCGTGTGTAGCTTCCCTAGATTCAAAAGAGTTACCCGACCACTCCAAAACTATCTTCAAATGTACTTAAACTTTTAGAATCTATATGACGCCATTTTTTTTTTTTTCAATGCAAAGAATAAAACACTCATTAACCAGGCTGCGCAGGCAAAACCGCAGTGAGGTTCACAGAGTTGCTGGTAAGGCAACGAAGAAACACTGAGAAAAAAAGGGAACAGAGACGTCGCAAGTCACAAATTATCAGCCAGGTGGCTAGATGGTGGCTTCTGTTGCTAAATTTAAGGGTGTTTAAGGGATACAGTTTGGAAAGCTTAGGTTGATCTTTGAAATCTAAAAGGGTGGTCAACATCAGCATTTCATTTATGACTTTAATTGCGGAGAAAACTTGAAAAAACATGATCTTAACTCAATTCATTAACTCAGTGTAGGAATCTGTTGTAATAAAAGTTAAAGGCACTCCCCCCCACCCAGGAAACTTGCTATACTGGCCGCCCCTAATGGAAAAATCGCTCATGCGCAGCTGGTGAGTTTTCTTCCGACTTGATTCAACATGGCGTTTACTGACGAGACAACATTCGATTACTGAAAAAGCGTAATAGTAATATGGTGTGTTATGGCTTGGTGGCGTCCTTAGTTGATTGAATGTTCAGTTGACTGGATGGACCCGAAGGGTGTAGTCACAACTCAATCAGACTTAAGTCGGCATTAAATTGAAACGTTCATCACAGAAACTCTGGTTCTGAGGACAGCGCTTGAGCATTTCGAGCTGCGATTGACTTTTGCACCTATTGCTGTCTCAACCCGATTTAGGCAAAGTAGATAAGGGGAAAGGTTAATATCACCCCCAGGGAACGGGAGGGCTGACTGAGTATCCCTTCTTGTTGACGCTGTCTTTAACAGAAGCTTTAATACCTGAATGTCAATAAATATTACAGAATGATGTGAGTTTGTCAGCACTTAACCTCGGTACTTGAGGAATGACGACATTAAGACGGGAGCGGGAAGTCGGAGCGGAACTGAATCCACTGCCGGCGGCGTTAAGTTTCTCACTGATCTGAAAAGTTCATCAAAGATCTTCACGAAACATCTAATTGACGAAGGCCTCTCTTGGTAAATAAAATATTATTTGAAATAATTTTTGAATTGAGAAAAATGTGTTCTTCATCCTCTAAAGAGGAGTGTAAGATTATCAGCCAAAAAAATTGTCGGCTCATCCAATCATTGTGCACCTCTCAAAACACGCAATGAATACTTTGATAAAAATACGCACCGCATGCACCAATATCGCTGATTGCTGCCGAGTAATATTAGTACCTCTGATTGTGATGAATGTTCATATGGAAGGACCAGACGAAGATACGGTCTTTTAATATGCGATGAAAAGATAATTTTGGACCCTCATTCACACTAAGAATATGAATTTTATTTTGTTATTGTTTCCGTAAAGGTGATAAGCCCGCGCCGATTTTTCTACCGCCATAGTGCCACAGCCGGCTACAGCTGCCAGAGAGGAAACTGAACATCAGTCGAGCCGCAATTGAAGCATTTTCAATTGCTTTTCACTGTTTGTGTTTTTCCAGGCATTTTCCGGAACCCCTGTTTCTCACTTGCTGTCGCTAAAAGCTTTCACACAATAGCCCCTAAACAATACGCGCCAGTATTTAGTTCTCGTTAACACCTCTTAAATCAAGCACCTTTTTTAAAATTTTCAGACCTCAAGCAGACTAAAGCCAAATTCTACAATCCCTTTGATTGAAGAGAGTCGCCCTAAGTTTTATTGTAGGACATGGCCCGCCAGGTCAAAGTTATCTATTAATGTCTCCATATTTAGAAAACTTAACCTAAAAGTTAAACCTGCGAATTTTTCAGCATGGTTTTTGGCAAAGTTAATCAGTAAACAGAAAAGATGTAACTTACTACGTGTTACTAAATGATGAAAAGATTTCATAGACGACTTGGAAAAAAGTCAAGGAGAAGGGCTTGTGGAGACAGAGGTATGAAAAAATGGCCTTTTTTCTATAACCCCTCTCCAATCTCGAGCTTCTCTCAAGTTGTCCACTTAAAATATTCATGAAATTTTATCTGTCTTAAACAAAGTGACTTTATGTAAACATAACTCGCCGAATGTTTTGTCAGACTTTTTAATCTCCATTCTGTTCAACTATTCAAAATTCAGTTTGTGTAAAAAATCAACGATTACTCCTGCCGATCATTTTAAGTTTTCTGATAACGTTTTGCTTGGGACTGGCGGCATTGTTGTTACATATCGGGATGAACATGTCCGGCCAGCCAGATGCCGGCTGAAGACCTGTCAACCTCCGAAATGCTATATTCTCTAAATCAAATTCTTCGTCGGAAATGCATTGAAGCCGTTATTTTACAAAATCAGGGAGAGCGGTGTTTTGTATTAAAGCAAATATTGAGATCTTCTTGCACGAAAGTCTTTCGGCGTCATCGTTTTTTTTTTTTTATACAAAAAACCGCACCATCTTTTCAGAAGAGCAATGTTGAAAGACACGAAAGTGCAATGAATTTCTGTTTTCATTCCTTGTTTAACCAACTTCAGAAAAATTGTTTCAGCTCTAATGAAGAGCAGTTTGATGGTTTGCTGTTAGATTGATATGGAAATCATGGAATAATTGAAAAAATTGATCGAAAGTTAACCGCAATCAACAACTAATTTATCGTATGGTTTAGAGGGGAAATATATCGTTTATCAGACTCATTTTTCTCGTCTTTATTGCTGTAACGTTGAGGAAACAGACGATACTGATATACAATCCACCGTAAGTGCAAGCGAAGGTTCACTTCTACAAAATTAGTACTCTACTCTAATTGGCTACTTTTAGTGCCAGCCAATAAAATCGCAGCTTTTTCTCATTAAGCTTTGATTAGAACAATCGAATCAATTTCTGTCAGTCGCACAAAGCAGTAAGCCGACTTCTCTCTGTACTTCAAACGGAGCGAGGTAACTGGGCCATTCCGCCAGACTTTTGCGTCCAAGTTTTCCCGCATCATTCTTTACTTACGTAATTGTGGCCTATGTAGTAGAAATGAGCTGAAAGCATTCTTGATATGGGAAAGAAGTACAGCAAACAAGGTAAGGTTCTGTGTGACGAAGGTCGCCGAGCACGTTCGCTCGATGGCTTAACTCTTCAAGACAAGATGCCATAATTACATGTTTAATATACCACCGTGCGTATTCTCGGCGTGAGGCTTAACTTTGAACTCTTCCTCATCAAGATTCTTTTCCTTTTTAGCGTGGATATCAAGAGAGGGACCCGAAGGTATCATAGTCGAAGAACGAGCCAAGAGCTGTGAAATTTGCCTTGTTTATTTTTCGCTGCCTTTGTGCAGTGTTCACGCCGATCTAATGATTTCTTTTCGTTTTCTCCTTCTGCTCTTGAAAACAGGGGACTGCGTGGCGGAAAATGACGCTACAAATCTGACTTTGGATTTCACTGAAGAACCGAAAGAAAAGGCTACATGTACGGCCGACTTCACATACAAGGGCTACCCTGTCAATGTAGTGAGTATAATATAATTGATTTGCCGTTTATAGGGAATGATTGATTCTTCAGCCGAGACCCATATATACCATCTACCCTAATATCAACATGTGACGTGATTAAAACTTTTTTTAACATGCCATTCGCAATAGCAACTTTCTTGTGTGAAAAGGAAGTGTTTTCCTGTGGTTGTTGGTAGCTAGCGAGTGACGGCTTTGATAGCTGTCGGTTTCGACTGAAGTGATAAAACAACAGAGCCACTCGCAAAGGTCAACACCACACCATCGAATGGTTCGACTTGCGCTCGTGATTTGTCATTTTAGCAAATTGCTTTGCGTTCCTAAATGAACTCAGCTCGCTACTCCAAATAACATCAGTCTCATTTCTGCTGACTTGTGGTCACATTTTGAGACGCGAATTAAGATATGTATGACGACGTTTTAAAACTCTCTGGGTCGACTAAATAAATCGGTATCTTTTTCTGAGATATTTAATTTTTGGCAGATTGATCGAAATATGCGTGTGGCAGTTAAACGTGGAAATGGTGAAGGAGTCAAAATTCCAAAATGCGTAATCGATTGTTACTTCTCTTTGCTTTAAGCCAGAAATACCGTCAAAGAGAGCGATTTCCGTCTATTCCTCGGCATTCGTGATCATGACACTGGTTTATTGAGCGGGCCTCCTTGAATAACCGTAAATAACTTTGAGCCTGTCAACAGAGGAGCGGCAGGCTGAAAGATTTCTGATGATGTTTCCTGAAATACAAGGGGACATGTTTCCTGCACGCCTCACTTTCTCACACGCTCTCTCTCTCACCCTCAATCTGATATAGAGTATTTGAATGTGAAAGAAAATAAATACATTTGTGTGTGTATAACATGCTTAAGTAAGTGTGTACTGCCTTCATAAACATGTTATGTTTATTTTAGAATGTCACCTCTCGTTTTTCGAAGTCCATGTGTAGCGAAAGAAATGTTCAAGAGATGAACTACGTTCCTCTCCATTGAAGATTTCTCCTGATTTGTTCTGAAGTGTCGGAAAAACAAATTTTTAGAGAGGTTTCTAGCATGTAGTTTTGTCGTGACGTATTGGGTAATACCAAGAAAGCTTTCCGTTTTATGTTTTATCTGAACCTTGAATTAGTTTTCCCTGCTGTTAGCGAAATCAAACCCCTATATTTGCAGAAACATACAGCCTACTTTATTTTTGTGGCTAAACTTTGATTACGAACCGAAAGAAAACATTTAAATATATATTTATAATGCCCTTTTTGTAGAAAACTTAAACGCAGTTTTCAGCCTTTTTTTTCAGATTTTCTGTCACAAGTGATTTGAAAAAGAGAACACAATGCCGCTCAATTACGCAAACTAATATAACTTTTAAGAAAAATTATGGTAATTTTACAACAATATTAATTATGCAGTTCTAAAACTAAATCAATGTTAACTCATTGTAGTGGATGACAGCTAAGATTTTGTTCTTTTGTCTTGTGGTTAGAATGATTTAATTGTTTTTGAAGCGTAGGAATTTAAATTGAGCCGCTGAAGTCAAGTATCGGAGATCACGTTTCGTTCTTGGTAGAAAGCTCCTTAAATGCATTTTTCCCTTTGCTGATGTCATTCCTTCACATTCTTCATCTAGAAAACATTGCTGCAGAGCTATGTCCTCAAATGTATGTAATGTAAGATAAGTTCCTCCATAAATAAGCTTATTCAGCCACAAGCATCATGTGCCACAAAGTTCAGCAAGATTCATGTTGCAGTCCTTAGCACAATTATTGTGGCTCTTCCCTTGCTAATCTGTTGCACAATTCTGCTTCAATGTCTTTCAGCCTCCTTTGCTTGGGAACAATATTTGAATTATTTTATTTTGTTTGTCTTTCTCAAAGCTGCAAGATGGACACTGTGGATCAGAAAAAGAGTTCTGTAAAAAGTATTCTTACTATGACTATCCCATTGAAGGTGTGTTGTGATATTCTTTTGCCAGAACTCTCGGTAATTGTATTGACTCTATTTTAACTTAGAAATATGGACTAGTTCATCTGGATTATATTTAATTAGATTTAATAATTAAATAATGTCTAATGAATATGAGTGGTATTTTTTAAACTCTTTGTAAGCTTTTTAAACACACTTTAGAGCCTCTTTATCAGTCAGTTCAAACATTCTTAAGGCAATTTTCATAAACTAATTATTCCTAATCCACCCTCTGAGAGAGAATTTTTGTTTAATGAGGAAATCTTTTGGAAAGTGCAAGATCTCTAATCGACAGGAACTATATTTGTTTTTCACATGATTGCCATCAAGCAGTGTTACTTTACACACAAATACTTTCACTGAAAAAAAGTCCTTTGGACAAATTGACTATAGCTCTTATACAGACAAATTTTCCCATACCTTGGGGGCGACATTCGTGTTACTTATCACATATGGTTCAGTAACAAGATAATTGCGGTCAACATTCTCTGTTGTGGTATAGTGTCAAAGTAGGTCACAGTCTAAATGATTGGATTGATTTTAATACAGCACCATCCCTATCTCTAAATCCTGGGTGGAATAAAGAAAAGCATTAAACTTCTTTGCCCCTCAAACAATGTGGAAAGGAAGTGCATGGCTGAAACGATTGAATGAGTGGTTCATCTTGTTATGATGACCACTTTTTACTTGGGCCTAGAAGGATCTTGCTCATATGCAGCATTGTTCTTGTCTACACATGTAGACTAGGAAATTTAGAAAATCTGCAATGGGGTGTTCTGAAATTATTAAACAAAACCTGAGTTATTGCAATCTATCAAATGCATTTTGAATCTTTTCCAGAAAGTGATGTTATTGCTATTTTATATCTTTAGATTTTGCTTTCTTACATAATGTCAACCCTAAATAGTGGTAGATATATGTTTTCATAAACATGTTAAGAATTCAAACCAAGCTTGTCTTTGTCCTTGATTATAAAAAACTGCCTTTCAAAAGACCCTCTCTATGAAGACAAGGGAAGGAATTAAGCTGCTCTGAAAAATATTAAATGTGTGATTTTTTTTTTTTTCCTCTTGATAGTTGTTGAATTACCTGATGAACCAGATGGTAAAAGATTTGAGCTGTTTTTTGAGCGTGAAGGACAGGTTGAAGCTTCTACCCAAACCATGAGGCCAATCACGGTAAACTTTAAACCTCTTTTAGATTTGTTTAAAAAAAATACCTATCACAAAACTGTATGTAGAACATGTGCACAGAGTTTTTCTTTTTTGTTTTAGCATGTGAAACAGGGGATTAACTCTTGATCTCCTTCACGTGATTTTCATTTTACCAACTCTTTTTTTTTTGATACAGCCAAAATTATGGTAATTGAATAAAGAGGATAAGTGTCAAACTGTGGTGCTGCATCTGTGGGGGCTATTTAAGGGTAATTTGGTTATATCAAAGCTGATGTTTAAAGTGCAATCCCTTCATTAGAGAGAAGAGAGATATTGTGGTTTGCGTGTTGTTTATATACAGAAACATAGAGCATCTGCTATTGATGGGAAACATGGTAACTGTGGAAATTGAGAATAAATTGGTTGAATGAAAAGCATTTGTAAAATTACATAACTAGCCTTTCAGAAATAAATACTATCTATTATAGTTTGAGTCAGTAAAATGACAAGGACTGTCTTAAGAATTTTCATGCTCTACATGAAACTTCATTGTCTTGCTCTAATAGAACCACTGGCTTCACTCTAATTATATTGCAATGTTTTACTGTACAGTACAGTAATGACTGCAAATTATTTTTTTGTACTTTTCTTATTTTATTGTAACAGTGCTCTAAAAGTGAACTATTTTACACAACAATATGTGACTTTTCCTCTACTTTGATTGGTTTATATTTTTACAGGCGGTAAGTGAATGTGGTCAGTCAATTAAATCAACAGGATCAGACCGGCAGGAATGGTCATACACCCTTTATGACTTTGAAGGCCAAGGCCAAGTCACTCGAGATGTAAGTTTTCTTTGTCCATAACAGGATTGATGTTACATTGGAATGTCAAAGCCATGGCTTAATATAAGTTGTCCAAGAGAAAATTATTGTGATAGAGTAGTAACACAAGTTCATGCAAATGGTTTCATGATATTCAGAGCTGGGAATATTGAGGGTCTACTATCTGCTTAAATTAGTTTCCTTCTCTATATGGTGTACAGTGAACAGAGTGTACTGTACATTAGGTAGAGGTAGAATTTTCTGGTAACTTGCAGAATTCTTGGAAATCAATTGAATTCTCAATAAAACATATGCGATACTACATTGGAATGTCAGAGTCATAGCTTGATATAAGTTGTGGAGGAGAAAATTATGGTGACAGAGTAGTAAAGCAGGCCATGCATATTCAGGGCTTGGGATATTAATTTAGTTTCCTTCAACAGATAGAAAACAGTGAGCAAAGTGTGCTTTATATTAGGTGGAAGTAGCATTTTCTGGGAACTTTCTAGAATTCGTGGGTTAAATTTTAATGGTTTAATTAAGGCAAATTTCATTTAAACAGAGAGGATATTATGTTGTTACATTAAAATATTCTATTGCTGTTTCATTCTCTGTTGAAAAGCCTGGGTGGCAAAAAGGTTTTGTTTGACTCAGAGTATTCTTCATTTTAAAAAAAACTATTTTAAGGAAATCTTTTGAAAATTACTGATCTAGTGAGCTTTTGATAAGCAAGAAGTACATGTATGTGAGAGATTTTCATTTAAAGGATAGGATCTTAAACTTTTTTCAGCCATTGCAAATCCTTAAATTAGTTCTCCCTCCAAGGAACAAGGATTATTTTGTTTATCTCCTCAAGCTGATGATAAGTTGTTGTTGTAGGACGTGAAGAACCTTGTGAAGTCAATCTATGATGTCCTTGGCAAAAGCATTTCTCATCCCAAAGGAACACAAAAAGATCCTGTTAAAAAACTCTGTGTGAAATTGTCACTCTCAAAGGAAAGAGGCAGAGATCTTAATAGTAGGACAAGGCATGAATGTGTCCTGACTGGTAGTGGCTTTGAGGAACATCCCAGAAGGAGTAAAGGGAGAAAGTACCTTTCAATACAAAGAGAGGGGTCTTTGACTGTGAACCCTCCATCTACAGACTGCCTTGGTCAATTCAGACCTAAGAGCAGCCTGTGTGAGCCAATACAGTCAGAGCAACATGCCAGCAGCAGTGGGCATCCTCGCAGATCATCATCATGCAGGAGGTGTGAGCACAGGCAACCTGTTGACAAGGATTGTGTGAGAAATGACCCCCGAAGGAGTGCCAACCCTGTTGACTCAAAGGGAATGTATCATTTCCCTAAGAGAATGCAAACTGGGCCTGGAGAATGTAACCCACCAGTATCCAATAGCGAGGAAATGACCAGAGTTAAGGATTGGATCAATCAGTGGTGTCACATGTATGACAAGGGGGAGGAAGAACCCCGTGAAGAACACCACAGGCACAAACATAAGCTGCACCATCGACATCGTGTCTGCCAAACCAACAGCTGTGATATGGGCTGTGGCCTTCGTCGCTGCCCTCAGTACCTTGATCTTGCAACAGATCACCTAACCTACCCTTACCACACAGAAAGTCAGTCATTCCCTTTTGCAAATGGATCGCCCTCACCACAGCACAGTCACAGACACAGTGAATATCATCACTGTAAGCGCAACTTAACTAGAGACAGTGACTTATGTCATCAGGATGGACAACCAGTCATTCATCGCCATGAGCACCACCACCATCACAGTCACCATCATTATCATCACTATGTCAGCTAAATAACTTTGTTATTTAAATTCTACCTTTGACTAAAATCATTTTCACACAATTTATGGTTTTTAGGTAAGATTACATGTGGTGAAAAGTTATAACATTTATAGGGAACAAGCCTTGCTTGATGAGTAGGACCTTGTAAAGAGGCACACTTTGTGATGAACAATAAGAACTCAAGCAAGGGGTTACTCTCAATTACTGCTAAATATTACTTTATGCAAAGAAGCAAGAATCTTTATGTTTTAAGACTTTTTTGTATAGCCCGTTAAATCAAGTTGAATTATGTATTTTCTACCTGTCTTGAAACTGCATGCATGAAGGGCAAACAGTATTGCAACTTGTCTTTGCAAGAATGGGATTGTTATATATTTCACTTTTATAATATTATCATACAATTTAATGTACATGATATTTGTAAGAATCATCAGATTATCCCAGACTGAAAGCAATATTTAACCATTGTTGTACTCCATTTAAAAACACCATGCGTAGGTAAGGAATTTTAGACTGCCATGAAATGTGATTAAAGATAAGTAAAAAAATTTATTCATTCATGAAAAGTACTTTTGTAATTCTTTTACATGTAAAACAAAACAAAATGAACATTGTGATTTTAAATGCTTTTTTGATCAACAAAACAAATGAGCTCTCTATTTTTTATTAGGATTATTCACAGGTTGTAGGAACAATTGGCAGTGTAAACAGGAATTTGTCTTTTTTTCAACTTTATTATTGACTTTTTCTAAGCTAGTTAGTTGTGAAGTATGAGTATATGCTTTATTGCTGTTTTATCCTCACTCTACATTTATTGCCCCTTTTTTAGAGTATAGTAGCCTTGGGAATCATATGAGGTAGACAAAAACTAAAATAGAATTTAGCTCATGGATAAAATTAAGCCACAACAGGTATTCCAGGCAGTTGAGGAATGGTTCAGAAATTTTTTTTTTAAAATCTAAAACCCTAGTTATTTGAATCAAAGGAAATTTAAAATATATCTTATTCACATTGTATAAAATCATTTAAGAAGTATTTAACAATTCCAGTGTATATTCAACATTTACTGTAATAATAATATTATATATTTCCCAATGCATCAGGCGAATCTGTCTGCTTTTATATTCGTATCATGAATCTAGATATATGTACATTTTATTCTGAAACTGAAGGAGACAGTTTTTTGGTCTTGACGCAAACCTGTTGACACAAACGGGGACATTCAGTCTAGTTGATACAGACATAAAAGAATAATGTGATTTGAAAGAAGGTCTATTAACCGCAATCTTTGAAGGGACTCGCTCCATTTGGTGAGGTCATATTTGTATTGATGACTTCCTCTATCAGGCCAACCTTAAGGGATTGCTCTTATTATAGAAAACGATAAACAACTCCTCTTTATGCCACAATTGACCTCCTAATGTATAAATCTCGCTCAAAAATACTTCTTTAATTTTGGGAGAAAACCATGGATTAAAAATTACTTGAAAGATTATTCTTAGTTTTATTTGAGTGGTTCGGCTTTTAGTGACAGTTCAAACAAATTCGGGACTTTGGCAACCGACCGCCTAGTAAGATGCCGGTTAATACAAGTTCGACTGAACTTTGTTTCTATACTCAGGGTAGCTCCAAAACCCTTTTCATAGAAATATAGAATGAAAAGTTAAATGCATACCCGTCTACGATGAATCTTTGGGGGTAAGGTGGTTAACGTCAGAGTAGATACTTGAGTTGGGGTGCGCCCTCGGAACTAAGAAAAGTGTCACAGTGAATGATTGGTTTCGCTAGTGAAGGGACTAGATAGAAATGTGATAGGAGCGTTTCTGATTTTCCGTTGGGAGCAAAGTCGGTGTCTGTTAAAAAAAGATGTTCCAAAGGAGGGGTTTGTGCGGTAGGAAGAACGCGAAAACCAATCTGGGTTGTTATTTGAAACTGCCTTGTCTTTCGCTTTATTTGCCCGTAGAAATTGATAAAATTGTATTCGCCTGGGGCAATAACGATTAATCTTCGATGAATGAGACTGCACGTTCCTCGTGGTGTCACATAAACAATTTTAGCAATTACACGTACACCGAACAGGAATAACCGCGCCGTCAGCTCAAGGCTCGGGCTCTAGGCTCGTGCAAAGGCGCCTTTTTCAACTTTTCCCACGTGACTCGATACTCCGTTTCGCTTGCCGTAAGTGATTAATCACGTTTAGGTGTAAGGTGTGCACATTATCGTAAAAAATTTTAGCGACCGCGCACCACTCACTTAAAAGCAGTAAGCGGTCTTAGGGTTGGTTGGAGGTTTCTGCACAATGCGCCTGCGCAGTGGAACTACTCACCAAAACACAAGAGCATTATCGAAGACCTGACCTCATAATTATCTATCTTGTGGAAATTGTAATTAGATTTCTAATTCTTTTAATCATAACCATTACAATTTCCTCAAATGTCATTGGTGCATCAGCTGCTTTATATTTCAATAATCACTCTGTACAGTTGTAACCGGACAGTGTAATCGGACAGTGTAACCGAACAGCTGAAGCAGCCAATCATGGTAAGTCCACTCAGCGAAATCCACTTATCACAGAATTGATCATAATAACCATAACAACTACCACTTACCCTGAAAAAAAAATGGGAAATTCCAACTTTTTTGCTTTAGACATTTCCACTGCTGGAGATATTTGTCCTAAATGTATTTGGTTTTTATAATGGTTATGATTAATTGATTAACTTCGTGTCGTCCAATTCTGCCTTTAATCATACTTGTGACTGACAAATGGTACCCCCACTTCGCGTTCGTCCGATTTTGTTCATTACTCGTAAGATTACAGACCGAATTGGACTCCACTTGGTATCATTATTAATCGAATATATATATCTAGACTAAGTTATTTCATATATGCGCCTTTCAATTGTTTGTTGTTGGTTTTTTTTAATTTATTTATTCTGTTTTTAGGTGATTTGCCTTTGAAACATTTTTCATTCGATTTCAGTTTCCCTAGCGAGATTTTGTCTGCAGCGCTTTCCATATTTTTGATGATGAAATATATCGCCTTTAACTCGCCTTTTCTCGATTCGTTTCAAATCCTGGCGTAGGATTATGACGCACACCGTGACAGGTTCTGTGGCACTCTGCATAAATTCATAGTAAATCAGTCTTCAAGATGATTAAGACCAGCGAACTGTGAAAATCAACGAGGAAAAACCCTGGTGTCAATTTTGTTAGCATTATCCTTCCTACTAAGGGTTACCCAAGTTACAGAAGCTTTCATTTATTTTTGGACTTTTCCGGTCGTTCAGTCGGAAATAAGTCTCATCCCTGTATCGCCCTCCACTACCTGACCGCGCCACTTTACTACCTGGATGCCTAAACTAGGCTTTTTTTTTTCACTTTTTTTTTAATGTTTGTCAGTGCTCGTACTGGCAAGCCTGATTGTTCCAAGGGCCGAGTTACTCCATGGAGCATGTGTTACAACGAAAAAAAGGGGCGAAATATTCGTGTTGACATTACATAAACTGTTTTATCCCTAGGAGCTCGAACCAAAAGATGCAAAAACAATAAAACGGTTCTGATGGACTAACGGCTTGTCCACGAGACGTGCAAACTTGAGATCGAAATCAACCAAAGTGTCATTGTTTTTGGCGAAGACGGGAAAGTTTTCCCAACGCAAGCTAAGGGGAGAGATGGCTGTGAGACCTAGGGTATCAATGCGTTTGTTTTTGGCCCCGAGCAGGGCAATGCTACTTGACTGAGAATAACCCTCTCTGCATGTACTAAAAGAGTCTTTACTCGAACTTTTCTCAAAATTATTCGACAAGTTTTGTTATTTTTATATGAACGTAACTCGTGAACGTGTACTTGAAAATCCTTTTGCGTTAGATGGTCAGACTGCTGACATCTTCAGCCTAATAAACGGGACTTTGAGCGTGATACTCGACTAGTTTACCGTGTCTGACGCATCTCTGAGCCGAGACAAAGTGCTGCGTCATGCCAGGTACGTACGTTTTAAAACAAGTAAATGATATGGGGGCGAGATTTGTAGATTCAACGCACTACCTTAGCGTTCGCCTTGTTTTTTAAGGTTTTTGTTTTAATATTTCAATTGTTATTACAGCGCTTGAGTGGGCGAAGTACAATACCAAAACATCACTGGACTAATTGGCCTGTGTACACTCCGATCCGACACGTTTGTATTACGTTCGTCATTTCGACAACTTTCTATTGGTCACTGTGTTTCTCACTTACTGGCTTCTACGTAAAATTATCAGAGGCCCTCAGATAATTTTACCGATAATAAAATATGCAGACATATCTTACATAGATTTGTTCCCATTCGTTTTCCACAGGCAAACAACAGTATTTTGATCACATGTCCAAACGTCTAACCAGTTGATAAGAAATGAAGGTGTTACATGTCTGAAAAACCAGACCCACGTGCATAGATTTGCACATTTTATGTATTATGTGTTACAGGCCGAAAAGTTTTCAGTCATACCCACGTACTATGATTTACACATTGAACAATACATCTAAGGGTTTGAATTAATACTTATTTGGGTTGTTGGTACCCGGAGGAGTACATTTTATGACCAAACCTTTGTTGCAGATTCCACGCCTCCTCAGAGTAATGACTTATGCTTCCATTGAAATCCCAGTGCCTTTTTTATTTTGAAGTAAAAGCGGGCTATCAGGTAACTTCCTATCAGATAATTGTGCTTTTAGCAGCTAGCTATGTTCTCCATTCGGATTAACCTTCCTTCTTGCAAACTGTACTTCTTTGCGAGTCTTCTTTGGCTCGCGTTCGTTGTCGGAAAAGTTTTCAATATGATTCCAGTGTGTCAGAAAATGCTGCAAAAGCTCTTCCTAAAATGGACAAGGTGTCGAGTACATCCAGAAGAGTTTTGGCACACTATGTTTAACACTGAAATGCGAAACACTCTTTTGCATATTCTTTGGAGAGATCTTGTCAAGAAAGCATTTCTTCATGGACCCGCAATTGACGTTCCAGTACTCTGCCTTGATGGTAAAATTCCTCGGCGGTGTAATTTGTTAGACTTCCAGCAACCAGGCCGGCCATTGGTGATAAACTTTGGGTCATGTTCCTGACCAGAGTTCATGGTGGACCTACAACAGTTTAATAAAATGGTCCGCCGCTATCAGGGACAAGTCGACTTCCTTGTTTTATACATCGAAGAAGCACATCCAGTGGACGGTTGGGCGTTTAAGGTAAAGCAAATTGAAAAAGAATTGAAATAGTAAGAGCCCTTAAACATTTGAACAGTGTTACTATGGATTCAAGAGCCGAAAACTGTTCAAAAAAAGTCTTCGTAGGAAACGTTTTTCATTTTTCAAAAATCTAACTATTTCATGTTTTCAAGCAAATTCTGTGAGCTAGGTTTTAAGACTGGTGAGCGGGCTACAATGAGATGTGAAGTTTAGCCGGCTTACTAATCCGATAACAAATGAAGAGGAGTATGGTTGATGATTCCTCTTCAATTCAGAGAACAAAAGAAATTTACGTTCTGTTACGCTAGAGAGAGAACAAACTGGATGTTACGCAAAGACCCTGCCTTACGACAAGTTTAACAACTTTCAGAAACATATTCTCAAACATTTTTTTCATGCCATTCTGGTACTTTCAACATTAGGACTTGTATACCATAATTAGCTGAAAATTCAGTTTTCCTAAGTTTAGAGGTAGGCTTTGAAAGACTTTGAAATGTAGGCTATAAGAAAGAGTAGTCAAAGAAAACCCAGAGTAGATCAATGTTAACTGTTTTACCCATGAAAATATGCGCTTTCAGAGATGAAATTAACGACATGTTTCCCATTGTTTGTTTCACGATTCTTCCATTCATCACAATTGGAAATACAGAAGATGAATACCCCTCTAATTGCATGCATTAATTACTTACACGAAAGCACGTTCTCTTGAATTAAAAGATCATTATCCTTAAAAATGGCTGAAATTTTTAACTTGACTCTAAAATGATTAAGGGGGCTGGGTATACGGGACCTCAGATCTCCTAAAGAGCTTAGAAGAAAAGTGCACAGATTAATTTGCGTCCAATTAGGATTATCCCTTGGGAGGGAAACAAAGCAACTCGCATTGAACCCAACGATCTCACCAATAAATGATAAACGTACTTGATATTGGTTATTTGATGCCCCTCCTTTTTCAACTGTGGCGAACATAGAATTTGTGTTTCTTACTCTATTTTTTTGTAATGTTATTTTGACAGAACAACCCCAAGATACTTCAACACCGAACTATAGAAGAAAGGTGCGCGGCTGCTAAGCTTCTTCAGCCTTATTGTCCTGACGAGGTTTCAATAGTTGTTGATACAATGTGCGACGCTGCAAATGCCGCTTATGGTGCCATACCGGAAAGACTTTACGTCATCAAGGATGATGTTATATCATACCAGGGAGGGGTAGGACCTTTTTCATACGATCTTGCAGAGGTGGAAACTTGTCTGACTCAGATATTTCAAGAACAAAATTGACATGGCATGAATAACAATGAAAGATAACAAGATTAATCCTTTATAAAATGAGCTGCACATAATAATGTTTTCACAAGGTTAGTTTGCAAAAATTAAATAGAAAAAGTTTTAATTGTTTGGAAAGATCTAGGTGGGTTTGTTCTTCTAGTTGAGAAATGAGACTGTGCTTGTGTTGATGTTTCAGTCACGCGAAGAAAAATTTAAGCAGGTTGAAACAACAATAATAGTGATATATTATGTAAAAAATGTGTAAAAACCTTCTTAGGCTTAGAAAATCCAAATTACTGAGCAGATCGATTTTTAGTGTAAGAAAGAATGGAATGAGTGGAAAACGGCAAACTGCTATTGAGATAAATCAGTGAATTAATGAAAGCACTGTATTTTAGACATGACTTTATTTACTTAGTCTGCAGGGACCTGCTAAGTTTGACGTTGTAGTTTTGTTGCAGTATTCTTTATGACAGTTTGCACACTAATTCCCAATAGGGGCAGGTGTTAGCTTGAATGTTTGAATATTGTGAAAGAGCTTGCAATGTTAAATAAATACTTTGGCTAGACCAGAAAGTAAAAAAATTAGTTGGGAGGGAAGAATTGTTTTGCTTGAAGTCAAGAGATAATTATGACATAACAGAAATAAAATAAAACTTCGGTGAAATGTTTTCCTGATCTACCCGCGAAACTTATGAACACGAAACTTGCCGGCCTACGCACTAAAATGTGATCAGTCTAAGTTTTATCAGGTGAGTGTTTAGAAGGAAAAGGCAAAAAAACAACTAATGGAAAAAATCATAACGGCAAAAAGCGTGGAAGGCTGGAAAGAACTGATGAGGGTTAGTCGAACAAGAACTGCAGCAGATGGGGTCATATAGGAACAAAATGGAAAGGTGGAGGACGATTGCACCGGAAACCTCTTTTTTCATAACAGCGGCGGGTTGAAAGGGAAAGACATAATTTTGGGGAATGAGGTGTGCGCTGGATACTCGTTGAGATAATTTCGCATCAGTAGTTGGTTGTGAAACCCCAAGTTGAAGAGAGTAAGTTGTGAACTGCCTTTCAAATCAGGCTGTTGCAGGCACGTTTACATTTAAATGCCAAATTTTTGGATGTTCAACTGTTGTCAAATTTTCGTGGAGCACTCTGCCTTGTATTGGTTTTACGAAACAAAAGCGCCTCTCAAGGAAGGTTTCATTGGCAGTAAATGAAGTTGGGATTTGGGCCAATTTTCGCTGAGTACAGGCCCTCTGGTCCCTGACTTCTTTGATGTAAAGTCCGCGAGTATCAATCCCTGTGAGCCCGGTGGGTGGTGGTTTTCAATTTCTAAGGGTGCCGAGGGTAAGTGCAACGGAAGGCAAGTCATGCGCATAATCCAATATGGCGGAAGTGTGTTGTGAACTCCCCTGACCAATAAGGAGGGGCTGAATGCCACAGATGAGCCATGAACGTTCTGAAATATTTACCTTTCAAACTATTTATTTAATGCTTTGATTCTTATAAGCCACCGCAGCCAATGTCTTTTAAGGTAAGGAGCAGAGAAACGGTAAAATCGGTACGTGTTACTTCACGTAGCGGTGCTCGCGTGTCGAGCAGTGGTTTCCTCGCAGCTCTGTGTAGAGATTCACAGTTCATTGCTAAGATGAATGCCGTTTGGAACAAATATTAGAATTTCTACACAGTTGCTGTTTTGATTCCCCTGCCATTAACGTTAGGAAGTCGGTGGTCAAAGTCATAATTTGATATGATCAACCACTTTTCCTTTATTTCAGCGATGGAATGATTCATTTTCATTGATTGCTCATTTCTCTCAGCTGGGTTTGAATAACATTAATTTAAACATCACCTGGAAGAAATTAACAAAATAAGGCTTTTATTGTCTTTAATATAAGAAAGGTGTTGAGTTGTTTTCTTGAATTTGACTGTTAAAGGGCCAGTTTTAGTCGGATTAAACATATCACATGGCCTCACATTCGCGTCTAAACGCATTAATTGAAGAAGTGCTTCCAATTTCCAGTGATTGCTTTGTTGCAAAAAAAATATTCTCTCGCTATTCTTTTGAGATTTAATTTCACTTTGCTTGATTATGGTTGACCTTTATGGTTATGTAATATTTTTGCAATAATAATGTCAAAGAATCAATTCGTCAAAGTTCAATTTGAACGTGCAATTCAGTAGAAAATTTCTCCTCGCAAATACATAATGAGAGCGGTGTATCAATGAAGCTGATGATTAAGTATTTATTTATTAATGTTGGTGTCTGTTAACTTCCATATCGATAAGAAGTTATCAGAGTCGCCTGATTCACATGATGGTAGCAATTTTTCAAAATTTACATTTATATATTAACACTTAAAAACATAATAATTTCTTATTTGAATACAGCTGCTGTTATTTCACTCTTACCCTGAGAAGCAGTTCTATAAACATTGTTTGGGTTTATAAATTTTTTCTCTTAGTATGAAAAAATTGTCTCTGTTGTCTCAAAAAAATTACATTTCCTGCCAAGGTGGAATGTGTCCATTTCCTTTATTATGAATTTTTTGCACCTATTTTGCACATATCAAATATAATTGACTTACACTTGAAATTTCTCTAAGATTGTATGGAAAAGAAAGGTTCATGACAGAGTTAAAGCATGATCAGCAACATTTTATGTAAATAGTTTTAACAGACACAGGACCCATTATTTTCTGATGTACAGGTAAGAGACAATGATTGGGACTGGCGATCCATTTGTCAGGACTTTTTATTTGACCGTCAAGTTCCACATCTGGAAAATATTCTTGAAGCTCACTACAGAGGAGATGTGAAGTGTTTCATTCAGCAATACTTAGAACCTGTTTTAGCACTACTCAAGAAATTAAAGGTGTCAGCTGAGGTGAGTGTTAAGTCTTGGTTTAACTGTTGTCCATGTTTATGATATTTATTTGGTAAATCTCTAATTCTTTGTAGATCAACATGATACTAGGTTGATGAAAGTTTCTGCTAGTTTGTCTGTGATATAATTTTTTTGTCTGGTTCCCTGTAAGGAAATTACTTCTGAAGAAATGTTTATCTTCTTGAAAGATACAGAGGAACCTTTATTCTAACTTGAAATCATTTTAGAGTACAACAAATAGATGTGGATTGTCTCTCAACTCTTAAGAAATTAAGTGGGAAGAGGGATTGGTACAACAAGCTACATTACACACATATTTCAATTATTTCCTCACTTATGATCTATTGGGGGACACAAGTCATGCAGAGATGATGTCACAATTAGAATTTTCTGCTTCCTTATCATACAAAACATATAGCCTTCATACTGCCACATGTTTATAAAAACAGATCACAGAGGACATCAAAATGTGGTAAGAACCTTTTTAGGAACACACTGGCTAGTAGCTCAAGGGCCAATTTTTTGTTCTTACCACTTTTTGATGTTATATGTAATATATTATATAACATATAGCATGGAATGTATTTATTGATTAATTTTTCCTGTTGGAAAAAATCAGGATTTCCTACTTTAGTGAAAGTAGTTTCTTTTTGTATTCAGAATTGTTTTGTTGTTATTAGATGAGTAAATATAAATCTAAGTTATTGATGCATGATCAGTTACTTTTCATTCCATAAGCTATTGGTGTTCACTTTTTTCTACTTCTCTTCATTATAATAGTTATTCTTTTAAGAATTAAAAAAATTTTTAAAAGGTTTTAGAGGCTCACTTATCTTAAACTCATGCTTAGCACTTGAATTTTGTAGCTTCAAGTGTAATATTTTTTGACAAGATCAAGATGTTGATAATTTTTTTTTTTTGTTGCAGAATTTTTTCTGCAGCAGTGAGAAGCCAGATGATGCCTGGGTACCTTATTACAAAAAACTTGTTGGCAATGTTATTCATATTACTAAACTGGACTCAAGTCTCCACAAAGGAGATTTTTGTATGAACTTAAGCTTAGCTGTTCCAGGAAATCTTATAATAAAATATTACAGAGCTGGAAATGTGCAGTCATTTCCACTGAAGGCTGAAGACTTCCCTCTCATTTGGCAGAAGAACTGGACTGACAAGATGCGAATAGAGATGCAAGGACGTTTTTTATTTTTAAACTGTATTATAAACTCCAAGAGAGGAATGGAAAGAAGGCCATGGAGGTACCTCATGTCTGAAAGCGGAAATGTTAGTGTTAAACAGTTGAAAGGTATGTTGATTAATGATTATGTATCAAGATGTTTGTCTTGATTCTTTTATTAGCATTTTGTGTTAGATATTTCCCATAAATTTTTGTAAACAATAGCTGGTATATTAGGATTATCTAGCCATGGGAGCACTTTTCATTTCATCATTTAGTAACTAGTTGCCAATTGTAAAATCTCATGTTTACCTCAAGGCCTCTTTATCTATGCTTGGGAACAAGATGACATGGTAACTAGGACTAATTTTTTTTCCTGTCCATAAAGGAAATTCTGGCTTGCTTTATGAAACTGATATTTGAACCTGGGTGTTGTTTGTTTGGGAAATTTTAGCTTGACAGGCAAAATGAATAGGGTACAATCTTTCAACTTTCATCCTGGTTCATAGAATGGACTGGTCTTGTGGAAACTTTTCCACTTGGTTACCTAGAAGTAGACAGGTTTGGCCATTGTGTTAACATGCAGGTTAGAACAGTTTTGTACAAACTAATGTCCCATGCACTCAGTGCATGTAGGAGACTTACAAAACGTGAACTCCTGAAGAGTCATCGGATGTTTTGAATTGGGAAGGTAAAGAGGATGTAAACATGTTTACTCAGCTTATTCATTGGTCTCATAAACAGAGATCTTCTGGTTTTCTTTTGTGAGAGAGGAATTTCTGGAGTTGTAACCTGAATGGAAGAACATTGTGATAGTGAAAATCAAACTGACAGAGTCTAAAGAAAAATAGTGGTACTGCTGATGACTCTATCGCCTACAATCCAGTGATTACTGGATTGTCTGTGTCTAAAGCCATCATTTTAATTGGGTTGTTCTTCCACTTCTGCTTGTGCTGCTCTGGAAATCTGGTTTCTGCTGGATGGTAATCATGGGAGTCAGTAAGGGAAAGTGGAGGAAAATGAATGGTTGTGATTTTATGATTCCAATTCCATTGGTCGTAGGATTCCATCCACAGTTGTAAGTGTAGTATTCCACTTACAACTCCAGTTTTTTATTTTCACTTGGTGAAAGCATTCTTACAATTTCCACTTTGACTCTGACTCCATTCTTGGGGAAAACCAGAGGTAAGGGGGTCAGCACACTTTCACATATGAAAACATAAAACCTTTTTGAAATAGGAAATTGCACTGCTAAGCAATTAAAATAGGTAAAAGAAATTGTTACTCAGCAGTTACACCATTACTTTTTGTATATTTTTTAATTTCACACAGCTATTGATAAAGACGGCTTGGAGAAAAGTTGCAAAGTAAGCCGTCAATCTCTGTTTATGGAGAAACCAATGAATGCCTTTGATGTGAACTTTGAGTTACTTCACAGTGGTGTGGCTTCACTTCCTGGTATGAAAAAAAATACTTTGACTGTTTTTCTATTTTTTTTAGTTGTCGTGGTGAATTGAGTATTGAGAGGAGTATGATTTTTGACTAGTTTTCTTTTTATAACAGCAAAAACTCAAGATGCTGCTGACATATTTCCATCTCAAATGGTCCTGGTTTAGGCTTTCTCTTTGCTATGTTCTTCCTCTCTCACAGGGTCTCATTTCCACATTAAGCACAGTTAAAAAATTACTAGTAAACTGTCAGGGGAACTTGGAATTTCCTGACTTCCTTCAAAGAGAGGGAAGTGATTAAAGTGTTTCTTCTTGTTCTTTAAAACCCTTTCTAGTAATAGTTGTGGATTTCTCTAAAATTATAAATACTTCAATGTTATCATATTGTAGTATTGTAGTAAATAGTGTTCATCAAGTGACAGACCCCTAAGGATTTTTTTTGCAGTCAACAGTATTTTTTTAAAAAGATGTTTTGTTTGCCTCTGGGCTATTACACTTTTTTGGCAAGTTTTGTCAAACAGTTTTGTTGACTTTTTATCTTCCTTTTTAACATTCATTCCCTCATTTTTTAAGGGAAAGCTTTTAGGGAAAATAAATTGTTGTGCAACTTTGTTTGTTTTGTTGAAAATGTTCGTACTTTGCCTATCTCTCAATGATGAATTGACTATAAATCCATGGAAGTGGAAATAATTTCTCTATACAGTCAACTCACCATGGCTAATTTGAAGTCAGTTTGATATTGTTGTCTATTTATATATTGCTGTTGATTTTCAAAAGTGCTTTTAGTTCCTCTTGTGCAATATAATTAATTGACTTTTATGATGATTTTTATCTCTCTGTCAAGTGCTGTGTCTTTTTCATTTTATTGTTGTATTTTGGTCTCAAATGGTTGCTATGGCATTTTTATCAAAATAAACAAGAATGGTAATAAAATATCTCTGATATCACAATGAAAATTAGCAAGTAGGAACAGAATGGAACTTTTTTGGCAAATCATTCTAAATTCACATTATGACAACTCAATGAAGTTAAGAAATAATAATTTGAATTTCATTTTTATTGTTTAAGCCACAGAATTGTGTTGGTATTATCAGCTTCTGTGTACCAAACACTCAAATATCAGAGTTTTTTTCTCTTCTTATAGATAAAGTATATTCGATAGGTTTTCTTCATGGTAAATGCAAATTTTGTACATTGAACTTTTTGGTATTTAATGTCCTTACTTCCTGTGTATTTATGCTTAGTAAAACATTTGTTGATCATCAGATGTTATGTAGGAAATATGAATAGTGAATATTGCTGAACATCTATAGATTCAATTATTGCTGATTCATGGTGTTTCATGAAAAATGGACCATTACATTACCCACTTAATCTGTGATGACAAAAAATTGATATTACCACCTCTAAGTATGAAATACTAAGTAGTGTTTACAACTGATCACCCATCTTTCAATTCAAAAAGAGATATTTCTTCTTGGTTTTTTTTATACATGCACCATATGAGCATATCAAAAACTAATCTGATGATACCATGATAATTTACAGGAAGATTTTTTTATCTCAGTGTTCTTGAAATCAGAACATTGTTTTAACATCTGTGTATAAATGATATATTACTTGCTGGAGTCAGTAATACTAGTTGAATAAATTTATCTACATACTATAAGCTATATATGTATTTATATATCGTTTAACTTTCTCTCCTCTCAAGAGAAGTCCTTACTATAATTTATCACTTGTCAGTTATATTCTTTGCAGATGCATATTTTACAGAGATTTTTAAAGCCTTAAAGAAATTATAGTGAGCACTTCATTAACCACTGAAGTAAGATCATATTTAATGCAGTTTTAACAAAGAAAAAGCTCTATGCAAGTGACCTTTAATTCTAGGACTGGAAAGCTATTTTAAGGGTTTTTGTTTTAAAATAAACAATATTGGTCTGTGAATGTTATAGAAAGTTCACTGTTATCAAAGTATGATGTCACTTGGTATCATACTGCTTTCCTGTGTATTCTTCTTGGATCTTGTTATCATTAGATGACTGTAAAGGTAACAGCAAACTATCTCATTTTATATACTAATCATTAACTTTTGGTATGGTTAGACAACTACCATTTTCAAAGTTTTGATGTGTGAATCATGTTATATTGTACTTGTTGATCAAAACAAAGTCCACAAGTCTTCCTTTTAAATTAATGTTTTAGAATAATTTGTTACTTGGGTTCTTGAACTGTTCTATGTGGACTTGTGTGCCATTTATTTTTCACCAATGGTGAAAGTATTGTATTGTTTGGTAACAAAGGTAGTGTAGCATGCAAAACAGTGACATACACTAAATCTGAGTTTTTGAATCTAATGAATTTGATGATCCCACATTTTCAGATTAAATATTAACCTTTCTGCTCCCAGGAGGGACCAAGAGATAATTTTTCCTTGAAATATTAAAATACTATCTAGCAGGCAGCTAATGAGATTAAAAGAAAATAATTACTAGGAGATATTTGATTGAACATCAAATTCTCAGATCTAACTTGAAAAGTCATGTAGGGCAGACAGTAAGGAGAATTACCATTGAGATTTCTGGAGTGGAGGGATTAAATTCAACAACTTAGTTTATTTTGACTTTGTATGTTGGGTTGATTTGTTTTAAAATATCAATGTCCCAAGACTTGTCCAATGTTTACAACTTGTAAAATCTTGGGGCATTCAGGGTATACATAGTCAAAAAAGTGACAACACTCTCCTCTTCACACTGGTCCAATTCATAAAGTAATTGATGCCATATGAAAAGACTGCACATGAGCTGAGCCAGCCCCCACCTCCCCCTACTGCTGCTACTGAGGTATCACTACTCTTCAAAGGTTGGGATACTGGTTTGTTACGGGTTATTGCAAACCTTTTTTATCAAGTTTGCCTGACAATTTTCTTCCCCCCATTTATACTCCTGGTGGGTGGAGAGAAAGGCACCGTGAGAGTAACGTCGACAAGAATAAGACACATAGGACTTTGCATGCCTTGAAGTCGGGTTTAGTAACCATGAGGTGATGGTGATAATAGTGCCTCCCACATTGATGTGTTGTTATCTTTGTTCTTTAGGTAACAGAGACCTAAGAGGTGGAGCTATCCTTGTGGTTGACATGTCACGCCCTGATTGGGATAATGTTGCTTATACAAGTGTAGACTTAGCAAGACTGTTCATGTACTTCCATAGCATTCCTATGTGAGTACCTCCAATTTTTTAATCATTCATTCTTCATTGAAATTTTTTTTGATCTGAACATATTTAGTTTGGATAAGAGAATCGATTGTTCAAATTATTGCTCTGTCCGGATGGTCTATTGCAGTTGCTCAGAGTCTTTTTTAATAGCGCTCTATCGGGCGCTAAGTCACAAGCAATTGACATTTTTGGTGTCTAGTACGCTGGAGGGAGATAAATCAAGTGAGAGTCAATAGTGTGGCGTCGAAGTGTATAATATAAGTATATTGAAATCCGAAGTCACACAGAGAGACTCTACATTAAGCCGGGAGTTAATTGGTGGTCCTGTGGTAATAAGGACTCTCAACGAAATGAACCCACGCTCTGCTTATAAACCACGTGGTCATTTCTTCTCAACGCCCACGCTTTATCAAGGGTTCATTGAAATGAAACTCTTGCAAAATGTTTAGACACGTTCTCTTCTCTTGTGCGTACCTCTCTAATGCGACTGCCTGGCGTTGTGTTGTTACCTGGGAAGCGCGAGAAACCAAGGCTGATATAGACTACACTTCTGCTGAAAAACATTGAATATTAGTCCGACATGAAAGTGCTTTTCGTCTCTTAAACTTTCATTCAAGTGACCTCGTCAGAAGTTTTGCGAAACATGATTGTTTTCTCAAGAAGATTTCAACGTGCTTCATAAAAACCCAACGTACATTTTGAAAGTCCAGTTCTAAGGAAAGTTATTTTTTATGAGTTTTTTGTTAAGAGAATAATTTATTATACTGGTATGTCTTGATTAATCTAATGAGTGGCAACCGAAAGTGCCTCCACTTTACAAGTCTCATGGTGGTCTGTTTAGCAGGTCTGTTATCTCACCCCTTCCCTCTGCTAAGTCTGGCACACTGTTCCACAAGGCTCAGTTTGTGTTAGCTTAGCAGAAAGTTACGTCAATCTCGTAGGCGCTTACTTCTAGAATACGATGAAGTTTTCTGTCGGCGCACATGCTTTGAGTGTATAGTTCCCCGAGAGAGCGTACACGTGGTCTTAGCGTGATGACAAGTGCGGAAATCAGTGTCTGCATTGCGTGCAGTTAGGGCTAATCCGAGTGTCTAATATCATTGTTGAGTCGGTTGGCCTTGCGATCCTTATCATTGGATGTTGGGTCGTGTAAATCCGTTGGATAATTATTCGAGACTATTGCCGCATTGAAATCCTTCGCCGTAGCAACAATTTTACCTGTGGTCAGTCCGTATCTTAACAAAGGTACCCAACCAAAGGTATGTTCATCTTGCAGGAGATTATATAAAATTTTTATGGAGTAGTTGTTGGTGAGCTGTGGAGATTATGCTGTGTTTATTGTTGGTGTTTTAGCTTGATAATCTGCTTGCCTTCTTTCATATAAGTATGTCAGAAAGCTCTCTCGCTAAAACGCTTTCCGTAAAGTGATACGTCTCTCTTTGTTTACATTTCGGTTAAGACAATCCCGTCTTTTTTTTTCTTTTTTTTTTTTGGAGACTGTTGAGAGCTGCTTATTTAAACACGAATAACAGATCTTTAAATTATTTTCACGCGATCAACTACTGAAGAAAAATAACAGCAAGGAGGGATCTACGAAAGGTCTGCCCATCTCCTTGTCAAAGGCATTGTTTCCATAAGCACCACAATTGTATCGAGTGTTTACGTCTCAACCGAAATGTTTCTGAATTGACGCATTGAAGAACGATAGTCTAAAGGCGCGGTAGACATGGAAAACCGCTCTACTAAGGAAATATTTATAAGCTCTGGAGAAGACTCGTTTGAAAAACACGACGATGTCAAAGGTCGCACAGGAGATATCTGGGCGTCTCCGCCAACTGAAGGAACCAGATCCATGTATGCGTCTACTTTGATCACACTTGTTGTTTCTTGGTACAGTCAACTAACCTGTACTTTCAATGTTCAGGATGTTTCACTTTTTTTTAAATAAAACTCAGTATGATAACGATATAAATCATCAAATCTTACTGAATGTTATCCCTATAATAACTGGCTGTTCGTTTGAGAGTCAGACCACCCACTAGCCTTACCAACACAAAAGATATAGCTGGCCGTGGGAGGCTTTGGAAAAGTTTTGCCGGGATGGAATCATCTTAGTCAGAACTGAAGTGCGGCGTAATATGGAGCTGGGATCAGTATCGAGTGCGGCTCAATATTGATTAGTTCAATTCATAAAATGATCTCTCCGAGCTGTGGTCAGTTTTTGTTCGAGTTGGTGTGACTGTGGCCTGGTGCTGTCCGAAGGTGAATTTGTTTGACGCCTCCGTGACCCTTTTGATGTTCACAATCCTATGTTTTTATAAGCTAAATGCATGCTATAGCAGAGAACGAGAGATGAACGCATCCATTCTTCATAAGCAGTTAGTTTTTATCGGGGAAAAGCTACCTCTGATGTTTGCTAGGTGATAGCACTTTTTTTTTTGTGGCAAACGGAAAAAGAAAAAACCAACAACAAAGATTGTTTTTTAACAAGTTTATAATCTGTCAACATCCCCTGGTACGCCATTACTCTAGCAAATTAACACTGTTAATGCAAAACGACTTCCAGTCCTTTTTTTTTTTGCTATAGTTGAGAGAGATCAGATTCTTAACTGATGTACTTCCGCGGCAGCATTTTCAATTTGTGCATACAAATGTAATTCAGTTGTAGAAAACAACTTAATAAGGAGCAAACAAATACAGATTGGACAAAGTAGCGTCAAAGAATATTCCAGGAGAATATATCCTCGAATAAACCGCTAGCTAATCAGCAAAATATAGGCTTTCCAATGTTCAGAGTAAATTTGGATGGTTTTTTTTCCTTGATGCTGGAAGGTTTGTAGGCATTTAATTTGAGGATACATGCTTAGTTAGGGAATGTAAGCTGTAAACTGTTATTCTAAGGATGTCAAAGTGGAAATCGATCGTTCAACTTTCGGGAGTTACGTAAATTTTTTTCGAGTGATGTGTTTCGTTGTGTCCATATTTCAATTTACCATAACAGTTGTGGTACAATTGGTTTCTTCAGGGCACCCAGCTTGATTTGACTACCCCTGCAAATAGCTTTCACTCGTATTTCTTGTTGTAATGAACGCCAATTTCCTGTAGATTTTGTAGGCACGGCACTATTGAGTTTCACCTCAGAAAAAGCATTGTTGAAAGTTTTGCCTTTCAACACCATCGTTTCACGCTGTTCTTTAAGATGACGGTCAGCGTTTGCCTACATCCTGTTCAGTTTATAGTCTCTAATAGTTTGGAGCGAAAAAATTTACATCATCGAACGGTTTGCACGTTATACATTTTGTTTTTGTACAATTTACTTTTAAATTTTCCCACGGCGATTTACTTTTCTGCAAACTGTACAATTTAATGACACTAGGTATTTGTGAATGTTGATCAGTTGACCGGAAGTGTCAGTAGAGGTGCAAGGCGCTATCAAATGTCTGACAGATTTGCTGCAAGTGGTCTTTGAATGACACATATGTTTTGTTTTTGCGCAGAAAAGAGATCCATAGCCTTGGGTTTTCAATCATCATCGACGCTCGAAAATCAGGCACAAAACGGAAATATCTTGAAGACGTTGTGGAAGCAATGGTTTGCTTCCAGGTAAGTTATTTGATAAACTATTTTAGAACGATACCGCTCCGTTAGCGGATTTTCTACGTGTGCTGAATACGTCACATTTTTATCTGAAAGAATTTGACAGTGGAGATTCAAGTCGGAAGAAAGATGACCTATAACATTAACGTACACGTTTTAAAAATATCAAATTTATATATATATATATCTCACCAAATATATTTTAATCTTTGAACATCACCGACGTTTATTCTTCACATAAAATTTAAAATTCTTTGGGTTTCCTTTAACGCCGCTATCTGAGGGTATTTGTCCTTTGCCTAATGGACGGAAATAGTTCTTTTTGCGAAATAACAAAGCGGCACTTATTATATTAAGCCTCTGATGTTACGTTTTAAGTGTCTGACCTATTCTCATTAACTAGGGAAAAGAAAAGCGTGACTTAGCGAAAAAACTGAACCTGAATGACCACGTGTTATTTACTTTGTAAATATTCCACTTATTATTTCTCAGTGCGAGCTCTTTACAGAACAAACACAGCACGGTATATCCATGTCAAATATTCATAATTTGTGCCAATGGTCTATAATTCCAGCTAAAATATCAGTACTTCGTCATCTGTAATTGTTTTGTTTTATGTACAACGCGTCGCTCGAGGTATGAAAAAGAACGCAAGGAACAATCGAACCCCGAAAAACTTTTAATAAATTGCATAAAGATTCCCAACGCCATGGAATGTTTGGACGATTTCCTTGGGTGAGACGATTGCAGACGAGACGATGATTGTTAGATTCCGTTCGTTTGAAGATAAATACGATGAGATATGCCTTTTTAATTAAGAGAGCGAGAGAGAGGGTTTGTTGTCAATATCATTACATACGAGGAGAGCTGCTCAATTTTTTCCCTTTTTTTTCTTACCGGTTGATTTCAAAGGGATCCTTTCTTGTTTGTTGGTTCTCTGGTTAAAAATAAAACGCACACCCACACGCACACAAACTGATCGAAATCTGGTTGGTAACAAGCGTGAATGATAAATTCTGCGATGTACAGCCGTAATAGCTGGGTCTTTGGAATCGCATTCGGATTTATTGCTATCTGCTAATCCTTTTTTCTCAAAAGAAAACCTTTTCTGCTGCTCTCGCTTATTGAAAGAGAGCAAGTTGCTGTATCTTACACAGACTGTAGCTGCTTCGTTCGATAGGTGTGGTTTCCACCTTATCTCACAGTTTGTCGGCCTTGACAATACAGTAAATACACACCTATTACTGTGTCTCCCAAAGCGCTTAAAACTTCTCAGCAGATGGTCGCCGGGTGATAAGAAGTTTGTCCAATTGAGATCGCTGTCTCTCAGATTTTACAATAAAGTTACAGCTTTTTAAACGCCTCTTTCACTGCATATGTTAAGTGACGTAGATTGAAGACCAAAAGAGCAATTTATGGACAACTGTGTTTCCTCAGCACTACATCATTTTGACTGAAAGTTGAAATCGTGGACTAGCCTCGCCATTTCATAGCGTCACTCCAGGAATATTTTGGTTTGCCGGCTTGAGGGTTGAGGCCGGTTGGTTAGTTTTTGTGTTTGTTTGTCTCTATAGCGATGTGTCTTATCGATAGTTTAAATTCTTCTAGGAAAGCACTCCTGGAGGGGTACACATGGTGTACATCGTGACAAAGAAGGACTCCCCTCTCGTCATATTCAGCGGTTCAAAGGTCAAAGAACAACTCAACTTTGAGGTAAGAGTGTAAATGGAACAGCACCATATTGTGCTGCGCATGCGTTGCTATGCTGTATTATGATGCACTGTCATAACCCTAAACCTTTAAATTAAGCAGGTTCTGTTTCAGTGCCTTCTTTAATGTTCAGTTTCTTTCTAATTTACTAGACGTGAAAAATTAAACTATATGAAGTCGGTAATCGAACGCTATTTAGTCACTTAAGTTGTCAGTCGGTCAGTTGGTCTTTGACGCTTACTCCTTACTAAAATCGGGCATCTCAATATTCAAGAGCATCATAGATATGTTTGATTGAAAACTTATACCGTTCATATGCAATTGGGGTCAAATGAAGCACATTATAAAGGCACTAGGTAACCAACACTACGTACCCACTCCACTCCCCTTCCGTCTGACGATACCGAATTTATGTCTCAAGGATTATGGATAACACTTTGCACAGTATTGCGGAAAGGAAAAATGGAAGGGTGGGCGTGCGAAGTTTGGCAGCCATCGCTAATATATACAATATTTTTAAAAATACACTTGCAGTTAAAAATAATTTAGTCACTCACGAAAGCATACTAAGCCTAGAATATATAGTCAGCCTGACCTAAAATAGTCAAATTACGGAAATGAAGGAAAATCTGACTGAGTGGAATACATGGTGAAAGTCACATGACGTACACCATTCGCTCACGGGACTCATGTGATTAGTACTAGTGTGCAGTTGGTTACATAACAACTCTTGACAAACATCTAACCATTTAAATGCACGGAATATTTTTTTGGCAGAGCTCCAAGCTCAAGCTTTTGTCAAAGTTGAAAGTAAGAGACCCAAGATCATAAAATTGGCGTAACAATTGCATTTAGTCTCTGAGGAAAAAGCAAACTAAGAGAAAACAAGACACAGAAAACTTGTGCAATAAAATATGCGAGGGAATTGTTTTTTTCCGAAGGTCAAAGCGAGATCTCGAGGTCAAATACTTACACAACTGAGGAGAAAGAAGCTTCTCTTGAGAAAATGAAAACGACGGAGTTTTGATAGTTTTATAAGGAAATTGTCATCTCACTTTAATTTCACGCTCTGAACATAAAGTAATGAAAATGTTTCACCATAGTAAAGGTCGCCAAATTGGCGACTTTTCGGCGATCAAAACTGATTTTCCTTCCAAACATTTTAGATGGAATTAAGTCTTGCTCTCTTTATGGGATAGATATGGAAGTAAAAGCTAACAATGAATTGAACTACCTTTAAGTTACATCATAACGGCCTTATTATAAGTTTTTCCTGCAAGAACTCGAATGTGAAGCGCGTGGTCATTTTTATACGGAAATTCCCAACGGTCGGGTTCGCAGAGCGAGCTTGGGATTAGTTTTGATTCAAGATGGCGGAAATGTTTTTGACGTTTTGTTTGAAATGAGGAGTACAACAGGGGATGAGCTTCTTAGTTATGGAGAAGAAGCAAATTTTTATCTAAAGGGATCGACTATAACGATTATGTCCTCATTACACTGGGATGAAAATGATGACACTTTTGTATTTTTTCGGCAAATGTTGAACTGCAATGTCCTTCTATCCCTAGTTCGCACCAAAGAAGGGCTCATAATCTACGTAGTACAATAATGCAATTTCTTGTTTGCTGTTAGAAACTTTAACTCTTTATTTACCGAAGCTTGGCCTTACAAAATATAATACTGTAGCTACAGCCGGTTCAACATGATTTTTTTTCATCACTTGCAGCAACAATTACCTCAGAAAAGTCGTTATAGTCCAGTTATCGTTATTGTTCATTTCCGACGACCAAAACTCGCAAAAATTCTCAGATAGAGTTGTAACAGTTCGCAGCACTAATAAACTGTTGAAAGGAGTTTTTAAGGCACTACTGTTACTTTTCGGCAATAAGTCTTAGTATTTATCGTTCGTCCGCCAGACATTGTCTGGAATTAAGATGCATGCATGCATGTGCCTGTGTTTCGCTACCAGACGCATTAAAACTGTCAGTGGAGTTTAAAGGTAACACGGTCATGTGGTGACCCCAATAAAAGGGACACCCTCTAATACTCACTGTCCCTGGGGTAATTCCGTATGGGGAAGGTTTGACTGTTTATCTATACTTTAAGTTAGCTGTTGACGCGGTACAATCATCTTTATGGCTCTGTAGTTTTTGTGGTAGTGGTCAAGTGTGGATACTTGTTTTATTAATCGCCATGACTTCGGCTGACCTAAAACACAGCGAACTTTTCACCATATCTAAAACAAGTCAGTGCTATAGCCAACTTCTCTAGCGTTGTGTACCAATGTGGGGCTGGAATCGCCGAGCGCCTGTTGCAAACAGCTGCGTTCAGACTTTAATTGAACAAGTTGTTAGTACTTTATCAGCGTTTGATTTGTCGGAATTAGCTTCGTCTCCGTACGTGGTAAGTTTCTTGCTCTTCTTTTAAGAGGGGCGGCGTTCTTAGTGCAATTTAAATACTTTTTTTATGTTGGTGAAAACAAAAAGGACAATATCTTATGATATCCGAAGTGCGCTAGCTACTCGCAAGAAACAATTTCCGAAAGATTCACGAACAGGAAAATGTTCTTTTGTTCTCTTTTCATGTTATTTTGTTAGCAGTCTGTAAAGTAGAGGTGTGTAGGATATGACGATTCTTTCTTTGAGGAACAGATACATTTTATCTCTCTTTATCGTTTTATTATTCTTGATTGCTTTACAATATACGGACTAAAGTTTGCACGTGCCAGTATGTCTTGCTGCACATGACACTGGTCGCGTAGGTATTAGTGTTCCACTGAGAGCTTTGCCTCGGCTTCGTAGGAACGTGAGAGAGAACGTGACGAATTCGCCTTAATAGTTGAGATTACGTTTATAAAAAAAATATGTAGACAAACCTTTCACAGGTGGTAGGAATTTCAGAGGTATGTCGTCGCCCTTGGCAAAGTGTTTTGATATTTGACTGTGGATCCTTAATTGCATGATACTCCACTGAATTTTTATTTTACTAATTTTTATTCTATGAAACTTGAGGGTTTGTAACATTGGTGCTCTGTGTATTTTTCCCTTTTTAAGATTTAATTTAATTTTTATTTTCGCTTCTTTTTTATCCCTATCGAATCTAATCCATAAGATAGATAGGTAAGTAGGTAGCAGTATTCTTGGTAATGTTTAAGAGATATCCATTCACAGTTAAGTAAGCAGGTATTAAACGGGTCGTATAAATCTTTCCATAAGCGCTTGGAATATTAGCTAATCTTTGCTAAGCAGAAAAATTCGCAAAGTTGCGCAAAAATTAATTCGTAGCAAAATTTGGAGTTGAGGTAATTCGAATTGCGGTCTACGCATGCTTCAAGTTCGACCGTGACGTTAGTTTAGGCTTAGGAAGGTGGTGCTTAGTTTTGGCGGTAATCGCCCTTGTTTTAGCTGAAACAGAAAAATGTTTGAGCACGAGAACAATCAATCTTCATCTCAAACAAAATGGTCGCAAGGGGAGCAAAAAGAATCTGTTTCCCTCTGCACAAAATTCAACGTACCAAAGATGTTGGAAGACGCCAAAACATCAGCCAGGGTAAGCAAGAGTCTGACCGTGGTTCAATCCCACACCATTTATTTCTTTTTCATCGTATTTTACTCAAACCAGGCGCCCGCAGATTTTGTTTATTGTTCATTGTATTAGTGTTACTGAGAAACTCAGAATCTAAAAGCGGCAAATTTCTTTCAGAACTACAATAACTACTTTTAGGCCGGCCATTGCACGTTCACATAATTGCTCTGTGGGTATTTTTTTCTTATTTTTAAATGGAAACTGGTCTATATCTATGTCACAAAAAAGACAGTTATTCCTAGGAAACGATATATGTAAGGTATAGTTCCTTATACTCATGGACGAGTAACTTTCTATTTATTTCTCTGCCAAGTTTGGCCATGAAGAAGTCGACATGTTTTACTTTGCGCGCGCTTATCACGTGGGAAATTCTGCGTTGTGAGAATGCGCAGTAAAATACTTAGAAGTGACCCCTAAAGGCAAATTAAAGTTGCGGCATGTTTCAATCTCTTGTTTAAGTGTCTGTTACACTCTTTAAAAAAGATACGTCAGGTCAAACTTTGATTTTTGTTTTGGTAAACATGATGCGACATATTATGTAAGAACTCTTTTATTCAAATGTTATCTGATATTACCTGCCCTTTTGGCCATGGCTTGAGGCAATCTATCGCTGCATAGACTCGTATGATCTAAAGGTCAAGAGAGATTCATAATGTTACAAATACGTAAACTAAGATAGCAGAAATTTACCGACTCAGGGTTTCTCACAGCTGTGTGATAGTTTGATCGACAATTTAAAAAAAAAATCGTGCTCAGTGACGAGACCAAAGGATAACTGGGGACTGAAATACGAACAAATACAGACCGCTGTACAGTCTACCGGTCTTTAACCCACAGAGTCCTATAGGTATGTTCTGGCAAAAAAAAAAAGAAAAAGAAATGCGTCATACATGGGTTTCCAGGTTACTGTGGTAGTTATAGTTGGTATTGTTACTGGTTTTTCACATTTAGATGTAAATTGTTGTCATAGCAACAAACGAGCCGAATATCGTTGAAAAATTCCCGCTTTTTTTTTTAAGTTTAGAACTGTGGCTTCTCAATGCCTCTTGGGTAGAATTTCAGCTTGAGAGGTTGAGTTTTAAGTATGAAATGTGAAGAAAGAAGGTCTTTTGATGTATTGGTATTATTAACTGGTTCTAGAGTTCATTATACTGATTTATTGTGATGGAATATTTTTCCAGTAGTGGACGACATAAAAAGCCATGTTGGCCCATGAACTATCCCGCGTGTGATTAATTGCTAGTAGTACCTAGTGTCCTCTCAAAACTCACCAATGAATTTTCTATAAACTAAATTGAACTAGATTTTAGAAGGTCAATGAAAGCTTGCACAATCGCTATTAAAGAGGACTAAACTTGTATTAGTTACAAAAATTTACTTTGTGGTTCGTCATCTTTTTCGTCCTCAAATTTTGATATTAGTTTGCAGGAAATAAAGTAACTCGGTATTTTCATGCGTAACTTTATACCTCCACCTAGATTTCCCTCATTCATTTCCTGATTTTCGTATTAATTGTCAGGAAAACTTTATTATTCTACAATTATCCTGCTCATTCTGATATGGATAATTGAAGTCATGTCGTTATATCAAGTACTTATTTAATGCTAATCACTAACTTCACACTTGTAGTGTAGTTGAAGAGTTGTTTTAAAGTTTTAGGACTCGTTCAATTGTAATATTAATTCATTCCTTATGGTTAATGTAGCAGAAAGTTGGTGAGTTTGGCTTTCAAAGTATGCGATGCACACAAAGTAGAAATAAATGCATATTGATACACAGCAAGCGAGCCACATAACCTTTTTTTTTTTTTATAAGATGTTGTCCTTTTCTTCAGGGATTCATGTGTCAGTATCCCTCTCTCCTGGCAAAGTTGATATGTAAATACATCTCACAGATGTAGTATTTACTAAATCCGCAGAGTATTTCCCTTGATTTTGTGGTTATCAATCTCCCTTCACTATTTAGTCGACCCTAACGGCCTCTTACTCGAGCCAAAATAGATTTACTTTACGTTGAAAGACTGTGCTCCTATTGTAAGTGGGGTGTATTTTGGTAGAGTCTATCTTCCATTCCTTTGTTCAGTTGGCCATGTTTGTGATATTAACTCACTCTAGACATACTATCTGTAGCATTGTTTAATAGTAGCTGTATTGTCTTTTCAGTTCAAGCTCATAACAACAGTAGATGAACTCAAGTCTTACATCGACCGGACACAGCTTACACCTGAGTTTGGTGGAGTCTTCAATTATGATCACGACGAGTGGATCAGATTTAGAATAGTAAGTTTTACTCGTTATCGTAACTCTCCGTCAACTTGGGGCAATTCTTTAGATTTTGACCTGACGTCCTAAGATAGTTTTACTTGCAGCGCAATCTGTCCACTTTCATTAAAGGGCGCCACAATTTAACGACTGTAGAATTGACACTTCAAGAGTAAGTTGCACTTGCCTTCCTTAAGAAAATGACTCGCATTGAGGAAATGAAAACGAGTTGTCTGTCGAGCTGGCTCAGTAAGAATAAATATTTGGACATTTGAACTGGTATCTGCCACCAATCCTGTCTAACAAATATCGATGTAAACCACACTTACACTAATCATGCTTTTTGTTCTCCACGCCGAAAGACATTATTTGACTTAAAATTATTGGGGAAACTTCGCAAATTTTTAGCGCAGGTTCCAACTTGTCGTAGTGGGTCAATAGACACGTGTTTTGTGCAAGTAACGTTTGAATCAGTTCAGACGTCCCAACATTGTCAAATTTTGATATCTAACTGCCTCTCGAGGAATACGAATTTCGGTGTCAAGATGCTGTATGAATACCTTAACATAATGCCTCTTTCTAGGCAATTTGACGAAAGAAGGAAATTGATTCTTAACGATGAAGTTACACTATGACAAGAATTAATTTCAGATTAATTTGTTCCAATTAACTATTATTCTTGCGGTAAATAACTCTGCCTTTTTAGTGAAGGAATTGTCACATATTAAACCCGTCTTATGTCACGAACAATAAGACAGGAAACGCTAGATATTCTTCGGTTGTGTTATGCTAATGATTTTCTAGAAAAAATCCACTGCTGATATGGCATTCTATTAACGGTGCACTCTATTCAACTTCTGTGTACCGGTATAAGTGTGTGTGTATTGTTGTATTTCCTTTAAGCTGAAGTAAACTCGTCTGTCTTTACAACCTGTGATTTGACTCGCGTAATACAAATAGACTTTACTTCAGAAATAAGATGATATATTCGTCGACGAACAAATTTTGTGATGTTGGACAGTTAAAAAGATCCTGGTCTAAAATACTTCCTAATTTGCCCCTTGGCTTGTATCAAGGCTGATCCATTTTTTGGATCATTCCGTTTTCTCTGAGGAGGTCGGTTTTTCTCGCGGTCTTTGTTCCAAGACTAAATATTCCGCTTACTTGCTTCACTGACTTTCATTGTTGAAAGTTGTTCAATTTATGAGTATTTTTGGAATAAGGACGGTTTAAAAATAGGTCTATTAATTAGAAGTACAAAAGTCAGTAGGCACGAAAAATGACAGCTTCAACGGCCTAAGATGTTCGAAGCAAAATTGAACCTGTTAGCTGGTGAAGGAATTAATACCGCATCCACATCGTATAAAAGTAGATTTCAAGTCGTACATGTACAGACGGCAAATTCTTCTCACACAGCGTCTTTTAGTGTGGAAGCTTAAATCCAGAATATTGTTTTTAAAGGCAAAAGATTCATCTGAACAGAATTTGTACACAGAAGCTTAAGCTCACGTAATTTTCGCAGGCTTTGATATTTTTTATTTCCTTTCGGAACTTGTATCATTTCAAAGAGATTAATCCCAGGTTTTTAATCTTTGGAGTTATATGCTGTTTGTGTCATTTGACAAGAAAAACTCATTGAAAAAAATAATACGATTTCTTCTTTGCAGCTTTCTACTAATTTCGTGAAGTTACTTGAACAGTCAATTGCACATGCATAATATCTCGATATGGCAATAACTTTAAATTCCTTTGCAAATTAAAGGAATACCGCGTCTTAATTGAGGTCTAATTGTGCGGGGTGTATTGCCGTTTTGAAAAAATGATTTCTTTGTTCTTACCAATATCCATCCTTTGTATCACCCTGCTACAAACCGCAACGCTGGGAGCTTAGCTGAGCGTCCAAAAGCCGACTTCCTATGAATTTAACCGAACTTGTTGACAGTATCAATTGTTCGCGACAGTTAAGCTACCGTTGTACTTCTATTCAGCGGTCAACTTTCAAAACACTCGGAAGAGAGTAAAATACCGCTAAATATCTCCCCAAATTTAGGCGCAAGGAGGCACTTTCTGACGCAAGGGAAAGAGAGGTTTGTTTCAGAGGTATGCTTTGAGAATAACACGGTTTTCGTGTTTCAGAAACTTGAACCGTTCATGACTGGATGTAGGAGTGCTGCTAAACTGGCTATGGGCGTCATGCAACAATTCACAAGCAGCACGCTGGGAGAAAACATTCAAGAGTGCAAAGATTTACTAGAACAACATCATCAGAAGATCAAGGACGTGTTTGAAGACAGTAGATTGTCGGCTTTACAAGTTGAGGGAGAACAGATCTTAATCAGACTACAAGAAGATGAGGCGTCGTTACCGAAAGTACCAGATTACATCGAAACTGTGAACTGTGTCACTAAACTCTACCATCAGATGAATGAAGTGTTTTGTAGACTAGAGATGTTGACGGAAAACAGAACAAGGAGATTAGAACAGTGTCTGGCCTTGAAAGAGTTTGAAAAAGACATGGAAGAGGTATGGAAGGTGTAGATGTATATAAGGATATTGAGACATCAGCCTTCTTCCCACACTCAAAGTTGTTTTTGTTTATTTTCTTAATGGGCGAAGGGAGTTGGCAATGAGGTTGTTCTTACAAGTGTGAGGTTTTGAAATTATTGTGAAAGTTCGTAAGCACAGCAAATTCCCGGCCGTTATTTTCCAAGCAGAAAGTTAACATTATTCAATGGAAAATTTACGAAACAAAGCATCAACCACACGAGGTTGCAACAAAAGTGCTGGCAAAACCGTTTGATTTGTCTTAACGTTGTGAACTGGTGTTTCCGTCAATAGTGTAAATGACGTCACGATCTCTTTACAAGCACGTCCGCTTGCATCGGGAACGTGAAGTTGTGAAACTCGTGTCCAGGCTATTACATGCACTTTGCCATCGTCGTTATTTTGCGTTGAGCTCGCTAAATTTTGTTAATACTGTTATAAGTCTCAAGATTTTGTGTTTGATTCTTCTTCTTGGTGCCACACGTCCTTTGAAATTAGTTTGGAGAATTTAGTGTGTATCAAGACAGCTCCTCGTAACCATTTTGTTGTATGATATACTGAATTTGTACGAAGAGGTTACAGTTTCATTTCCACAGTACTTTCCTGTTCCGTGCCACTTCTTGAAAAAGAGCGAACTTGTTACCTGATTTTTTGAAACAATGGCTCTTCTCTGTAACATTCCATTTTTTTGTAGGTAGTGGGGTGGATATCGACGAAAGGAGAACAGTTTTTCGACAAACATACCGAGGTTGGAGATTCCATTGGGCACGTCAAAACACTTCAAGAAGAGTTCGACAATTTTGAAAATAAAGCTAAGGTAACAAAGAGGAGGCATCCATATTAAAAGACAACACTCACTGATATTTAAGTGTACACTTAAAGGTTGAAGACAAGTCGCCAGAAAGCGACAGTGTCTAGGTTTGAGAGAGGGTTATGATTTGCTAATTAGCCACAGTATTTACTCGTGCGGAAATTAACAGAAAATATCGTCTTGTATGTTATTTGTTTTTATTTGTGATTCCATGTTGTCAGTGAAAGTGATGATGTGTACAATCTGCTCGGAGGAAACTTCTGTAACTGTAACGTGTGGAATTTGCTATGATTACAGTACGGTAAAGTGTACAGACACTTTTTGTGGACTTCAGTTCGTAACCATTGGACATTCATCGTAGTTTTAATGTTTAGGGATGACAATAGTACGACTAATGTTCTGATGAGGGTGTATTGATCAGTCTTTAGCAATTGTACGGTACTTGTCAGGTCTAATATTTTTTATTTGTTCGTGCACAGTGCGGTTGTGCACCGCTAGATATCTTGTAGCATGTTGCGCTGTTTCTTACTTCATTTTAGAGAGTTTGTTGTTGCACATGGTTGGTCATCATGAAGATTTAGATGTCTCCTTTAAGTTTGAGTAAGATTGATCCCTCAGAATGTAACGATAGCAGATACAATTAGTCACTTTCTCAATAAGAGCAATATGTTTGTCGTTTTAATTTGCCGCTTTCTTGCTGTTGTTTACAGTGTTACTGTGACCGTGTGGAAAATCTGCTCGAGGAAGGAAGCAGTATGGTGGAAGGAGGCCATTATGAAGGAATTGGAATAAAGGAGAGGAAGCGATCTTTAGAAGAGGTTTACAGAAAGTTTTGTAGAAGACTTGAACAGAGAAGACAACAACTTAGTTCTTCAATGGAGTTTTACCAACTGGTTGATCAGGTAATGCACTTCACTAAATTTCCAATCTAGTTTGTGCCTCCTTTGTAAGCTACAACAGCCTCAGAAACTCTCTGAGTGTCGTACCAGGCTACCATTGCAACATAACACTACGGAAGGAGAAACCTTAAATTTTACCTTTTTTTCCAAAAGTATCGGTTGAGGCTCTGCTTGCAGGTAAACAACTAAAGTTATAGTTCATTTAAGTGACTATTTTACACGAGAATTTGAAGCTCGGTCCTTTCACCTTAATTTTTGTGCAAAGTTTCAAATGAATAATGTGCAGATGTGTAATCTTCATTTAATAGGCCTCTGAATGGTCCATGGCGACTCTCACTCAGATGGCAACTATGAACATGGAAGAAATTCTTTATTTGGAAGGAGTCACAGCGCTGTCACGGGCTTTGGAAAAATACCTGGAAGATACTCCAGTGTGGAGTGAAAGCCGGCTCAACAGGATCTCTGAGCTGGCCACAAATTTGGGAAGCGCTAAACCGGTCAAAATCGCTGAAAATATATTGACAAGATACAAGGAAATTTTAGACATGTTACAGAAGCGACAGGAGACTCTACGCAGAGCTGAGGAGAGACTATCGGTGAGTTTGCGATTCAAGTGTTTTTGTGACTCAGAGCACAGAGCCGCTTTTCGCAGACATAACATGTGGCGATCTAGAATTAGCTAACAGGAGGTCCAAAGGGACGATCCTTCACTGGAAAATTCTTTTTTGGCCTCTTTTCGGAGAGGGTTTTGACAGCAAGGCAATTGTTTAGTGCAGCTGATCGTTAAGGAAAATCGTAAAAAGTTTTATCAAAGGGCAATGATGAGAGTAATGAATGAAATTAAAGAAGAACTAAAGAACTAAAAGAAAAACATATTTCCTGACATGGTTAACTTCTGTTCAAACGTTAAGGGTTAGAAACGGAACCAAATATTGCTGACAAAACGAAGTAACGAAGAATACTGTATTGCACTTTGAAACAAGGTTTTGAGTTGTTTAGGGAGAAATAGCTTTTAACACAGGAGGTAAATCAGAGGAAAATAGATATCGATTCTAGTAAGCGCGAGATAAACTTCTCAGGAGTCAACTGAATGTATATATGTATGAACTTTCTTTTCTTCTGATTTCTGGTTCCTCCAGGGTCACCCTTCAAGCGAAGTTAGTAGCACCACTACTGGTGGTAGTGATGAGTCTACTTCTTCCAGTCCTGGCCGAGAAGAGGACGTGGGCGAGGACGATAGGGACTTGGGTGAGAGTGAAGATGAAGCGGACAAACCGATTACGCACGTGGAGGCGCCTTCTCGACGGCGGAGATCATCATGTACCCCACCCTCTGCCTTATATTCATGGAAAGAGGTAACACTTGGTAATAGATTAGTAATAGAATTTTATTTTGCGATGAAAAAATTTCTCTGGTAAGGGGTTTATTTTGTTGGAAATTGCCTTTTTTCCTTTTTTTTTTAGAATGAACTTCCCATTGTTGAAGAAATGCCACCGCTGAATCCCCGCACGGAGGAGTAAGTGGCCTTGATTTAAGTGTCAAGAAATTTGTAAATGTTTCCTCACACCTTGAAAAATATGGCAACTTGCAACCTTGAAGCAACTTAGGTAAATTCACGTATTTCTAAACGAATTGTTGCAAATCTCGGCTTAAATCGTATCCAGTTCTTTTTTCTCTCCCTGCCTCGTTGTTTAACATATCACGAGTAATGGCTGTCCTTTGTACAGCTGTGTTGATTTGTTTACTTGTTCGATCCTAGAAAGCTGATGTACATATTTCAAGAAATGGTTGACACCGAGAGGGACTATGTCAAATCGCTGCAGTACATCATGGATGTGAGTTGAAATATTGTAAAATTTTATAGAGTGGGTAAAAAGACGAGTTAAGATTTTTATGGTTATTATTGGTTGGCGATACGGCTCATTCATCAGTGTTCATTTTGATTTTCGTTTTGTTGTAGAATTACATTGTAGAGATGGATAACCCAGATTTACTTCCCTCTTTGAAAGGAAAGAAAAACATTCTGTTTGGAAACATAGAGAGAATTCACGATTTTCACAAAAGGTAAGAGTCGTGTTCAAACAACGGTAACCAGCTGAAAGGAAATCGTTTGGTGTTATAAGTGCGTATCGTGTCAATTCTTTTTGCCTTGTAGGTATTTCCTACAGGAACTAGAAGCATGCAAGGATAGATTCCTGGACATTGGGAGTTGTTTCCTGAAATGGGTACGTGTGAAAGTAGAAAGGGAATCTATTTTGATAAAACAAGGATATTGCAAAGGGTCACTTAGCCATCTTGTGCTGGATCTCATAGATGTATTATGTTCCTTGCAAACTAAGTTCGGATTGCCGAGTGAAACGAGTTGAGTTAAGTGTATTCAATTAATTTAGTTGCAAGTCGTCTGATAGAGGATATGCCTGTATGATGTGTTTGTAGGAGCGCCAGTTTTATTTGTACGCTTTGTATAACAAGAACAAGCCCCGTTCAGATCAACTGCTCTCTGATCATGGCAATGTGTACTTCAGGGTAAGTCGTGCTTTTATTTATTTTTATTTTGTTAGATGAACCTCCAATGTCACTGATCCTATCGAGATCCAAACCATTCTGATCAGGTGGTGGTATCAGACACTTTGAAGTGTTATGCAGTGTGTTTTTGTTTTAAGTTCTGCTTGGTTATTATAACGTGTACGTGATATGTTTGTGTAACTTGGTCGAAGTAACGATTTGCTCTCTACTTATAGTTTTCTATTCTCAGTTAAGGTCACTAGAAACTGGCGTTTTTCTCCAATGACGTTAAAATGCATTCATTATAGTTTGTAGTAAACAAGAAGAGTAAAACTAATGTTATATATCTTCCAGGCTCGTCAAAAAGAACTTGGAGACAAACTTGATCTCGGCAGTTTTCTTATAAAACCAGTTCAGCGGATGGGAAAGTACAGTCTCTTGCTGCGCGTAAGTCAAACATAACCTTCAAGGATAAAAGCCAAATTTCCTAATTTCTCTGAGAAGAATAGAATTGCTGAGCGTACTTTCTAGCATAGAAGACCTCAAATACCCACGTAGGGGACGCTTTACTAAATATGAGACGGCTCGCGTCCTGGACTCGGGTGGAGAGGTCAAAGTTCGAAATTTGCTGGTCCATTGTGTTGGGTTTTTGGGGAAAAACACTTAACTCTCAGTGCCTTCCTTCACTCAGGAGCATGTCACCCAGCCGGGGGGGGGGGGAGCAATACTCCTCCTTGGCATTATGTTGTTGATAGTGGAACTGAGAATGACAGGCGCGAGACGTTTTCAATCCGTTACTCGTATTTGTTTAGACGATTGACGCATTATCTGTGTTCCATCACAGGATATGATCAAGGCACTCAGCGTTGGACATCCCAAAATCTCTGAGCTCAAGGTATATGATAATGTTGTGTGAATCATGGTTGCAGTGCTTTTTTGAATAAAAAATTGCCTTTTATCTAACAACCAGCAGTGTAGCTGATTTTTTATTGATTCTTTTATTTCCAGGCTGCTGAAGAAATGGTTAAATACCAACTGCGGCATGGGAACGACTTGCTGGCCTGGGACTCACTGAGGGGCTGTGATGTAAGTATTAGAGAACGTCACTTGTTATGGATGATTGTGCTTTAAAATGGTGGACAAGCAAAAAAGCGAAAAACAGTAGTCTTCTGTCCCCAATGGTCCATTTTTGCAAGTTCCTATCTCCACTTTCTGAGCTGAATGGGAGAACGTCAGGTTTCCCTGACATTTCGCTAGTTGTCACTTATACTCCAGGGCGGAGAGAGATGCTGTTCCAGTAAATAGTTTTGCCAAAGATTACAGTGCAATGACCTAGCAGGGGTGCAAACTCGAACCTCATCTTTCTGAGTACACCATGTCGCGCCTCAACAGGGAAATAAGGATAAAGATTTTCAAGGAACAAGACAGATGACACCAATAAAACTGATCCAACACAATTTCCCAAGTTCGCTTACACGTAAGTGAGAAGCGAACCCGATCGAAGGGTAATAAACATGTGGCTATCATATTTTTATCTACACTGTTTAGTTGGATTTTACTTGTTCCCGATCTTTGAAAGGCACGGTTTTCTTACTTTAGTTTATATTCAGAACTGTAATTAAAACCAAATATCCACTTGCAGATAAATTTAAAAGAACAGGGCCGTCTATTACGCCAAGACAACTTCACTGTTTGGAATGGGAAGAAAAAGCATCAACGGAGAATTTTCTTACAGGATGATTTGGTTATATTCAGCAAAGTCAGGAAACAGCCTGGAGGAGTTGACTTGTATTACTACAAAAACTCCCTTAAGGTACTGGATTAGTTTATAAATACAAACAGGAATAAATATGTATTTAGATTTTGGAAAGAGGGATCGCCAACACTACCGCTATTTTTTAAGTAACGAGGAAATCACCCCTTTTTTAACTCAACTTTTTTTATCCCAGCTTTTTATTTTTAATTTGTCCTTCGTGAAAACAGTGTGGACTTTAAAATCTTTTGAACCCCTTCTGTTTTTTATTGACGTGCATTTGAGTATTTCCAAGCCGGATTTTGCTCAATCCAATCTCCTGTAATGGTCTCAATGTTTGCTGACCCCGATATTTGTTTCTTTTCATTCAGACAAGTGATTTGGGTCTAACGGAGAATGTCGGTGACAGTGGGCTCAAGTTTGAACTATGGTTTAGAAGAAGGAAACCAGATGACACATTCGTTTTACAGGTCAGCAGTTCATGTCCAGAGACACTCTTTCGTGTTTTCGCTTCAGTGTTCTACACGTCTCACGTATTGTTCAGATACCAGATTTAGGACAACCCTTTCACCTTTCTGTATCGTGCATGAAGTTCGATACTGAAAGAAATATCAATCAAGTGTTCGGGGCAAAGACTTACGGAATTTAGTGTTGAAACTTAATTTTCAGGTCCCCAATTGACGTCAGTTTTCGTTTGTTGATCTGTAGGCACAATCTTTCGAAGCGAAAACGGCTTGGGTGACAGAAATCACAAGGTTACTGTGGAAACAAGCGATGCGAAATAGGGGTGAGTGTTTAACTTGTGTCACACATCGATGCCTACGTGCGTACGTGAGTTCGTGTGTATGTGCATACACTCGGTTGTTTTTACTCCAGTGCCTTCGTTCGTTAAAACGTGCGTGCGTACGCTCATAGGTGTTTCGTTTCTGTTATCGTACTTTCGTTGGTTTGTTTGTTCGATGTGAAATGTGAGTTCATGTTTTTGATCGTTCGTGGTTCGTTTATTCATGATCTAACAGTCTAGACCAATCACAGAGCGAAGTTAAACCCATTCAAAAAAATCGTTTTATCTTCAATTTTCAGAGTATGGTTTAACGGAAGCGTCAACAGGTATTAGTGTTGGAAGTCAACCGCCTCTAGTAATTCCTAGTACCCAGCCCGGGGACACGTCACCATACCAACCGGTAGTCAACGCTGTTCATGTGCCTCTTATTAGGACTCAGTCCCTACCATCCAACACCTACAGTCCCCGTTCGACAAAGAAGCGTCTATCAGTTGTTAGCTCAGAGACTGCCTCAAGCATGGAGTCTTCAAGCAGTAGCGGTGTCTATGACCTCAATCTTCCTGCAACGGACGAAGAGAACTCTATACGAACCAGCATTGTAACACCGCTCGAAGAGAAACTGTCGAAATCTGGTGGGAAACGCAATAAAGTGCGGAAAATATCTACAGAGAAATCACCTTTGGCACAACTGAATAACAAAGAAAGACTTGTCGAGGAAGTTACCTCCGGCAGCATGGAAAATCTCTCTGATGGAAGAAAAAGTAGTGCTGAGGAAACGCCGGGCCTCAAATTTGGAAAAGACAAACTTGTTGCGACACCAGAGGAGGACAAGGAGGACAAAAAGATAAATAATTTTTTCAAATCTTTTTCTCTACGGGAGAAATTTACGGATAGAAGTAGATCGAGAAGTCTGGAGGACAGTTTTGTTGGTTCCCCAGTTATACGGAGAGCAAGTAAGGAAAAAGACAGTTATAACACTGCACCGCGGAGGAGATCATTTATAGAGAAGATATCGATGAAATCCCACGTGGACAATTCCCCAAAGAGGCGAAACTCGTTAGAAATTCCCAGTCCTAAGAATGGAAAGAACCTTGGAGAAGACGAGGAGAAAAACGAGAAAATAAAGGGACAGACTACAGAGGTAAACCAAGAATACTTTGTTTACTTTTACTAGGTTGTGAGTTGAGTTCATCGTCAACAACGTCAATGCCGATAACAGACACGCAGAAGCAAAGGAAAAATCTGGAGTAGCAGAGACAAATTCTTTACTACGTATCTTACTACTCCCCTTGGCGTTCGTCTATCGAATCATTGTTACGACCAGCAGAGAGATGTCAGGTTACGCTAGTTTAGTTTGTTGCGCGGCAAGTTTTTATCTAACACGAAGAAGGAACCTTATGATAGCTAACTGAAGGGTTCTAAATAAAAGTCGCTGAATTGTATATTTGCTACGCAAAAGTAACTTTACTTGAAAAATCGGGCAGTAACGATGTCTGAAACTGATGCGTTTACTTGCGTTTTGGGCAGCATTTTATGCTTCATAGTAGCAGGTCTTTTATGGAGTATGAATGTTAAACCTCCTAACAAATTGTCTCTTTATGTGCTCAAGTTGAATTTTTTCTTTTCTTACAGGTTTAAAGCGATAAATATGTAACGAATAAGTTCGTCCGATGTCAGTCTTGCACCGAGACAGCATTGAACATGTGCCGACCCGCTTACCCCTGCTGACGAGCAACATGGCAGATGCTGTAGACAGTAGTTATTGTTGATGTTGCAATTAAAGAATCGAACTTCACTGCCATTACAACTGGAAAATGTACAGTGTCCTACAGTGAACTTAGAATCTATCACTGAGAGATTTAAAGTTTACCAAAATAGAATTTGATAAAAAGTTATGTTGTATGACTCATTTAGTCAAATTATTCAAACAATATTAAACCCTGTTGGTGAATGTGTTTGAAACTGTGAATATTAGAATATATCTTATCATTTAATTGTCTCCAATCATACTTTATAAATTAATTGTTAAGATTTAAACATTGAAAGAGGTCTAATTTTATATAATCGATATTGGCCAGGTTTTATCTACAGGTTGCACTGAATATAAAAATTTATATTTTATATGACTTGCAAAAATTTAATTGCAATATATGTTCGGTTTTGTCAAATTAAAAAGTTAATAAATTTTCTCAAAACAGGAAGAAGAAATTTGTATCAATGCAAGGTTATTTAAAGTTACAGTTTTTTAAAACAACATTGCAAAATTTGTGAGCTTAACTTTAAAGAAATTAGTAATATCGATTAGTAATATCAAGTCCAAAATTTGTGAGCTTAACTTTGAAGAAATTAGTAATATTGATTAGTAATATTGAGTCCAAAATTTGTGAGCTTAACTTTGAAGAAATTAGTAATATCGAATCCAATGTCTACATTTATTAAAAGGGATTAATGAGAAACAAATTCACAACCAAGAAATATGTTTTAAATTGGTCTATTAATATAAGTACTTTTAGGTTGAGAACAACATTTAGGCTTTAAATTAAGTTTTTACTTTTTTTTTTTTTTTTTTTTTTTGGGGGGGGGGGGGATTCTGCCACCTGTAGAGAAAGGTTAGGAAGTCAGTAAAAGTTTGTTGGTATATCATTTTGGACTTTTACCCCACATGCTATTAATGAAAAAAAGGTTTTCCTTTTGTATATATCACAAGAATTTGCCTAAATTATTGTGAAAATTGCTGATTAGGAACTATCCAGTACTTAGTCTACCTTGGTTGATACTGTATATTATCATATATTGGTCAAATTAGTGTAGTTAAGAAATATTTTTGACTCTAAGGGGGATTCTACAAAATAATAAAATTTTTTGAAAGATAAACGAACTGTTTGCTTCTTGATGCATTAATTATAAAGAAGGAAGAGATCATCTTTCAAGGTGAAATGAAAATCACAAGGATGATTTACCCAAAATGTGGCAACTCTGAGAATTAAAAATTAAACAACCCCTATTACATAAGTGTAAGGCAAATTTTATACTGCTTTGTGTCTCAAATGCTAGGGTAGCTATGATTAACCCACCTCAGACAGTTGTAATTGGAACCTTCCTCTTGCATTTCATCACTATCAAAGCTTGCTTCAGGTTTCTGTGGTACAAAGTACTGCTGGTACTCTTATTAGAATTTTATCAGTTTCCCAAACAGTTTGCCAATAGGCATTTATACTTTTAAAGAAAATAGAATACAATGCCTCAACCAGGACTTAACACTAGAGTCTAAGGAAGAGATTCTGCAGCCCAGGGTTTAAGTACATTTTGACTTATTTTTTAAAGCTTTGAGAGTTATCCTGCTTATATTTGTCCACATTCAATTTCATTGTGCTCTGTGACAGAGAGATATAAACAACACAGCAACCTTTGATAATTTATTTGTGAACTCCACATGTACAAAATTGATATGATGCCCTCTTAGTGGCTAGTGGGTGGTCAGCAATAAACTGACCACTTGGTCTAAATCTTGTTTATATAAGGAGGACTAACAACACAAACAGTTTCCATAAATTAAGGTCAATTTGGTTGACCATCAAAAGCAGCAACTAAACTAACTTTTAACAACAAACAGTTGTTGATATTGTCTATAAAATGGCTGCCATTCTGTTAACATTCTCAGACTGAAGAAGACTCCTCCATTTTGTATGTTTAGAGCCATTCCAGCAGCTTTTAAATTCCCTTGGTTAATTTTTATTCATTAAGTCCAATGAACTTTTTAAACTATATTACTAATTCTCAAATGAATATATTAATTCTGTGTTCACTAAAATCAATGATAAATAAATGTATACAACCAATAATATATCACAGGCAGTGAAACAACTGTTATTATAACAGCTAGTAAATTTGTCTAATCAAATTCAATTGTGTGAGCATGCTTCATATTCCTATAGTGCGAGCTCATGACATCAGCAAACAAATTCCTTGTGACAAAAAAGTTTCCATAGGGTTGAAAATGTTATAAAACAATTGGCTCATATGTCAGCTGTGTGTTCATAAAGCACCTAGGAAGTTTGGAGAGCACTCAAGCAACTCTTACACATCTTTCGTGCTCTCCAAACAGCGTGCTTCATATCTCAATGAATGTACGCTGACATATGAACCAATTGTTAACTTTACAAGAAAGACGTGGTAAATATTGAAACAATTTTCACTTGTGAGTGAAAAAGACTGTATCCCTATGAGTGCTGATTAGAAGTGATAATTGATCAGTATCGTTCTTTAATAAAGAATAAGTTGTTCCATTAAATAAATATCATTCTGGCTGAAAGTTTAATGATACCAGCAAAAATTTCTGAACCTGTCCTTTTTATAATTTAGCCAAGTCTTTAAATTACATAATTAGTGACTTATAAAGACAATACAAAAGGCAAGTGGCTTTTGAGTGATAACCAAAAATCATAAACCATTTCAACATAGCTGCACAGGAATTTGGCTGTTTGTCTGTGACAAACACATTCATCTTTGTAATAAATCAGTTCTGTAAATACACCTAACCAAAACAATATGAACTGCTTAATTCCTTTTTCTAAGTTGGTGATACACTATGTAACATGTACAATGGATAGTCTTAGAAGAATTGCTGGCAAGAAAAAAAACTCATTTGAGGGAGAGGAGGGGGAGAGGTACATCTGGTTTCTCAACTTCTATTTCTTGACATGCATTTCACACCAACAAAACTTGCAATTGAACAAACAAAATTTACTGAATAACCCTATAAACAAGAGATCAAATACAGTATAACATACTCTTCAAGGTGTAAGAAAGGCATCATGAAACCAAACCGAGAGCCTGAAGATTAAAATGAAACAAAACCCATGTTTCAGAGGTTGAATGATGCTAAAAAAAAGCACTGTAAAAGCTAAATTAATCAAGGATAAAGTTTTCACTTAATATCAATTAATTAGTTGATCATTTGACTTTTGGAAGTCAAATGGATTTCTCTTCCCCCCTCCCCCCCCAACCAAGAAGGGCCAGATTTGGGGAGTCACTGAGCATTTCCCCACTAAAAACATACTGGAGTCCCCCCCCAATCCTGCATTTCTCCTTGCAGGTTGTGGAGTCAATTAAAGTACTCTGAAAAATAATTTCCCAACTATCACAAAGTCACCTTTTCAGAGAGGACTATAAGAATGCTAGAAAACAAAAATAGCAATAAGCTCTAAATAATTAACTAACCAGTTTAATGGGTCATGTGTATCTATGTGGATACAAGTCCTTGAGAGCTTTTTTGGCTTCCTCCACACCATTATCTGCTGCCATTTTAAGAAGGGGTTCCACCTCACTGAAAACCACAAGAAAAATGCTCCTTAAGTACTTTTGAGGCAGAAATAATTGTTTCACACCATTTTAGACACTTTGTGTTTTAGACAGTTTGTATTGCAATACTAGGACTACAATGTTCCACACAGTGTAGAAAGATACTATTCTAAGATTTGCAGCAATAATCTGAAAGACCCAGGTGCTTGAGCTTAACATTGCTAGTTTATCTTTCAAGTACAGAGTTACTCAATGATATATATTTTCCCAATAGTTTTGAAGAAACAGTGTCCATCTTACTGTTCTTCTACATCTGTATCATATCCTTGTAAGTGTCCAGCCACCAGATTGTAAGCTCCATGGCCATGTCCATTCTTTGCAGCTTCTCTACAATATAAAATAATTACCTAAAGAAATTAACATTCATATGAGGGTAGACCTAATGATTTATTATCTTCCACCAAAAATCCACAGTATAATACCTTTAAATTGACAATTAATTATTTTAAGAGGGAGGGGGAGTGAGGAAAGGGGGGTGGGGAGGGGGGTGGCAACATAAGCTCTCTTCTGCACCATGTTCCTCCCTCTCCCACACATTTGACTTCCATTTTCTATTCTTTGTTTTCAAACACTGAAGATTACTGCATCTTTATTATTTCTAATTGGCACCTGATTGGTATTTATGCAAACTTGATAGGCTGAATCACTCTATTTTTGGTTTTGTTCCATGTTCAAGCAAAATGTCATTTACTTGGTTGAGGGAGTAGAGTACAAATAATGTGCAAATTGAGTGAAAAAATACTCCGCAATACTAAACACCAAAACATCTAATGAGAAAATTATACTCCATGCATATAATTCACTCTAACCTGAACCAGTAAAAGGCCATCTTTTCATCCTTTGATACTCCACGCCCTGAAAAGAACAGCAAAGTAAATGGTATAATACTATAAAAAAAAAATTAGGTATTTAAGTAGCAATCAGTTAAATAGAATAGTGGTATAGCATAGCTTTCAATGGAGTGCCAACAGTCAGTAATCTGGGATTGCTTTGGCTTTGCTTCACCTTTCTCTATAATTAGTCCAGAAAATTCATGCTCTTCTCTCAACCATTGGCTTTAATGGGTATTTTCCTTTATTTTGATCAGCCATTGTGATTATTTTGGTTTTTCTTAAAATGATACTCAATCTAAAAGTGAGCTCTTTTGTTTTGAGCTCACTACTGGTACATTGTTTGCTTCTCTGAACAGATTATGTCCACAGACAAATATCTAGGCATATATTTGTACCAAATGAAGGCTATCATTCACAAATTCCCCAGTTTTAAGGAAAGTATTTGGTTAATTGATGCATTTATACTTCTCATGCACAAGCAGAAAAATTTGATGGATTACAATTGCTGATAACCTTTGAAATCTGAGAACTACCAGCTGATTCTCTTAACTGGTGATAATACATTAGTTGTTGGTTAGTCCTGAGAATATTTATTTCATCCTTAAATCTAGACAATTTATCTAAGATGAACATTTCCAAATTTTAAATACCTAATGTCTGAGTGTCTCAAAATTCCAAAGAAAATTGATTATACTCGAAGGAATAGAAGTTTTCAACGCCGTGTCTTACCATTGAGGTATTTGTGTGCTACATGATGCTGTGCGTGTGAGACTCCAACGTTGGCATAGGCGTTCAGCACATGAAAATGCAGATGATCCATATAATAATACATGTACACAAAGAAGAGCAGAACACCAACTACCACTGTAACCTAAAAAAACAACAGTACCAGCACATTAATGGTATTGCTTTATCTCCTTTACCTGTAGCCTAACACTTCCACGATTAGCGATACCAGAAGCACTACTGCTAATGAAAACTGAAAACAGTGAGCTCCTTAATTGATTCACGATCTTCAGTGTAAACAAGCACTTTCATAAACGTAGTAGGTACGAACAAGACAACTGAATGCTGCAAAAATTACGAAAGAACACGATATCAAAAGCATAAAATACTCTTGAAAAGAAGGAAACCAAGAACTTGCCATTCTCGAGTTAAGACATGAAAATAATAATTTTTTGTAGTAATATAAATATCACAGAAGGAACTCGTTAATTGTTTCGTACCTCAATAGCTGTTACCCACCACGGATCCGGTTTTTTTCGTCTTGCCACGTAAACTTTAGGCCCATAAGGAAGGTTTGGATCGTAATCAGCTCCTCCAGGTGCCCATGAGGGTATTTCTCTGTTCCTTTTTCGAACTTCTTCGCCTTTTTTTTCGGCCATAAGGTCCACCACTGTATGCATCTTATGAACTATTGCGAAAATTATTCCTGCAATGGATAGTAATTTTTGATTGGCTTAGGGTTTTCATTAACCAATAGAAATAGGGCTTCTATTTGGTGTCAAACTAGAAGCGAAGTATGGCAGGTGAATTTTGAAATTCCCAAACCGAAAGTTAGTTTTAAGTAATTCTGAATATGGGGAAACGCCAATTGTGGCAAAACCAATGAAACTAAAAGGTTTGAAATGAAATCACCTTCTTGAAATACAGTTATCCCTTCTACAAACGATTCAACGAGACCGGAGAGCCCCTCTGGTGGAGAATTTGTTTTCTTCAGTGCAAGTTCTTTTCGTCAGTCGCAGAATAAAATAAATGTGGAGTTGTTAATATTTAATAGATTTTTTCATTGTAGCCATAGTTATTAGTCATTGTTGTATCGCTAACTGCATCTGATAAAGCCATGCATGTTTCCGTACAACTGAGATGAGGTTCCTAGATCTGAGAGCTGTCAGTGGATCTAACGAGGTTGAAAGTCTTTTTCATGAACAGTACCTCTGAAGAAGAATATTACACGGTTGAAAATATCGTAGAACGTCTTCTTTTCTCTCTTTTTCTGTGGAATTTACCGTAGTTCCAGGAAGTTTGAACATACACGACAGCCTTCAACCTTGGTTCCAGGCTCTCGCTGGCGTTTCACTGACGTGTGAGATACTCTCGCAGGCAGTGGGGGATACATAGTCTCTCTCCCTACCTCTTGCTCGAGCTAAAGAAAAGGAATAATGCAACAGAAGTGATAAGAACAATTCTGCAGTTAGGAGTTGAACTTAATGTAGGAGAATTAAGGTTTTACTCCTCCATGCCTATATATGACTAGAGCTCCCTTAATAATTAATCAGATGCAGCATGGAAAATACATGTTTGTATTCTTGACTTAACTCTTGAGTTAATGCGAGTGTAAAACCCTTTTACTCCAAGATCCAATTAGTTCTTCTCCTTAATGATTACGAAGCGTTTCTTTGTGGGTGAGACAGGAGGATTAACATTTTCATATCGTCAAGATGCATGATACCCTTCAAATGAAGATTTCGTGTGCTCTCATCAAAAGCTTGCAGTAAACATATTGAGATCGGTAGAAGAATTTCTGCAACTTCGAAAATTCTCAGCCTCTCTCCAACTAGCAATCCTACAATCCTGGATGATAAGAGTATATTAATTTTTTCCACAATTCGTCTTATTTTTGATAAATACGGTCCTGAAATTTAAGCCAACCCTTTCCGGTAGAAATCGACAAATACTGAGATCCACAATTACTTGAATTTCTCGCCATCTATCAATACGGGTTTTAGTAGCGCTTTTGGCAATATAAGAATATATAAGCATCAAGAGTACCGACTGTACGGTTGATTTTGCAACGATCATTTGCACCAAAGCTTTTTCCGGAATTTTTGCTCAGAAGGCAATCAGGCGTCAATCATGCATCGAAAATCATATTTCCACAATGAAGTTGTTTGAGAGTGTATTCCACGATTGCAATATCGTTTTGTGAAGTAATAGGTGACAAAACAATCGAAGACAAATAAGTTTTACCCGGGCCGTAATGATTGTTTGAGAAGATCGCGTTATGTTGTCTCGGATACTACTGTTCACTCGCTCAAGGCCTACAGAATCCTGAACATTACACAGCTTAGCCTGTGCGCTGCTGGTCTTATACTATTAGCTGGTGATATCTGTCCCCAACCTGGTCCTACATTTCAATTAAACAATTCTGGGTTATCGTTTTGCCCCAAAAGTAGAGGGTTACCTGTAGCTCATCTTAATATTCGTAGTCTACTACACAAGATGGATTAGGTGAACCTCGTCATGGGCGGTGCAAAGTCGTTTGATATATTATCATTCTCGGAGACTTGGCTAAATGATTTGGTGACTGATGACGAGATTCTTATGCCTGGCTATAACTGTGTGAGGCGGGATCGCCAAAGAAAGGCTGATGGAGGAGTGGCAATTTATTGTCGCGATTCTGTAAATTTTGCTGTTCGCGAAGATCTAAATAATGCAAATGAAGCTGTTTGGATTCAAGTGAACCGAAAAAACTGTACACCTCTTGTTGTTGGTTGTATCTACAGACCACCAGATCAACCTACAGACAATTTTATTGATAACTTCAGTGAGTCACTGTCTAAGATTGACTCTGGCTTTGACAAGGTCGTGCTTGGTGACTTAAACATTGATTTTTCAGTTGGAAGGAGAAATGCAAATTCGTCTCAGAAACGATTGCTCAAGGAAATTACTGAGCTTCACGATCTCAAGCAAGTGATTGAATCTCCAACATTCGTTAGGGAACACTCTGAATTCTTATGGACTTGTGCTTTACCAATGCTCAACAAGTCGAGTCCGACGTTATACATCCTGGATAGTCTGCCATTCTACCTTTACGTTACAACCGATTAGTGAAGATTTTGTTTCAAGATCCATCAGTTTATTGAAAACTAATAAGGCCGTTGGTCTCGACAAAATTAGCGCGCGTCTTCTAAAAGATGCTGTGGACGTTATTACTCCTTCTTTAACGGCCTTTTTTAATTTATCCCTTCAAACAATAACTTTTCCTTCTGTATGGAAAATAGCAAAGGTTATACCCTTGTTTAAAAAGGGTGATAAACAGAACGCTTCTAATTACAGGCCAATTTCCATTCTGCCGACTATAAGCAAGATCTTAGAGAAGGCAGTTCATACTCAGTTTTATGCATATCTAACTGAGAATAATTTTATTTCACCCAACCAGTTTGGATTTAGATTGAAGTCATCTACTGTTACTTCCGCCTCTAAGCTTTCTGATCAGATCCTTCACTCGATGGACAATGGTGGCCTGACCGGTGCTGTATTCTTAGACCTCGCCAAGGCGTTTGACACTGTCAATCACACAATACTGCTTCAGAAGCTCTCAAATTATGGTGTTGATGATGCTGCCAAAGCCTGGTTTACTGCATTGTTAACGCTTTATTGTTAACGAACAGAAAACAAGTGACCAGCTGTAACGATGTATGCTCTTAAGTTGCCCCTGTTTCGATTGGCGTTGCTCAAGGCTCTATATTACGCATTATTGGTAGTAGTTCCCGTTTAAGCAAAGTTGGGTCCATCCTTATTTCTGCTGATGATATCCCCCTCGATAATGTAGATTCTTATACGTACTTGGGTATTGTGATTAATAACCGGTTTTCCTGGACTGACCACGTTGATTATATTCGTGGTAAGATCAGTAAAAAGTTAAGTCTCTTAAGGCGTATTAAATCTTGCCTCCCCCTCGATGCTAGAATTATGTTTTTTAATACTTTCATTTTACCTCTTTTTGACTATGGGGATATCATTTGGGGAGATCACGGAAATGCCTCCATGATGTCTGAGCTAAAAGTGTTACAGAATAAGGCCGCTCGCCTCACTTTAGTTATTCCTGCGCATTTTCCTGCAGCTGAGGCGATAAGGAGACTTGGCTGGAAGCCATTATTGCGACGTAGAAAGGAACATCATGCTATTTTTATGTATAAATTGATTAACAACCATTTCTGTCACTCGATCCCTGTCACATTCAATGGTGATTTTCATAGTTATTACACAAGATCGAGAAATGACATTCGCAAATCCAGTGCCACAACAAGATGGGGTCATTGGTCGTCAGTAAATTTTAGCACTGATATATGGAACCGGTTAGACACCTCATTAAGGAATACAGAATCACTGCCTGCTTTTAAACGTGGCCTGTCAAAAGTTATCTTTGATTCTTAACGACATTCTTTGCTTTTTACCCTTTGTATATTCTTTTTATCTTTTAAATTCCTGTATTTTTAACTAGTTATTTTTGATGCTTCATTATTGTAAATACTCTTTTAATCTTTTACATTTTTGTATGTTTAACTAGTTCTTAATCTAAACTTAGTATTTTTCTGAGGACCCTTCTGTAAATCACTTCGTGACGTTGGCATCTTCATTAAAGATTACTATTATTATTAAGACTAGGGTAGACTAAGGTGTTTGGCTCCGGCCATTATCAACCTCCATCCAACGTGGGACAGAAGCAACGTGACAGTAGTTCTAACAGTGTTATGCGTAGTTTGAATGCTTGAAATAAAAATATTCATAACAAATACAATGGCGAAAGACAGGTCTTTATTATACATTTACTTGAAAATATGCACGATTATTATTCAATTCTGGCGCGCTTTCTTGCTATAGCGTCTTCAACAGCTTTAAGCTCACGAAGAAGTTCTTCTCTCCTTGAGGTTGTGTTCGCCGCGTTTCCTCTCCCGGAAGACGCTGATTCCACATGAGGATCCGCTGACTGTTTGTCAGGTTTGATAGCAGATGGCATGGATGATGACACGGCTTCCTTCCTTGCCGCTGGAGCGTCAGGGACTGAAGGTGAGTCACGTGGCCGTTTTTTGAACGCAGAGGGTTTATCACTGCTGCTACTGGCTTCAGATCTTGCTGGTGGTGAATGAGGAGCGGGTTGTTTGGATGGCTCCGAGTTGTCTTTTCGCGTCACAGACTGAAATGAAATAAGTGAGAATAAAATCAGACAACATAAAAACTTCATCATCACTATCATGATCATCATCATCATGACATTTCGTCACCCTGACGGGGAAAACACCATCAACAATGCACGATGTAGGACATCTTCAGTGCACACATACAATCATAGCCATGATTATCACTTTCTTCTCTTTAAAACTTGATCTTCAGTTGCTCTTTAGTCGCTGCATTGTTTGTAAGAAGGAGATACGTAATAAAAACATAACATCATGTAACTGCATGTATCTCACTACGAAGAACTTTGGGCAGGATTGCTGACATCAGCACCTTGTAGAACAAAGAGCGACCATTTTTTTCAATCGTACCTTATTCAAAGTGAGTTTAATATCTTTATGTCCAGTATATCTAATATTTCCACTTGTCAGCGGCACATTCCGAGCTTGTTTGAGCTGTTCAGGGGCTGTCCGGCGTGTTTTAGGCGGGTTTTGTTCGTCTTCAGATTGACTACCACTGTCAGTACTCTCACTGTCACTTGATGATGCACTGGACACACGCCGCATTCCGCCTCGTTCCCGTGTCCCGCGAGGAGAACTGGGCCGAGCCAGCGCATGCTCCATGCTATCTGCACTCGAGGAACGCTCTCGGCTTAAAGATAGAAGTAATAGCACTCAACAGCCGAATAGAGATTTTTATGTATTTCATTTCCAAACATCTATGATAAATAATTTAATACTCAACTAGTACTCAACTGGAAACTGAAGTCACAAAGATGGAAGATTCTTGTATGCCGAATTGCGCAAGCGCGTGCTATTTGCATACGTTATCATACTCTATGACAAGCCCTGATGACCCGCAGCTGGGAAATGATACTCCACCATGGTATACTACAATTAAAACTGTTACAGAAACCCTGAAGAAAGGAATTCAGGCTTCCAAGAATTCTTTAATCACGGCTCAGCACTCTAGCAATCTATTGGATTTCAGTTTACTTGTGAGAATCAGTTTATCACTTTTAACCCATGGCTCAAGCATGGTTCATTTCATAAATCACTAAGTAGAAAACTAAAAATCCTTTACAGTCGTTCAGCTCAAAATCAGTTTCCAAATCATGTACCCAATTAAGTCTTGATATAAAACTAAGAAAACTCACGTCTTCAATTCGTCAGGTCGCCTTCGGTCTTCATTCTGTCAAAAGAAAAACGTCAACAATCACAAAGACCATTTTTCTACTCTGACTTATCGCTACGAAGGTACCGTTAAAGACTTCACGTAATAAGCTCTGATGAAATGACAGAAAAGTTGTCTGATTCTTTTCTTATTCTATGGTGGATATATGCCAAATAATCAATTGGTGATGACCACCTTAACTCTAACCTCAGTTTTCACTCTTTTAAGGACTCATCTATGCAATGAGAAAGGTACCTACCCTTCTCCGGGGCGATCGAGATCTTCTTCTCCTCGTGGGACTCCTTCCCCTTCGAGAGTGATATCCACGCTCTCGCTCCCTACATCAGAAAAACAGATTACTTCCCGACGTCCACCAATAGCCAATTTTAGATGGAAAATCGGAAAACAGCTTTCTCACCCCCCCAACCACCGCTACGACATAAGATACTCACCTATATGGATCTTCAGTTGGCCTTGTACCACCCATCCTTCGGGGGTCCCAAGGGTTGTTATATCGTAACTGCGTCTCTCGCCACTTTTCTATTCTGTCTGCTCGGCCATACTCATAGCGATTCCTTTTTTCTTTGAAGTAACGTCCTGTTGATGACTCGATTGGTGGCGTCCGAGGTCCTTTGTCTGGAGAAGCTTTTGGCTTTATGGGGCTTTTCGAAACCGGTGTGGGTGATCGAGACTTGGATTTGGTTGATTCGGATTCCGAGTCTGATGATTCGTTTGACGCTTGTTTGGCGCCTCTGTCGTCGTCTGCATTCGGTGCAGTCTTCGCCTCTTTCATAGGACTGTGGCTGCTTGACGAACTCGAACGATCGCTACCCGAGGATCGAGATCCAGATCGGGAGCGTGATTTAGATCGGGATCCGGAGTGGGACCGCGAGCGTGATCTAGAAGACGCTGCAGAGACTGAACGAGACCGTGAGCGTGACGCAGAGCGTGAAGTGGAATGTGACTCTGATCCTGAGTGTGAACGTGAACGTGACGAGCGTGATGAGTCAGATGAGGAAGATGACGATCGGCTTCGTGAACTCCGTGAAGAGGCTGACTGTCGTTTAGGAGAAGTAGTTCTTTGCCAAGGATCAATCCAGTCGTCATTAGGGAGACGAGAACTAGAGATTCCTAATGCTTTGGGTTTAGCTTTGTCCTTGTCATCTAATTCCCTGGTCTCCTCTTTCTTCTCTATATCCTTAGCTGTTTTAACTTCTGTCTCCGCACTTGATTCGTGAGTCCTTTTTTTCTTTCCCTCATCCCTGTTCTTTTTCTCGTCAGTTGTCCTTTCTTGTTGCTCCTTGAGAGCTAGAGTTGTTTGTTCCTTGTCTGCACTGTCGTTTTTTTCCTCTTCCGTCTCCTTCTCCTTACCTCTGTCCTTCTTCTTTTTAAATTTCTCCTCGCTTGTCTTTTCCAGCTCTTTCGTTCCTTTTCTCGTTTGTTCTGTTTCTCTCTCCTTAACAGTTTCTTTGTTTTTTTCTTTCTGTTTATCCTTCTCACCTCCTCGTCGTCTATTCCGTCTGTCCCTGAAAGAGAAAGAAAAAGTGAATGCCTTTAAAACAAAAACAATACCCATTTCGGCCAACTTTTTCAGTGATAATGTTGATTTAGGAGGGTAATTCACCTGTGATTTCAGGAAAAAAATAGCCTTAGGATTTAATATCTAATACAACTACTCCTTTGCCTCCCCATCACAGTCGTGTGTCATAGATGGTTACGTAGATGTTTGACTATATTACAATCTGAATTTTTCCAAAAAGGAACATGCTTTTATCTACTCTCCAATTCACTAATGGCAAAGTTGATCAATACAATTTATCATATTTACCTTTCAGGTGAAGACGAAGGAGTGCGAAAACCTCTCTTTTTCTTTCTGTCACGATCCTACAACCGAAAAGACCTTCATCAAATTTTATTTCTGTGTGCACCAATTTCCGAAATGGACGTACTTAATCCTACCGATATATCGGTCAAATGCAAATTGATCAATTCTGGCCAGCCGTTCGCCGATTTCTCCCGCACAATTTTAAATGAAAACATAAGAGACAACCACCTAGAATATCCTTTTCTAACCCGATTTGTTGCGGATGAACATACAAAACGATCAATTAACACGTTAACCCCCCAATTCAGAATTTTAGCTTGGATATGTCTGGTAAAGCACTGTTCAAGTGAACAAATTAAGTCTATCAACGAACCCGATACTGAAGAGGCGAAGTTTCTCTCTTGTCTCTCCACCGAGACACAATGTCAGCACCTCTGCGGTACCTGACATCGTCCTCCTCACAGTGAATAGCTTCTTTCTCCAGCCTACTCCGCATCATTTCACGCCGTCTCATCGTATTTTCTTTATCATTTTCATCTTCGTCATCCTCAGCTGTGATTCCCAGTATCATTCGCTTTTCCTTAAAATCAGCGTCTTCTTCTTTTCTCTTCTGAGCGGCCTTTTTTATCTACATTCAATAAAAGAAGTCAAGATACGGTTTTAGAGGCATAAAATATTGTACCAATCAAAATTGTTTCCGTTGGTCTTTAGCATTCTTTTGTAATCTTCCTCCCACTACTTAGCCATTTTTATTCTTTCTTAATTAGGTTTTCCCTCTTAAGTTATTATGTTTTTTTCCAATACTAAAATTGTCTAGTCTCAGGGTAAGGATTATTGTTGTTCACATTTTAAGCAGGAACAAAGTCAATAGTGAATACTAACAAACACCAAACAATGTTCCACAATATTAAAAGACAACTTATATGTACTATTCCTCATTTATTTTCGTGCAGTGCAGGGTAAATTTTTTTTTCATTTTTTCAGCATTTGTTGAAAAGTATGTTTCTACTGACATGCAGTTCCCCTTGGAGAGATGTTTCTTATATACATATCCTTGTAAAAGATAATTCAGTACCTCTTTTGCTCGTTTCAGTCCCCTCTCCCATGCGGTTTCTTTTTTGGTTGGAGGTATCACCTCTAAGGCAGGTTGAACACTATTGTCATTCACTTCATCACCCTAAAAATAAAACATCACAATTACTGCAACATTAACTCAAATGTATCCTGACCTGAATGAAATATAAGAAATTGTACACATGGTGTGCAGAGAAAAGAGAAACTAATGTGCTGTGTTCTTTACTGATAAATCCAACATGTGTTTTTGGAACTTTATGCACCAATGTGTAAGGACTCTTCAAATTAACACGAAAGGGTCCACATGTTTAAAAATTTCACAAGTGTTCTATTCAAGACAGATCATTCCTTTTTGAGGAAAATATTAATATGTACTCTTATTATCTTAAGAAAACACTAAGAACAAGAAATACAGTGGGTGGAATCTAAAATCAAGATGTCCAGCTTTTGAGTTAATAAATTACACTGAAAATATGATGAGTTGGTGGAGAAAACTTACCAGCTGACTAAGATCTTGGTCCGGTATCATCATAGCATCAGGATGAATGGGAGGAACAACTGCTGGTGCTTTGGGGAAGGGGCTTGGGTACTGGCCAGGCTCAGGAAGCATTTGATAGGCACCTGTCAACATTATTCAAATCAATAGTAGTTCTTGTACCACTGCTTCTTACATCAGACAATTCAAGACCACATTTAAAACTAAATCATCTTGTTCTTTTTCTATAACTCAAATGGAATACATTAAAGCACTTCCTGTGTAATTTTTGAAAAAGGTACTTAAATTTCATAAGTTCTTCTACTATTCATGTTTCTTTTGGTGCACAATGGAATTGAACAAAGGTAACAAACCCTGACAAGTTAGCAGGCAAAACTGAGGTTCTACTTCACTTAAAATCCAGTTTTTGTCCTGCATTTCCAAAGTTACTGTAGATGTAAGAGAGACTAAAGCTGAATTCTTGACCACACCTTTGTCATTGTGACCAGGATGAAGAAATCTGCAAGAATTCCCCCATGTGCAACCACCTGCAAAGAAGAGCAATATGAGAATGTAACAAGGTTGTTATGCAAGTAAAATGTAGAATGTAACAAAAAAAAGTTGAAAGAAGGATCTCTGCAATAGATACTTGACATGGCACTTGATGCCATGTAATTTACAGCACAGCTTTCCGAACCTTTGTTTTTGAGCATTACTGTCAGTGGACAAAACAGCTTTGGTAAGCAAACTTACCATACATAAAATATCTGCAGACTTTAGTTCTTAGGACTGGTGCACCTAAAATGGAGGAACAAGATTACACATCAGTAAAGCCATGTAGAGAAATAAATAAATACTAAATACTTCTAAACAAAAATAAAATGCATCAGTGCCACATTTACTGTTGTTCTCCTCACAGCTGTTGTTTGGTCTCATCACAAAACACCATATAATACCTGTTGGAGAGAGAGTGCACTGCCTGATGAGACCAAATAACGATTGCGAAAGAGACTATGTTTACCAATATTCCTCTAACTGAGAGAAAATAAAAATTATTCATCTACAGATAGCTGCCTCAAAAATAAAATTCCACATTATTCCACGAAAAAGCAAACTGAAACCCTGTTGTATCTCTAATAGACCTTAACAAAAGATATATTGGGATCTCAAATGAGTGAAGATACACTGACCAAGAGAAAAGGATAATATTTCAAAGAGGGCTCCTTGATTGGTTGTTGCCTATCTGGACTTTGCCCTCTGTGTGTGATATAAATGCAGGTTGTTAACAAGGAATTAACACTCAATTGGATTAAGTTCAAGGTAGCTAAAAGCCAAAATTGTTTGTAGAAAAAGTTTAAATGCAAAGTCTAATTTGGCAAAATGGAATTTGATTGGTGGAATACAATTCAAGCACACGAAAAATTGCCTGATGTTCATGCAGTACAATGATTGGGTATGTTTTGATTAGACTTTGGATGCTGTTTTCATGGTACATGATGGAATGTAGGTTGTTTGGTGTGTGAGTTGTAAGTAAAGGAGCTGAAAAAAAAACATTTTTAAACTTAAAAATGATACAAATGATGGGAACCTTTCATATCCTGATGAATCTCGACCTTAATCAAAGAGCTCTTGTGAAGGCCACAAACCATAGCACTTATCAAAACTAGCCCAAAATTTATGGTTTATATCATTCTTTGTGCACAGCCTCCTGATTCCATGGCATCATTTGCAAGAAAGCTGTGATATGATTGGTGCCAGACACATATCCTAAACACTGTGATTGGTGCAAGATATCCAAATGCTCTTATATGATTGGTGTGAGATCATAACCTAATGCAGCATTCTGATTGGTGCGAGACACATACCCTAAATGCTGTGATTGGTGCAAGATATCCAAATGCTGTGACATGATTAGTGCCAGATACATAACCTAATGTGGCAATCTGATCGGTGTGACGTACATACTCAAATGCAGTGGTTTGATCATTACGAGCAACATACCACTCAACATGCTTTTTTTTTTTTTTTTTAATCACTCCAAAACACAATTTTCACCTAAGATAAGAAATGATTACCAAAATAAAGCTAAACTCTACTATTCTCAGGATGGGGCTGACTAAATTTTTCAGTGCCTTGCACAAAAAAAGATAAATTACACTGGGAAACACTATTTGTAATTTCTTGTTACTATGCAAACCCATTTCTGTGAAATTCAGCGGGTTTATTATATTGTAGGAATCTTTTTCTTGAGCTTAACTTTACCAATCAAAAACTATCTTCCAAATCCCCAAATTTTTCATGCTATACAGTATTTTAGAAATGTTAAATGCTTTTGTCGGTAATTTGTCAAAAAAAAAAGGAAACCAATTGAATCATAACATTCCATTTCAATTACCCATGGAATCTCCATCATCAATCACTTCTCCTTCTTCAGGGCCATCAGCCTAACAAAAGAAAATTAAAGAGTAGACATTTAGGTGAGATTTTTCATTAACTCCATGACTGCCAGGAGTAATCAAAGGCCTAAATTCTCTTTACAATTTCAATACACCACTGTGAAGACAAGTAATGACAAGGTTGGACGCTATCCTCTTCTATTTATATGCTTAGCCCCCTTATAAAATCAATTTCACTCAAACTGGCTACAGAAGTGTATGGTCATCAGTTACTTGAATTGACTCCAGATCTCTGGAGTGAAAATTTCAATATCAACTTTTTGGTTATTACATAATTACTGACCTCTCAATTTATTCATCAAGACCATAATTATAACCACAATCAGTATCTCTTTCTAGATATATACCTTGTCTAATGCTTGCTCATTCATTAAAAGATTTCAAAGAAACTACTGAGGTCTTCTACTCATTAACTTTGTGTGCATTACATATCATAACAGCACAAAGGTTATACTGGTAAGAATGCACCATCACTAACTTATTGTTCCCTTTTTTACCTCATTCTTAGCCGAATCTTTTTGATCTTGAGGCTTTTTCTCTGCATTTACCTGAAAAGCAAATAAAAAATTTTAAAACAACACACATACCTATACAAACTTAGCTGGAAATACAGTTATAGCACCAGGATACAACTGTTCTTTTCCAAACTTACCCCACTCATTTTTTGAACAAATTTATCTTCTTTTTAATACATTCATGGATGTATAGCCAAATAAATAAGTTTTTCTCAAAAGTTTCAATCCGTGGCTTGGAACTTTCTTCACCCTTTCATTCCTCATAGTTACCAGACAGTAATTTTTCCATACAATATCAATGCTTGATTAACACCAAATTATCAGAACTAATATGTTGAGAAACATACAAACAAAGCAAGGAGATTTATTATAAGGATCTTGGGGATGTAAAAGCCCTTTACCTTATCATCATCATCTGAGAGGATTTCTCCTTCTTCACCCTCATCATCTTGCTCATCATCTTCTACTTCACCTTCCTCTTTACCATCATCAACATCATTTCTTAGGCCATTCTTATCCTCTTGGCCCCCTGGTACTTCGCCTTCATCCTCCTCATAATCAAGTTCTCCTTCTTCTTCCTCTTCAAACATTGCTCCAGTCTTATTATGCACACTTGTTGTTAAATGAATGCTCGCCCTCGAAGTTGTCCATTCTGTCTTGACACTACTACTGCTGTCTAATGCTATCTCCTGAACTTTCTCCACAAGTGCATTCTCCTTTCCTTCAGAATCAGAGACCTCCACTGCCACAGAACAAGATCCTTCCTCTATGGAGCTTGATGGCAATACACTTCTGTGGTTGTCATCATTCTGGACTGACACATGACTTCGTTCAGGGTCCATTGGACCTATCTAAAATTCATGAAAATCTTTCAGTCGTCAAAATGTACAATTGCATCACTCAAGTGTTTGAAGTACCAGAGGATTTATATTTTAAGGACAGCTGATTTTGGTGCAGCAAACAAACCAACAATTTCAGTGACATGGTTAAACAGCCTCTCTGTAAAATGTCATAGTAAGCCTCTTATGTAGTTGATGTAGTTAAAAGGATGTTTGTCTCACAAATCTTAGATACTGCTACTACAATATGAATACAACATATAGATGCAACCACAATTAAAAATAAACTTCAACAAAGTAATAAACATCCATTATTACTTTTTAAATAGATTTTGCCAAGCCTAAAAGCAGAGCTTGCATTTTTTTTTCCCTGCACATCTCAAGGGCACAACGCCTTGCCCCGGCCAGGACTAGAACCCAGGTCGTCTAACTCAGAGCCCAGTGCACTGACCACTGGACTACTGGACAAAGCTGTGGTGTTGGCGTGCACGCGGTACAGCTGACCATGCATGTTAAAAGTAGCACCTTGTATGGTTGTACAGTCGTACAGTCATACAGTCGTAAGTCCAAATTTTTTTTGGCTTGATGGGTTACTATTACTACTACCATTTTGTATAATTATGGGGCTACCCTCTGCGAGCTCCGCTATAATAATAATTTTTTTTTTTCACATGTATTTTAAACCTCTACAATGCTTCAAGAGAGTTTCTGAACATTGTGTTGTTATTGGTTGAGTTTGAAAGTAGAGATTTCAATAAAAAATTTTAATTGTGTTCAACCCAAAGAAATTCTGATATCTTTATAACACTTTGACCCCTAAGAGTGACTAGCATCAAATTCTCCTAACATGATAACTTCTGAATTGCACATTCAGGTTATGAGAATAAGGGAGATGGTCATCTATTAAAGAAGCTCTTGATTGTTAAATAAATAATCCTTGTTAGTATCTTACAACAAGCATAGGGAACATTATGGAGAATATGCAAACTGATGTAAGAGTGTTCATGGTTCACCAAGTGCATGACCTTGTCAACCAGCTAGTGCTCTGCAGCTCACTTGCTTGAGCATCCAACCACATAAACCACAGAACTGGCTAGGGTTAGAAGCTGTCATCATAGGGACCTCAGATATTTTCTAAGCACCGTGGTTGTTACAATTTTTTTGAAATTGTTATTCAAATCAATGGTTTAGAAACGAGGTTTAATTAATCTACGGTTTAAATAATCCATAATACTTGGTTTGTAAACAAAATTTCTAACAGAACCCTAATGAAAAGTTGAAATTCAATATGAAGACAGTTATCATAAATTCATTTTTCTTGGCATTTTTTCTGTGCATGATCCACGAGCAGCTGGGACACACGCAGATTTTTAGCTGTAATACAACATGTAACTAAATGATTGTGATTAATTCGATCCAAAAGCTGTGGTTGAACCACCTTCAATTATAAAGGTAGTCCGCTAAACAGTAAGCGAGCCTCGCAAATCTCACGGAGCTATCAACTCCATACAAACAGACAGAACCGACTACAACCAAAAATAAAAAACAATTTAAAAAAGAAACTACAAACAATGTTTTCAAACCATGTAAGGTCTTAGCTTCAAATCATCCAGATTATCAAGTAGAATGTAAGATTTATAGCGAAGACCATGAACCGAATTATAACTCACCAAGTCAACTCCAAACAGATCAATTACAAAATAGATAAATGGTTAGCATCAAAACATCCCAAGATTTCTTCACAATCCATTTACGATAAAGGAATAATATGTTTCATCGGTCTCCATTCCACTCGAGAATGGCGGACAAACTTTCTATATTCTTTATATTCATTGGTTTAGGTCGGATCACGTGATAATATTAAGGCAGGTCAGCGGCTTTCCAGATGCACGTGTTTACAAGTAGAACAGACAAGTCATCGTATGGACATGTTTTGTATTTTAGGGAGAAAGCCATTATTTCGATCATCAAACTTCAGTTCTCTACACACAATCAGATGGATAAAGCATTTTAGTGCAGTGAATATTAACCAGGAAGTATTACCTAGGACTAAGTCTGTTCTGCGGCCGGCAAGTTGGCAGTACCGTTGTATGACTGATCAATCAAGCGACTGGAAAACTGTGTATGAAGGTCCAATCTCAAGATCAGTCAAACTTGTAAAGTTGCTTTCCCTGACTACAGCAGCGGCGACTTTAGTTTGTTCTCCATTGTTGGTGCTTTTTGGAAATCAAGCAACTTCGGCCTCAGTGAAGACGATCGCTGTGTTTTTATTATGTACGATTGGTACAGGTTCAACTGCATTACTTCATTTTGTAACCAAATCCTATGTGCTCAAGATGGACTTCAATCCAAAGGAAATGATGTTCGCTGTAGAGACGTTATCTATACTTGCGTTGCGAAAAAGAGTGGAATTTCCTGCTGATGACACTTTTGTATACCCAGACGATAGAGCTTTTTCTACCTTTGAAGCTCATGGACGAAAGTATTTTATACACAAGGAGCTTGTAGAAGCTCAACAAGTGTTGCACTTTATTGAAAAGTGGCAGAAAGAAGAAGCCACAGAGTTTAAAAAATCCTCGTAAAATATACAGTTATTATGTTTTTGTTATATTCAATCGAAGTAGTATGTCTTCCTCGAATTTCAGTTTTGAATGATTGTCTTTATATCTGCGATTTTTCTTAGTCTTAACCAGACTACAACTATGGACAAATGCGGGCTATATTGATCTACAACATACAATACCTTCAGTTGATAAAACCAAATTATAACGTACCTTTGTCAGGGAACTGTTCCCACTCAGTACCACCTGATTCAAATAATGTTAACAATGGCATAGACTCACAGGCTACCTGTAGTATACAAGTTCTGTGCTCCTGGAATCCAGTCGTTTTGATACAAAGTCGTTTTGGTACAAGTCGTTTCGATACAAGCCGAAGTCGAATTGTTACACATGTAAAGTCAATTTGATACAAACTGACGTTATTTCAAACTGACGTTACTGTTTAATACAGAATACTATACTATATATAAATGACCAAACACACCCTCAAAGAAATACTCACCATAAGCAACTAGAGGGATTTAGCAAGAGGAAGGGAAAGTCATTTCAGAACGGGAAAAAGTGTGTGTATCTATAACTATCCTCTGTTTGCACTTGTTGCATAACTCTCAAAGAAGATAATTTCCTTGTCCTTAAAGTGGTCTATAAGACCAAAAATTCAAAGGTGATCTTAAAAGATCCAAGGTTAGGGAATTCAAGAACAAATATAATGTTAACGGTTCATTGCAACAACTGCTAAGTCACTTCTGAGACACAATGGGGTGACATTCTCGACCCAGTTTCTCAATGGCATTTCTTCTACATGCGCTGTTGTCAACTAACATTCTCATCCTCTTGCTAAACCACTCTACTAGAGCGAACACAAACCTCCGTTGTAAATAAAACAAACCCGTACCTCCAGGAAACTCTACATGTACCAAAGCCTCCCACACAATGAGAACACGCAAACGAGACCAAGTTTTAGTTAAGTTTAGTTGTCAAGAACAGATTTATTTATTTATTTGTTGAATAGAAAACAATAAATCACCACACATATCAAAGACAAAAACTAACACACTCATACTGAACTTTTCTCAAGTTTACTTCTGTATTGAAAGGACTTCAGTCTGTATCAAATTGACTTTACATGTGTAACAAATCGACCTCGACTTGTATCAAAATGACTTGAATCAAACTTTGTATCAAAACAACTGTGAACTGTGCTCCTTACATGTCGTTTCTCCTTGTCAGTGTATTTTCCATCAGTAGACTATTGACCATCTATCAGCTTAAAAATCAACCAATCTTTCAACTGAGTTTTCTCATCAACACATCGTCTCTTTGCTTAACTCTTTTCTTCTCATCATACAACAGATGTCGAGCATATCTGCTGTAAAGTTAGCACAATTACACTATAATCCTTTTTCAATATTCATTTACTCTCCTACTAATGCCCGCCTTTAGATCTATATTTTTTAAGGAAGCAGTTTACATCCAAGTCTTGAAAGTAACCTGGAATCACATCGCTTTTCCTTCCTTAGACTCTGTATTTAATCAAGAAAAATCACATGCACCACCAACCTATTTAGGGAAGAAGATGCATGCCTGAAAAAAATCATTATGATCACTACATTATCCAATGCATGGCTTTTCACAGTAGAGTTATAGTGTAAATGTTTCAATTCTTACAAATAGAAATTACAAACCTCTTGCAATTTGAGATACTAAGAGTAACTTAGACAAGTGAGGTTCTTCTTCAGATGTGCTGCAAATTGATTATGAATTTTTTCCAATTGGATTTTAATAACAATTCAGTCACCTGCCTGCACCTAAAACTACAGTAGGAGGTTCACAAACAGCTCTTGCTCTAGTTTATTGCAAAAAAATAATCCTTTGTGCCATGAACACCTTAAAGGTGGCTCATAATTATTCAACAGTAACATCAAAGTCATCAGTTCAGTAATTTTTCTCAATGAGCATGGTAGTAACTCACATAATCTGCTTGGTTTTTGTTTTGGATTTTCCAATCTTTTCCCACAATCACTGAAACACCTTCAAAAGTTACTTTAATTTTTCATCCAAAGGAAAAACAAAAGTTGGTAATTGACCTGAATGGTAAAAACCTATAACCTTGAACTTTTGGTTTCTTGAGTATGACTTCTATTTCTTGTCCCATGTCTCTTTTCATGATTGGGTCAGGATCATTATGTTTTTAGCATAATGACACTCAAGATGTAGAGAGCTCTAACTGGTCTTTTTACTCAAGTCCTCACTGAAACAATAAGTGACCTAACTTCTATGTGCACTCCTGTGAATATCTCCATTTCCCAGCCATCATAGGAAAGAGAGAGTGGAGTAATATGAGTGTATGGAACTACACAGCAACCACAGAAAAGAGAATTATTAGTATTAATTCACTGAAGTTAATTTCAATCAAGGCCTTAGAGAGGCATATCTCATCTGTCAGACATCAATTAAAAAAACTACAAAACATGATGTGACTTGGCTTTATTTTGTATCTTGGCCATTATCTTGATACCGATTGCTTCTTAATAACAAATTTACAAGGAAACATCTGTTCTACCATTCTTTCCTTCAAATAATTGCTGCATTACATCCAGCAGTAAGAGATTTTGGTCTTACATGTTCATACATATTGATTCACTAAATTCTGCTATTGTTGACTTGGATACCACCTATGCAAACATAATTATCTACCCTTATTAAACTGCAGATGTGTTCCAAAATTCCACACCCACTCCATACAAGATCACATGTGTGAAGGGAGAGGGTGATATTTCAAAACAAGAGTAATGGACAAGAGTAACCCAAATATTCAGCACTAGCCTGTAAGCTTTACCTAACAAACTAAAACAAAGTAAAAGCTTTCATATGCAAACAGATTGCATCTCAAAGGAATTTAAAGAGTTTGGAAGGCTGTCTACTGACAAGAGCATCCTAGTGATTGAATCAAGTTGACTGTCTAGCTTCATGACTACAGAATTTCAAGCACTGACTCATGCAATGAACAAGTGTCAAGGAAAAATGCCATCAAGGAATGAACCCAATGTATGGTCATAAAATGTGTCCTTGTCCATCAATTGTGTTCCCTTGGTAAGAGATTGATCACATTTTTATTCCAAATTGTAAACAGACTTTAAGTCTGAAATTAAAATTGATAGCTACAAACTAGACTGAAAAGTCAATTTTTGTGGTTTATGAAATGTGAAGCTTATCCATCTTTCTGGCCTAACACTGTATATATTTGGGGTTTTCATAAACAAAGAATGTTGACACATAAAATGTAGAATTGAATAATACATGCTTGCATCAATTAAGACAATTACTTGTTTTCTTTGCAACATTTTTGCCTTCTAAGTTAATGATAAGTCAATTATTCTCTAATACAAATTTTGAAATACAGCACAGACAATATTTCATGATTTTTCTCATCTGATAAACAAAATCAAAACCAATGATCAGTTCAGAGATTATTGATAATCAAAACAAATAACCCTACTCATGAAATAGCACTGTTATTCTCCAATTATATTATTGACTAAAACTGATTCTAAATTCCTTTTAGATGTAATTTTGATGTTCATATTTACATTTAATGGCACAGAAAATGAACCCATTATTTTCATCAACAATTACCATGCCTGTTCCTTGTGACAAATTTCCATCAGCATATAAATTGCTCACAATTTCAAATATTTCAAATTCAATTCATTCATTGTGCAGACAAGGCTAAGTAACTACTTTTCAAGGTGATATTCAGGAATTTCTACCTCTAGACAATCAAGGCAAAACGAATGCAACTTTCAAAAAGTTAAATACATTCACATTTAGTTCTATTAATAACAAGCATTACATAATCAAAGTCTAAAATCAACCTTTCATAGATCTACAATTTTTTGAGTGTAATAATTACACTAAAATAGTCTGCACTTCAGCTATCATAGTGATGGACTCAAGATGAAGAATTCCTTGTGTAACGGTTTGGCTTTGATAACATCACACGGCCTGGAGCCCTGAAAAAGTATCATCAAGAATCTACTGTTACCCTGAAATCATTAGATGAAAATTTGACCCCCTTGAAAACAAGAAAATTTTTGAGTGAAGTCTGGTAAATCAAATGGACAAGTGTACAATGCTGGTTAAAAAAATGGCTGAAAATAATCATTTCTGCTCAAAAGGGAGTGAGACCTAATGGGACTTGAATAATGGATTGTTTTCCTAAATCTGGCCATCATTTTATACGTAATAAAATTTCCAGTCTACATCTTTATGGTACACAACCACCCAAAAAGGCTCCCAAGCACACCACCTGGGGATTTTCTCAGTCATCTATGCTTGAGAAAATGTTTGTTGATTAACCTATCCTATTATTGTGTGTGGAGTCAAGGGTTCAGCCATTAATATGTGAGTTTTAAACATATGTCAATAATAGAATATACAGTAGCTGTTATCATCTGGTCATTCTCATAACATATATCACAAAACAATCATGGTATAAAAAGTTTATAACCAAATGGTACATTCACTATTACTAGAAGATGGCCATCAGTCAACAAACCTAGCAGCTCTTTCTTTCTGTAGTCTACGCAAGTCATCTTGTTGCTGTCTAAGCTGTTTGCCAAGGTTTTCCATTTGATGCTGATGATCATTTTGGATTCTCTGCTGTGCCTCCAGTGACATGGGTCCATTCTGCTGGTTCAGTAAATTTGCAATAGTTGCACGTGCTCTCAATTCTTCATTTTCCATGTGATTGGATATCTCTTCTACACGATCTCGAAGAACTTGGATTGATGCATACAAGTTCTCATCACCACCCTGCATCATCGAAACAAAACATGATTTGTCATCATTTGAAGTCAAAATGCAATGATGCCCTCCTATGGTTGATTTGTCCCCAATCATCATAAGAAAAAACAAACAGTTAAGGCAAGTTTAAGGTGTGCAGGATAAAAAGAAACTAAGTATACTCTATAGCCATTTCCCCCTTCCCTTCCAGCTGGTGCTCCAATTTCTAGATCACAAAGACCACTACCGACAAGTCAGCTACATATTAGGGTCCTCATTAGTTTAGTTAACCAGTATAAATGAAAAACCTTTGATTTCATTAAACTGTGAACAGAAAACCAATCTGAGTAACACAACAAGCTTTAATATGTACATACCATTGCACTTCTGATGTCAATGTGGACCAGTAAACAGCTAAGTTCACATTCCTCACTGTATGCATTCTTCAAAGGGACAGATCTGTATCCTGGATCCAAACAAAAACAGAATGAAAACAATTAAGTTAGAAAAATTATAAAAATAAAGTGAATTTTAACATGAAAACTTTTTTCATGAAGTAGCAAGCTGTGCAAACTCAGGTGATTAAAACTGAGCTATTCAATTTTTATAAGCAAAGACAATCCTTTTAGTAGGTCCACCTTGCTACTGTGAAATAAATCCTTAACTGGCCTGTGGCCTATTAATTTACCAAAGATCAATTGTTGCTTCCATTCAGAGAACTACACAAAGTACGAACCTGTCTTCAGACTGCACATGGGAAATATTGCATGGCCAATGAAGTTAGGTTCACCAAACATATCTTCATCAAAGACAACAAACCGAAGGTAAGCCAGAGGGGGGTTGATAACGTCTACATCAAACTTGACCCACCATACAGGGTTCAAACCATTATCCGCTAAAAAAAAAAAACATAACCAACCATGCTTTTAAGGGTATAACAAATTGATAAAGCACTACTCAACAAGGTGAGAGACATAAGAGAAATTATGAATTTTAATTTGGAACTAGGCCTACAAACAAAGAGTAACCTGCGTACGTTTTGTCTCTGTCTTGAATTTGGTGTTGTCATAAGGTGCTCCAACTATCTCAACCTCCACAAAAGGAGATGCTATCCCACGACCTGATTTCACGAGATGCCTTGCTCCAATGATCTACAAGAAAACATAAAGCTTTATGAGGTTTTAAATAAAATGACTTGTGTATGACTTCTTGCAGGGCATAGTGTAACTTCAAAAACATGCTGAATTGTACAATGAGTTGCTCAAAAAAGGATGACCAAAGTGTTTCTTACCGTTAGAGTAAGAGTCAATGGCTCTGCTCCAGAAGCATCCCGATTGTACAGATCAAATGTTTCACTTCTGATGCACTCTGGGTGAAGCACATAACCACACCTAAAAATAACCAACTCTATGTATTTTATAATGTTTTATCTCCTTGTGGTACACACAGTAGTCCTGGCATTGAAGCTTTACCCAGTCTCTAAAGCACAACAAAACTCTCAACTAGGATGACAGTCAGATAGGATTTAAGTCCATTGTAAGTTTCCCCTGAAGTGTTCTTCAGAGAATTTTAAGAAGCAAGTTATGAAAAAAAAGTAGCCAGTAAACAGGTGGGTACCAAGGGGACATAAGCTTTTATGCACTGTTTCCTTCCAGTTTACATCAATCTTTAAATTTATTTCAGTTCAAGATAGGTCTTTCAATGTTTTTTCTTGTTTAAACAACCACCACTTAAAAACAAGGATCTGGTGACAAAGCCACAAGGTAGTTCTTACTACAGGGAACACTGTTAACCCCCTTTCCCACAGTTTGTTAGCTTTTCATGACAATATACTGACATTACAATCAAAGTGTCCTACCCAAGAACCAAACAATAAGTCTGGCATGATCTGATACTGCAACATTTAAATACAGATTCCAGCATGGTTACTGTTAAGCCATTACCACACTTTTTACACTAAAACTTCCAGAAATCAAGATGTTACCTTCCATTGTCCAAAAATTTACCATGGTTCAACTGCATAGCTCGATCTAAAAATTGAGGTAAAGGATAAATACTGCTGTTCAGCTGCCACAAAATCTCTCAAGTATCCTTAAGCCTACTAATACATCAAACCAATGCATAGCAACCTATATTTAACAGACCCCACATCAACCAAAACCTGCTCTAAGTACACATTAGCCCAAGTCTGAAATTGTTCCTGCCATATTTGATGTTAAACCAACTTCTCCCAGTGGACTTCTCCCCTGAGTACACATGGACACCAAAATTGATGAGAGCCCTTGTACATGGCCATACTTCCCTCATAAGAAGAGGCTCTATCAAACTTTCCCTGTGCTTGCAAATACTTCATACAGCAGTCTCTTTCCCACAACGTTATTTGTTTTGGTAAGCACCTGGCATCCAGTTTTCTTACCTAAATATTATTGAACATGGACTAGACAGTACAAAATTTTTCACTTTTTTAGTAGAGTTAGAGCCAATTTTTATGTCCATATCTCATTTCTTACCTGGTGTTTGATAATTGAGAGCACACAGCTGTACCCCATGGTTCCACATCATCACTGGGTCATAGTTAGAAGAATCAATTCTGCTCCCTCTGGGATAAACTCTACTGAACTGTTTTCTGTGATATCTTCACTGCTGTTAAGGCAATGCCTTTGTTTGCTCCTTATAATTGAGGGCAATTATAACAATCTTCTTATAACATGTTTCTTTGTCTGGAAAATTTAGGAGTTGAGTTCCAATTTAGAACTGCAATTTTATTCCATATCATGTACATGCACATGCTTCAGATAACTGAATTGTTTGATGACATGTTGGAATGTTCCCAATGTTAGTATTTATTGACAATAATAATTAATCTATTTAAATAAATGGATTTAAGTAATGTTTTACAAACAGGAAAGGATACTTGATAAATTGTTTGCTCAACCTCTTGCCAAAAAATCTATCCAGTCTTGTTTCAGGGAATGATGACATCTCATAGTGTTTGCCAGATACATCTGTACAGGATAAAAAAATTAACCCATACATAGGAAAAGCAATAGAGAATGTAACATACTGGTTGTATTCCAAAAAAGCACTGTTACTGCAAGTTGTCAGTGTTTGACAGTAATGTTGAGCAATCAGTCAAGGCAAAGTTGAGGAGTTTTGGATGAGCAAGCTTGGCAAGTAGTGCACATGTCACTATGAAGAGCAACAAAACAACACTGATGAAAACAACTTACTTCCAATGTCAAATGGTACTGACTGACAGTACACTACCAAGTCAGACAGCTCTTGACTTAGATTTGACTGACGCACCATTCTTTGAACCATTGCTTCTCTTTTATCTGCCATCTGTTGAAGTGCTTGTAACCAATCACCTAAATCCTGTGTAACAAAAAGATGTTTGCTAAAACTCCATCTGAAGACAAGTTAATGAAACTTGAAAAGAATTAAGTCACAAACCTCTTGGGATTCTGCTGCAGGTTCGAGTAAAATTTGACCATCACGTTTGGCAATTTGAAATACATGCCTCTGTCCTGGTTTACCTGCTATATTTTCTGAAAAAAACAAAATAACAACAATATAACTCACGAGTGGCATAACAATATTTAGAACAGAAAAGGAATAACACAAAACAGTTCGTAGAGTAGCTTGCTTATGACAAACAATCTTTCCTGATTAATTTGAAAGAGATGATGACTATTATCACAGAGGCACCAAAATGTGTAATTTAGACACAGTACCTAATGCAGCACAATTTTTCAAAACAACCTTAATTCTTGCTTCAAATAAAAACATGTAGAACTTGTAACACATAAAAACAGCCAACACAGGTAAAGTAACAGTTAATTTAACAGAATTTAACCAGAAACAATAAATAGAAAAATAATTAAAATTAGAAACAGCATAAATAGAAACAAACCACCAAATAATTTTTTACAGAAAGAAAGACAAAAAAAAACCACAACAAGAAAACAAAATGAAAACAAACAAAAAAACTGCCAGCACTGTTATAAAGACTTTGCAGAAAAATGTGAATATCAGTGAGATAAAATGTTTGTTACATCACTAACTTTCAACAAGACATGAGGCCACTCTCCACCATTACCAGAGAAGAAGCAAGTTTCATTATCAACATTTATCACTGAAACATACCAACAGTACATCCCTGGAGGTCTATACTTCCTTTCTGGAGATCCCCCAGGGGCGACATTTCATGATTCTACAGGTTAAATAACAGGACACAATATATTCATTTGGTGATAGTGCAAAAAGTCCATTTTTTAATTACACTTGCATTAAAATGTTCTCCTTTTCAGGCAGTAACTGGTAACATTAACCAACTGTAGTACCTCTTATTACTGTTTAAAATTGCTTGGAATTCTTGAAAATTCAACAGGTAAAAGGATTGATTTACAGGTTTGAAAATTTATTTTACCTATCATGCTTAAAATAAGGGAGAACACTGCATTAAAAACCAAATAACAGAATCAAACCATAAAGAGTAACCCAAATTTCTTCATATATCTGAAGAACATTTCAGATAAATCCCAGTTCAATTGATCAAAAATAACAATCTAAGAGGGCAAAGTTATAATGTGTACATATAACCAATAGACCTCAGTCTTTAGCTTGCATTTTTTTGTTTACCCATTCCTGGTCTCCAGGGAATTCCCAGCTACATCTTTGTAAATTATTTGTACATATGTCAATAAGAGAAATTTGAAAGAAGCAGTTCTCTGGAGCATCAACATCTGACCAGAAATGGGTTAGCAAAATAGACAGTCAAGCTAAAGAGGTCTATTGTGTTGAGTCTTAAATTTCCCCTCACGTTCTGTTCTAAATGTAAGAAGGAAGATATATATTAAAACAATTTAGCCTCTTCCTCACCTCAGTATTGTCATTTTGGGGATTAATGTTCTGTTCATCTTCTGCAACGTAGTTAATCTCTTCACAATAGTTAGCTGGGAAAAACTTCTGTTTCTGTCCTCCATAATCACCAATCCACCTTTTAATTAAAAAAGCAATGAAGTGGATGATTTTTTTAAGCATTCTATTCATTCATAAATCCTTTTCTTTTCCATTACTTTCCTTTTAACTCATAGCAATACCCAATAGACTTCAGAACCCCAGAGCATTAAAGTGATGTCCACTGTTCCACAACAAATTTCAAAAGATCACAATCCAGTTGTTGGTCACCAACAAATGTTGGATAAATGTCAGCATCTGAGCAACTGTGCACCTGCGGCTCCCCTAAGCTGACATCAGTCAACTAAAGACAAGTTGAGGTTGATGTTGGGTGAGGGAGGGGTAGCTGTGCAGTTGCTCAGATACTGACATTGATCTCAAAAGTTCAACTATTCTTACACTGTGCTGTTTCACTATGGTGACTCCTAAGCACTAAATGCATTCATTTGTGAACAGCATTGCTTTCTAATATATTATTGCTCTTTACTCTTAAACAATGTCTTCTTTTACAGAATACAACTAAAAAGGAAATTGAAAGAAAAACATACCATCCCCCATCCTCCTTGCTGACATTAGTGATAAATGCTCCCCTGCAAAATGACATCTCGTCTGGATTCTGAGCTTCATAATCCCACAGTGCCCTGCATGCAGCCTGGAAAAAGTCAAGAGGAAACAAGAATACCCTTAAATGTTGGAGTGTCACTGAGAAAACACAAACACAAGAGCCACTGTGACATTGTCAGAGAGAAGAATCTTTCTCTTGACTTTGCAAGAACATGTGAAACTGAAGCTGTACAATAACTGTGAAAATGTTCAAAAGATAATTTACACTTGTTTCTGATGTGCATTCTTTATATAAATCTCATTTGTAAATCTGAAGAAGATTTTAAAATTGCTATATATGTTTTCTAAATGTAAGCCTGAATCAGGCTGAGGCCACTGAATCTAAATATCAGACAGCACTGCACAAGATTTCACAGATCAGACAATAATTTAGCACCAATAACTGTTGTTTACACAGTATTCTAACCAAATAGCTCCAAACTTTTTCTTGAGGGGACACAGGTTGATGGAAAAAATGACTTTACCTTTGTGATAAACTGGTTGGGTTCATGGTAATGATCTCCAGTCCCATAAATTGCATCTTCATCTGGAGACTAACAGAAGTGTTTTATATAATAAGCAACTTATACTGTTAGCAGTCATACACATAATATGGTCTGGGCTATAAGTTTAGCAGCTGTTTTCATGGGATAGGCCTGATTCATCTACAAGGCCCTGCTAGGTTTTACTGAATAATTTACAGTAGTGTTCAAGTTGTGGGTCTTGTTTATTTATGAAGAACTGCACAAGTTGAAAACTTGAATGATCAAATCTTCAGTGACAAAAAAGTACCCTTCTTGAGATGACTAGTTGGGAACTTCCTTAGAACACCACCTGTGTTCTGTTGCACCTCTCCCTCTTCCAATGTCAATTATTGACAGTGGGTCCATGAGTTCTCAAAGACTAATACTAGGAGGGGCAGTGGAGGCAGCAAGTGTCCCAAAAACAGTGTCTGAGAGGGTAGCTGGCAAGTTTTTCTATAATTTGCTTTAGGTTTAAATCACATTTAAAAAGGCAAATTAGAAATACCAAATACCAAAGAAAGAAAAAGAAGCATTACAGCAATGTTACAGTAGTTTGTCATTAAGTAAACATATTAATAGTAACCTATAACTGAGAAAAGGAATAACCCAAACTGTACATACCTGACCTACTTTAGACAATACCTACAGATAACACAAAATTAAGTCAGCATTTTTAGGTGAAGAATGATCATAAACCATACATAACATATTCACAACCTTCAAGATCATTAGAGTTGCACTCACGCTGTGAAAGTAAAGCTTAAAAATCATTAACACAAAACAAATAGTAGGATAAAAAAAGTGACAAATGTAAGAATTCAAAGCAATATTTTCTCAGCATGTATGCGAAAAAAACAGGATTAAGACAAATAAAGACAATCCTCTGTATGTGAATTTGTGTAATGGGAAGAAAAAACTTCTTTACCCAGTTTCCATCATTTTTTATGATTTTACAGAGAAGAGTGTTCCAATTTCTCTACAGCAGTAATTTATCTGATTTCTGACATTACGGAAAAGGTAAGTTTCTTACATCTTCATTGATTTGGTATTTGAGCTTCATGCCCTTGTACAGAGGGTGCTTCATGTAGAACTCAACCAATTCTACCAAACTTTCAAACTGAGCAGTTCCTATTGTATACAAGCGTCCTTCACGTTTTATTCTGCAGTGCTTAATCTTGCCTTCAGCCCTGAAAATAAACATTATCAAAAGTTTCATTAAATTAAGTTGAAACCAGAATATTTCTTAGAAGGCTTTTATTAACAATTTATGGAAGAAAAATAAATCAAATGGTTATTGTGGCTGACATTTGTTTCAACTACTTAAAGTGTTACAAAAAGCAGCTGACATTGAAGCCTTAATGGAGGAATTGATATAAACTTCTTTACTAAATTTTAAGTGGCAAGCCATATTGTTCACTGCAAAGAAATTTTTGAGACGTTTAACTGGTCACTGTGACTGTAGAGGAGCCATTGGATGCAGTGAAAAGCTTCCAACTCAACAGTCCCATTTATGGTTGAAGGAGTAAAACAGACAAACCTCAAAGCTCACCTAAATGATATGGCAAATGAAGATTCATCATTCTGTGACTCTGGATTGTTTTCTGCTTGCTCTTGCTCAGCTGCTGGGTTGTCAGACTCTTTCTTCCTAACAAGGAAGGCTCCGTTTCTTCTGACCCTCTTCAGCATGTCTTCTGCCTTGTCCCTTTTAAGATTGTCATGGTACCAACTACAACAAGAAGTAAATCAGTTATTAATGAGCCAATAGATGTAGCTACGACAAATACTTGACCACTCTTTTGGCACTGATGTACCACTATGAACTCAAAACCCATGAAAATCTTGTGAAATAACTCATTGTAAATTCACAGATTTTTCACAGGATTTTCATGGTTAAATCAATGACATTTTCATGGTCTCAGAGCCATGAAAAATCCCATGAAAAACCTGTGAAAATTTTCATATTCATGACCCATGAAATATTGAGTAAAGTGACCTAGAAGCCATGAAATACCCATGAAAATGGCATTTCATGGCCTTTTCAAAGGTACTGAGAAACCCATGAATTTCATGCCCAAAAATTCCATGGTGTCAAAGTTCACTAGTTTTTAATGGGTTGCAGCAAATCATGACCCATGAATATCCTGTGAATATGTAAAAAATTCATTGACCATGAAATTTTTCCTTGAATTTTCATGGCCTCTCCATGGTTTTTTCATGGCACATGAAAGTTAATTGCCAGTTAGTTTTCATGGGGTTGTTAGGAATATGCAAGCACCATGAAAATTCTTTGGAAACCCTATGAATTTGGAATTAAAAAGTCTTCACTTTTCTTGTACCAAAGACTGTACTACAGTGTATAGCTTGCAGTATACCATAACTGTAATACATTCGCTATCACTTAAATTATACACTGAAGAACTAACCTCTCTGTGAAACTTCTTAGTCCTGTTGTACAAGCACACACACATGAAAGACATGACCAGAAGTCTGGATTCTCTGATAGTTTATTTTGTTTCACCAGCTGTACATAAATATTACTTTAGGATTCCAAAATTGTGTTATTCAGTTTACACTTTCTTAAATCAAAAAAGTTGGTATGAAATTTTCTGCAATAAAATTAAGATGTTAATGATTTATTACTACTCTATTATTACTCTATTTTGATATCACTGATTTTCCTTGTGGAGGCAGATTTTGCTCCTATATTATTTCTTCATATCTATTTACTCTGATTTAAATAATTGTGGCTGTACATTAAAAATATTTCTGTATATTTAAACTATTTTGAAGGTATATTATAAATAAATGTGTTGTGAAAAATATTTGGACAAAATTATTGAAAATATACTCACTGTTTTAATGTATTTTTGTCAAAACTTCAAATATCATTTCCTTCGTCTAATATCATGTGTAAAATGTTATGGACAGTTATTATGGACAGTTATTATAATGTCTATTTATGTAACAGCATTCATGCAAATTTCTTGATATGTTTTACACTTGTGATCAATACTCTCAAGGTAACTAACAACAAAACAATTACCAACTTTCTGCACTCTTGCATGTGTGAAAATATATCTATGGCTGACTATGTCAGTGTCTCTGTGTTTTGGCCACCTGAATGTGCCATCCTTCTTTTGGTTAACATTTCTATTTGCATCTTCATCATCATTTGGACCAAGATAGGCTTCTTTAGCAAGTTTGCATTTCCTTTCATCGGTTTTGCAGACCAACACTTTCACTGTTTGCAAAATAAAGGGAGCACATCATCAGTTATCTAAGAGCCTTTCTTATGTACGTAGTAAACCTAGAAATGAATAACTCGCCAAAACAGGTTCTTTTCAACATGAAGCCGCCAGATACTAAGCGACGCACTGTGGAAGTGAGGTGAGGTATTTCGTATTCAGAATTTGACTGTATTTTTTATTCCTAAGAACGGTCGTAAGTATTTCCATACAAACTCTTGTAATTTTTCGCCAGATGATCACAGAATAAAAATTTTCAAGTTAAATCAATAGTTAGCGCACGCGCTCCGATGTTTACGAATAATAAGATGACCAAGCTTGAACTTACCCCTTCACGTTGTAATGCATATCGATAACTTAATCTTGAGGAAACCTCTTTGAAAAAACTTTTCAGACAGTCCATTGTGTTGATCTGGAAAAAAAGAGACTGCTACACAAACACTACGAGAAATGCAATTGGAAGGGAACCATTCCGTTCGAGGTACGAAAAAACCCGCCACTTCTTCGTAAATCACATGTGCTTTCACGTGGTGACCTTAGGTCATCGCAGCCATCATAGGTCAGCGGTCACATGGTGACCTCACAGGTTATCGTGTTCGAAGTTGCGAAATGACTCCGAAGAGAAATAAAGCAGCACAAAAAGCTGTTCGGTTTTTGGAATTCGAAGCAAGTAGCAATCGACAGGACATCAGAGTCCAAGAAAGTCAGAGCTGACATTGACAGTGATTCCTGTGAAAGCGATCACGAAATCAACAACGATGTTGTAGAAGGCAATGTCAATGAATACATGAAGGTAACGTTTTATCCCGACTGAGAAGATGGCCTGACTCTGTTAACCAGTGACTCTATGAACGAGGTAAAAATGGCATTTTTTTCAGGTCACATTTGCATACTATTCAAAGTTCCAAACTGAGGTGAGAAAGTGATTGATTTTCCATTGTTTTGTTCCACATTTCGTGTAGATGCAATGCGTACTATTGCTGTGCAACTTAAGCATCCGTACTGTGCAGGTGCCTTACTGGAAAACCCCTAGAAGATTCCTCAGCCGTAAGAATGTAAGAGAAGGCCTTGAACAGGTTTCCAGAGTCATGGTTAACAATCAAAGCCAGCAGTGAGCCAGAAAAAATTCAACAAAGTCGTCCAGGCATGGTGAAGGCAAAAAGGCCCCAAAAAAATCAAAGTGAGGGTCATTGCCTCCAGCCCCATTTGTCTCAACAAAGGAGCAAATTGAAGATCCATTGTTTTAAGTCATTATTTTGTGATTTCCTGTACATTCTACGTTACCACAGGTCACTTAAGATGTTTAGGGACATTTTCATTTGACAGTTTTCGTGCTGTACACCAAAATTCCATCACTGAATAAATTTATAACAAGTCAGTTCCACGGGTCATGAAAGTCAGCTCGTTGATAAATCAGTGACTGTGATGAACTAATTAATACCACTTTTAATGGCCTATGGATTCATCAATGAAATTCATGGGCAACAGATTTCAGGGAATATTCATGGCCCATTAATTTTGTTCTCCCAAAACAAATGAATTGTTAGCCCATGAAATGCTGTTTGATTGCAATTCATGGGCATGAAATTCATTCTGATGACTTTCTGGGGAAACTAATGGGTCATGAAAGTAGACTTTGAAGAAATTCATGGGTCATGAAAGTAGGCTTATAAAGAAATTCATGGGTCATGAAATTAATTCTGGTGACTTTCATGGCAAATCAATGGGTCATGAAAATAGACTTTGAAGAAATTCATGGGTCATGAAAAAAATTCCCCAAATTCATGGAAAATTCAGGGCTAAAAATAACCCCATGAAATTTCATTTTACAGTATTCATGGGCCATGAAATGATCTTCATGGGTTTTTCATGTGAAATTCATGGAATTTTCATAAAACTACAGTTCATAGTGGTCTTACGTTAAGATCCATATGTTAACATTTGTTTTTTAGGAATGATTCAAAAAACAATCTTTTGTGTACTCACTCTTTTTCAAGATGTGCATTTGGCTGTTACCGCAAGGATTTTGGACATACAGAAAGGAAGAATAAAACAACATCAAAAAATAAAATAAGAACATCTTAATGGACCTTTCTGTTTTTTTACACTTAATATCAAGATGATGGTGTCAACAGACACCAGACAACACAATGATAAGGATACCAGTTATTAATGAAGATGATGATGATGATGATGACAGAAGGTTAAAAACTAGTGAACAAAAAAGAGGAAAACAAAAATAAAACAGTAACAGTAAAGCTGATCTTATTAACTATATATTTTGCTCTCATTATGTTCATGTACTTTGGTGAATTATCTTGTATCCAGGATCACACAATGAAGAGAGCAATGTATTTTCAAACACAATGAATAATATACAAAGGAAAATAAATGAATGGCTTCCTTAGTTCAAAATTGGTAAGATGCAGATGATTTTAAGGCCAGTGCTTTTAGTCTGTCATGGAACAAGTCTAGTAATTCACCTGTGGAATGGCATCTGTCAGCGTGAGTTCAAAGTTCATACTTTTTAGTGGATGAGTCTGGTAAAAGTTGATGAGGCTGTATAAACTGTCAAATGTCACTTGATCAACAAGGTAGTACTTTGTTTGTCCATTCTCTTGCTTAGATTTGATTCGACAGTGCTGGACTTTCCCTTTACGCCTAAAGTGTTAGAAAAACCCCATATGAGTATTTCCAAGGTATTATGGCCAATGATTACTGTACGCTGTTGTAATTTTCTGATGTGATAATATATTGTTTGTGAACCACACAACACGTTTTTCTTAGAAGACACAATGCAATTCAAAGTAAAACTTCTACACACCAGAAAGATAGTGAAAAGTCTCCAACAAAGGTTGTACTCTCCCGCACAAGGAAAGATCCATCTCCACGATTAAACTGTTTCAAAAGGTTTTCTGCTGCTTTGCGTCCATCTGGAAGCTTTCCATGAAACCATCTAAAAATTGCAAACAGATCAAATCCTTGAGTAACATTCCCCAAATTTATTCATACCTAGCTAACAGACAAGAGCTGAACCTTAAAATGTAATGTAAACAATGATAATGAAATTCATGTTAAATAATCTTGCAATTTTTTTAATCACATATCACTTATCATAATATAACTTAGACACAACATGTACTCTGATTGGTCAGAAATCTATTGTATATTTACCACACTGGGCAAATTCCTAGATTTTAATTTGTAAGGGCCCTTGGTTTGGAGGAAACAAAGAGATCACTTTGAATGCAAAAGATTCAATTTTTTTAACATCACCAAACTTTTCAGGTATATTCAGTTTAATTAACTGGTTGCTCCATATTATGCCTTTGTATTTTGTTGAACTGTCAAAGTGGAAGAGCTTCAGAAATTCTAGACTATAATTCCCCAAACTGCTCACTGAGAAATTTTTTGAGAAAATTGTAGCAACAAACTTACTGGTCGGATTTTCATTTTGATATTTACTGAAACTCTTACTCACATGAGGACAAAAACTACTTGCAAAGTGAATGCACTCAAGATTTTATGGCAATTCCATTTTCGGTCAAAGAATTTCAGCTTTCACTTGATAATATTTGGGGAGACCATTGTTTAGACCTATGTACTAACCTTTCACCAAAGTGAAGTTCATCTTTAGATGACTACAACAAACAAATAACACGTTTTTAGAACACAATTGCATGTGATTTGACCAAAGTTTTTTCTTTTTAACATTGTTTACATTTTCTTTACTTATTTTAGTAAACTTTTGCCTCATAACAATTACTTATATAGCCCAATATACATAAGGATATGATCTAATGTGCTTGAAAATAACTGAAATAAAATAAGTAAACCTAACAATTAAAAATTTAAACAAATTTGTATCTGCAGATCTCGCCATCATTAAAATTACTATCTCAAATAATCTAATCTAATATAAAATACTTTAAAAAGCAAATATTGATTATAAAATTATTGATATGATATTAAGTAAAATGCCAAAATTCTAGATCGATTTATGATATATTTCAGCAATCTTTAGAAACTACATCTAAATTGTGGAATCTGGTGACTAGTAGTTTAGACCGCAATCCTATTAACCTGCGGTGTGCATGCGGCACATGCGCAGAGACAGTTAAAAAACGTGCTCTTTAATGAAACATTTTGAAAAACTTAGTTACTTAATATATGCTTTGCTAAATTATAAAGTCTTAACTTCTTTCTTGGATTGTATGACATTAGTTTCATGTCTGATATTCTATGGTTATCCATTCCATTATGTGGGGTGGCCACGTAAAAGGCTCTGTCTGCTGACCTCTTCTTTGACTTTAGGGGGAAGGTTGAACTAACAACAACTCCTCATTTGGCCTCAAGTGGTATGGGGATTTCTTCCTCACTGAAGCCAGTCCATGAATGGCCTTGAATTTCATTAACCATATTTTGAAGTTTATCCTGAATCTAGCGGGTAGCCAATGTAACTCTTGTAATACTGGCGTGATGTGACAATAACGCAAAGAGTTTGTAATAGGTCTAGCAGCTGCATTCTGTACTTTCTGTAATTTGTTGATTTTAATGTAAGGGAGACCAGACAGAAAGCTGTTGTGGTAGCCAATCATACAATTACTACCACATGAACCAAGGTTTGTGTACAGTCGTATGTGATGTACTTTCAGATTCCTTCAAATGTAATGCAGGTGATGATATGCTGCATTATATGTTTTGGTTATGTAAGTGTCCAGTTTTGAGTGTGCATCAAGCTAATCCCCAAGATTCTATGCAGTACTTACTGGGACAACCTTAGAATTACCAACTGACAATTCACCAACTGACAATTCACCAATAACTGACAATTCACCAATAGGTTGAATAGTTTGAATGAATTTTCCACAATCTCTAAAACAACTTTCTAATACAAATTACTATATATGGGGTGAAGAGTGAAATGTTCATAATGTCATCCATTCACAAGTTTACTCACCGATCAAAGTTACTTTCAAAACACATCTGTTAAACATCATATTTAACAAGCAAAGAGAAATCTATTTTCCTGCAGTAAAATTCACCCAATAGCATGCTTAGTTAAACCAACAATTACACATGTATACCCCCTCTGGATTACAGTATTGTCTTCTATTCTTCACTTTTTTAAAAAAAATTACAGCATTTAGATGAATATCAGACAAAAATTAATTATTCCTAAAAACACATGGACCTAAAAACTAAATAAATAAAAAGCTACTAAAGCCCAAATCAGAACCCTGATATGTATGATGCAATATCATGGTCGCTAGATATCTTAGCATCACATTTACTCCAAAGATGATGATGTTGAGACTGAAGGTGGGGAAATAGAAATGGAAACTAGAAACCTTCCATAGTTGAAATTTGATGTATCAGTGCTTCTTTTTAATATTTCTATCCATAAGGAAAAACACCAGTTCCAGTAAATATGGTCACCATGACCTTACAGTAACAAGAACTCTGATTAGGACATGGATTTAGACTATCTATGCCCACTGCATAGAATAACGTATACTAAGTGTCTTAAGTAGAGGTTACCAGTTACTTTCACAAGCATTTTGAGTTAAATAATTCACAATTAATAGTCTTATTCCATTGATACTAAAAACTATAATCTCTAGAAGATAAATAATTTAAGATAATCTGAATTAACTTTGACAAACAAGGTGTATACATGTGAGTTCATGCATGAGTAAGTTACCAAGCACAAACTTTGACCATGTCACTCCCAAGATCTAAAGTTGACTTCTTCCCAACTTATTGAACCCAGCTTGTTAGTTCTTGTGGAGAATTTAGTTTTTTATCAACTAGGCAATATCACCTGGTTGACAATTTTGTATTAACAATTTACTTTGTACTTGTCTTCCTCACACTATGTTAAAATTATATGCAATAACTAAATAAATAAGAGATCAGTGAACTTTGATGAACACGAATTATCTTAACAAAATAATCATAACCAAATTAATTATAACTGACTGAAAGTATTGTTGACAAAAGGATTGCTTTTTCCTGATATAAATCATAGAAGACATTATTTAGATCTTGTATCAAACTTATTTTTAACAAGGCATAAAAAAGCCAGGTGTATTTCTTTTCCTATGAAAACAGACATTTGGATGGTGATACAAAGGGTAATAAACTGTGGGATTCAGAGAAAGATCAGTTTGTAATGATTTGTGTCATGCATTCTTCAAGACTTACAGAATACACTTAAGTGAACAAATGTTTTCTGCAATCCCTAAACACTTACTAGATGGTACCAGATGATAGCCTGTGAACAAATCAAGTGTTGGCATAAAAACATGTAGCTGGCTTCCAACAGACATCACAGTTCATATCAAGTTAAACTGTGTTAAATCCTTAACTAATTAAGACATAAAATGGAGAGGTTAAAGGTTTGATCTAAGAGGAGTCGAGGGAGTGAAAACTCTAGTTTCAGAGGAATCCTATGAAAAAGAGTCACACTGTTAGGGACTGCCAGATAGACTTACAAGTGATTACTTAACAATATGGCACACACCTAGCATTACTATTATATTTGTAAGTAAAAAAGAAAAGTACGTGCCTATAAACACAACCTAATATAAAGATATACCAAAATAAATTTGGATTTACTTACTTCTCCAACTCCATTTCCATCAGCTCCCTCATCATCATCATCATCCTCTGACTTGGTTTGCTCTTCCGTCCAGAACAGCTTATTCTTTGTTAGGCAGAAAAAATGGCGTTTCCAACCCTAACAGTAAAATGTATCTTGTAAATAACCAATAAACAACAGATCCATCAATAAAACAAAAAGATAAACTATCTAATCTTATGGTTTTTTCTATTTCAAACCAATAAAACTTTCTGTGATGTCTTTAGGGACTTCCTCTTATGTTTTTCATAACTGCAGTAACACAAAAATCACCACTCATTCAAAATTAACTGTTGATATTTAGAACTCACAAAAATCATTTGACTTTCTAACATCCAAAACCAGTTGCTATGACTTTCCATAAAAATTTGGTGTTCAGTATTTCATTTTGTAAGATCTACTATGCTTGTTGTGCAAAGAACTTACATGATCAATTTCATCCTCTAACAGTAAATAACCATTCTTTACTGACTGGCTCAGATCATCCTCCAAAACTGCAAAGTTAAAAAAAAAACACAAATTAACATTCTGAAATTTATTGATGAATAAAAATAGGTTCTCCTGAATGAAGTTTCAGTGTAGGCACAGTGTATGGAATGCCTCAAGGTGAAATCTGTAGTTATACTTGAATAATTCACAAGGCTTCTTTTAATTAAGAATCATGTTTCCTGAGAACCATTGTAAGTAACAACTTTTGAAAAGTTATGTGCTCACGTTGATTTGAAGTTCAATATGTTAAACTGACCCAAAGTTGACACCAAATAAATAAGCATGCCGAGTAACTTACTGGTATCACCAAAATTGGTTTCTGTAACCTGGTTGGGATCCTTGGGTAGTTTTTTATGCTATAAAAAAATTGATTATTAAATATCGATATAATTGTAAGGCACAATTTTGCTGCAAAAAGAGTGTATGAAAAATTAACATACATATTTCCCTTTCTCCTTAGCAAAATTCCCGAGCAGTTTGGTTAATATTGCTGAAAACTATCACCCTCTAACATGATAACAAAATAACTATTACATCTTACTGTGAAGATAAACATAAACAATACCCTAAATTTGTCTAATTAGAAACAATTTCCTATGTGCTGCAACATGTGGGATCCAAGAGTAGTTTTTAACCACAATATTCTCAAATGATTTTTTAAAACTGACAAATAATTAAATTTTGCATGTGTTAAGGATTGGCTAATAAACAAAATTATCCCCATTTGTTATGAATTGACTTCTTGCATCAACAACTGTGCCTGTGCTCTAGAATTACAAGAAATACTGTTAAAAGTTCTATTGTTTTATAAAAAAGTTTCTTTTTCTTGCCTTGAGGATAATCTTGTGCTTGAGGGAAGCTGGGGATGGCATCTCCTTCTCAAGGGGATCAACTGGTTGGGTGAGAAGACAATCTATAATCCACAAAACAATGACAACTTAATTAATCACACAAGAACTATTACTAGTCAAAGAGTTATCTCTTCAATTCAAATGGTAATGAACACTCATTTACTGCTCTCACCTTAGGGGCTTGTGAAATTTTTCTCACTCTTTAAACAATTTAAATGCACTTATATAGTCCAAATTGCCCTTAAACCACTTCTTTGCCTATTGAGTTTGCATTTAAGCCATTCCAGATGTTTGGTAGGTGTATTTATTAAACATAATTAAGAATATGAGTAGTCTGACCACAAACCTCCAAACAAGTCTCTAAATGTCTGTGCCATGACTTTCTGTTGAGGTATGCTGCAGTGGTTCTCCAAAGACAAAATCAAAGGGTAGCTGAAAATGCAAATGAATTTAAATCTTGGTGAGTCACATTTGTTGGCTCATCACACCTAACAATAGGAAAGTAAGAACAACTTAGAGAGCAAGTGATTGAAATCATGGTTTATTTCAAGCTACAGTTTCTATCAAATAAAAAAGGTTGTTTCTCACTCTGAAGCAACAAATGCATTGTCCTTGATTGCTCGAACAACTTCCACAAACTTGATTCTAGAGACAAGGGTGTGGCCATGTGTGATAATTGGCTGTCCATCTGGTCCATCCCAGCAATCCACTAGAAAATAAACCAAACAGTAAATTAGGAAACAATTCCTAAACCTGAGAAATTAACCCACTCTTGCCTACATTGTGTTTCAACATTTCCTTTCTATTTGTTCATTGAGAAGTATATATTAAGGGGCTTATTACCTCATTGAAAGCATCTGCTTAGTCTCTGCTTATATCAGTGTCAAGTTGTCAATGTTCTCAACCTCAGTTATTGGTTTTACCATACAAGACCTTGGAGTGTTACTATGGCCCTCTGGAATTACCTTTAGTTAGTTAGTTACTATTATCACACAGAGCCCTTTTCATACATATCAAATCACATGAAAAATTCATACCAATGGCCTGCAATGAAATTCTTTAGGTAATATATCAAAAACAAGTGCTAGTGTTTGACTAGGGTGTCCAGACACCGAGAAACAGATGAAAGCACTTGGCCTACCACCTTGTGCTTTTATTGTTTTGAGGTGTCTGGAGACCTCAGTCAAACACAACCCACAAGTTTTTGATATGGCTTCTAAAACTATTCACACTTTTTTAATATTTAGTAATTGGGGGTATTGTTTCAGTGCTCTAATTTCCCATGAGATTATGTATTTAAAAAATTATCAAAACATGGAAAATTTGTTGTTGTTTGTTGTAAGTCATGTAGGAGTGAAGATGGTGGAGACTTTTGCATAGAATACTCTAAGCTGTTTTCGTTCTCCAAAAACTGGGCAATCAAAGTTGCTGCGAGGGAGTATTCCTAAGTCAAACCAAATGGGAAATTAATATTTTTTACAAATGGCTGATAAAAAGAAAAATTAAAGTTTCTGTATTTGATGTTGGTGGCGCTTTTTAAGATTATAGAGATTTGTACAAAGTTCAGTCATTGGGTACAAATTTGACAAAAATGGATGCCAACACCTAGAACTACTGGCTGAGGTTTTTCATTTTTGAATGCTTCTTTGTTCATGAATTGTGATGTAAACATTTTTGTCAACAAAAACAAAAAGTTAACTGGCAGTACAGCTGATTAATTATGATGATTAATTAAACTCAGCTATTGTTCTTGTGTTCAAACTTGTGAACTATTAAGAGTTTTAGAAATTTGTCTTAAAAATCTGCTCTCTTTAGATCAACATGTACTAATGGTAAACTATGAATTCTATTCAAGAGAAACATGATACAACTTACATTCAAGGCAGCGGCAACCCATCCTCAGAGCACGAATGTAAGCTTCAACAGATGCTTCACCTTGAAACTGATCCCCAGTCAGATAGCTATAAATACAGATGAGTACTTAACATTTATTGCTGACAATATAGTTAAGCCCACGAGTACAAGTTGATCATCATATGACCACTTGTATATAATCATACATATTCTGTGATGAGCTTGGGGTAAATCTTTAACTGCTGCTACCAACAAGCAAAACTTAAAACAGCATGAGTAGGAGTGGAACATAAAACATACGTGTTGTGTGATGAGGCAATCCAGTAGCTTGTGAGTGGTTTCGTCATGTCCTGATAGACTTCACAATGTGATGAATTAAATGCACTGTTCCCTTTTGACATTAAGTAATCTAAGAACTATGAAAAATACCATCCCATCACATTAACCATCTTAATTTATGCAAAGAAATTCGATTAAAATTTCCCATCAGTTTCAGTACATGCATTTTCATCTTAGTTTTGTTGTGTGTAAAGGTTTTCTAAAGAAACAAAACACATGAAGAACTTATTCTGATATCATCCACCTCCCATGATTACAAATGTAAGGTACCTTGTGGATTGTTTTTCATGAGAACATGGTGCTATATCATGATAACATTCTCTAGCTCATACATTGTGGGTTTGTCTAACTTGTCTCATGACCTGCTCACTTGATAATGTATTGACTGTTGTTACAAGGGCCCTCACACTTTTCATAGACCTCAATTTTCCAAGTGGTCACTTGGGACCTCACTCTACTTAATTTGTTCATCACCAATCTATGAACTTATTCCCTTGATAAGATGATCAATTGGCCACATAGGTCTTTGGATGCAACAAGGAGTACTACTACCACATACTTAGATATTTCTGAATACACTACCTCTGACACAGTGAAATAGGGTTCAGAATAGCTCCTACTTCCATCTGCTAAATATTCCAACATATAACTTCTGACAGTCTCTAAATCCTTAGCTCCAGGCTCCTGAAAGATGGTAACCCAGTTATAACCATAAATTTATTCTTCCAAAAATTGCTTTAAATCAAAGTAACAGTGATGAGGTATTACATAAATCCTGAATACACATAGGCTTACCTCCTGCTCCTCCAAAAGGAATCTCTGAAAATTTGCAAGAGGTACATAGGTACTAAAGCAAGAGATACAAATAAAAGACTTCCTGTGTTTGAGGATTAATAGTTAAATTAAACAGTGTTTTAAGTTGTGAAAGAGACTGTTCCACTGTGTTTGCTAACATAAAAAGAGAGAGACTTTAGGTTATTAACTAAAAGTTAAAAGCTGAACACACTGCTGATAGAATAGCAAATGAATTTAAGAAAAAGTTTTACTTAAGCGCTACAATTCAAAATATATAAAGCATTTATTTATTGGATCAATTTCTATGGCATGAAAACTGAAATTTCTTTGTTTTTAGACCAAATTCTTGAGCTAAAATTGGAAATGTGTGATAAGACAACCCAATCTTGGGAGTGAAAGAGTTAAGTCAGAAACACTGAACTCATGAGCCACACTAAAAATGTCCATTATTCTATACCTACCCATTTTCTATATAATCACCAAATCTTTTTGTCAGCTGAAAAACAAGCCAACAACTCAATACAATGTAAGTAAACACTGCAAAACCTTTTCAACAACACTTACATGGATAACTATAGAAACTAAAATCTGTTTCTGCAATCAGTCTTCAACACAACAGTGGGCTTTTGAAACCAATAATGAGAGAATCTCAAAAACTTCCTGTAAATGTTTTTGTGGACTCCTGAACAATTTAAGAGAAAAAAAGAGGAAAAAAAGATCATCAAAGAGATGAGATATTATCAAACTTACCTCTTTAACAGTCATTATCTCATTGTAAATTTTTCGAAATCCCTCAAAATCAATGTGCCCTTCCCCTCTTCCTGCAATCTGAATTCAATAAAAACAAAATGGCAAATTTGAAACAAAATTTATTGACTGAGTCAAATTTAATTCTAGCTACTGTTATTTGGGGTGGAAATTAGACCTGTCAATGCTAACAGTTTCAAGAACATAAAATTTCAGTGAACTAAACTTGCATTTAGTAATTGCCAAATCTCCCCATGCAATTTGCAATGAAAATAAAAAATGCCATATACCTGAATGAGCTCTTTAAGTCTTGCATTACTCAGTTTGATGTTAGCACGCTGGAAAAATGCTCTAAGCTCTTTCATGCCAATAGACACTGGGTGTTCTAAAGACCTACACATTGAAACAGAATAGATGGTAAGACATCACATTGGACAAAAGTACATTGTACATACTTTGCTTTTTTTGTTGTTGTTGTTGTTTATTTTTTCTAGTTTTAGTTTGTTTTAGATAATGACAAGGAACAATACAAGCAAAGGGAAATAAAAATCAGACTGGTTTTACTAACAATTTTAAATTAAGAAAGTAAATGTACCATAACAAAGAGATGGTAGTTGGTTATAAATATGATGTGAAAGGATCACAGTTGCAGCAGCAACTTGTTCAAATTAATGCATTGCCTTAATTTTTTTGCTATCAAATAAACAAAAAAAAACACTTCCAATGCAAAGACTCTTATCTGTTGGTGCTTAATCTAACCATTGGTTCAGAATATCTTTCCTTCGTTTCACTTTATTTCAAAACACCCATCCCAAAAACAAAGGATGGTTTAAATTTAACAACTTGAATAGCCTGTAACTTTCAATATTCATTTTTCAAATTTAAAGTGGTTGATGTAACTTACAAGGAGATGATCAGTTGAAAACTAAGTTGCATCTCCCAGATAACAAATATGGACAAAAATTTTCCATTAAACATATTACACAGACTTTTTGTGTCACTATATAATGACAGTGAGTACTCCTAAGGACAACTAACACAATTTACACATATATTATAATAAATTAAAATTAAAGTCAAACATTAAAATAATAATTAAAAACAGTCAGTCCTTTTAACTAATAGAAACCTGTTATCTCATGGAAACTACATGTAAACTCTAATTAAAGTAACATTTTAGAAACTTTGACCACTGAGAAATAAATGCATAACAATGTTGAATTAAAAAGTGACTCTTCTAACTTCCATAAAACTATAAATAAGTATTTTTACTGATGGGCTAAAGGTCCATATTGAGAAAAACTATAGCTGAGATCTCTAGAGGGTAAAGTAATTCCCAATATTTTCTGACCAAGACAGTTTAATGACATTAATTGGTTTTTAAGAAAGTTTGTGGATGTAACCACCATGTAACTGACTTGGAGCACTCGCCTCCCACAAATAATTTGTAATTTAAAAAATCTTTGGCAAAAGCACCATTCATACAAAAAACACTACATAGAACAGATTTGTTTGCTTGTTTTTTCAAAGATACCGAAATTTTAATGCAATTTGTGAAGATCTGAGAAATTGCTAATCAAGTGCAAAATGTTGTGCAAGTTTCAAAATGATATTACAAAATAATGAAAATAAATCTGACATACAAGTAAATTTATCAGCTTTTAAGTATAAAGCAAGAAAAACACAACATTATGTACCACCAAAGTAACGAGTGGTTCCTTACACAGACAAACACTCACAACTCTAAAACATTCATGAATTTGACTTTACTTACAGTAACTTTCTATATACTGTATGTGGTTGTGAATAGAAGTGAAGATGTACTTTGTAAATTGATAGTTCATGAAAATGTGAAAAACACATTTGATTGAAGATTAATAGCTAATTCAGTGATGGAATTAAATCAACATGTGATAACAATTCTTCCCAGTAAAAAATTACATCTGTGTCAACAAACAATCAAATTGCTGAAATAGTACACCAAGAAGATATGGATAAATATAATAATATTTATAGCAAGATGTAGTAACCCAAATAATGTAATATGACAACATCTCCATGGTAACTTAATAAATACACAACAATTTGTGATTAGTCCAACAAAGTGGGTAAATTATGATAACATTGGAATTATAAAAGAAAAGATTCTAGTGAATGGCATGAACAAAATCATCTAATTCTATCTAGATGTAACAAAGAGGACTGTAACTGCTATTTTAACACACACCAAAAGATAAATATATAAATAAATCAATTTTAAATAAGACACATTACAGTACCAAGAGTACCACTGGAGGAAGTTTTCTCTGTGAAAAAAATTGCAACATAATGAGATGTAAAAATATAGATAAAGAAGAAAACAGATGGAAAATTCATGATTGTACCAAACTAACATGGTACACAGAACAAATTTCAAATTGATCATCTCACTTGTCCATAGATCTTCTAAGTTGTGAATAAAAAACAATTGATTTGACTAAGTCTGTATCTGACACTCTTTTACCATTAGGGTAACAAAACTTGTGCAAGATACTGATGAACTTTAAAAAATCATAGAGCAGTAAGACTGTTAACTATGACTACTCTGATGCCCACACAACATGATTGTAACCACAACTTTTCCACGAGAACAGTTCCTCTTGGAAAAGAAACTGAATCACACACTACAAAAGGCTTGTTACTTTAATATAGCATTCAATTTGCTATATTAAAATGCACTCATATATCAGCAACCTTGGTGGAAATCTTCAAAGGAAACAAGTTAAGGGTTATAAGTCAATTGAATAACATCCCTAATTTCCTGCTTTAAAATAACTCATGAGCTATCTTGAAGTTTTGTTTTCAGACACTTCTCAATTGCTTCTTTCAGTTAGTCACTATGATTCGATAATGTATAATGATACAGCATTGACAGTTTATTTAGTATAAAAACCTTTATAAACTTATCATTATACCATGAAAATTGAAGAAATTTTTAAATCAGGATCATAGAGTCAACCAAATTTACAAATTTCATTTCAAATAGCCACAATCAACATTGAAAATGAAAAAAAGAATGAAACAAGTAGCACAATGCAAGGAAAGGATGCTGTTGTAAACACTTGTGTATTTACCAGTAGACACACTACCAGCTATAAAATGGAAACATTTAGGACTAGATTAAGTTTTTTAAATTTTTTTTATTTGAGGTATCTTAATCAATACTATTACATAATAATTTCAATAAATTAAAATTTGAATTGTCAACTACTGTCTTGGTAACAAATTGAAAGTGAAACAGCTATTTACATTGCACAAGAAAACTTAATAGCCTGACAGGAATACTTTTACTCTGGTAATTTTTAACCAAATCAATGTGCAGAAGAAGCAGAAGAAGAAGGAGAAGAAGGAGAAGAGCAATCAGTAACTTACAATACTGCAGATGGATTTCCTGTTTCATTAATGCTGCCAATGTGAGATTTATAAAACAAATACAGGTAAAATTATACAACATAAAGCCACATGATAGAATTTGTAGTGCAAACACTGCATCAAAGACCATTCACACCTCACCCCAAAATAAGCCTCTTTATAATATAATTCAGTACCACTTACTCTACTGATTTTTTTTTGGTGCTTGAAAAAGAGGAAGTCAAGGTAAAATCTCATCACAGAATATCCTGATGTTGAGGTAAAAAAAACTTTTTGACAGGGATGGTCCATTGACCATTGTTCACCACAGACATTGACTACAATGTACTTCAAGTGGTATCTTTCTAAGTCAAAAAAAAACAACAAACAAACAAACGGAGAAGATCCCTAGGATTTCGCTGAAAACAGCTGGAAAGAGGTTGTGTGGAGGAAACTGATCCACATAGTTTTTTAATAAAAACAATTCCTTCACTTAGAAATTAATCTTATTATTGTGTGCAAATACCATGTGTTTAAGTGTAAGTTGAAATATAAAGTCAATATTGACCTCTGTAAAGTAACAACCCCAGAGAGAACCCTAAGACAGAGGTCTGTTTGAAATATCATAGGCTGTAGATCCATGTTCTTGTTGACTCTAAGTTTAGTTTCATTTGTACACAGTATATTTGGTTAAAATTAGTCAACATAATTTTTCACAACAAATAAGAGTTTTAATAAGGGTATCTGGCAAATAGCAGCAAACAATAAAATCAAAATCTGGCTTGCCATGAAAAGGTTACCTCCTTGATACTAGTAATTTCATTCTACAATCTGAACTATTTGCATGCAAACATGAATTTAACCTGACAACTGAAAGCTCACTAAATATACTACTGGAAAAAGATAAGTGGGTGCTATTAACATGTCAACAATGCTGTTTTCTGGAAGGGACATTTTTCCCGTGATTAATTGTCAGAAACTCAGCATAAAATCATAATACCCCTCAGATATGTTTGTAGCGAAAAAAATAATTCCTAATTGAGGTGGCTAATACAATGTAGGTCAAGCATTTAAATTAAAAAAGATACTCCAATGGGTATAAATAACGCACTCATATTGTTTAGAAAAGAAAGGGAAAAAAACAAAGTGTCATGAAGTCTCCAGATGGGCAGTGATCAAAGTTTAATATATGCATGATGTGCTCACAAGAGGCTGTCAAAAAATCACCATTAGATACTAATGCTCTTTGCTCTAGAATTGTGTCTAACATCACAATTATTACGCTTAGGGAAGAAGCTGCCTGACTTACGATCTTTTTGGTGCAGATGACAATGCAGCCATACCATTCCATTCTCTCAACAACCATCTGGAAAACAGGAACAAAATACCATCACTTTCTAACTCTCGCACTAAATTCCTCAAAAAGGTTTCAAGTTTACATAACAAAAACGCCGCAGCGAAACACTGTTTGTTCTACAACGATATCCTGCTCAAATGAAAAACACTCTGACATAAAGCTCCCGAAGATAAATTTTCATAACTAAAAGGTGTCTCCTAGGAAGTGAAATATTTTCAGCAGGACAGACTGCACATAAATTTTAATCAATTCTTGTCGTTGCACATTTGTTAGATAGTCACCCTTGGTATCATTACAAAAAGTGTCATGTTATTTTCGAACGGAAAGACAGCCTACCTGTGGATGAGCACTTCTTGTGTCGCTATCAGACTTTCGTACATCAAATACACGAGTCCCCTAACCCAGTATTCTCGTTCTTTAAAGCTAGGCGCTAGAATTAAAGACACGGCATTACTTGGAAAGAGGATACAGCATATAGGCGGATCTAATCTGAAATTCAAGATTCTGTGTGCAAACGATCTGCTAAAATGTAAAAATAACCTTACCTACTAAACTTAACGTTTTCAGCTTGAATTCACTGCCATAGAAGATGGCGAGGCAACAGTTTGGATCGAGTCTACGAGCTAATTCGGGATTTCTGTCGAAGTCTTTGGACCCTAACCCTCTTCGAACTTCTTTAATCTCTCGAATAAAAACTGCAAACAACAACAGAATGAATGAACACACGATCACACTGAAAACTGAGCAGTAACAGTTTTGAAGTGCCGTGAAATGCTCAGCGAATCAAAACAGTGAAATAGACAGACAGTTTAAGCGCGATCATCACCTGAGCCCTCCAGTCTGCCTCCTTCTTTTCCAGTTCTGCACCAAACAACTTGAAACTCTTCCATCTTCAACATGAAAATCCTCAAATCCGGTGTTTGCCTTTTAGAGTAGTATCTTGTCATGGCGCTACCCTCTTTCAATGCTCCGATGATCGGTCCCATCTCTTCGCCGAGACCCGGCGGAGGAGAGTACGTGTTTTCCACAGACATGTTCCCAAACACAGAATGCTATTCCATAACCCTGTTTCAAAGACAACAAAGTTGAAGGATTGTCGCGTTAATAACTGCGCAAATTAAACATCTTGTTCTTCCCCCACCATCTTATGTTATTTATTCCGATCACGTGATGATCTCCGGTGGTATGTCAGCGGTTAAGGGCATTTAATCTCAAAACCCTTCCTGGTTCCCAGCTTACTGTCGTGTAACAGTGTGTGTTTGGAGGTGGGTAGGGTCATGGGACGACCTTCCGCCCCCACCCCTCCTCTTCAAAACAGGAAAATCGAAAACCAGTGCAGCTTTACTTGTACATCAAAATAGGTATGCTATTTGTAGTAGGAAAAAACTACGAATCGCTTAGCTAAGGGTGTTCTATGTAAAGGCGGAGGGCTGTGCAAATAAAATAGTAACTAAAGAAGGTCGTTTAAAATTTGTATTATTCCTCCCTAACAATTTAACAAGCACATTTTTTTATCCTAAGCATGCTAATAAACAAAGCTGTAAGCTCCACAGTATTTAAAAGTTAATGAAATTTATGTGCCCCTCTTTTTTCTTATGTTTACCACCCCTTTCCGTAGTGGGTAATGGCTTGTCCCTAAGAATCTCACTGATCTTGCTGATTGGCCACTGTCTTTTCAATTTACAAAGAGAGTGCTTTAAGTCTTGGTCATTCTTACTGAAATTTGATATACTGTGAAAACCTATGGTAGACTGCTGTAAAATTCCAAAAATTGTTTTAAAGGAAGTATTCGACCCCTTACGGACCTTAGTTTTCCATAAAAATTTACAACGCCTTTTCATTCTTCTGAGACATGCTTCTCAATTAGGTCACACGATATCTCAAAAACAAAAGTTTTGCCAAGATTCGTTTTGCTCATCGTGGGGTTGCCGCATGAAATGCACTTTCGAACCGTGTTAGATATTTGAATAGACTTTTCATCAGTTTAGGAGTGAACATGCACCCCTAGAATGATAACATTAGGATACGGATACATATGATCATGCGCGTCGGTAATTATGCAAGAAAGCTACCATTTAATTGTATTATTGTTTTTTAGTAGTCATGCATCCTACACTGATGATCCTTACCCAGCTTATGGCTTCGAATATCATAAAAGAAACGGAAAAGGAAGATTCAATGAATATCCAAGAGTTATCGTTTATGTATGTATATGTACTCGTTTATATATATGTAGTCGTATACATCCGTATGTAACTCGTATATACTCGTAAGCATCGCATGTTACTCGTATACAGTCGAATGTATCCGTTCGTTTCTGGTATGTTACTCTTAGGTACTCTTATTTATCCGCTCGTTACTCGTTTGTCCTCGAATGTATCAGATCGTTGCTCGTATGGTACTTGTAATTACTTGTATGTCTCCACATGTTACTCTTATGGACTCCGATGCATCCGTATGTTGCTCATATGTTACTCGAAATACTCGTGTCATGTTTAATTAACGCAGACGGGGATATCAACTTTTGGGATTGATGGTAGGTTTAACGAATAGACTATGTCACGTCACCTCCAGGTGAAAAAATTCTGATTTTGTGAATGTTTCATCCAGCCAACTGTTTAGTTCAACATCTCGTGTTTTGCGCACAACATGGAATGGCTAAACAAACACCAAATACTGGAAGCTATTTGATCCTGGGATTTTACTGGTAAACATGCTTGTTCAACATCATGTCGCTCAACTAATCATTACGCCTGATTTCGTACTCAACAGCCTGAGGTGTTTTACCAGCTTGTGTCATTTTCAGTCCCGCGTCTTAAGAGCAAATGTCAACATTCATCAGACAAACAGCGGCAAGTCACCCAAAATTTGCTTTCACTCTTACTTTCATGTTTTGTAGCCCAATATGTCCTAATAATTGTGATGTAGTTTTTTTTGTGAAAATATAGTTTAGCTTTCGAGAAATTATTCACCGTGAATATTACCAGAGTTGTGTGACCTCATGTAACGAATTTACTTGACCTCCGGTATTTCTGTCAACATAATCCTTTGTTTTATAATCTAAACTTAACACCCTGTCATTATTGAAGCTGGCAAAGAAATATTTATTTTTTGGTGAATATTTTTGTCCGACATACTTTTGCTATGTCGAAAAGTAGCATCAAAACAAAACAGTTTTAACAATGACCGATATGACAGAATCTACTAAGCTTCTAGCTTTTAAAAGACAAAAGGATGATTATAAAGTTACTTTAAAAATTTCCTTGTGTATTTGTGCTGTTCTATTGTGAGACGAACTCAAAGTCCGACAAAATTTGCTTGTTAGCGACTATGAAATATACTTGGTGTGCCTACTTGTCGCCACCGTTTACTTTTTTGTAAAAAAATCTAACATAACACTCTCACCTTGTTTATTTATGATTTTATAAACTGTTTCGATTATTATATTACGCTTGGGTATTACTTTTTGCCAGGATCCCAGGTTTTACGTTGTGTTTTCCCCTACCCCATTTTTATCATAAGCTAGTCACGTAATAGTTGATACCAACACAAATGAATATTTACCCTGTATGAAGATTTTTGTTTGTGTTGAATTGACAATATTATAATATGTACTTTTTGCGGTCACTCATCGTTGTTTCAGTGGCAGCGGAGCAGTTAAAAACGGGTTGTTGCTTTAATGCTATTGAAATTTATAGTATTCTGATAGGAGAGCAAAGCGTGATGCTCTGGGAATAAACTCTTAGAGGCCTTTTGCATGATATCGGAATGAGTTTTATTTAAGATCGAGTTCATCCCAGTTGCCACACGATACCAGAGTGAAACTATTCGAAACGAGTCATTTCAGAATGAGTTTATTGAGGTTTTCAATAAATTGAAACGATGCCAATTGCACGATGTTTTTTCTTCCATTAAGGCTGTGCTCGATTTTTGGGGGGGTTATTGCCCAACCCCCCAACAACCCCCCCCCTCAATCAAAAATCTAATGGTCCGTCCCTAAGATGCTATCAGGTCCTTCAACTTTTTGTGTGATGAAAGAATTTGGATATATATATGTATTACTAGATCGGAAATGGGTGAGGATGCTCGTCGTATCTTTCAGGGGTCAAAATCAGCGATCTGGTACCTTTTATGGTGTCTCAAATTTTAGTGGACTGCCAGAGACCTAGCTGGTATAGTACCTTTTAGAGTGTTTTTTCGTTCAATAAAATACCTGAAATAAGCATTACTAGCACGATTTTAATGATCTGACTTGAGCCTCTGGAGCACATCGTTTCAATTTTTGTGTTTAAATTGGTACTTTTTAGGGGTAGACATCAGTTGTTGTCACTCCCACACGGATAAGACTCAGGTACCTTTTATAATTTTATAGGGGTCATTTTGAAATTCCTGGCGCGCATCCCCACCCTCGTGTGTATAAGGGTTCCCCGGGGGTTGCTGATACGTGCAGCACACTTGAAATTTAGCAAGGACAAATTTTGATGTGATTTTCGGCCAAGAGAAAAATGTTTTGTCAGTGTCTAGTTGCTAGTGCGGAAGGGCCCTTTACCACTGTATGCATAATTACGCGTCCCGCCAGACGGCCCGGAGCCTACAAAGTGTTCAGACATTAGTATAGAAAACTCCGCCTCTGTCTGGATTTTTGGTAGCCTATTGACCAATTCCCAATCGAGATTTAAGTCTGACGGGATGCGTAATTTTGCACAAGGTGGTAAGTAGCCTACTTACAGGAGCCATGTTATATGAATTTTCCAGACGTCTTGCGTACTATCTGTGGTACACGCTTGCCAATTCCCATGTCGGCTTCTGGAATCGACTTAACCCTACCTTTATCATGGCCGGACACTTTTTTAGGCACTCTACATCTACTGATGGAACCACGACTCCACCCAACACTGGTACCGAGATTTGATCTATGAGTGGGGCAAATTGTAAAATCACCGATATCTTTTGGCATCTCGAAAATGCCGGTGTCCCAGCGGATTTGGACCCCCCGGTCCAAATCCGCTGGCGGATAAGGACCCCCCCGGTCCAAATTCGCTGGCGGATAAGGACCCCCCCGGTCCAAATTCGCTAGCGGATTTGGACCCCCCTCCGCGGATTTGGACCCCCCAACAAAACTAAGTGAAAGCATTGACCTTAACGTTCCAGTAAAAATGGATGATACTTTACGTTCCAGTGCGTACTAAAGTATGTTTTTCATTCAAAACATACGTATCGTTAATGCATACGAACTGGCATCCCATCGGATGTTTCTTTTGACCCAGGGAGAATGGGCAAGAGTTTAGTTTGATGTCTGGAGAGGGGTCGTTTTTGAACCTTTTCCGCGATAGTCGAACACCACTAGATTCAATAGGAGACAAACTTGTGACACTAATTTATTTTGTCATTGTTCAATGCCCGAGTGTTGGGACGACATGGTACGGTGCGAGTTGTGCGAGGAATGGTTTCACATGATTTAAGACTACCCCGGAGGGCGAGTGGTTCTGCATTGTCTGCAGATCGCCAGACTCTAGACGTCTTCGTAATTGTTAAGGTGTTATTTCGGATCCCTCAACAGTTAATAATCGTTAAAATTAGAAAACAAGATTGAGTTCGATGTAATAGTCTCCACTTTTGTTAAGACATTGACATTAATGTTGATTAATGTTGATTTGCATCTGAAAATAAGCTGAGAGTTCCAATAGTTCAGAATAGAAACATTTTTACTTATCACAGGCTTTACGAACGACTTGTAGTAGGAGTAGTTTCTTCGTTCTTGTTCAGAAACTGTTTAATGTTATTATTTTAGAAAATCAGACTGAGTTATTTTTGTGACTGGACGCAATAATCTCCACTATTGTTATGACATTTCGTATCAATATTGATTCGCATCAGAAGAGGCAAAGATTTATTGTAACAATTTCAATAGTTCAAATGCAGTAGTTTGTTCACATCTGATTCTTACTTATACTGTACGACTCGCTATAATAATGTGGTAGAATTGGAACGAAATGGCTGGTTTTCTCTTTTACCTTTATTGAGGAATGTTGTGTTGTGATTGAAAAGAACATCGACAAAAAGCTTGCAAATGGAATTAGTTACCAAATATGATACAAAGGATGCTTAAAAGGAAAGTTTGGTAGGGAGGGTCCAAATCTGCGAAGGGGGGTCCATATCCGCTAGGTGACACCGGCACGCGACAAAATAAGATCAACTTCAGTTTCTGGACCTGAAAACTTGCAACTCCGCAAGTGACTTAAAATGTCTTTTTTACAGTTATGCAAGGAACGACCTGAGATATGCAACGTCGGTCTTCTCGATAGCGAACGATTTAAATGAACAGCAAATCTCCATGTTGGCGTGTAAGACGAGACGCTTAAACAACAGATCAATTAGCTAAATTGGTATGTAGCTTGTCAATCGAATTGACTTTTGTAGACATTCTTTGACTTCCGCCGGCAAAAATGGATCTGGACATTTTAATTTTCAAAATACAGTAATTCTTGGAAGGTTTTTCTAGACATGTAAAGAGGAAAAAAAACCCATCTCTTAGTGATTCGGAAGTTGAGTCATCTTTGAATTTATATGTGTCACGCTTGTCATGCAACTGATATAACAATGTGGAGAAGATTTATAAACTGGAACTCAAATCTGGCTAAAATGTGGTAAAGCATCGAAACAGCTAATAAAATCATAAATAAACAAGGTAAGAGTGTTATGTTAGATTTTTTTTAACAAATTGTGATGATTTATGCCAGTAAACGGTGGCGACAAGTAGGCCACCATGCATATTTCATAGTCGCTAACAAGTAAATTTTGCTGGACTTTGAGTTCGTCTCACGATAGAACAACACAAATACACAAGGAAGTTTTTACAGTAACTTTATAACCATCCTTTTGTCTTTTTAAGGCTAGAAGCTCAGTAGATTCTGTCATGTCGGTCATTGTTAAAACTGTCTTTGTTTTGGTGCCACTTTTCGACATAGCAAAAGTATGTCGGACAAAAATATTCACCAAAAAATAAATATTTCTTTGTCAGCTTCAATAATGATAGGGGGTTAAGTTTAGATTATAAAACAAAGGATTATGTTGACAGAAATACCAGAGGTCAAGTAAATTCGTTACATAAGGTCACACAACTCGGGTAATATTCACGGTGAAAATTTGCATATTTGAGCGGTCGAACGAAAAAAAAAATCTCGAAAACTGAAAGATAGTTTTACAAAAAAACTATACCACAATTTTTAGGACATATTGGGCTATAAAATATGAAAGTAGGACGGAAAACGAATTTTGGGTGACGTGCCAAAATATTTCAAATTTGTTCGATGGATGTTGACATCCTCTCTTAAGAATTTGGTCTATGTTTCTTTTTATTTTTATTTTTCATTCATTTATTTTTTTTTAATTTTTTTTTTTTTGTGAATGGCTAATCTTATTACTCGCTAATCATTCACTCTACTAAGGATAGGTGTTGAAGCAAAATATTGATCAGCTGTGCAAGTGCATCAATAAAAATTTTTTATGTTCTCTGTTATTCTCTTGGTCTTAATTTTTTGACGGCTTCCAACTACAAAAAGTTGAGGCAGTCACGCGGAAAGTGTCGCATACTTTCACTCTCGTTATTCTAATTAAATTAAATACGAAGTGAAATAGCCATTTTTGCTATCCCACCCCTCCCTCTTCGGGAAAGGAGAGCATTTTCTTAGGTGCCAGTCCCTTTCTCGAATAAATGACATCTTGGACATGAACCAATAACAGTACAGATCCGTTGGAAGTGAATAAATTCGATTGGGTAGGAATAATTCAGCCAATCATAAGAGGAATTTGCGGTAAATGTACAGATTTTAAAAGTACAAATTGCTCCCCGTCCATCGTGTGTTCGCGTTTTCAAGGGATTCCTTTTGCTAATTGATCTTCCGAAAAGTTCCATTTTCCCTAAAGAAACATGTCAGAAAACCGCCTTCGAAACTTCAAGAACAAAGGAAAGGATACTGGTGTAAGTTTGCTGATAATATTGTTGACGAATCGAATTTTTTTTGGCAGTTGTGAAAGCGACAAAACGCGAAGCTAATCGAGCTCAATCGAATATGGGATAATTTAGGATAATTTGAACAGAGGTATGGTGTATGCTTTTGTGGTTATTCATGTATTATTCCCAATAATGCAGCCTACTGACCTATCTATTCTATTGGAGTGGGGAAATTGGTGCAATATTCAGTTGATTGCTATGGGGATGGCTGAAATGTACTTGAATCCTTTCAAATCCACGATCCACACAGCGTTAAATGATTCGCTATCTCTCTTTAGTGCAGATGTCCACAAGCTTGTATTTTATTTGCTTAACATCAGTGGACTGATGAAACTCAAGTTTCAAGGGTTTTTCTTACAAGTATAAAAGCTTATGGAGAGAGTGTTGTTCTGGAAATTGAAAAATCGACATGGTGTCTCAATTTCGTTTAAAGAAAACTTGGAACTACTGTAAAGTACATTGCCAATCTCCAGCTCGTGGAAGCTTTCTCAACGTACTTCTGATTCGCTCCTCAAATTCGCGTTTCGCTTGTGGCATTAGCAGCCGTATTTGATCGTCATGTACTCGAGAACAACTTTAAGACGGGCTCATAAACAACTTGTAATTTTCCGTGTCTCGAAGCCTTCGACATCAAGCGCCTGCTAACTTTGTGAAATAAATGTTAAAATAGATCTTAACAAGCCGAACCGGAATAATACTTTATTTATAAACCTGGGTATGGTGGTTTGTTTCATGTAGAAGTCATCAATTTACGACCAGAGTATCTCTAAGAGACTCCCTAGTTTTCCTAGTTCTTAGTGACCATTCGTTTACGCTTGGATCATGCACAACAATCAGGGCAGTCGTATTCAATACATCGTAACCTAATATCTGACGGTTGGTTTGCAGGAACTACGACGTAGGCGTACTGATGTTACAATTGAGTTACGGAAGGTAACCAGTTCCTTTTTCCAGACCTGGGAATTTATAATTATGATGCATATCTTTAACTGCATTAAATGTTGTAGAGGAGAGGGACCTAGTTAGTTTACGATCTCTTAAAGCAAAGATCAATCTTTTACTATGCTGCCTTGGAGCAGTATTATTTCTGTCAATATGAATGCATTCATTTACTGCCTGACATCCTGAAATTCAGTTAATTTGACAAAGGGCCAATGTTCTAAACTTGAAGCTTTAAAAAACTCTTTACAGTGGCAATTTTCTTCATAAATTCACTTGATAAAACCAAATTATCTCTAATACCCCCTAGCGACACAGCGTCACCGTTTTTCCAGAAACTTTTCCCCCTATTTATCTTGAGGTTCAGACCACTGGGTTGGGTGGTAAACTGGTCAGTCTTTTTATCAAGATATTGCCAAGTGCCAGTTCACCATTTAAAATAAAAAGATTGAAATAAATAGCTGTTGTTAATATTTCTCAGAGTAAGAGGGATGACCAGATTCTTAAAAGACGCAACATCTCTCAAGGTCAAAGTGACAGTCCATTGAAAGAAAGTAATGGTCAGCAGGTGTGTAGTTTTGTATTCATTTCAGTACTTTTTACATCCAAAAGCTATTTTAAAATTACTTATGCAGCAATTGTGTAGAAAGAAAAAAATTGCAGTTTTAAAAGCTTTTGGATTGTTGTTAATCTAAAAAAGTTTGCTCTAACAGAGAAAATCCACCAAAATAATATGCCATAAGAATTTACTCCTTCTTTTATCAGGTGGAAAACTCTGCAACTGATTTAATGGTTAATGCATGAAGTATTATTTATTTTCTAGCTCAACCAATATATCCAATTTATGAATGGCCTACCATGCAGTAACCCTCTATGTAACTTTAAACTGTAGAAAATTTGACATCATTATATTACTGTCTGAGTTGGTACTATGCTACTGTGCTAGAGAATAACAAAAATAGTGATGATAGGGTTGTTAGTCATCTGGAACTGTTATTGTTAGTGAGATTAAGAACTTGTTTAAATTTTGGGGTTTTTTTTGTTTTGTTTTTGTCTTTTTTTCACTGATCCACTATGCTTATTATATCTATAGATCTAAGTTTATAAGAATTTCAAGTCTTTGTTGCCTTCTGTCATTTACCGGTAATTTGCTTGTTCTATGCATGGTTACATCAATTCTAGATAGTTGTGTTTCCTTGGGTCTCCTACATAGTTTCCTATCTGCATTTGAAATGATTCAAAGTAGATTAAATGACATTTGCGAAAGTAAAACAAAAATTATCAAGCAACAGCCACTATATATTTTTACATCAACAGACTTGTACTCATCTGCCGCTTTCCACCATTACAGAGGTATGTATGTTATCAGAAATGGCTTAAAAAGGGGTTTATCAGAGTTACTTAGATCCCACTAATGCGAAAGCTCATCTTGTGGACCATTTTACTCCAAAAAGCAACCAATACATAGTTTTTCCTCAACGGTTCTGTAATTATAAGTTTTCAGGCAATAAGAATTGATAGTTGCTTTTAGTCAGACTCCAAAAATAGTCTCTTGTTTCTCGACACTTCCTCTGCAATAACATTTTTTCAACAAAACCATGGTGAAGAGAGGTGCATATACTGTAAGCCTCATCATATCCTACCTCTATATATAGAAGACCACAGGTGAATTCAGTTTTAAAATCATTCTTACAGTTGTTTGGAGTTTTTTTCAGCTTTCTTACCCTCAACTTCAGTTCAGTTACATGGTATCTGTAAAACTAAGACAAATTGAAAATTGTATTATATAACTCAAAGTGATTTTGTTTCAGTATCTCCACTCGAATGAGGATAAAGCCATATTTGAAGCTGCTCAAATCTCCAGGTGATGAAACTTTTAAAGTTTCCTAATTGTGGTTGCCTTGCATTTTTGTTTGTGAATTAGCTTCTGGACAATCTCTTTATTATCATGATCTATATCAACTGTTAAAACTGGGAGCCAGTTGTATCCTCATTGCATTTACTTCTTACCTCTCAACTGAAGGAAAACTCTTATTTTATTGATTATTATGCTTGTTGTTTCTTTTGTTCAGGAAGATGCTATCAAAACACAAAAACCCTCCAATCAAAGATTTCATTGAGTAAGTTGTAATTAAAGAGTAGATATTAAAGAGTAGATAATAGCAAGAAACAGTAGCAAACATCTTGATGTTTTTATCATGTGGAAGTCATGTGCCTTGTTCAAGGGTGTGGTGTTCTCTTATGGTCCTGAGGCCACCTTCACCACTGTAGACTCTCTCAATAGCAAACTGATTTGATTACCTTGTATGAACATATTGTTTTTTAATCTGTTTTAAACTCACACCATATTTATTTCTCTACAGTGGCCCTAATATGGTACAATTAATAATGTGATTAACATAGGAAAGCCCTTTTTCAATTCATCTCTGTAGTGCACTATCTTTTCCATTACTTGACCAGTAGTGTTTATTTATTGCCACATTATTTTGTTTCAGCTCTGGACTAATCCCAAAATTTGTGACTCTCTTGGAGAGATTTGACAAGTATGTTGACAAGCTTAAATGGATAATTAGTTGTGCTACCCATCCTCTTTTAAGGAAGTTTTTTTTTTTGTTTTTTTTTTTTTTTTTTTTTTTTTTTTTTTTTTTTTTTTTTTTTTTTTTTGAGAGAGATGCTATCAATAAGGATTAGGCAGGAATTGTATGAGGATTTTTTTTTTCAATGTATGTTTTCCTGTAGTCCTTCCATCCAATTTGAAGCTGCTTGGGTACTCACAAACATTGCTTCAGGCTCCTCTGATGAGACAAAAGTTGTGGTGGAATCAGGTTGGTCACCTTTTTCTGTTTCATCATTTAACTAATTGCTGCTAGTTGCAAAATGTGAGGCAAATTTCTATTGTAATCCTTGAGATGGAGCCAAAGGGATTACCAGACAAACACTGATCATTGAGAGTGAGAAGAGTAACTGTCTTTAGGAACAATCTGAATCATGAATCCGTACTAAGCAGAAAAACTAAAAAAAAGATTCTTAGTTTGGATGACAGTGATGATAGCAGGTATTAATAATGCTGACAGACAATTTTTTTTCCTCTTAAAAGATTGGTGAGGCAATTATTAACAGAATTTAAAATATTATAGAGTGCTTTGGTGTTAATAATGTTGAGGGTGGTTGTATGAAGGTAAAACTTGACTAATCAAAGAGATGGGGTCTTTTTAAACACTTTTTAAATAATTTTTAAATACCAGTTTTAAGTTGGAGACAATTCAAGTAGTGCTATAACTTAATTTGAGCACGATTTATACCACATGATTTGCTACACTTGACTATTTATCCCATAAACTGTTTAACTTTGATCAATGAAGATACAAATAATGCTTCTAACTTAAAAGTTCATTAATACCTTAATTTTTTTTTCTCATCTGAAGGTGCTGTGCCCAGATTTGTCAGGCTACTGTCATCACCTGAGTCTCAAGTTCAAGAACAGGCTGTGTGGGCTCTGGGAAATATAGCAGGTATTGTCAATCAATCCTGTGCAGCTAAATATACAGTACCTCCTTGTGTTCTATAATACATGGAAAGTGAGTTATACAATGCAGTTACTCATAGATAGACTTTCAGTGAGAAAATGTATAGAAGAATGATATTATATCCAGAGTAACAAGCTTTACCTACCTGTGTAACCAGGTGCAGTTCTTAAACTTGGTACTAAACATGGATTCAGAGTTTGTGGTTGGTTCTGGTCCTTGCTTCAAGTCTTTTTCTCCAAGTTCTCTGGTTCTCCTCTTTCCATAAAAACATTATTTTAAACTTTAGTTTGACCTTGATCCATTAAAAATCAAACTCAGAAAACATAGTTATTGTGTTATAATCAATCACATTGGAGAACAGATCACGGAATCTAAGTAAAAAAGCACAAACCAATTAGCATGACTACATATTCTGCATCTCATTACTCACCTGATTGGTTTTTTTCTTCTCAACACAATAATTTTCTAAAAATAAATCCAGTGTTCACACATCAATCAGATAGATTGCTTGATATAATTGATGAAAAAGGCAAACCTAGTAGGAGAGTGAATTCTCCCCTTGTATTAAAGATAAAAGCAGTGAGACAGACAGTTACTCAGTCCATCTGTCTTTCCAACAAGCAGTCAGCAGTAAGCAGTCCTAAACCTTATGGTTAGGCTGTTGGTTAATCAATCAGTCAGTCACTTGGCCAGTCAGTCCCTCAGATAGTCAACATTATCCCTGTGATCATTTCTACAGAGCACTGTTGATGAAGCATCATTTGACGTGTTCTGATTCAGTTGGATTAACAATTTTTGTTTTGTTGTGTTTCAGGTGATGGTCCAAATCTTAGGAATTTTGTTTTGGGCCATGGTGCTTTAAGACCTTTACTGGAATTAATCAAACCAAACCAAAACGTAAGGCAATGCTTTGATCCTTTAACATTCACCCTACACATAATTATTGAACCTTAGTGTGATTTCTATGAAATGTGTCATTTTTTTGAACAGTGCAGACTCTAACATACATGTAGTGTGAAGCTGAGACTTCACACTTTTTACTGTAAGCTTATTTGTAATTGTTGTATATGATTAATTTTATTTTTTTTCTGATCTATGCTTTACAGCTTCCATTTCTTCGTAATGTAACATGGACACTGTCAAATCTGTGCCGAAATAAGAACCCACCTCCTGAGATAGCAGCAGTTATTGAGGTGAGGAAAACTGAACTGAATAAGAGGCATAAGAATCCTTAATAAATTGGCAAAAGTTTTGAAAATAGTATTTACTGCTATTTTTCCCTGGGTGGATATTCAGACTAAGAGTATATTGGGGGTTTGATTATGAATTAGCTGCCAATGAGTTAATCCCTGTTTGGAGAAGTCTCTGGTTACTACACAGAACTTGGATGACTTGAGTCTCAAACATGGAGAATATTTGTCCTGTATAACAAACTTAATTATAGCTAAAATTATTCATAAGCATGGGTTATATGTTAACACTTGAGCCTCACTGAAGAACTGAATGCTTCAAAATTTGACTTAATTTTCCTTGTAGTTTTTTTTTCAATATCTATTATTTACCAGCCCATACTCCTATTAAAGCTGCTTCAATTGATTGCCCAGTTTCCTAATAGCTGAAATATTTTTATTTCAGATCCTTCCAGCCTTGGTACTGTTGATCAATCATACAGACAAAGAGGTAAAACTTAGTCTATCCTGAAGTTCATTCATATGAACTGAAAGCCACCATCATTTTGGGAACTTAAAAAATATCATCTATGGTAATTTTTGCATTTACATGTGAAGTTTTTACTTTTCACCTCACAAAAAATAAAATTCTTTGTGTATGAATGTTGGCATTCTTTCTCATGTTACCTATACTACTTATTAATTCTTTTTTTGTTGTTGTCTAATTTAATTAAAATTTTCTTTTTTTTTCCAGATTCTCTCTGACACTTGTTGGGGTTTGTCATACTTGACTGATGGAACAAATGATAGAATACAAGTAAGCAACATGTGTTTTAGGCTTGGTTACCCAGCCCTGGGCCTGTTTTGGGAAATGAGTGCACTCTCTTCCCTTTCTCCTCCACAGGAGGATAGAAGACCACATTAGAGAAAAAGGTGGAAAACAAGCTTACATGTTCTCATATACTTCTTGTATGTGGTTTGATAAACTCGTGTGAAATCTCCATATCTTCAGCAACTTTTGAAAGATCTGACTAAAGGAGCTTTACTTGTAGAAGAATGTGGACATGTGTGCTCATGATTAAGATAGGGATTGATACTCAAGAACTAGCTTTAAAAAAAGGAAAAAGAACAATCTTTGATCCTGATCTGGTAACAGACCAGTGGATCCAGAAGACAGTGAACTTGGTCTATCATTTTTCCTACTACAGTTTGGTTGACTGGTTAAGTGTTAAGGCCATGAGTCTTGCTCAGTCTTGTACCTAACTGCTGAACATACATATTTACCTTTATATGTTGTGCCTTTGAAAAGAAAGGCTGTAAATCAAAAACATAGTCCTTAGTACCATGTATCTTTAACCATTGATTGAGTTACTGTTTGTTTTCATGCATTAGCTTGTAATTGATTCTGGAATTCTTCTGTCCTTGATCAATTTATTGGGCCACACTGAAGTAACTGTTGTGGTAAGTTTTTTTCCCATAAAAATAATGGGGTACCATACTATATCATTTTACATTTTTGTCAGTTTTTCAAGGAGCCTGTACTTATAAATTTAGTGTCCACTGGTTCTCCCCCTAAACCTTTCCAGAAAGAATAATCATTGTCATGTTGTCACTCACTGGTATTGCTGTAACAAATACAAGTATTCATGTAACAACTTGCTGTTCTTTCTAGACACCAGCCCTGAGAGCTGTTGGTAATATAGTGACAGGATCTGATATTCAGACACAAGTAAGTCATTTTCCACCAAAATTATGGTTCACATTTTTCCTTGGTTTGAACATAAAGGTTGCATGGTTTCCTTCTGTCTCAGAATGATTACCATAAGCAGAGAGGAAGAGGAACACAAATTGGTTTAAAAAATCTGACCAAAGTAAAAGTTAAACCACAATATAAACTGGACATGATTTGATGCTTTTACAGATTTAAGTAATGGTAATTGAATTGAGTGGAGTGCAGTTTGGGCTGAAGTTGTACACATGATTTGAAATCACAAGTATGATTTCAGACCAAAATTGCACAACACAAGGTTCAATTACCACTTTATTACATCCATTTAGAAATAACCCAAATACAGGACTTGGTAAGTTCAAATATTTTATTGATGCAGTACTGAGCTGATAAATTCATCCATTTTTTGGAGGGAAAAAGTAAGAGTTTTGGAAACAAAAGTTGCAAAATTTGCCACATGATACTCTTTGTCTTTCATTTTCCTGCAATTTGATCAGTTACTTTAAACAAGCCTTGAAATCTGATTGGTTGTTTTGTTTTTAGTGTAACCTCCTCATTGGCTGGGAAAAAGATGTGATTTAAAGCAAAAAATGGTACCATTTCGTGAATAAATCGCATCAATCTGAGCCAATCAGATTACAGGGACCACCAGTGATTTCAAAATGGGTGTAATAATGAATTTAACTGAAGAATATACACAATATAACCTACTTGAAACAGTTACTTTAGGTTATGTTAACTTTTGAGGGTTTCAAATTTTACAAGGTAAATAAGTATTGAGTCCAATCTGCCTGACAGTGTTTTTTGTCATTGAGGAAATGTAGTATGGCACAGTGTCTCATTTGATGTATCCAATTTGAATTTCAATCATGCATTTGTAAGGAGAACAATAACTTTATTCAGTGCTAGTATAAGCCATAAATACAGTCTAGATTATATCTTAACAAATAAGAAAATTATCAAGCTATTTAAAAAGAGAGAAGTGTAGTAAGATTGCCAAAGCCTAACCTTGTCCTCAACCTTTTTATCAATTTATTTCAGTTGGTGATAGAGAAAAATGCCTTGTTTTTCTTTAAGAAGCTTTTGTCACACTCTAAGGCTAGCATTGTTAAGGTCAGTGTAGATCTAGTGATAAATCAGTAATTGTAGTTGGTAACTATGATCATTCTTATTGTTTAAAAGTTCCAAGGGGAAAAAACCTTCTTGGAATGTTTTTTCCCAGATTTTTGTTGTCAAATTGTAATCCACCCAATCATAGCTGAATGGGATGATTTTTCCCTTTTTAATATTGTCATTTTGGCTCAGTTTGCAATATTCCAGAAAAGTTCTCCTTTCTGCTCTTTTTTTTAATTGTGCAGTCAGTAAAACATTTTTCATGAATATTATTCATAGGGGAAATTTCATCTGAAATTTCCACATCAGCTTATGATTTTTTCCAACAGGAGGCAACCTGGGCAATATCAAATATTACAGCTGGTCCAAAAGAACAAATTCAGGTACAAATAAATGTTCAGTATCTGCTGATTGTGACTGCATAAAGTGAATTAATTGTAAAACTATGTAGCATGGTATAGGACTTTTTACTTACTTTTAACTAAACTTAAATTGTGTAGAGATTAGTTAATGAAACATATTTCTAAGATGTTTAAGAAACCAACCAAAAGAGGGTTATTTTTCATGATAGCCATTGCAATTAAGCCCTCTCACCCTCCCTTCCTTGGAAGAGTTTATCAAGGTGATAAAATGTTTATTGAATATTAACATGTGAGTGTTAACAGACAATTTATTTCAATATTTTCAGGCTGTAATTAATGCAGGCTTGGTACCTTCCATTATAGATGTTCTAAAGGTTTGTGACTTACAATATTGGCCTTAAATTGCAAATAAGCTATAAACCATTGATAAGTGTGCTCCTCGAATGTAAAGAGCTTTATAAAATTCCAATGTGCTGTAGCAGGTTGAGTTACTAGGCTTGTGATCAGACTTGCCTTTGAAATTTGCATTAATCCCAGGGAAAGGACTTAAAGAGCCAGAAAGAGGCTGTGTGGGCCATCACCAACTTTACATCAGCCAGCACAATAGACCAGGTACTGTGTTGTTTGCTCTTACAGAGAATGCTTTACATGTCTATCATGTGAAAAATGTGGAACAGGAATGTAACATCTCACAGTAATGAGAAACATGTATAATGTCTTAATATTTATTTGCCTTGATTACCAATTAAGCAGGAAAGAAATTATATCTCCCAAGAAATTCTTTAATTCAAGGTAGCTCTCACATAAGTACCTGTTTTGGATTTTACTCTCTTGAAAGTTTTGGGCAAACACTCGATGACTTGTGATTGTATTTTGCTGTGGTAGGGAAACTGTCTAATTTTCTTACCTATGTTTTGTTTCCCTTTTTTTTTTTTTTTGCTCATGAAAGGTAAATAGTTCTGCTCATACCATTCTAACCCCAAAATTTTGATACATTTTTGTTTGGTTATTTTTATAGATAACCTTCCTTGTTGAAAATGGGGTTATTGAGCCAATGTGTAGTCTCTTGAATTTTTTGGATGCCAAGGTAATGTTGTGGGTTTCACTTTGTCATCAGTTAATTGTGTGCTGGACTTGTAACCTGGTTGTCCTACACCCTGCCACCTGTTATATGTATATTGGTTCGATTTGCTTCCTGGCAGTTGGGAGTTTTAGCGAATATATGCTTATCTGGAATGTTTTTTATTATTTGTTGACTTTCTTTCTGATTAGAGAGCAGCCCATTCAGATAATATTATGACATATGATCATTGTTCATGACTGACAAGGATGGTTTCTGAACACGACTAGTACAGTTAGTGGCTTCTGATGCATGTAGAGTTGTCTTGGAAATGGTTGGGCTAACTCACTAAGTACAGTCAGACACTAAATTAAATACTGATACCATGGAACATGATAAATGTTCCCACTATAACATTATAAATTGATACACAGAACAAGTTATCATGCAAGCAGAGTAAAGGAGAGAAAAATAACTGAATGAATACTGTGCGAGGATTGAAACCTCAGCCAGCTCTACAGAGAGCTCTGTTCTGTGAATTTTTGCTTCTGGTGGACTGACTCTCAGGCTTTGTGTTTTAGGTAATCCTTGTTCTTTTAGATGGATTCAGAAACATTCTTTCAGTGAGTATCTACCTGTTCATGCCTTTAACCTTATAGTACAAACAATTCTGAAAGGCACTGTAAAATGGTGTTTTGTGTTAAACACATTGCAGTTAATTTTTACCCTCAGTGGCAGAATTGTGATATATTTTAGATATTGACAAACCACAGAAGCATACACTGATCTATAGAACAAATTATTTGTTTCTGCTCACTTGTTTGAGCCCGAAAATTTTGGGCATAGCATGTTGTAGATGTTGGGTAAATGCATTTTTGTTATTTCATAATTTAACTGAGTGAAATGTTCTACCCACAGACTGCTAGTCAAAGTGCTCCCATCCTTGAACTGATCTGCACCCAAATGGAAGAGCATGATGGTATGCAAAACAATATGGTTGTGTGCACACATTAAAATATTATGTCAAAATGAAGCCAAAGTTCCATTTATTTAAAAAATATAGCCCTGTAATTTAATTTAGTTTGAAGAACAGCCTAAAATTTGCCCTAAAGAATTTCAGTGGCTTCTTTCTTTAAAGATCGAAGTCTCTTTTCATTGAAAATAAGAAATTGAACTAATTCACATGTGGAGTGATTCAGAAAGTGACTGATGTTCCTTTTTTACTTTCTTCAGGTGTCCAAAGAATTGAGAGTTTACAGACACATCAAAACTTTGAGGTGTACAAAGCTGCTCTGGCAATAATTGACAAATTTTTCTCAGAGGAGGTAACATTAAAATCTTCAGACTTAGATTTCTTGAAAACTGTGAGGTTTCATTTCTACTTTAAATGTTACATTGTTTTTCATCTAAGCATGATACTGCTATATTCAGTTCAGTGGAGACCTCTTTCGTGAATTGCAGGCTTAGTTATTATACTTTTACCCACATGCAATTGCAAGCCCTGTTGCCCTCATTTCAGATTGAAAAAATACAGTGTACTATTATATAAACAGCTGAAACCCCAGAGATGCTCATTTTTGTGCACAAAATAAGAGGCTCCCTGCCAGAGCTCTTTATAGTGACATCTAATTGTCTGGTAACCCAAAAGATGTTAGGACTCTGTTGTAAATAAGTTGCTACAGTAAAATCAAGCAAATTTAGTTTTGACTTTGGCTTTTGATCTATGGCACTGGCTAAAGGACCTCTGGCATCACAGCACTTAAAGGAAAAGGAAATTGTCAAATAATTATAGAAAAGAAACTCTTTGTGTTGGTTTATGTCTTCAGAGTGCTGAGGAGACTGAGCAGATTGCCCCAGAAGCTACAAGTGAAGGATACAAGTTTGGAACTCCACAATCTTTACCAATGGGCGGATTTCATTTCTAAAAATTTATATTCATAATTGACTAAACTTTTCAACAAGCAAAGGTGGCAATTAAAAAAATTAGGATGCAAAAGAAGTTTAGAGTAGGATTATTGTGAGAATATGTCAGTTAAAATATTGCACTCTGCAATGCTGATATGACACTGTAACTTAGGACAATAGCTGTTGTCTGTAAATAACATGAAAATTTTGTATAAAAGCAAAGGGCTCTCATAGGTTGTAAGATGAAAATGAGAATAAAAACATTTGACAAAATCAAGCTTATTTCTACTGTGTAAGTTTTAAAGGAAATGAAAGGAAGGTTTATGTAATTAATGGTTAATCCCCTAAAATGTAAGTTACTCAGGACAGCTAGGGAAACAATAAATCACCGTTTAATCAAGGGCATTATTAATTCTGTTCACATTTGCCTAATTTTTATTCCAGAAGTTGATGTGATTTATGGTATGTCTCAATTTGCCATGGCCTTGAAAGATTTGTGGTTTGCACAAATCAGATGTCTAAAGCAACCTCATAAATACCCTTGCAATTCTGTCATAAATGTGATTTCTCCTATTGTGCTGTTTCACTGTACACTAATGGAATATTTGATATGTTACATAGTTAAAAAGTTTGTTTGAGTGAGGATTTTTTTTTAAGTCACAAGTGAACCAGCACCCTTGCTAGCAAGGTTTGAGAGGTTCCTGGTGAAGTTGGTGATAAAATGTAACCACCAAACATAAGTGTCTATTTACAATTCTGTTTACAAACAAATTCAGTCTGTTGATTTGTTCTCCAAAAATGAAATGTTAAGAATTATTGCACAATTTCCTTTTAAGTACCAGGATCTGTATCAAGTGGACACAGGAGCAGTCCCATAGTTGCCCACATAACTAAGGTTTCACTAATAAATCAATGAAACCTAGCAAGTAGCAAGATGGGCATGAGCTAAAGGCATGGGGCAAAAGAGCAAAGAAAATTATGAGCAAGGGGGAGGGAAGATGAGCTGCATTCAGTTATACATCAATAAAAGCTATTGATGTGAACAGATTGGCTAGAGCTTACTGCTAATTTAGTGATCAGATCAAATCAAGTAAGATTGGAGCTGCCTTCAAAAGAGGTTTATTTTTTTTCCCATAGCTGTCATAATCAGAGTGCAAGATTGTCCATAAATATACGATTAAAAAATAAGGAAAAAAAAGATTCTTCAGAGACCTTCAAATTGGAAATACTTTTTGTCACAAGGAATGCAAAAGCAATTTGCACATTTCTTTGATGTGACAGCGTTAAACATTCTTCTCAAGTGGAAAAAATTGTGTTCTTTTATTTTGCTAAACAGAAGGTTATGATGACTGTTTGTTACATGACAGGTCATGACCTTTGTTGCCCTGATGGAGTAGAGACTTTCTAAGGCTTTTGGTAAAATAGCTTCACTCACCAACAAGCTTTTCCTTTCCTTCATTTCTCATCCAACTGCTTCTTATGAAATTTGCTCCCTTTTTCCCTCTGCCTTTACATGACTCTTGCTAAGCTCACACCTTGCACTACTCCCACTTGGCACTTGAGAAAAAGGAGACTGCTTCCCAGGCTAAATAGTACCTTACACATCATTGTACCTATCACAACTTCCTTCTGTCTCAAATGTGTTCCACCATTGTTACCTTAGGTTATTGCTCACTAATCCCTTCATGTAAGTCTCCCAACAATGATGGCTCGCCACAACTTTAGCCAAGCCATCGTATCCTTGGATACCACATTTAACACCTGCCAGGAAACAAGCGAAATCTAATGTGTCTTGAAGAGTCAATCCTCCATGCAAACCACAAATGACTCCAGCATTGAATGTGTCCCCTGCTCCCAGAGTATCAATTATTACTTTTGGGGGGTAGGCATTACTGTGTTTTATTTCACCATCAGGACCAATTCCATCCGCACCTCCCTCTCCCCATGCACAAATCAACACGGCACCAGATTTGACTTTGTTGTAAATGGATTTGACTGCTTCAGCAGACGAAGTGAAACCGCGAAATCGAGCAAACTCTTTGCTTATGAATACTACATCGGCTTTGTTAAGTAAAAGAAGATGAGATTCTCTAGGTTTCTCCAATTCCAAAGATACAGAAATCTTTTCGTTGCATGACTGAGTCGCATTAAATTCCTCGATCTTATCAATCATTTGCACAATAGCTTCCTCGTTTTTCCTTCCTTCGAAGTGAATCCACCTGTAGTTTGTCAAGTTAAGTTTCACAAAATCTGCAACTTCAAGTTCCGGGAGATTGTTTCTGGAGTGCACAATGGTTCTACTACCACTGTTCAGGCTCAACACGACAGAAGATGTTGGCGTTCCACAATTTTTGTGGAAAACGCAGTTTTCATAGCGTATTTTTCGCTCTCTGATCTGTTTACAAAGAAAATCAGCCTGTGGTCCACACGACATGGTCCCAAACAGTTCGCAATCAATTCCCAGTTCTCCCAGCACAGTTGAGGTGTTACATGCGTTACCACCAGTTTGCCATATTTGTGATATTGCCCTGACGTCTTCATCCTCATTTGGATACCGTTCACACGTGTTCACAATATCAAGAGCGGCAAGACCGACACATAAAATACGTCCACAAAAAGATTCTGTCTTTACCTCGGCAGCCATGATGGTTACGGCATACATGACGTAGCCACTGGATTTTCGACGCAGACTGAACGGTGGGATATCGGTGGAGTGAGGGCCGGCGGTAAACCCGTCAAGATAGACAGATCCACGCGATAAAAGTTAACATAAAAAAGAAAAGAAACGGGAAGTACGACACTGTCATGTAATGCATACATGTAATGCAGACATGTAATGCAGACATGTAATGCAGACATGTAATGCAGACATGTAATGCAGACATGTAATGCATACTCAGTTTATTTGGGATCTATGAAGGAAGGAAGGATCTCGTATTTCAAAAGCTACCTGAGTACTTGTGACATGAGTGAATGTAAAAATGATAAAGTCTAGTCTGAAAATAATCAGGTTTGTTTCACCATCAATATAGGTTTGTATAAAGAGGCGTATAGATAAGACAACAGCACGCTTTTGACGCACCTGAAAATAGACGCAAATATTATAGCACTTTTATTAATCCTTGAACGCTCGGGGTTTCGAAAACCAGGTCAATGGAAGTTTTCATCTTTCCAGTTAGTCTGCGATATTGAACCCATGAATTAAACGAATCATTTTCACTTCCCCGATACTTTTTCTTCACCCCCTGCAGGCGCTCTCAGGGTGATGACATATTCCATAAACTTATTCCGAAATTTTTCAATTTTACTTTGTTGTGTTATTGCTGACACTAGACTTTGTTAGGACTCAGGTTCAATAGATGCTAAAGAGCTACACAAACGTGTATGGATAAAAAAATTTTGACCAGTTACACTGAAATTCAACAGTTAATCTAGATTCAAGAGCTTTCGCCACTATCACAAGTCGTAAACTTTGTGCTAACCCGGTTTCAAACCTCTACCAATGGGTAATTTGGTCAAACGCTAACTGCCAAAACCAATGGTGAACTTCTACTTTTACAAGTATGAGTAAGTGACAGATTCGTGCGACCATGATAGTCCTTGTCTCCAGGTGCAATCCGTTATCTTTTTCCCAGTTCAATGAACATACATGCAGCACAGACTAGACTTTTGTGTGACTGAAGTCATTTCCCCTAGGCAAGTGTAATGTGTAGCAAACTGAAATTTAAACACAAATATCTCTCCGTCCTCACGAGTTTCAAACATGATACAAAATATTTCATTCCCGCACAGGAGCGTGAGTTATTGCTATTAAATCAGATATTAAAAAGCTGTCATACTTTTGCAAAATCTATTGCTTTCTTTCGTAGTGACTTCACAAGAGTTAATTGTAGGAAACTAGGAGAAGTGTAATTAGTACGAACCGCTGATGCAAACATTGATTCAACTGAATAACTCATCTTGTCGGCGAATTGTGCTGAATGAAGAGCGAGTCAACGTTAGAGACTATAATTTACAGACACTTTTAGGAGTGTCGCGGCTATTCAGGTAACCTCCGAAAACATATTGCTTTATGTATAACAAATAAACAACCACTTAAACCTCACGAAGCAATCGAGATCACATCAGACCTCTTATCCTCATCTGAATGAATTATTTCACAAACAGAACGTAAAATTTGCAATTAAATAAATCAACAAAGAAATATAAATTATCCCGTCTCAACAGTGAATGGGTTCTAGTACTAAGAACAAAAAACACAGTCGTTTGCAAGTCGCTCTGAACGCCGATGAATTTCGTTAATGTCAGTTTATGCTTAATTGGGGAGCAACGTTTCATCTTCTCTTTACTGAATAGACCCTCTTGTGTAAAGAAGGACACGCAATTCTGTTAGATCTAATAAATGAATCCCTTTTAATTTACATCTCGCGAATACTGAGTGAGATAAGAGGATACTTGGTCATTACAACCCAAATCGCAACTTAACGTTATAAATTCATATTACAGAATGGTCTGATAGTTGGCTTCAGTTACGAAATACCAACGTACCAGTTACATGCATGCATTACGTATTTTTAGTTCTCAGTTCGTTTTCGAATAAAAGAGCGTTTGAAAAATGACGAGGAGGCCTCACTTGTTAACACTTGCTAAATATCTTAGACTGTTATGTACCATACACGCAGTGGATATGAAAAAAGAGTACGGTGCTCTGAATAGATATTGATATGAATTGACGTGGAGAACGTTACAACGCAACTGAAATCCAGGTAGAGTATTTAATGTTGGTGTTTTAAAGGAGTTTCTTGTTGCTGAAGAAACCGGCGCATGCCAAATACAACGATTTGAATAGTTTAATCCTCGTTTGAAGAAGTTTTTGAGCGCTAAAGTGCAAGCAGCCTTAGAAGAATAATTAAACGCACGCACTTCTTACAAAGAAAAATTGTTACCGATGAAGAGTTATCCAAGTTTCATACAAGAATACGCCTAATTCATACACCAAACATGAAAGTGGTGCCCAGCTATAAAGGGTACAGTTATACATACACTACTTAGTAACGTCACGGGCAGGTAACATAACAGCAGGGTGAGCATAAAGACCTCCTTTCTCCCGGCTCTGAACAACTTGAATTTCTACTTAGAAGCCTCATCCTCTCGTTGTTTCCATTTCGTTTTGAAATACGGGGTCCTGGTTATAATTAACAACTATTGACCGAAGTGGAGGCGGTTAGTGATGTACGTTTCTGTAGCGCGAAGAATCAAGGAGTATTTTTAACGTCTCTTATAACCGTGATGCTAGTTAATTGAAGGTAATCCCCTCTAGAAATTCATCGTTTTCTTGACAGTTCGCCTACCCGAAGAAGCAAGGAAGAGACTGTGAGAGCCGTGCCCAAGAACACTGACCCTACCAAAGGTGGAACCCGGACCTCTCAGACGCGGCTTAACCTGATGGAGACCATTAGGTATTAGTATTATAACTGTCTCGTCAGTCTCATGTTTTAACCCATTCTTCCTTCACGGGTGCTATCCACCGACCTACCAACTGTATCATTAGTGAGGTTCATTAATTGACAAATCACAGCAGATCTAGCTTCGAACAGTTGTCTTTTCAACAATTTTTGTCTCAACTTGCATATCAAACAATGACACTTTAACACCAACACAAAATAAATCCTTGAACTGGAACAAAACCACTAACTCGACTCATTTTCTTTATACATTTGAAAGGTTCTTAGTCCTAGGGCTCGACGTTAAATAATTATTCTTAAGAATTCATTGGTCAAAATAGATTGTATAACAATTGTTTTTCATGTGTATACCAGTTTTAATAAGGGAACGGTTCAAAGGTGTCCTTGCCAGTTTTCTGAGGACTGTTCACCAAAGCCTCGTACAGTTTGGTTTCTCTGTCTCTGTAATCTGGCTCAATATCTTCCAGCTCGCTCGAGTCACAAGATCCCACGCATTTTCTACCATCAATTCTTTGCTGTGGTATGTCGTCAGATAAAATATCTACGAGCTGCAATAAAACCTCGCACATTCGTGCTCTAAGGTATTGGTACACAGAAGACGGTGAGGACTGTATGTACTTATAATAAGTTTGGATACGGCAAATGGTGTAGAAGCAGATGTGGTATAATATATGACATGACGATACAAATACAAACATTACTAAACAACAATTGAGAAGAAATCCGAAAAATAATGAGAACGACATCACCAGGAGCGCCATTGCAGAACAGAAAAGTAACACTGAAGGAGCCATAACAAAAAACGAGAAGAGAAGAAACGGAGACAGAATCACACAGCCAACGATTCCAAGTGGTGCAATGAGAATGACTTGTTTCTGCAAACATATGTTGCTCTGCTTGATCTTCCTCATGGTGTTACCGCGTTGAAGCAGTCTTTGTCCTTGTTCATTGAGGATGTGAAGTTTTTGACGTAAGGTATTGACTGTAATACTCATGATGTCCCTTATGCTCCCTAAACCATGGAAAAAAAGAAGGAAAAAGAAAACTTTAATCAATTACATATTGTACTTGTACTGATGAGAAGAAGTTACCTCGATTTATATTTACCTAACATTTCACTGGTTTCACCATCATTTTAAAAAAATTATTTTTCCTGTTTATTTTGCTCCGGTTTTTTCAATGCAGTATGTCGTCAGTAATTTGGACGTCACAAACAGCTTTCAATAATGGGAGTCGCGCGCAATCAGCTTCTCGATTAACGTGACCTGAATTGCTAGCCATTTTTATTGTTCAAAGACTTTTCACAGGAAAGGTTAGTTGATGTGTGAAAACTTTTGAGAGTCAAGTAAAGTTCCATCATTGATGATAATGCGCCAATTACATAACTTGCTGTCAAGTTAAAGAAACATTTACCTTTCTCTAGTCATTCTGAAAAACATAAAAAGATGATTCCTATCTTATTTAAACATGGGTATCATATCAAAAAACACGCACCTCAGTTTGAGTTACTGGATCTGTATCTCTTCCAAAGTAAAGCTGTCCTTTGCAAGGCTGCCATGTTGTTGTTTGGAAAGATCTGTGACGTAACAATTCATTGGTCCAAGCTGTTTGCCTAATATAGTATCAACATCATATCCCTGAGGAGACAACGAAAAGGTGACTCACATAAGATGAATTCATCTGAAATCACGATTCAGAGGTTATGCTTTAACGAAACAAGTGCTGCGCTTTCCAACAATTACGATTCAAGTGTACATTCGAACAGAGAAATTTACGTTTTTTGATGATCTTTTGTTATGACTCCATTTTGAGGTCAAAACAATGCAGTACTGACCGCCAAGTGAAACACGTATTTCACCTCAAAAAGGAGCTATAAGGTCACCTTGGTATATTCGTTTGTGGCGGAAGACAAGATTTTACCGACAGGATGCGCTGCCAATAGGCTAACGTGGGCGGACTGAATAACTACAGCATAAGATCAACCATCCTACCTGATCACTGTTTTGATAGGACACTGGTAACAGTTTATCAATTGTACTCTGATGGAGCTGAAACCAAACATGATCAAATGTTATTACGTGTACTAACTCTACTCTCAGTTTATAACTTTTAGTAAAATGAAATTTGTACTAAATACTGAGCTGAATAAAAGGAGGATCGCAAGAGGGATGAATATTTTCAAGATAAATATTCACTCATTTTGAAGATGGTTACCAAGAAACCGTGCGAGAGGGGAGGGGAGGGGAGGGAGGGGGAGTTAACCTGCAATGGACTGGACTCACGTTTGTCTCCGCTTGCTTGAAAAACGTTAAAATTAAACAAGCAAATAGAAGAGTCGCAGGTACCGCAGGTTAGCTATAGACAATATGTTAGCTTCCTTCTACAGAAAGTACGATCAGTTACGGAGGGATGGCCCCTTGTCCCGTAAGTCGACTTAACATTTACTCTTCCGTGGGGAAACGTGAAGATAAAGGAATCTATTAACACAGAGAGAGTATCGATCTCACCTTTATTTTGACTTGAGCATCTTTAGCACGCTTGACTTTAACAAACACTGCAAGGTATGTTCTGGTTTGAGGTGATTCCACGGTACAGTTACAAGATGAACAGGAAAACTGCGAACTGCAAGATAAACAAGGTTAATGTCATATTCTTGATGCTGATAGTTCAGCCCAGTGAAGACAACAATGAAAATACTCACTTAGATTCACGTTTAACTGTGATATCCGGATTTCCACAAGTATCACAGACCAACCAACAACAAGCTGTTTCTTCGTCCACCCCGATGACAACACCTGTAAAAAAGATGTCTGTTGGGTTGAAACCTCCAAAATATTGGCAGCCTCGGTTACGCCACTGGTCAGCCAACCTACTAATCAGTTAGTCGGTCAGTCAGCCTACCAACTAGTAAGTCAGCCTACCAGTCAGTCAGTTGGTCAGTTAGTCGGTCAGCCAACCAGTCAGTCAGTGAGCTAATCATTCATTCATTCAGCTAGTGAGTCACCCAGCCAACAATTCAGTCAGTGAGCTGGTCATTCAGTCAGTCAGTTTGTCAGTCACCCCAGCCAACCAGCAAGTCCGTTAATCGGTCAGTAAGTTAGGTCAGTTAGGCAGCCAGAAAATGTATAAGTCTGCACCCAGGATAACTGTTTATAATTTTGTGATCACAAATCAAAAGGAAAGACAAACCTTCCACGCGAAAAATGAAACCGAGCAAGGAATGAACTGTTAGGTCAGGGAGACAAACTGGTTTCAAGGTATAAAGACTGTCCAGAACCTCCTCCGGTATACACTCTACATAGAACTACAAAAAGTAAACAAAAACCAGCGTTGATATATCAACTCAAACGGAGCGAAATTAACAGGATGAGGTGGAAAAAATTATGTTTTAATTGCACAGAAGAACATCATTGACAAAGCCACTGACATAATGCTCTTTGTTCAAATGCTCACAACCACTCACAATTCACCTCCCAAGGCTTACCGAGCTTTTGACCCCCGCAGTGGAATGAGGAACAACTTTTCTGATCACAGAATACGAATCAGCAAATAGCTGGTGGGATTCTGTAACACAACAACACTAATATAAGTGTGACTCAAAATTTATTTGTTGACAACTATTCACGAGTATATGTCTTAGCATCAACCTGTTCATAGCCAGTGATCAATAACCGCATTTTCTCACAGCTTACATCACAATGTTCGCGAAAAGATTAACTATAATTTATTAAACTTAAATCATCACATCACCGAGTTCTGATGATGACCTAGCAAATATACAAAAACCAATCTCAGTATAGGATCGAAGGACAGCAAAAGAACCCGTTCCAAAATCTTGGGTGAATATGTTTTCTGTTTTATCAATGTTGTCAGATCAGTTGTATACCGTACCGCACACGTACCTTGAGCTTTCAAAAGCAAATGCTTGGCAGAAAGGTTCATTCCACAACTCGTGGGCACAGCTCTCAGCTCTGAAGGCAACACCTGGGAATTTTTTCCTGTAATTTTCAGATATGGAAGGAATCCGTCAAAGCTTCCCACAGACTTTGTTACGTATTGCAAGGAGGCGTCAGTAACAAACAACTCGAAAGAAAAAGAATGATCGTTGCTATCCGTAGTGGATGATCCAGTTGAACGGCAATGCAACAGCTTGCATAATGTGCTGACTCGTTGTGGTTCATTGACTGTGTCCGGAACCTGAAGGAAATCCTTTAATGCCTTGACAGCCTGAGGTTTGTAGAGCGAACCTGAAAAGAACAACTTGCTCAGTAACACGGTGACCTAGTGGAACCCGATGCAAAGAAGCCATCTGTATAAAAAACTACCGTACAAAAAAGTTTCTGTTTTTTCAACTCTTTTTCTTTATCCGCTATAATCGTCTCCATCCTTGGGCACCTTGTTTATTTTGGGGTATATTCTTCTCATGTTGGAGCATATTTATCTTTACAAAGAAATTCTCACTGGTTTTCTAAACTTTGACAGTCAGAGAATGGTCGGGAACCTGGCCGGGTCACCGTGCTGTGTTCTTGGGCAAGACTCATACATATATATTGAGATAGGAAAAATTCAAAGAGACTATACTTTCATCCCTACAAGCCTGTTTCGTGATTACTCACTCATCAGGGGATTTTATTGTTAAGAATATTCGTAACCATCGTTTATGTACTTTACAAATTTGCATAATAGGCGTGGCGGTAAATTTCAACGCTTTGTTCATTTGTTACGCAGTAACACTTTGTTTCTGTGGCGGCATGAGGACACGAGTTCATTACGTTTATTGACTGATGATAATTTCAGGTCGGGGGATGATAAGTAATTTTTCTTTGAAGCAGAGGTTGTATCTTTTGCTCGCGCTGCGAGCGCTGATGAAAGAATACGCCACGAAATAAAGTGGTCAATGCTATTTTCTTAAAGTCCAGAGATGTTTGCTGAGTTCGGTATAGTTTCTGTGTTTTGTGTGTGGGAATGATGTGGTGTGGTTTCTGTATGTAGTCTTGAAGTCGTTTTCTGTATGTGCGATGTATGTTTCAGTGGTGCTGTTGTACTTCTGTGTGATGGTGGCTTGGTAGATTAGTGATGATTGGAGGCGGTTTCCATTAGGAGGGCATGTGTTCTTCTGTCGGCAGTTGCAAGTTTTGGTGTCTTTTGTGTTGGTGTCATTTGCGGTGTCATCGATGTGTTTGGATGAATTTAAAATGCGTTTGTTGAAGTTGTCGATGATCTGTTTAGTGTTATTCATGCAGCTGTAACTGATCTTGATTGTGTTACGATTAAAGATTTTTCTAAGTTTGCTGTCTTTCGGGAAGAGCTTATCTACTATTAACAGAACTTTTCTGTCTGACGAGCGCTTAGGCGCGAAACTCAGAGTAACAGAGAATCGATGCGTCCTCTTTAATTCTTTAACTTATGTACACTTAGCTCTGCTACCACAGCATTGCGTACTTTATGCCAAGGTAGACTCTACCCACATTCATTTATATGTGTGTGCATATATATATATATATCAGGGAAACCAGACGAAATGCTCGGACTTTGCCTAGCATTGACGGGCATCCCATTCAGAAAGAGATGAGGAGAAAATGTACGGGCAAAAACTCGAGGAGAAAACGTACGGGCAATTATTGACCACCCGGCCTCCAAACCTTAACCTTACGTTGATGGTCATTTCACACATCGAGGACAATGACTCAACTAGAAAAAATTGTTCTAATGACCAAAAAATTAACCTTCTGAACCTCTTGGACAAGTTCACTATAATATCCAATGTAGTAGTATTCAGTTTAGCCATATGTCATACATAACCCACCCAGTGTCCTCCTACTGTCACCACAATCATCCGTCTCCTGGCAGAGCATTGCTCGACTTGATTCTTGGACTGTTAATACGTAACAGAAGTCTGGCGCACAGTTGGAGAGGGTTTCTTGACTCTTACTCTAACATTAGAAACGAGAAAAAGAAATAATTTCGAGAGGTATGCATAGCAGCCACAGCCGATTGCTAAGCGATTGTTTAGTGTACTGAAAAAGAGTTGCCGACAACAATGAAGGATGTTACAATTATCTAGAGTTGAGAACGATGTTTGTCAATAGAATAAGAAAGATGGTAAATTTTGGGCTCAGTTAAGAAATAGAGAAAGATGTATTTCATCAAACATGACGCTAGCAACATTTCTGATCCTAGTAGTATCCAGGACGCGTATCGCATATGAACCAAGTGGTGGCCTTGTTCACCATGGAGTGGCTAAGGGGTAAAGCATCACAGTGTGGAATACGAATTTCTGAGGTTGGATTCCTCGTGGGGACTCAGAATTTTTCTTTGTCCCACGCTTGTGACAAGACGAAAAACATCCTTCTCCTATTTCCTCACCGAGCCAAAATTCATCTTCTTTCTTATGCTATTTACCTAGAGTTGGTGGGTGGGAGGTCATTAACAGGGTCACGCAAACAATTGTTTGTCAGTGGTATGCTTTTCGAAGAGCAAAACTTGAAAGCACATCGATTGGTTTGGCCATTAACACTGGTATTCACTGTAAGACTATATAAGCAATCATCAGTTGTGACGAATCAGTTATTATTCGTGATGGAGTTTCAGCAAAACTGATAAAAGAAGGGTTTATTAATTGTATTACCTCCCGGGTCACAGTCTGTCTGCTTTTATCCACTTGCTTAGCTGTGTTGTCATCATTTGAATACCATAGTGACTGTATAACACTGAAAAGTCCAGGTGATCTATGAAATTGGTAGTTTTTTTTAATTGAAGTGTTTATCGACCACATGTGACATTAGGAAGCATAGAAATAAACCAAAAAGCGAAACTCAGAGCCTGCATAACTGGTGCTTAGAAAACCGCTAAGCGTGCGGGAGAAAGAGGAAAAGAAAAAGTGGTGCCAACATTCATATAATGTGCGCTAAATAGTGTACGGTGCATCAAAATTTCACGATGGTACTTCCTTCACAGGTTACATAACAGAAAACACAGGTTATATAACAGAACACACACACAGACAACGCTAGAAATAATGTTAATATTTAGAGAATGACGTTGACTGCTTATAGTCGACGTATTTAGACATACAAGTGTCACTGTGAATGATGTGGTACAAGTAAATTCTTGCTTTACAACTTAAATGATTTTCCTCCGTTTTTGGTTACTGTGATAGATGACACCGAGTTTAAGGCAAAGGAAAATATCATCTGACCTACGAATTTAACTGAAATTCAATATGTTGTTGGTGTATTGTAAATTCACCTTGTTCTGTTGGTTCTCTTTCGTACTATCATATTTGAAAAGATAAATACTTGGTTTTCTCCGTTAGTGATGCAAGACTTCCTGAGGAGAAGGAAGATCAATCTCATGTGATGGCTTATCCATATCGTCGATGAACAATAAAAGAAGTAAGTTTCTGTTTCCAGTTTTAAACTCTCTCAACTATGACGCATTACTTTTTACATCTAGTTCTTTGACAAAAGCAGGAAAATGTGTGCTTTATAACCGAACCTCAGAATATAATTCCGTAATAATGTCACCGCTAATTGTTCGCATACCATGTGCATACAGTGTAAGGTTTCGTTTTGCAACAAGTGTTTGTGGCCACTCATAAGCCTGAGTTCTCGTTGTCTGCTAGTGTTTTTAAAGCCCAAAAAGTTAACTTTCTATCTGAATATGTGGGACTCTCGTTTCTCGTCGGTTTAATTAATCAGAAGACCCAGGGAGAGAAAATTCATTTCTAAGTAGGCTCAACGACATAGCAGTAAGAAAAATATATAACGTAAACCTAGAGGAACGAAGTGACCTACAGAGGATAGAAATTAAACGAGACATTGTTTATCAGGTCAGGTTGCTGTAGCAAGTGACATTACAAAGGTTATCTAAATCAGTCTGAGAATATCTATCACATTACTAACTGACCAGTCAGTGGAGTCTTGAAAGCGTGGAGGAACTTGTACTTCAGCAAACATTCCGTGAACGTCTTGGACTAGGAGATTCCAGCTAGTAAAACAGAAAATAATTCAAGAACCGTACAGAATACACCAAAAGTATGTATGCATTCATAAAATTAGTTGCATGTAAGGAGTTTTCATGTACAATTCTGAGGAAATCAGTTTACTCACCATAATTCTTTATCAGCAATCTCTTTCATTGATTGGGCCTGTGATCGTAGTTGTTGATTCAACAAGGAGAAGCTGGATCGATCAATAAACAAGAACAAAAATAAACTGGTTCGCATAATGTGCGTCGATTTCTCTCCTGATCACCCACGTGTTTCCTGGGCATTTTACAGGTAATTGACAGTTCGAATATTCTGTTACCCTCCTTTTTCCCTCTAGCACAAGTTTAGTCAACTAGCCAGAATGACTCTCATGTTGCATTCTATTCCTTTCCCATTGAATCTTGTCTGATGTTGTCTGCCAACACTTATATTTCATTCCCCGTTTTCTTGCAGTTTACATCATAACTTCTGCTTGAGTTAATTATATTTCCATGTAATACAGGCTAGCATTTCATTCCTTCAATTTCTACCTCCATGTTTCTTTGTTTTCCTTTGTGAGCTGGGCTTTCATGCAATACACTCTCTGAACCAAACACTGAAAAGTGGCAAGCACTCCACTGCAGCCTCCACTGGATTCTACTGCATTAAGTATTGATGTGTCCACTTTGCTTCCTCTTTTGCTTTCTGACCTGATTGGTTGTGCAAGCTGGGCAGTATATAATTTTGACACTGCTGTTGTATTCTGTTTGGTATTTTCACCATGAACATCATCAAACAGTAACTTTAAAGGAGTTAAATTCTATGAGGTAAAATAGAAACAAAACTTTGGACTACACCTACGAGTTTGAAAAAAATCATGAAAAGGAAAACAAGGTTAAAAAAAAGTATCTGGAGTGATTACTTTTTTCGGTGATTGATGAAGATGCGATGAAGTTGATTCACAGATAAGTGGAATACATAAGCCACCTGAATAACAAAGACCAAAACAAATATGTTGATGATGCTTAGATGCTAATTAAGTTTGATGGAAACAATCCCCTGTTTGAATGTCTAAGATATCTGTAGTGCAAGTCAAGGAGAACTAATTTCCATTATTTATCTGACACATTCACAAGTTTTTCTCCTATAAAAGAATCTTTTTAAAATTCTACATGGCACATGAAATCCGGGACATATTGTGTTATTACTTACTACATTAAAGAATGACAGAAAAAGGTATAACCTTTGAGTGACTTGAAACTCTTAGCATGCAACTGTTGTGTGGGTACAGAGTGTTGCTTGCAGAAGTATGTACCAAGTAGAACAGGCCATGGACACTCTGTTATATCCAATCTCTGCCTGCAAATTCACAAAATATATGATCTCATCAGACCATTATCAAAATGAAGGTTGTTACTGTTTGTTTATGCAGATACCTGCTTCTCTTAGGTAAGGAGGCAACTATTTAAAGGATGAAATTCTCCACACAATTCCCAACTAATATATGCCCCTTCAGATAAATACCATCAATGACACTCATTTGATATCTTAGTTAAAAAGGTGTACACTTCAGAGCTAGTAACCTCTAATTACAACTGAAGTTACAACATAATCTAAATTGCTCAACATACCACCGAGGATAAATGTTTACAGTAGCTCCAACAATCAAGGCAAGCTGTTTCCAAGCATCACATGGGAATAGGACAAACAGAAACTTCTGTGGGAGACTTATTTCATCACTGCACAACAAACACTGTGTCAGATGAATTGAGCCCTGAAGCCGGTCAGACATGATCTGGACAACTAAACATCTATCCATTTGAGAGGAATTAGCTACAACAAATATGAGAAAATATCAACATCATCTTGGAGAAGTTTGCAACACCCATCTATGTACCCTTCCAAAGTGCTTATTATTATCAATCTAATATTGGAATGGTATCATGGCACTTTCAGGCTAGGAGCACATTTATCCTTAACACAGAAGAATAATTGTCCAAATCCTCTGGTAGAATTTATGTTGAGCAGTCCCACATTAATTCAGCATTGGAATTTGGTCTATCCCCGATGTGTAACTAAATGCACAGACTCAACTTAAAGGAGAACTTCAAGAGAGTTTGAATGTAAACATTGTCATGCTTACTTCTCTGGCTCTGTTCTAATTCTGTTAATCTGTGATTCCAGAATGCCTTCTCTGAACTTTCTCGAGAAATGATATGCTGCAAATGCTGTGCCAAACCAGACCTGAAGCACACATTGATCATAAAATATAATTAAGTATAGCAATGCAAAGACAGATTGCTTCACACAAGAATTGATTTTTTAGTTAGTTACAACCTGCATTTTATCATTTTTGTATTCTAACTGCATCATCTAACACCACTAAAAAAATAGTGAGAGTGAATTTTCCATGCACTCTTCCATGTTTTGACTTTTTCTATGAATAAAACTCACTTTTAGCTACCTTGGAATTAATCCATTTGCATGTTAATTCCTAGAAAACAACCTGCATTTCATCAGGTATTTCACACACAGAGGGCAAAGTCCCAATAGGCAACAACCAATCAAGGAGCCCTCTTTGAAATATTATCCTTTTCTCTTGCTCAGTGTATCTTTTCTTATACAAGATCACAACATGTCTTTGGTAAGGGCCTATTGGAGATACCACAGTTTCAGTTAATTGCTTTTTGCAGTAAAATTACATGGAATTATATTTTTGAGGCAACTAACTGCAACCTAATAATTTTGATTTTCTTTCTGTTAGAGGAACAGCTGTAAGGGTAGTCTCTTTTGCAACTGTTACTTGGTCTCGTCACACAACGGCTCTCTCTCCAATGGGGAATAGACAAGACCTAACAACAGCTGCGAAGGAGACTACAGTAAGCATGGGACTGATACATTTTATTTCTGCTCAGAAGTACAATGTATTTAGACAATAGAGACAACAGACCACAAAATAATGGTACCTGTGTGAGTTTAGATAAATTGTTTTTTCGCTTTCTCTTGAAGTGAAGTAACGTGATATTTTTGTTCTTTTGAAAATTATGAAAACATTAGGAACACAAAGTGTCCCATCTCAACCTACCCGGCTAAAAAAATAACTCTTGCATGCTACACATGCCTATATTTAAATCACAAGGAACCAACTTCCACTGTAACAAACATCCAGACAAAAAAAAAACACAAGTGCATTGAGGTATATTGAATAAATGTCTTGCATTGGCAGATTTTGTTGTATATAATAAATATTAATTATTCAGCTTTCTTTCCTTTGGGCTACAGATACTTTATTTGTAATATTCTTAGAGACTTTTTCATTGATTTAGAAAATCTGTGAATCTCTAAGTTTTGACTTTGTAGATGTAGTTTTCTAGAGAGTTTCTTATGCATAATTATGAGAAATATCTACTGATATTTATCCATAATTCATCTCTTTATTCCCCATTTAGATTTTCAAGTATTTACCTGGAAAATTTTCTTTTCTTTTTGGCAGAATCACATACATTCAGATAAACACTCCTCCCTTCTGGAGACTTCTCCACTTCACTCCTATGAGGGGAGTTTTGTTGAACTTGTTTAAGCCACTCACTGGCAGTCTTAGGAGTCCCAGCAACAACAGGGCTAACAGGGGTGAGGGTGGGGGTAGTTATGTCAGCTGATAAAGACTCCTGTGAAACAAAATGCACATTATTTTATCCTTAAATGTTTAATTTCCAGATCAAGGGAGGCAAGTTGTTTAATTTATTGTAAACAGTAAATGTTAAATCTCCAGTTAACATTTGACTGAAAATAATATGAATGTTTCTAGTGCACAAACATGGCACAAGTTTTTTAACTACATGCAACACAAAAAAAATTTCACTCACTCAGAGAAAAGGGATAAAAAAATGGTACCTAGACTTCCTGAAGTAATATTTGTTTATTCTTCAGTTCATAGGTAAGGGATCATTAGTCCTTTTTATCTAACGCCAAAGAGACAATGAAGCTAACTGATGAACATTACAAAAAGATTCTCCTTTTAATGGGAGTAGGTCTGAGGAGAATTTTAAGTCTAACTCATAGTTAAAGTAAAACGAGATAGACCTGTGAACTCCCTTGATCTGTTTCATAATCACTTATGGCTTCATCCTTGGCCTTCAAAATGAAAAACAACACCAGCATATTAATAATGATATCAATAATACAATAATCACTGATGCCAAATTATTGTGAATGAGGTCTACCTCCCTACTAAAAGTCGTACATGTACTGTACTAAATTGTAGCTGTACTCAAGAACACTAATTCATCTTGAGCATTGCAGAATTGTGAAACAATCACATGTATGTTTTGAATGGGAAAAATTTTGGCAAGTCTCAGGAATTGCACAGCTCTATAGGTGTAAACAAGCCAGACTAATTTGTGGGAAATACATACTTTTTCTCCTCAAAGAATCCCGAAATCCTCTAGAATTTAACTTCTATTTAAGATCATAATCAGGTACATCAAGAGATACTAAACACCTATCAACTCCCTCTACCACAATTGACTTCAAATGTATCACATAACTGCTATGTAAAACTGAACTGCAGTACTTACAGGCATGTTCCCTGTAGATTGGATGCTGTTATATATCCTTGATTTCATTACATTTTCCAGTTTTGTCTCATTTCTAGGAAATTTTGCTTTGGGGTCACAATTTTGAATTTCTGGTCCATTGCTAACACCTTTACAAGGTAATTCTATGGATTCAAAACAGCAGGTGAAAATGATTATTCAGATGAGTTCAAAGCCACTGTTGGATATACTGTAACAGTATTATTGTGGATAATTTGAGTACTGTGACCTATATAGGGCATCAACCATTTATTTTTTTGATTGAATTTTAAACCTCACACATTTGTTAAAATCTGTACTATTATAAAGTATCTCTTTATAATTATATAAGCACACAACTCATAAAAAGAAAAATTTGAGTACAGTATATATCCTTTCATGCACAACTCAGAATTTTAATCCAAAAAATCCAAGTTGTCTAATTCCTGAATGCACGATTCAACTTTGTTCTGCAATTATCCAGTAGTTTGCTTTTCTAATAGACCACTCAGAATTATAATACAAAAATTGGAGTTTTTAAATTCGTAATTGTCCATTACAAAAAATGAACAACTCAGATTTTTTTGCAGTAAAAATCAGAGTTGTGTATTTCCAAGTTGGACCCCTTAAAGTTTGAAGTTGTTTTTAAACTCTATAATCTTAATATTGATTTCTTTATTTCACATTACCTTCTTCATCACTTGCACACCAGAATATTTCATCCTCAGTGGGTGTGTTTGAACACTGTAGCAGCTCATGAGCTCCATCAGGTATGAAGTCACTGTGTTTATAATCTCCCCCATCCCTTCTGTTTGGTGTGGGGTCAGCATAACTCAAGTCCTGACCACCTGATGTTGAAACTCTTTTCTCTGTGAGAGCTTTCCACTGTGAAAAGAAAAAAACCAATAGCTATCACATGTGAGTGGTGCACTATTTTTTGTACAGATAGTGAAGTGTATTGCATCACATAGCTTTACCATTGTAAGGACATTTCATATCACTCAATTGCACTTTAAATATACTATCTTGATCATTGACTAAAGGAAAATTTAATTAGAGAAATGAAAGGAGTTCCCTGACCAACGAATATTCAACAGATGGTATTCATCAATGTTTGGCATTAGATCCATGGTAACATAGAAACTCAAATTAAACTTTGCAAATTGTGTTAAGTGTTGGTTCTATTTAGTGAGATAACACTTGTGATACATAACAAGGGCAACTAATTAAAAATCAGATATAAATTAGAGTACAGTACATATTCTTACATCAGAATACTTTCTCTCGATGGAAGGTTTACCTAGCTTCCTGGGAGAAAACAAATGCAGGTGTTAGACAATAATCCTTGGATCAAGAAGAATCCTGATTGTCACAGGCACCTTTATGACATACTTATATTAAGGCTAATGTGTATACTGGGACAATACACAGGACTTATGGCATAATTTTATTCTATGGTGTGATGCTGAAAAGCATTACCTAATGACTGTATCACATGTACATGCATATAGTACCACCCAGATATAGGTTAACTGCACATATGCATTTACATGCACAGACACAGGTCGATAGATGTGTATATAATAATATGCTATTCATGCATATATATCATATATACATGCACGTCTGATGTGTCTTTGTCATTCAATGCTATAAGTTTCCTTAAAGTTTGTGTTACAATTTGCTATGTGAAAGAAAAGACATGTAGATCTGAAGAAGCAAAAAGTTGACAATGGAAAATTTACTTATTGTACCTCTGGAAAAAGCTGAGGATCATGAAAATTATTACCTTGATAAGCACAAAGTGGAATCTGAGTCAGAATCTAAATGCACATCATCATCTTCTTCATCAGTGGAAAAGCCCTCAATCACAGTGACATTTTCAGGGTTAGACTACAAAAAAATTCCATTATATATGATTTTAGAGAGACTTCATGAACTGGGAGAGTCTCACACAAGTAAGTATGAAAAAAATTAGAGAAATTTTGTTTATATTCCTGGCTATCACATTGCAAACATAAATGCAACAATGAAACCTGCCAAATACACTTACCACATAAGAAATTGAGTCACTGCTTGTTTGTCGTCTCTTCCATGTCGATGATTTTTGCCAGTCTGAGAATTTAATGTCAAGTAAATTAATTAATTCAGTAGAAGTTAGAATAATATATGAAGATCCACAAAATGTCTTATTAAAGTTCTTACTGATTTTACAAGAATGTGAATTAAAACTTCAAAATTTATATAAAACAATTTGCAGAGTAGGTATAGTGCACCTACAACTGTATCATATGACACTTTTGATGGTTTAAGAGCTGGACAGCTTTCAGCTTGAGTAAATAACTCAGTTTCAGAACAGCTGAGAGGGCAAATGTAGATCTTTTTGGATGGAAAATCTTAAGTCATGCCTACTCTCATTTCATTTCACAATGTTCACATGTGAAAAAGTAAACCACTTAGAGTGTTTCCTTCTAGGGGTCAAGAGTATAGTACATTAGGTAAGTGTTGGACAGCAAGAAAGAAAAGTGTTAACATGAACTACCTAATAACCTACCTTGATACCTATTGGACAGCAAAATTTTCCCCCAACAAATTCAAGTCATATTTGCTTAATCAAGCAAAACAAAAACTACCAAAACACAGAGATCACACTATAACCTGTCTTTAATTTTAAGTAAATCTTGTTTAATTTCTGTGATATTGGGTACAGTTACATAATTTATGATTATAATCAGTCACAAGTAAAACAAAATATAATTTGACCCCAGGATAAAACCAAACAAGGCCATCAAATCAAATTATATAACAATTATAATAATAATTATTACATCTTAATGCAGGGTGTGTACATAGTACACAAAACCACTTTACTTCACACTCACCAACACTTGACGCAGGCCTCTTTTTCCTAATATTTCCACTATTTCTGGAAAATCTCTGTTTAAATTCATTGGAAAAAATACACAAATTAAGGACTTCCCAGATTATCCTCAGATAATTTTGATAAAAAATGACCTCAAATTTGACTGCTACTTCTATGATGTATCTCCTTTACATACAATTTTACATACAATTTTACATACAATTTTACATATATTTTTACATACAATTTTACATACAATTTTACATACAATTTTACATACAATTTTACATACAATTTTACATACAATTTTACATACAATTTTACATACAATTTTACATACAATTTTACATACAATTTTACATACAATTTTACATACAATTTTACATACCTGTAAACAACTCACTTTCGTTCTTTTGAGAAATTTTAGAAAGAAAAAGATCTTATTATTGACTTAAGTTTTAAATCCTACAACAATGGGCAACCTTAAACTCTTCAAAATTGTTCCAAGACATCACCACCAAATTTCTTGGTCAGGGCCCTGGTTGAAAAAGAAAGCAATGCAAGAGTTATCTAATTTATTAAAGTTTTGACAAATTATATGTATAATAATGTACATGAAAAAAATATGCACTTCTGATTGGTTGAAAACAAGTACTTTCTCTTGTAAGACAAGTGCAAATTACAAATAGCATACACTTTCAAAATTTCATCTGTCTTGACTTTCTGTGACATCTTTTCATGCACATTATTAAACAAGTCATGACATGATTTCTCTTGCAATTTGGCGTATAAAGCACTGGAAAATTTTTCAAAAACTACAAATTACAGTTTCCCTATGGGTTTGTGCAATTTTTTTGTCTCGTGTTCAATCATGCGCATTAACACCAAATTGCACTTAAAATCATGTTAATGCCTATACAAAACCTTCAAGTTCCTAGAGTAATTAATAATATACTGCAGTTCCAAAGCAAACAAACCTTGACAGAAAAGTAAACAAACAAATAGAACAAGACACAGCACTTCTAGTGAACTTTAAGAATTTTAGATTTTGTATTGTTATTGCGATTCAAGTTTAATAGTTATATTATTATAATTTTAAGAAAATAGAAAACTTGAAAGCCCAAAGAATTATTTTTCTGTCATGTCATGAGTTTAACTTGCGTGCTCAATATATTTCCAGTAACAATTGTAAATGTAAAATAACTTATGGTCGGTATTGCGAATAAAAGGTATTTTCGCCTAAGGAACTACCATTGTAATATATCCCTAAGTACCTGCTCCAGTGATCCATCAGTCTGTGTGTTCTAACAACAATGATAAGATTTTAAAACCGAGCACACTTGATAATTCCAATCCATTTAAATGCTATAGGAATATTTCTCAATCTGGTTTGGAGCTCGAATAACTCATCCCCGAGTATGAATTGGAGCTGGCAGACAAGGAGTGACTCTCGAACTGGCTTAAGGACTCTAACTCCTCCACGCTTTTGTTCTGACTGTATTTTGTTTAGCATGTGGAATGCCCAGCATAACAGTGAAAAAGTTACCTTGAGGTACTTGCAGCCATATTTTTCCATTGATTATCTCTTTCGCTCGATAAATCCACACCAAGAAGTCTTCGCTATTTCTAACAGTTGGACAGTATTTGCCGGAAGGCCTTATGTCCGCCATGTTTGTTGTTACCGCCAGAGAACTGGGACTAAATGTCATCTTCACGTCTCAATTTCGGTCTCGGTGAGGCGCATGACGCACCAACGGTCTGATAGGCCAGGTAAAAACAAACCTTTGATTCTGTTCGAAATATGCAATAACTTTCATTTCTTAGCTTAGAAACTCAAGAATAAAGAAAAAATGGTAAGCATTTTTCTTGCAAATTTACTTGTTAAGGTTTCCTCTGAGGGTCAATGCCAAAAGTTGACCATAGATCGCTAGCGAGTAAGTAAAAGTGGTGGGAATGGGAAGTTAATGTTTCAGGTTGAGAGGGGGATTAATCTAACAAATGAAGTTCTATTGATGCGTCTGGAGTGGAATAGAACTAGCGAGGCTGACGCATATTGAAGGTAGCTAAATTCGTGGAGGACATATTTTCTCATTTTAGTTTCAGAGGCTTTGTCTGATTTCTATTCATCGGGTTAACAAAAGAACCTTAGATTATACATATTCCGGTTGTAAGACGCTTTTATTCCCATGCCATTTATTAATAGCTTTAGTTTCAGCCTCGATTCATACGATACAGATGCATGCAGCTACATGATAGCGCCATGAATATCATGCAGAACGTCACAGTTGGGGTATAAAGATGGGTGTACTCGTCAAACAAATAATTAAGCTTATAAAACTGTTTTGATGTGGTCGGATGTCATCAATCAAATTATGGAGGTGAAAAGTGAATAGTGCATTGTCTTCCTCTTACACTTGAATACTGATGAACTTTGTAAGAGCACGAAACTGTTCCTGAGCTGCACTACACTCCTGGAAGTTAACATTTTACCTGAGGTCGCAGTGGAGTTTGCTTTCTCAGTATTACTGAGACTTTTAAATTGTTAAATGCGATATGTCAGCTTTAATGGGTTCTTTTTCACGTCAAAATGGGAACAAATGCTCTTTTAAGGTTCTTCTGTGGTTTTAGATGGGCCGGAAATAATTTTCAAAACGGAAAGCACTGATTATTTATGAGATTTGTTATTACTGGATTACTTGTTAAACAAGATTAAACTGAAAAACTTGGTGCGAAACATATAACAACTTTGGGTCCAATAAATACTTTTTTTCGGATTGTGAGGTGATAATAATGCGTTCCTACAGATGCATAAATTACCAAGAAGGTCTTAGAATAACCCATGCGCCTGCACAGGTTCTTCCATTGGCAGAATCTCATTAACCGATCACCAATAAAACTAACTTACAATCCATCGCTATAAGTCAATATTAATCTCCTACTGTATCTCTTTATACTGTTTCGTATTCTTTTATTGCAGATTGCATCTTGTCACCATCTTTGGTCGATAGGAACAAATCTTGGTTGTCATTTAGTATTCGTGAGCGGCGCTGTCCAACGAAAATTTGAAATTTTTTTGTTTTCTTTAATCTTAAAATCATATAAAGCATGCATCGGCAGAAAGGAAACACTCTAAGAACTTCTGTCGTCAGAAGTCTAATTAAATTATACTTGATTCTTCGGATAAAACTTTCACGCGCAGATTTACAAGCAACGGGATTAATGTCCTGATTTAACGCTGATTATTTTATTTTTATTTTTAGCTAAATCGAGGCAAATGTTTATATTGCTATAAATTGATCCCGAGGAAAATCTTAAATTAAATCATTTTGAGAGGAATGCTTTCGTGCTGAATTAATATCATTTTCACTTTGCATCGAGAAAGTAGTGTCCATAAAAGAGAGCTGAAGCTTTTTAGGACACATATTCTTCAAGCTGAGGGAAATTTGCGAGAGGACCCATACGCTTACACAAATTAAAATAAAATCAAAGTTAACTTTAATCAATCTTAGAAGCTTTATAAGACTATGTACATTGCCCACGGATGCGACATTGACTTCCGGAACGATACTTGCTGTGTGTGATCTTTACCTTTAAAGCTGCGGTTATACCCATGAGGTTTGGGTGATTTATCTTGGAGTAAGACGATAATAATAGAGTATTAAGTTCTTTCTATCGCAAAGTTGTCACATTTAACGCAAATGGCGAGTTTACCATTATATAACGACAGTCCTCTTCAGGTGATGAATGTCACTGACTACACATCTCCTTGTCAAGCTTGATTGTTTGGTTTTCAATTGCTGTGACTGATGCATGTCGATCCTCTCTGTTTTGCCAAGCTGCTCTCCCGCTGGTTGGCGTAGTACTCTCTTTCTATCATACGTCTTCATTTGAAGAGTTTTTGTAGTGTAATTCATATACAGATTAGGATTTCATTCCTTTTGAAAAATTGCAAAGATTAAAAGCACTGTCAAGATAGCTTTTTCTGGTAATTCCTAAGAACCATCGCCAATAAGTGTTGAGATATTGTGATGCCTATATTTCATCGTTGAAATGATTTGTCTCATCCAACTGCGATTGTAAATGTTGCGGTTTGACACAATTTTTCAGAAGCAATGTTGACATGACCGAGGTTAAAACATACTCTGCTTTTTGAATCAAAATATTCTATTTAACCTACCGACGACATGTGTTACAAGAAGTCACGAGAACTTTACAATTTCTAGACCAGGAAAAAGGGGTTAGTAAAGGTTCACTAACAATAACAACCAATAACAACCAACAAACATATTTTAATAGACTTTTCTCCACTATTGCGACCGCCGTTCCAAAACTGGCCAATTATGAACGAAAGGTGTCTTCGACGTAAGAAAATGTACGATTAAGGTAGCGCTACCATAGATCACCACGACCCATACTGTCACATAAAAAAAAACAATTTACTATTAAAGTTTAGTTGTTAACTTTTCAGCCACCATTTTTGATGAAGGGTTTATTACTGTTCACTTTGTTATCGTTCTCTATTAAAAAAAAAATCCTTGTCTAATCCCACTGGAGACTGATCTCAGGTGATAAATTTAATATACATCCCTAGTATGAAGGTATGGTAGCTGAGCCGAAAACTCTAATGTTTCTTTTATTGACATCTATGGTTGAGGACTAGTGCAATCAATGAGGTGCCGTAATCTGATATTCCACATACAGAGACAGCAAAAATTAATTAATGCAAGTCCAGTTTTGTCACATAAGGTCTCACAAGTCAACTTATATATTGCATGACCGAGGCCGTGAATCTCTTGGGCGGCATGACTTAAACTCTTTCATTTGAATTTTAATGCCGTAAAGTATTTACAAGACATGACCAAATAAATTTTTTTTGGCAAAGCTACGAGGACTAGACCGTATGAAACAAATACGAATCCAAAGATAAGATCATTAGCTGATGATTACATTTTAAATTAAAATGCAAAAGATCACAGCATTCAGACTTTCGTAAAATTCGATGAAAATTTATTTCTTTGAGATTAATGAACATACTGTGCCATGGAACAGGAAATCATAACTTTAAATGAAGGCATCTCATACAGATATGTCCTATACTACAAACTGACGGTATTTTAGCAGACAAACTGGATTTCTGAGATTCATCTGGAATCGTTAGGCGGCAGTAATTCCATTATCAAGCCATAGAAGTTCAATTTCAACTATTATGGGTGTCATGACTCCTACTTGGACTAAACCTTACAGTTGATAATTGAAGTGATGAACTGAGCTCAGGGTAAAGAGGAAAGTCGTCTTCAATGAATTGCCTCTGAGGAGGATAATATTGCCAATGAGTGATGAGTAAACTAATTGGATAAGAGATTGCCGTGATACCAGTTATCAGCTAAAGGCTTTTTTTTCCACAAAAATTAAATACTGAGGAAAGAAAAGTCATATCCAATGCAATTTCCTTTGGAAACGAAGGAAATACCACGATACAAATGATGATCGATTTAAGACTTTCAGGCGCACGAGCAATTTTTATTTTGGCCATCCACCTGATCTCGGAAACATTCATCGAGGGATGTGGAACTTACGCTGAGTGTGAGTAACAGTAACTCAGAAATTTGGAAATAACAGAGAGAGGATATCTCCAAAAATGCTTTGTTATCTCGATGTTTCCGTTCTAAGGGAATGACATGCAGACGATGCCGGAGACATCAACATTTTTTTATCAACATTTTCCTTACTTTGCCACCATCTATCACTTAAAAAACTAGGTTTGGTTCGAATTATTTGTCCAGGAAGGTTAGTTAGAAACGTGGGAAATTGCGAATATTTATGGTCTCTTGCATCATCCTCTTCTGAACTTATCACATCACTAAGATAACGGATCCGTTATCCCATGCAGAGGGATTGATCGCACACATTAACAGAATTATATGGCTCTAACAGAGAATGCATGGAAGTCAGTCGGAAGAATTACTGGGGTGTTAGAGGAATGTAAGAGAAACGCCGTGTAGCTGGTGTAGCTGCGTGTGAATCAAATGTCAATATGCATTCTTAACACTCAAAGTTATTCAAAATACCTCTATTTAATTAACTGAAGAATTTTCTTGCAACACGATATTAGTATTCCGGGGTATCGCCTGGCTTAACCTCTCCCTTTGCATTTCCTAGTTAATAGTCTGCACTGTTTCCTGTGGCTGGGATCATTAGTGCCGCTCGTGGCTCCTACTCTAACCTCGCCGGTAATCCTAAAAAGGGATTAACCTCAAATATATGTGCAACCAACTAAATCTTTTCTGAAAATATCATTTAAGATATATTTCGGTTCTTTCTAACTAGATATTAGTACCAACGTGATGATAATTAACTTATATTGTGCTGAAGCCTCCGACAAGCTAACCATAATACGTAAGAACATCCAGAAAAAGACTGACTCGTCTATATTTAGGCAAAAGACAACTCCTGTGATTTCTGTTGCAAAAAATAGGTAGACTTTTTCCGAACAATGTAATACAAGCCTAATGAGAAAAAAATAAAAGCTAGGAGTTTTGAAGTGTAATGCAATGGAAAGTAAACCCATTGTAAATTGACTTAAGTTCATTTACTAAACAAACTGTTGATGAGTGACTTCACTCTGTTGATGACTTCTGTTTAAGTTTTTGGAAACGTTTAACTCTTTACCGGCAACCGTTCTTTCCGGAAGATGACCTAAGTTATAGCAATACTTATGAAATGGAACACAACGTTTTCCAATACTCCTGTGCAGTTTTAATGAAAATTTATTTTATCTACAAAACTTTGATTCAATTCATTCGTTTTTCCAACGTTACTTGCAAAATTAAACTGACAAAACTTAACTAAAACACTCTTTGGAAGTTTAAGTTTCGTTGCTCTCTAAAGGTAAAAATTCTCCTTATTCGCACAGGGAATACTGCGAAGTTGAAACGCCCAAATCGGTCCTTATACATACGATTTATCCCATTGTCTTAACCCAGAATATTGCCCACAATGTTAGCTTCTGAAAAAATATTTATCAATCAATAGACCGGTTTACTGTTGTAAGAACCCTTTTGGAATGTTCGGCGAACACCCGAAAAGCTAGTTAATCTTTCGACTAACAAAAAGCGATAGAGTTTTGTTATTAATCAGAGCTTGTAACATATCCCAGTTGGGAAATTATACACCAGAAATAATCCAAGAATATTTTGATTTCATAAAAAAATTTAGACCGTCCTTTTTGAAGTCTTCAGAAAAATGTTTCCTCGAGTCTGGCAAAATCAACTTCAGCGATTAGTTTTCGTATTTCCTCATCAACAAATTCACTCAGGGAACGATGCTTAAAGAAGTTTTTACGCTACCCTCTGCCACCTTTACTTCTAGAACTCCCCAACTCATTTTGCCAGTCTTTCCCTCTGTACATTTGTTTAAGTACTGTTTCGAGCACTTCATCCAAAAGGCGACACTATACTAAGATTGTCAGAGGTTCCATCTAACAATAACGAAAAAGTCATTTTTGAAAAGGAACAGTCTTAATCTATGAAATACACCACCCTTTGACCGCGCTCAAACTGCGCAATTGTTTTCTTTTACAGTTCAAAAGGAGTTTTGTTACATGTTTCGCGTAGCATCTCATTATTTATGAAAAATTTAATTCGTCAAAATGCTAACGACGACTGTGCTTAGCACCAATAAAAGTTTACTTAACAAGCTGACTGCACTGTTTCGGTAAAGGTATTCAACATTCTCCGTGTTTACATCAGAACCATTTCCACTTCTGTTGTGGGTTGTTTGACGGCCAGGATCGCGATCAGTTCGCCTTCTGGTGGTACTTTCCTTTCTCTTGGTTGGCAACGTCCCAATAGAGAACACAATGCCAATTCGGGTGGTTGGACGAGTTGTTGGGCGAGTTGTAGGAGGTACAAATTTAAATTTGTACGATGTGCATTCGATAAGTGGTACTTGGAATGACGTTGCTCTCCTCGAGGGAGTAGAGGGGTCGGAACCATCACTAGCTCGTTGTCCCACATAAAGAAGTCTATTGTCTCGATGATCAGTGTCCATCTTCAGGAGATCGTACTCGGTGTTCGGGAGTGAAATGCCGTACAATTTACAACCTTGAGTTTGTGTGATGTCTTGCTTGACGTTTGTCTTCCAAGTTCCAGTTTTGCCACATGTATTAGGTGTAGCGGTGTTCAACATTCGCGTAGTGATCTTATCCAATGGCCTAATGGCTGCCTCTGTCATGGTGAACACGTATTCAGAAGCCCCATTTACCGCTTTGGAAGGTATTGCATACGAAAAGTGTCCTTTCCCATTCAGTTCAAAGTCACGCTTTTTGCATTCTGAATCCACATAGAAATAATAATTACATTCCCATTTACGTGAACTTTGACTGTTAGTGAATTTGAAGTGACGCGTCAAGAATACGCCTCCTGGGATTGCCTCACAAGTTGTGCTTGCCCACTCTCCTTCTAATAACCCAAGACGAGGTGGTTTCCAAACAAACTTTGGTGGACGCGCTCCAGTGCCCAATCGAATTTTTATACATTTGGTACAATTATGAGAATTGTACCTAATCAGTGGGAGCTGGTAAGAATTGGGCTTGTACTTTCTAGAAACTCTTGTGGTGGGGACCTCACCAAAATACAGCTTATCATATTTAGAGCTTTTCTTTCTCCGAGTTTCGAGCTTTAATCCAGAAAATTCCGATTCCAAGAATCCAAATGCGTTCCTACAAGCTCGTCGTCTAAATGCTCTATTATCTACTTCAAAAACATCAGTAGAGTCTAGGCTTCTCACAACCTCCAGCGTATTCGGACAATGCCCGGCTGACGTATTGATAACCATCTCCTGCTCGTAGCCGTTGTGCGGGTAGAGCTGTATCGTTGAGAAGTTGAAGAATGCCTTGTTACTGCCCTTTATGGTTTCCAAAGGTTCGTCCATTACCTTGTAAAATCCTCTCATGTAGAGACTTAACTTGGGTTCGGAACATTGTGAGTCGTTATAGCGATGGAAATAACCTTCCCACGTGGAGTTCCGTAAGATCTTGATATACCGTGTAAAAAACTGTGGACCAGGTCTTACCTCACAGCTTAAAGTAAAACAGAAATAACCAACAAATTACCAACATGTCGCTTAAATTACAGTTACGCTGCGTTAAGAAAAGGCTATATATCCACTTTCCTGGATCAACACGTCAATATTAGCTTATTCGCCAAAAATTAGTTCTTTGATAGTTGCAAAAATCAGCTACCAATCGGTATATGTGACCATATGGTTCAAATGGCTTGAACCACAGTGTTCTTCGGCTCAATCATTTTTTATCTTCGAGATAGGGACACATAGTAATAGGATACTAGATTATAGTTCAAATAAAAGTAGCTGACAATCTTGCGTGGTCTAAAGTATAAAATTGTAATGAGGTTTTCTTCAAATTAAAAATCTCACCCATGATATTCTATTTTTCTAAAAACCCGACCCCTTGTGTGGGAGTGAGCTATTAGCGGAAATAAAAATTGTAACACGATTTAACTCGAATCCGCAAAATTGATAATAATCACAAGTCAGTAGAAGTCTTGCCTGTGTTCCAACCAAGCCGGCTCAGTCATTTATCCTACTCAAGAAAACAATGACAAAATGCTAGCTGATAATATCAGAGTTTACTTATCTCCATTTAGAGCCAAAAGCTTCAACCACAGTAAGAACGATTTATGCGGTCATATAATATCAACACGCTTGTGTCATAGACCATATTCCTCGCACTTCTTTGAATTAATTTTGAGATGATGATTTTAGAGAGGTAAAGGAACGAAAGAGTGGCTATCCATCAATTCTACACTGAGACTCATTTAGCGGTACTTGAATGTTTGAAGTATGGTTTACAATCAGTTCCTAAAGGGGCTTGAAGACTCTTTCACTGCTTCAAGAGATGTGTTTTACAGATGAAGCAAAGCTAGTCGAAATTGAATAAAAAAAACTCTTGTACTACAAAAAAAAAACTTCCGTTGAAATTTAGGGGTGCTTTGGAGGTATTTTCGGGAACAAGTCTGTACACGTTCAATTGCGATCACGAAAGTAGGATTTACCAGTTTTTAATAACTTGGCAATAGCAATGGATGCAATGTCTTGCCATAGAGAAAAATGCAACCCGTAAACCTATCCGACTCTATCAATCAGCCAACATGGAAAAATCTCAAATACACTTGTATAGTACCGTGTGCGCTGCGTGATCCAGACACCCTGGTCGTTATTCGCATGGTTTAATGAAATTTAGAGCTTATCCTAATCACTTATTTAGAATAGAATGAAGCATTCTTTCTTATCTGAAAAATATCGTGTTGTGATGAACAACTCTTACACGGAAATTCTTAAAACGAAAGTAATTCTAATGGAGAAGATTTTTTTCTTCTACACCTCTTTTTGGCAGAACGTTTAGCAGTCGTTATTTCAGTTCTTCAGGCACATCGTGCAACGCTTGGATATCGATGTCATGAGTCTGGCTACAAAAAGGCTACAAGAGTGTCAATATCGTATTTTGCGTTTTAATATCTTAAAACGCTTAAGAGCTTTATTGCCTGAGACCTTATCTTAAGTAGAGACAATTTACACATTAAAGTTTCTCGGTTATCTATATGTTCCTGAGTTCGTCGCGGATAGTTATCTAAAGCCTCCCATTGTTGTCTTGGAAAGACATCTTAAACCTTGTTGGTGATTTAGTTGGAATAACTGAATCAAAAATTTCAATAAAGCACTTGAGAGAAAGTAACCGTAAGACATCATGGCCTCACGGGGTGTCCGCTTTTATAATGAGCTTTTATTAGACATAAACACAACTCAAAACAACATCAATATCACTTACAGGCTCGTTTAGCCAGGTTTCGGGCTTTGGCTTAAACAGGAAATTTACTCTTTTTAAAGATATGTGTTTAGATACAACAAAAAGGTTAGTATGAATTACTGGGCCAGCTGCCAACACAAATTTGAGCTCTTGGCCCCGAAAGATAATGACAGGAAATTTAGTGTGGGTCACGTGCGTAGCATGGGTCCTGTTTAATACAATATGGAAGTAAATGAATGGCTGAAGGACAACGATGGGGTTCTTAAATCACATAACATATTTGGAGAAAAATCTGCTTTCTTCTAAGAGTATTTATCAAATGTTGTCGCATTGGTACTATTGACCACGCAAGAGAAGATATCTTTTGTTCTGCACAAGGTCCTAGCGTAATTTGTTCGTGCGTGTAATTGTCTTTCATAGGATCACAATGATCGAGACGTGAAGTTTCCAATAATTATTACTTGTCGCATTAATATTGTTTCGACTAAATCTCGCCTTTGCGATAACCCAGGGAAAGAAAAGAAAAAAAAAAATCCAGTCCATTAAGCTCATGGAAAGTGACATGTTTTGACCTTTGATCTGATTCTATTTTGGATTGAGTTTAAAACAAAACAAAGCCTTCGTTGCATTCCACTTAAAATTGTTTTGTAGCTAATAAAATTCACACGGTAAATTGTACAATGACGGAATAAATGCCTAGCCTATCTTGAAATAAAAAACAAATTAAATTTCTGTGAGGTATGAAAAAATTGGCATTATACTACCATACTTTGTAAAATATGAACTGGCTTCAAGTGGACCTCGCCCTAATTTTCAACAAAAATGAAAGAGTTTCCGTTGTTAGCATTCCAAGATACCCACATTACCAATGATGAATAAAAGAGCACAAAGTAATGGCGCTTGAAACTGTCGAAGCCATTTGGCCACCAATAAACAACGTCAAGAGTGAAGATCATTTAAGTGCACCGTTACTAGTGCATATGATGTTCATTTACACACATATTAATCAATTAACTTGATAACTCCCCGAGGAAGAGATGTTGAAAGACAATCGGTTAATAAACTGTGAGATGCTTCTAGTTTTGGGTTTTTACAAACTCAGTTATGTTGCTGTCAAAATGACAGGAATTTTCTGTCTCAGTGAACCAATTGTGAGAATCGAAGCAATTATAAACGCCTCCAGTCAGGTAGACGCTCGTCTCTGAAGTTAATTTGCCTTATCTCCTCCCCCCTCCACGCTCCAAGTCACCAACCGTAATAAACAATAATTAAGTTCGAATGTTTACCACAGGCGAAAGCAACGGATAACTTAAATACGTTTCGCTGAGTATATTGCCGCCCCTTATCAGGGGATTATGTTGTTGAAACGTTTATTAATCCTCGGGATTACAACACGCACTGTAGTATTTCCTTGAAATAATCAGTGTGACTCTATCAAACTATATTTATGCATTCCTACCTCGATGAGGTCCACTCTCCCGCTATATTCGGGGCACCTTGTGCACGGCTTCGTAATCCAAGGCTGTGGTATATGTACTGAACGATGTTAAGGCAATTGTCTTTACTAGCTTCGCATCTTGACAGCACTATATATAGTACATACAGAAAAAACAGAGCAAGGCCTTAGATTCCTATTTAAGACGCAACATTTTGCAGATCTGTAGCAGCTGTGTTGACCAACAATACCCTGAGCAAAGGCAAATTGTGGTTAATTTGAAGTTACAGTAGAACGAAAACGAGTAATAAATACCTACCTAGTAACATCCAAATAAAAGCTAAGGTAAGGCGAACCCTTGTTGCATCCATGACGTTTGCAAACTTGTATCTCTCTCAAGTCTTAAATCTAACGCCACCTCCACTTGATGCTTTCCTTCTTGGCTTTACTTGATTTCTGTTCCGAGGAAGGAAGAAAACGGGTATTTATGTTAAGAGGTCACTTGCGGATTCCTGTTGGTAGCCAAAACTTGCAAGATTCTTAAAATCGCATCGAGATTAGTCTGAAGCATGCACTTTGTCAAGAAGTGAAGTTATTTTGTATTGGCTCGCCGCTAAGCTAATTATCTCATGAAGTGATCTTTTTGTGTCATAGCAATGCCTGATCATGTCTCAATTTGTGCCCTCCAGGTCAGTTTTATTTAGTGTGTCATGCATTCCCAACCTCTATGTCCGTAAAGGAATAATTATTTTGAAACGCAATCTCTTTCCCACTAAAACACATTGTTTTCTTTCATAATCGTTGAGTAAAACCCACAGTTCATTAAGGAGTTCTCGTTTGAAGATTTTAACTTTGAGTGCTCGTGCGTCTGAACAGCCTCTGATTTTTTTAATCTAGGATATCTTTTCATGGATATCATTTAAAAAGAACATGAAAGAATGACCGAAAAAGGATTAATGAACAAGTGTGCGAGCACTCTTCGTTTTTTTTTATCAATACAGATGTATATGAAATAAAAAAAAATCATAAAAAGGCACACTTAAAGTAAGTTGGAATCAGAGATAGCACATTTTTATCATCTATAATGACAAACAGAATAATTGAAGGTAAATACAAATAGTCAAGACTTGAAAGTTACTAACTATAATAAAACAACGAAATTTTATCGTTGACAATATTTTAGAATCTTAAATATTGATTTAAAACTAATTACCCCACTAATGGCGTGGATTACTCAGTTGCCTTGGTCACGAAACTTAACCACATCCGCTCACAGATGAAGCAGACAAGTTTAGGAAAGCGTGGCATGTGGTGAATGCTTTTATGTTCATTTAACGATTTGTTTTTACCAGATTGCTCACATGTCACACTTTAGAAGACGAAATAAGAGCCTTACATCGCGTATGACGCGCCCTTATTTCTTATAGGTTTAGTCATTAGCACTTGGGTTATGCTGTAACTGTCAAAAACTCTGCTATGTTTTCCAGCCCCAGAAAACAATCCGCCCTCTTAAAAGGGTATAAGTTTCATCTAGTATTTAGAACTGTTTATCTGCATTAAAGATCCTCTGCCTCAGATATTTGATGCTTCCTTTCTAGATGCCCTATTACTTAAGGTTCTCGTGACCATGAAGTGCTTGAAAAATTACCAGCCGTAACGGAATGTTTCCAAGTGATTGAGTGCTGGAAAGAACAAGGATTTAAAATGGAAACTTCCCGGGTTTTCCTTTGGTAAAAATGATGTATGCAGTTTATATAACAGGAGTTTGAAAAATTTCACTGAGGAGAGAGAAGAACAAAGGAGCACAAGTTTCAAAAACCATAGTCTCGTTTGACATATTCAACTTTCTGTTGTTTTTTTTTTGCCACTTGAAATTTTTCTCTGAGATCATTCCAGAGGACATACAAGTAATTTTTGGAAAGACAATGATTTGTAGTCATGTCATGCTAGTCAGGTCAGTAAGAATTGTAGCATTCAAGGAACGCCGCGATTCTCCTAAATTTTGACGTTTGTCGTATTACCTTTCTTTACTTAAGATTCCTCGCATTTCTTAGAATTCGAGATGAGATGTTTAGTTTGTTTAAAAGGAGCGGACCTAACTTCTATTTTCGAGCCACTTGACTCAAAGTTTACTTAAGTATACCAATTTATACAAAGTATATTTGTGGATCCTTTTGGAGAAAATGTGTTCTGCTGCCTGAATATAAGACACGGGGCAAAAGTCAACCCATCAGCACAGATAATATTTCACTTTAAGACGTGTTTGTCAAAGATATCACAAGGGGCAATTTGTTCTTTATAAGACCAGCTTTATAAACGCCGCGTGAACAATTTGGGTCGTGAGATCAAAACACGAAAAATTAATCAAACCGATATGCAAATTTGAAGTTGTCCATTTTAGGAATGGATTACCTGGCGGTAAATACGAGCTTAGCTGCCGAAATTTATTTTCCTGCGATGAAGGGCAAGGAAGCTTCTCTCACATGTATGTCTTCTTCTGCTTCTTTTCCGTAGAATATTTAGGGAAAAAGGGAGGTAATTCGGCTTCTTTGCAAGAATTGGAGATTACTCATTCGCAATCCAAACCAGCGCTTTTAGACCCTCTCACTCTGCCTGATGCTGATGCTGCTATTTTTAGTCTAATCTAAAAATTATGGGAAATCTGTCAATTCAATCTTGTGTTCATGAATACAAAAACAATATGAGCATATCTAACATACGTCAGGTTAACCGTAATGTGATCCTGCTGGAAATGATTCAACGTACGGATGAAATCAACATTCTTATTAGACGAATTAGTAGTTTTTTTGGAGCGATGTTTTTGGTAATGATTTCCACAGTAATAATATCTCTTTTACCAATGTCAGATTAGGTAAAATTATGCTCGGTCTCTTTTCCCTTTTTGAACAGAACAGAAAGAAAATAACAGTCTAATTGTCTCATCGTTGCATCATATCTATAGACAATGTAGACTCTGGAGGTTATAAGTCACGAGGTTCTAAAGAATGGAACTCAGACAGTTGAAAACAACAAAACAAACAAATCTTTACACAAATAACTAGTTCCAAAAAAGGAACAGTTCTCAGCAGGCCAGTGGTGAACCATGATAGTGTGACAATATCATGAGCTCACTACAGCGTTTGAACCCAGAAGCACAAACCGTACCTTGCATGACTAGAAAAATCGACAAATTTTCATTCGATGTTTTTACCTGTTCTTAACGCTTCGATCTGCTCCAAAAAGACCCTGAAAATGTCACCCAGCTTTAAAATTCTCTCCAACCGTCCTAGAATACTATTTAGCAACTAACCTGCTGCGATTGTAAGGCTGCAGGACAGCAGTTTATACTAACACTTTGAGACAACCAGGCCATCTAATCTTCCACTACGATGTGGGATTTTATGGTATCACAACTGGAAAACACATTAAGACATGTACCGAAAGAAACTCATTATATATTTGATGGCGAATTCGGCTGGCTCTCCTTTAACTAGCGGATATATTTATCCAAGCGGCACGCAAGCTGATTTAGGAAATATTTCTCACATGTGTACGAAACATCGCCTGGAATTGCCAAATTTAAGGGAATAAGTACTTGCTTTTGATTTCGCCTGTCGATTCAATTTCCTTTTTAGTCGACAGAAAAACAGGAAAGAGATTAATCACAACGAAAAAAGCTAAAACAAAGTTATTGGCTCTCCGTTAATCTCTTTGTGACAACGATGTTAGAAATTCCTAGGAATCATTCAGTTTTAAGACAAATGTTTAAAATCATTTTCCGGTCACGTCGTTTCGAACCTTTCTATTAAAGCAAAAACAACTGAGGTTGAGTGACTACCTCGAATTCACCCTTTACTAATATGTACACACAAAAACCAAATAGCACTTTGCGTTTTTTAATTACCGGATTTATATAATGAAGAAACACCTACCTTTCCTGAGAAATGTAATCTTGAATATTTTAACGAATCATTTTCACGGTTTCGATGAAGAGCAAAGCTGATCAACCAAATGAGTAGCACGATAGGAAAGTAGTCATTCGGTAAAGTTGATTTCAAGTTATTAAGCTGACCAAAGTAATCTCGTTTCGATCTTTCAATTTTTGATGGAAAGAAACCTTGTGAAGAGGGATTAGTTTACTGTTACTTACGACAAACGAAATGCTCAAGTACCATTTCCTGCCACTCAGATCACGCCTGAAAAAAGCATCTCAAAGCTGAGTTTTATGAACATATAAGTCATATCTGACAAAGGAAGGAAAATTTGAAACAATGCAAGTTAATTTAAGAGCGAAGAAATGTATTTCCTAAGAATTCAAAATTCCAATATTCGTTCTTATCAAGACCCAAAAAATAGGGACGTTTTGCTGGCTATTCTCTCATCGAGTTTCAATGCAAGACCGCAAAATTTCAATAAACTTGGCAATAAAACGAATTTCACTTATTTCAAATTTGTTTCCTTGCGGCAGAATTGCTCGGAGTCAAACTGTCTGCTCCATTCTTTAAAACCGCATTAATCCTGACATGTTTACATTTCGATTCTTAGTCGCTGACACAATGAATCATTTGATCCATGTCTAAATCAGTTATGAAGAAACACCAATATTGAGAAATTTAATTTTCCATTAAAATCAGATATGGTAAGGTAAATTTCCACCAAAGACGAATTAGTATCCGGTTGAGAGCCAAAGTATATTGTTTTATGCCAAACGTACTTAAATCTCGTTAACGCTGTAAACACGGCGTTTTAACCCCTGACTTTTCGCCAATCGACTCCAGATAGTCGCATTTTGGCGGCAAAGAGAAATCGCCCCTTAAAAAGGCATTTTATCATATATTGTTGGATATCCCTCCAAAGAAAATACAACGGCAAAAATAGAGGAGAATTTTAATGTTAATCATCCATGAGAACGGTCAGTGGCCATATTATTAGAAGCTTTACATCTAGGCAAAATTTTTTCAATGAATGCAGGGCGTATGAATTAAAGGAGACTTTCTATCAAATTCTTAGGTAATTTATTTTTTGTGTGTTTTATGTGTTTAACGTGTCTTCGTTTACAATGAACACGGAGAAGTATTTTTTACTTCATGCCGATATTGAAGATCAAAAATATGTTTGACCATGCATATTAGGTTAAGGCAACCCAACGACAAGAGTTTCTCTCTGCATGGTGATGCTGAAGTATCACAGGTGAATACTCTCGCATTTGCTGGATTCGAAACAATGTCAAGTCATAGGTATTTTGTTTTTACGCATGTCAAGTCCAACTGTATGAATCTTTAGAGATGATGAAGCACAACTTTTCAATGAGAGCCACATTGAAATGGCCGTTTTTTATAGATTAACAAAATAGTTTTAAAAGCCTTATTTAAGCCAGGTATTAGGTACCAGTTACCCTTTATGCACCAAAAGGGAGACAAGTTAAAACAACCACCTTACTCTGCCCTTTTCTACGAATGTATCTTCGGTTTCTTGAACAGAGAGAAATTCTAGGAGAAGGTGCTTAATTTCAGGCTTACAAACCTTTCTGTAGAAAAAACCTGAGGAGGAGTTGCATTTGATGATTACAATGAAATTTTATTCTTCATCGACAGTTAATGATCCACGTTCACCTATTTTCCCTGTAGAATCGTGGAAAAA